CAACGCACCCCTCTCTCTTCGCTGCTTTTCTTGGCCTCGTGCCGCAACACGTCTGGTGCCGACACACGAGCCACCCTGCTTTTCGCAGAGATCAGCATCATCATCATCAAATAAAGTTTGACGCCGTCTCACGCATGATTTGAGGCAGCTGGCCCACCCTTGTCGTTAGGCTCACTCTATCGTAACGTTAATTCATTGACACGGACAGCCCTTGTTGTCCCCTGGTCTTGTCGCCGTCCGGGCTTGCCGTACTGATCTGTCAAAAACGCGCACCGTCTCCCGCCGTTTTTTATCGCCCAGCGTCAAGCCAGTCCGTCTTCGGGAATCTTTTGTGCACTACACCGCTCTGCTCCCGCGCCAGATCGTCCTTTTGGTGGAGCTTGTCCGCTTATGCACATCACATTTCCTTGGGCAAAACACAACCTTTCCTCGGCCGCTCGCTAACTACCTGCCTGTCCGCAACGCGCCGCCGCCAGCGTTTTCGTCTACCCTCCAAGTCCCCTCACTAGCAGTAGTGCTTAACCCTCGACCGCGACTCTGCTTTTGGCGTAGCATGTCCCCGACTTACACCACTTCACCAGCTCAGCCCGCTACCGACACGTCTCTAAGCGCGCTACTCGCGTCGCAACAGATGAACGGCCATCCGCAGTCAATGGACGCTCGCCAGCAGGAATACGCCCACCAAGCTCCGCTCAAGCAAGAGTATTCGCAGCAACCAGGTTTGAATTCGCCCTACGCTTCTTCGTCCTATACCGGCAACCTTTCTGAGACCCTCTCCTCCCCAGACCAGAACCAAGCCGCCCAATACCACCCAGACGTAAGACAATTCCTCTCCTCTGCTTCTCCTCTGCCAATCTTGCTCACTCACGCGCCTGATAGTCTGCGCGCTCTGCCTCCTTCCCCGAGTACCAGCAGCAACCTCAAGGCCAGCCGCAACAGCCCCAGCGACCCTATCCCGAGCAAGGCGCTCCACGTTACCAGCAGCCAGGCGGCCATCCACACGCCGCAATGGCTCAATCAAGTCGGTCCATGCCTCTTGCCAGCGCGTTGCGCGACACGCGTTCTGACTCGGCCATTGCTATAGATCCCACGATAGCTGCACAGACGCCGCAGTACCCTCAGCAACACGCATATTCTCCATACCCTCCCCAGCATGAGATGCATCAATACCCCGGGCAGCCCGGTCAACCCATGTACGCGCCCCGCCCCGAATGGGGTGCCTACCACGCTCAACCTATGCACTACCCCGTGTCAGCCGCCGGTGGACCGCCAGGAATGGCAGCCGCCGTCCCCAGACCCCCAGGTGTAAGTCATGGCTTTGTAAGACTCCATTGACGCGTCGGAACGCGTTTTTCTAACTCTTCGCAGGGCGGACACCCAATGTCTACCGTATATTCGTTTGTCCCCATTCCTGGTGCGCAGCAGCACAAGCGTCCGCGTCGACGATATGAAGAGATTGAGCGCATGTACAAGTGCGGATGGAATGGCTGTGAAAAGGCATATGGCACGCTTAACCATCTGAATGCGCATGTTACCATGCAGTCGCACGGCGCAAAGCGCACTCCCGAAGGTATGCAAACACAGCACAAAAAAAAAGATTGTTCAAGTGGCACGCATACTGTGTCGCAGTGTCGCATTATTTTTTTAGTGCTTACCCCGACCGCTGGGTTGGCTAAACCACCCTCCTTGTCGCGGGAAGCTAGCACGCCAACCATGCTTAAATCTCCCTAGCGCATGCACCCCGTAACACAAGCTGCACGTGGTTGAACCGCGCTAACTCGTTCATGTATAGAATTCAAAGAAATCCGCAAGGAGTGGAAGGCCAAAAAGAAGGAGGAGGAGAACGCTCGCAAGCAGGAAGAAGAGCGCCAACGCCAGGAGGCCGGCCGTGCTGCCCAAGAAGCCGGCACCCCGACCCAGCCCGCCCCAGCACAGTACCCGCAACAACATATGATGCCTCCGCAAGCCATGAGCAGTGCTCAACTACCGCCCATCGGCTATGCTCCCGCCGCGCCACCTACTCCCCAGCAATACCCCCCCTCACAGCAGCAAGTAGATGGAGCACAGTCCTACCCGGCTGGCCAGATGTACGCCGCTAACGGAGGCTATCCTCAAAGCCCCTATGCTCAGGGCGGTCAAATCTACCAGCAACGTTAGACACTCACTCTTCACTACAACAACATCGAGGCTGACAGGATAACAGATCCCGAACAACCCCAGAACCAGGCATATCGACACAACCAGTAATTCTTTCCTCACTCTGCGATAAGCCAGCGCGCTCGTAGTCCGACTCGGACCAGGCGCTGATATCGGTAATTCTTTCTTTCCCTCCAAGTCCACTCGAAAGTCTCCAGACGCAGCTCCTACTACTGCCCTCGCGGTCGAGCTTGCGCAAAGTCCTCGTAGAACATTCTTTGGCTCATCATCGCAATCGCAACATTCATCTCGTTCGGTGGTCGGAAGCACTGCTTTTCATGATACCATCACACGAGCGATGTTCTTTAATCAACGTCTCTCCAATTCATTGGTTTCGGTCGGTGTCATTTCAGGCGTATCGCGTTCGATCTTGACTTTCGGTTCTCGCTCATGCATCAATTACGGAGAGGTTGAAGAAGCAGTTTTGTTTGTAGTTGTATTCTTGGCATGCCCGGAGGGCCTTTCCATTGTTGCTTTTCTTTTTCTGCGAAGCATGAGGTATCTGGGTGGATGTTGTCTCGGTTTGTTTTTCCTATGGTCGGCGGAGAGAATGAAACGTTGAAGTATGATGAGTTCAGATTTTCACATTGCAAAATGCACAAAAACAATCAGAATCAGGTCAAATTGTCTCGAGGGACCAGCGTGTTTTAAAGTATTCGTGAGACGGTAAGGTAACCTAGTCAATGGTCTGAAGCACCAGGACGAGCCGTCGTCCGTTTTGAAACCCGCCATGGTCAGCGAACTATCACGACCTTATTTATTAGACTCCCACGTGGATGTTGCACACTACAGCCGAATGACTGATCAGCCGTTTCGTATAGCCCGACCAACGAGAGACGCACTCCGATGTGTAAGCCAGCAGCGGATCGTGTAGTGCTTGATCTAGTCGAAGAAAATCCAACGTGCCAGCAGCCCAAGACCAAGGGGATTCTGGCGGCAGTAGAAACAGTGATTTAGTTTCGCTGGCGCCGGTCGACCAACAGTAGGTACTGTACCTAGTGAAACCAGGAATCGTCTTTGGCGCGATCAGAAGTCAAAAGATGGACGGCCTCGGGCGTCTAAAGCAGTTAAGCATGAATATAAGCAGCAGGCAATCGACATTGGACGGATGTACCGTGCAGCGGCGGTCCGGCGCGCAAGTGTCTTGCAAGGAACGAGCTGAGGAGCACGACACTAGGCAAAGCAAACTCCAATCTACTTTCTCTTAGCACTCCCTCTAGTCTCCGGCGACTACGGCACCGTCTTACCTGTTCTACTAAGGACTCCCTGAACCCTTGTCTGCGCCGCTGCTGTCAAACGCTTGCCTAGGATCTACCCGCTCAAGATCTGAACTACCCCGTTGGTGCCTTCTAGCTGACCAAGAAATCTCTTGTTTACAACATCCGCCGGCGTCTCTCTTAATCATGATCGATCTTAGTTACTGCTGCGCCACACACCAAACAGAACCGTCGGCGCAAACCCTTCAACGACCGTCACTGACAGCGCAAGCTCGTGTTCAAAACAGCGGCCGTCGCAACTGCTGAACAATCGTGCTTCACTGTCCTCTAACCTTCCGACTGCACTTGAAGGGAATAACAGACAAAACATGAGCATGATATACAACCAAACAGTCTTTACGTTAGGGCGCTCGCTCTCAAGGCCTCCTGCCGAGTCCTGCAGTGATGCCCATCCTACTGAAAATGCAGGTTTCTTAGCTAAGATCCCACCAAACAACAGTCTCGCACCTGGTCTCCCTGAAGCTGACCTTAACACCACTCACTACTAACGTCATTCTGCTAGCGCAAGCATCAATCTGCACCCTCCATGGCGTCTATCGATCGACGCAAGAATTTGGCTCGGCTTCCGGAACATGACTGTCGGGTCCCGATCCGTTTGTCAACGGAACTCGCTCCGGAGTGTCTCTCTGATCAAGACTGGCTTCAACACTCGCTAGATGTATCGTTTGCTGCTCTTGCTCTGGGCTTTCGATATTATCTGCTTGCTTCAGCATAGGATCTTACGGGTCGATCGCGCCAGTCATCTCGTCTGTCGGCACAATCCATAAAACCCAGCAACCTGGCATCGCACTTTTTTTACACCACAAGAAAGACCTTCGAGTCAGATGTCGTGTATCAGCAGGAGCTAAAACATAACTCTTTTTGATACAATGGTGCGGCTAGGCTGTGCCTTTGTACCTGTTGCTCGTCGCTATGTCAACTAAGAAAAGACGAAACGCCTAAAAGATCAGTAAGAGGAAGCGTTCTGAATGCAGCAATCATTTGAGGTACAGAAGCGTAGATGGCGGCTAAAAAAACAGCAGCATGAATGCGCTACACTCGTTGAGAGTCGATCTTGTATGCCATCGACAGAACTCACCTTGGTAGAGCTGACCACAGATCTGCTAGACGTGAGCCACTGAGCAACGGAACGAGAACAGCAAGAACGTCCTACTTTGGAAGAGACAGGAAATAACGCAAGGGGCGTTTGAGTGCAATTGTATACAATGATTGAGAGTGGAAATACTTTCTCCATTGAATGGAAGGTACGATCGAGCGAGTTGCTCCTGCTATCTCACTATCTTGGAACCTACCATACTTGAGTACGACTGTGCTCTCAAACAACCTTGCAGAGAAAAGTACTCAGAAATATGTGTACCGTCGACGCAGAACGAACGATAAATTGTTCGACATACTCTAGGTCGAGCTATGTACGAATTGAAGTCAGTATGACCTTTCTATGCATCATTCCTAGTCGGGAGGGCTCTGAACATGTGATGTACAGGAAAAGTATGAAGACGAGTTGGTAATGTTATGGCAATATGTGCTTTATATGGGCTGGACGGTTCTCTGGAATCGGGGAGGCTGTCTGAAGAACTTCTCAGGCTCATCTCTAGCCCCATCCNNCTTCCAATACTCGTACTCCATCCATGCATTTTCAGGCATCTGTGCTTCGGTAGCCTCGAGGAATGCACCAAGCTCTGGGGCTAGCGGGATAACACCGGTCTCAAGCACGTACTGATCCCACATCTTTATCATGCGAGCCAGACGTTCAGGCTCTTGTTCGGCAAGATCATGAATCTCGCCAGGGTCCTGAGAGAGGTGGTACAGTTGCCACTTCTCGGGGCCTTTGGGCTTGGGAATGAAGACTATTTTCCAGTCGCCGCAGCGAACGGCTGCACGGCCACACGTCTCCCAGCCGGTGATATGATCCTCAGGATGAGTTGAGTGAGTGCGACCTTCAACGAAGGACAGCATGCTCTGACCACGCATGGGCACAATTTCGCGACCTTTGTAGGTAGGTGCTGGATGTCTGACACCTGCCATCTCAAGGATCGTGGGACAGAGGTCCATGACGGTGGCAAAGTCATGAGTAATGCTGCCTTTCTCGACGCTGACGTGAGAACCAGAACTAGCAACCTCTACAGGACCATCAACGAAGCCGTCAGAACGAGTTTCGATGTTTGCAGGGAAGCGTACAACGAAGGGTACACGAACACCACCTTCTGTGGTGAAGGCCTTGTAGAGGCGACTCGGTGCTGTTGCTGCTTGGGCCCATCGTGGTCCATACCAGACAAAACTGTCACCACGACCGATGTTATCGATCGAGTTGTTATAGTACTTCTTCAGGTGTTGCATCATTTCACCCTGTACAATAGGGTATGCTTCGTAGGCTGCACCCTCAGCACCATTGTCAGACATGAAACAGACCATTGTATTGTCGAGCTCTCCAATCTCTTCGAGATAGTCAACGACCTTGCCAACATTGGCATCAATGCATTCCACCATGACAGCAAAGACTTCCATTGCTTTGGCAGATTTGGCCTTTTCCTCAGGCGTCAGAGCATCCCAAGCTTTGACCTCGTCCGCGATCACTTCATGTGCTTCGACATCACGAGCGATCAAACCGATCTCCTGCATTCTCTGCAGACGGGTTTGTCTCAAGACTTCCGGCCCATCATCATAGACACCTTTATAGTGAGCTATGTACTCATCAGGAGCTTGAAGTGGCCAGTGGGGTGCTGTGAAAGGAAGGTAGCCGAAGAAGGGTCTTTCATCCTTCTTCTCCTTACGCTCTTTCAAATACGAGAGCATCTTGTCTCCATAACCGTTGCTGCTGTACCACCCATCAGGCAGCTTCTTCACATACTCGCCATCCTCAGAATGGAGAGCAATAAACGACATAGTCATGAATTCGGGAATCTTGTCGGGTGTTTGGAGATGGGGCTCATAGGCGTAATGGTTTGAGCACGCGGGAAGATGTGCAAAACTTCTTTCGAAGCCTCTTGCTTTTGGACTACGCTCAGGTGTCAGACCGAGGTGCCATTTACCGGACATCAGAGTCGAATATCCGGCATCTTGCAGGATCTCTGGCAATGTGGCAACTCTTTCATTGAGATAGCCTTCGTATCCGGGCATGCCTCTCTGAGGAGCGGTATCAAAGCGTTTGGCATTCCCTTCTGCTGGTGCATTCTGGCCAGATATATTAGTCCATTCAATGAGGTTTCCTAGACCCGCGATGTGATGATCTGTTCCGGTCATGATNCCTGTAAAGACGATCAGCACACTACTTTGTCATTTTCACCCAAGCTTGCTCCAGCAGTAGATACCGAGCGAGCATGTCTGCTCATTTCTATAGCATGTTTCTGACGCTCGTGTAGGGTTCTAAAGCTGGTTCTGAGACATGACATACATGGCACGTGAGGGTGAGCATGCTGCAGCTGCGTGGAAGTCGGTGAAGCGAATACCATTGCTCGCTATCTTGTCAATGTTCGGGGTCCTGATCTCTCCACCAAAGCAGGAGAGGTCGCTGAAGCCGAGGTCATCTGCCACAATGACAAGGAAGTTGGGTTTCTGAACGCCATCGGTTGCGTTTGAAGCCTGAGATGCGGCCATGCTTGCGAGGTGTCTCGTGGAAGGTGAGCATGTAAGTAAAGACTCTGCGGCTATGGTAGAAGAAGGAAGAAGTGGAATAGACGAGCATTGAAAGGGCAGAGCAGGTGACCCATCTCCAACACGGCAATGATCAAACAGGCCCCTCAGATATCAATGTAGGATCTGCAAGCGGGGACGACGGCCTGTCGAAGCTAAACTGAGTCCGCCATAGTCGGCCAGCAAATGTCCTTATGCGGTAAGATCTCACGAGACCCATGCCTACTGTTTCGGTCTCATATCGAATGGCGTGCTTTCGATGGTAGATTGCTTGTTTTGACCCATCGGTGTCATGCGACAACAACTCGGCCACTATGGCAGCAGTTTGAGAGCTGTAATAGCGTTTTGCAAGGATGCAGTGAAGCTTAAAAAGTCTGTTGTTCACACGAGTCTTGTTCAAAAATTATTGCTGGAGCTAGAGAGTGCTGGTTTAAGCACAGTAGAATGGTTGTCATCCTTGATGCCTCAAGCGTGTTGAAGAACAAACAACTCCGCTTGCGAGCGAGAGGAAAGCACGTTGCAGCCGCAATTTTACCGGTTGAGAACGCATCTCCCAAGAACTCAGGTTGCGACTTTCACAAAACATCTTCGTGTTTGGCCATCTTGTCACTTGCTCTGGGACGTTGAACTTGATTTCAATTCTTACCTCGAGCAGGCTCTGAATGGGCTGTTGAAAACAGGCGAAAATCACACGGCTAAAGTCTCGTTCGAGCTTCGGATTAAGATAACCTTAAAGCCGAGAGTCCGATACAGCCAGCCACCAACTTCCGGCCAGACTTGCCAACATGTCGACATCATCTTTGTGATACTATGATTGTTTGTAGTTGGTCTGATTCATAGATCCGTTAAAACCACTAAGAAGATCGTTCCGAAACCTCTGGGGAGTTCCACGCAGCATGTGGCACTTCCTTGATTTGAACCATGATCAAAAGCTCGAACGAAGGCGACTGCTAAATCTCTATGGCTCACTGGCTCAAGTCTCTGCTTTGATTCCTCTTGCTCTTCTCCAGCTCTACTTTTTCATCATCTGGTTTCAACGAAGATGGGCGAGAAAACACGATGCAGACGCCATACCAAGTTCACCGCACCTGAAAAAGCAGCGGTCAGATGCGTTCAATGGACCCGCAGCGAGATTCCAGAGCTTCCGGGACAAGTCCATTTGGTGGATGGGTGATACACTTGACATCTGGGGTTCTCGTGTCACCAAGGGAGAAATGGTGGCAGGTGTAGTATGGACGGCATGGCTGATTTTCTTGAGTTGCATTCAAACACAAGGTGGTATGTTATTTCCTGGTTTCGAATTGCTGGCAGCCGCTGAGTCTTTGAACANNGATTATCTGCACTTGACGAAGCGATTCGGCATCGTAGGTGCCTCACAGATGCCCTTGCAGTATCTTCTTGCCTTCAAGTCACCATTTAGCCCCATTCAACACCTTACCAGATGTTCCTGGACGACACTGAATGCTGCGCACCAGGTTTTGGGACGTGTCTCGACAATCCTGTTCTACCTACACGCAGGATTCTACTTGAATTTCTTTGTCCAAGCACATGTTCTGGCAAAACGCATCAAAGACTGGGACGTCATTCTCGGACTCGTCGGAACGATTGCATTCACAGCTGTAGGCACAACTGCGCTTTCGGCCCTCCGCAAGTTGAGTTATCGTGTCTTTTACACAACTCACGTTACCCTGGCTACCATGTTGCTGCCTGTGCTCTACTTCCATGTCCACCACATCCGCATCTACATCATCGAGACGGTCATAGTATACACAGTGCATCTAGTGCTACGTATACTCAACGAACACAAAGTGGAAGGTTCCTTGACCTTAGTCCCTGGAACAGCGAACCTGCTCGAGATCAATATTCCAATAACAGCAAAGTCAAAGCAAAAGTCGATCGTGCAATGGCAACCAGGGCAGCACGTCTACACTTCTTTGGCGCAGGGCCCAGTTTATATGCGATCTCTCAAATCAAGAAGTCCGTTCGCCATCGCCTCATTGCCATCCGAAGATGGCAATCTTAAACTGGTGGCTAGAGTACTGGACGGGAACACGGCTGCTCTTGCAAAAGCAGCGACAGAAGGCGCGACTGGAAAGGCTTCTTCCATACCACTTATCCTGGAGGGACCATATGGCTTGTCAACACATTCAAATACCTTGCTCCAGTACAATCGAGTCTTGTTCATAGCTGGTGGCGTGGGCGCTACCTTTGTGGTGCCACTCTACAGAACGTTGCTTAAAGATCTTTCACCAAGTCCTGGAAGCCGTAGAAGGCAGAATGTCGCCTTTGTCTGGGTAGTTAGGGATGAGGCAGAGACAAGCTGGGCTGTGCCCGAAGACGAGCTTGAAAAGAAGGGCATGCAAGAGCGCATGACCGTTTATGCCACACAGACCGGCAGAATGGACAATGACGAGCACAAGAACAATGATGTCGACGAGGGCATCGAGCTTGAGCGACTGTTACCTAGTGGTGGCATTAATGACTCGGTACAGAAATGGCAAGTACACCCAGGTCGCCCTGACTTGGGCGAAATGATAGATGGCGTATTTAGCCACACGCGGAATGATACAAAAGTGGCAGTGCTCGTCTGTGGGCCAAGGTCGATGGCCGATGAGGTCAAGAAGAAGAGCAACAAGTGGATAGGCAAGCGAGACTTTTGGTTACATGTCGAGGCTTTTGGGCTGTAAGTAAATTTGAAGATCATTTTGTCTGTTAATTCTTTGCAACCATACTCTATCAGCTAGCAAGGGAAGTGCCATTTAGTCTCTGACCAACTTTAATGAAAACCTGACACATAAAGTTTTGTCTGGTGCCGGGCGCTTGGAAGTGGTAGAGTCGTGGTTTGTACTAAAAAGTCAAAGAAGACAATTGCAGACAACGTGTGCATTACGTTGCAAATCAGGAGGATGAGCTTCTTGATAGTACATGTGTTGACGAACTTGTATATCATTGGCATGATGCAGCTCAGGCGTCACCGATGTAGAGGAAGCCTGTACCGGTTGCAAGGGCAGCAATGCTCCACAAGGCAGACCAACCAGCGGCTCCGTAGATTGTGGCACCCTCGACGGTAGCAAAGACCCTGATGAAGGAGTGGATGGCAGTGAAAGCGGCGAGCAAGAAGGTGCGTCTGAACAGCACGCTTTCTCTGGTGGAGTACTGGTCGACGCCTAGGTTCCACATGAGAGTGTCTGCGAAAGAGGCAGTCTTGGGGTCGAACTGCTTGTACTCGGAGGGCAATGCACGAGCATAGACGATGGAAGTGCTGAAGAGGAAGTCCTTGGCAGCCCAGCCAATGGGCAAGCATGCAGCAAAAACAACAGGGAAGAGGGCATTGTGAGCAAAGTCAAGCGTCAGGACCTCGTCAAAGGTGTTGATCAAGAAGACGGGCAACCACCAGGCCAGACTGAGGTAGACAACGGCGGAGTAAATGGAAGCAGCGAAAGCGGTCATGTACATCTGAATGGTCTTGTCGACAGCCAGATCCTTGATGGTACCAGGAGGTGTCAGGGTGCGCAGGTTGTTGTGGTAGTTCAGGGGNCGCAAGAGCCAGAAGGGGAACCACAAGGAGAACATGTCAATGACGAGGGCGAGAGCAAGAGGCTCGAAGCCGATGCCGAAGAAGAGGTACAAGAGGGTGTAATAGGGCGCATTAGCCATGGCGGCGAGCTGGACAAAGTCAAANGTCTGTCGAAGCAATTGGGTCAGCACTTGAGAGTAGGCAATGAAGCGACGGGTGTACTGACGATCAAGGCTGCAGAACCAGCCGAGAGTGATCTCAAGTAGTCTCCAAGCAAGCAAAGCACCGATTTGCCAGGGCTCATTCAAGCTGCGGCTCACAGCAGCAAGCGGGGCGCCCATGATGTCTGGCACGAAGCTGTACAGCAGGGCGCTGAGGGCCGGGCTCAGGATGATGGACAGAGGGTAGGCGAACCAGGTGGGGAGACGGCGCGAGGCATGCTTCTCGCGCGCATTGTCGAGAGGTGATGCCGACGATGCTGCCATGGCAGTGCGTTCTGATGGCGCACGAAACGCGTCTGCATCGACAAGGGGCGCCGTGGCGACGACGGTCGAATCGTAGCGTCTGTAAGCCATTTGCGTTGATGTTTGGATCTTGAGAGCGTGTTGGAAGGGAAGCTGCAACTCTGAAGACGCGTTCTGTCAAATGTTTCCATCTCTGACGTACCCATAGCTCTGCTCTTGGCAGCCTCTGGCCGTTGCCAACGCCTGTCGTCATCCAGTCTGGAATCACTTCTGAATCCACGAACATTCCTCTGACCATAACACCCACATCGACCACTCGATGCAGCCATCACCATCAGTATATTCTCGATGTTTAAATGTCACAACAGATCTCTCCACTTTTCTAATACCATGTCTATGTATCGCAATGGACTTTCTGCGCACAGGAAGACTCGGGAGCAAGTCTCTCAATGCGTAGCAACGACCAAAAATCATGGAATCTGTCTCGTATCGCCGAGAGTGGAATAATGTCATCCTTCAGGGTTCTAGAGCCTTATAACTTGTCTTGACTAGGATACTTTTGGCTAAACGGTCACCTGAATTCAATCTTCGTTAAGGCATTGTTTGACCGTTACGATTATGGTCACCCGCTAAGACAGTGAGTCTAGAACCCATCCGCCAAACAAAACCATCCATTGTTCCTACCCTGGGTAAGAAGTCCTGCATCGGCGACTTTTGGTGCTTTGTTCAGAGCAGAAATTAACAACCAAGACCAGGGGAATGCACAAGAAGCCTTAGAAGTGCAAGCACGCATCTTCCATACCGGATTGAAGGCTCCAGAAAGTTTGGCCCATCTACCTTTCTGTTTGTTCAACATTCCTCGGATCAACACACCAAAACCTCATGGAGGACAACAACATCGAGTCAATACTACAGCTGCTCGAGAAGGGAGATGTTTCGACAAGTGCACATTTACAACTCGTGCGAGCCACAAATTGGCAACAATACTCTGTCGGGCCCATATCATCCTGGCCTCGAGAGCTATCTACCGTCATTTACATGTTAATGATATCGCCCCGCCCACAATGCTTGGTACTTGGAGAAGAAAATCTGTTGCTATATAACCGAGCCTATGGCAAAATGGTCAGAGATCTTCACCCCAGAATCTTTGGCCAACCCTTGGACAGTGTGAAAGAATGGCAGAGCTACGGAGCCCAAATGGCCGCACATAGACGAGGCGCTGCAACTCCGCTACCCACTCACGCATATCCTTCCTTTGTCGTACCAATGTTGAATCAGGGCAGATTAGAGAATGTTCACCTGCGGCTCGACATCGCAACATTACCACCGTCTATCAAAGGCTTTCACTTATGCTTCGAGGAGACTACGGACCACGACTTGCGCGAGCGGAGACATTCGACCGTGCGTGAGTTGTCCAAAGTTTGGAGTGCAGCAAGCGATCTTCCTTCGTTATGGCAAGTCATACTGCAAAGCCTTTCCGAACACCCCCAAGATTTTCCTATGGCAGCGATATACTCTACGAGGAAATCCAAAGACTCGTATTGTGAGCAAGCGAGAGACTCCGATACAGCTATCTATCATCTCGAGGGTTCTGTAGGAGATTTTGACGACGGCGCTTTTCCACCCAGCTTTCATGTTGCTACATCAAACCCCAGTTTGGAACCTCTCAAACAAGCCATCTTGACCAAGGACCGAGTCATTATCGAGCAACTGCCTGAGGAATGGGCTAAGGGATCATTGCATCGCGGAAATCGCGACATGTGTACAGAAGCTGCAGTTCTTCCGAGTAGCTTCACCAAAGCTCAAGATGCAGAAGCCTTGCTTTTTATTGGACTGCCCATGCTGACACCTCTCGACGAGGCACATAAGCAACACCTCGGGCAGGTGCAAACTGAGTTCGCTCATGTCGTAAACACTCTGGTGGCAACCAGGGAGGCTACATATCGGAGAAAAGAGAATGTCAGGCAAAATCAATTAGAANAAGACTTGCTTGCTAAAGAACTTGCTCTTCGTCAAAAGGAGGCAGAAATGGCAACTACCTTGGCTGCCAAGGTTCTGACTGTGATTGATGAGGTCGAGTGAGTTTCTCCTTCAAGTGATACTTCCGATTGCGTACTGACATGGAGCAGCATAGGATATTTTGAGTACAAGAGTACGGGAGAGTTGGTGCGAGCCAATGAATGTTACTATCGACTGAGTGGATATCCTCGAGACTGCCCAAGCCACGTACAACACAAATTCCTCGACCTCATTCATCCAGCGGACGTGGATTTGGTTTCGCAGGCCTGGCATTCCATGATAAATGGCCAATGGCAAAAGTTCGAATTGAGATATCGAAACGACACCGAACAAGGTCAATGGGCGCTCGTGGCTTGTCAACCAGTCAAGGACAACAACGGAAACGTTACCTCGATTATTGGGGCAGTCACCGACATCTCAGATCAGAAGAAAAGCGAGAAAATTGCTCTTGATCGCGCTGNNGAAGCACTAGAACAAGCCAGAGTCAGTGAAGAGAGGTTCAAGCGATGCATGGAGGTTGCCCCGTTTGGATGCATGATCGCCGACACCACCAAAGGAGTACAATACGTTAATGAAACATGGTGGGAGCTATCACAACACGCTCGTGTGCCGCTGGATCAAATCGACTGGAATTCTGTACTTCATGAAGATGATCTTGAAGTTGCAGAACAAGGTTGGCAGGTGGGTTGAGAGTCGTGTATGCTTTGACGTGCTTTACTAATACAGCATTTCNAGGCAATGCTCCGTGGAGAACAAGTTGTTTACAATCTGCGACTCAAAAGACTGTGGTACGACGCCGAAGGCGAACCTCGAGGCCCTGCAGAATTAATGGTGACGGCGCTACCTGAGTGCGATGACACTGGCAAGGTCATCAGGGTCATTGGCTTCACCATTGATCAATCGCATATACGGCATCAAGCGAGATTACAGCGAGCACGCATCGAAGAGGCAACTGAGGCGAGAAAAAACCAAGAGATGTTTTACGATACAGTCTGTCACGAGATTCGAAATCCTTTGTCAGCGTGAGTTACCTTCGCTTTCCACCTGAAATTCCCAAACTAATGGACTTGCAGCGTCATTCACTCTACAGATTCTATAAACGACAACCTCATTGAGATGCGCAAACTGGTTAATAGTCTCGCTTCTTTCAAGGTGGCAGGCTTGGACGACAGGATAAACTGTCTCCTCAACCATATATCAAGCAGTCACGAGTCTGTCGAGACCATTACACACTGTTCTGAGCATCAACGACGTCTGATTTCGGACATCCTTTCTCTCTCAAAGCTCGATTCTCAGCTGCTTCAGATCAATCCTTCGCCGACCCTCGCCTTGAGTTTACTCGAGAACATACGCAAAATGTTTGAGACCGAAGCTAAAAGAGTTGGTATCACGTTGGAAGTTGTTGCTGATCCTTCGATCTGTGGAAACGACGTGGAACAAGTCAACCTGGACTCTGGAAGGATGCTTCAGGTTCTTATCAACTTGGTCTCCAATGCAATCAAGTTCACCAAGAACGAGCTCGGACCTCGCCGAATCAAAGTCACAATGGGTGCTTCTAGTGTTAGACCATTGGATCTACCAGTTGACTCGTTTCACAATCAGGAAACGATATATGACACAGAGTCTGAGGGTCAAGACGAATTCTATCTATGGTTTACAGTCACCGATTCTGGAAGGGGTTTGTCTGCTGAGGAGAAGGCTCGCATCTTTACCAGAGTAAGATCTGATCATAACTTTCAGTTTCTCATGAGCACTAACATTTGAACAGNNTTTGCTCAGGGTTCTCGCAAGACTTATAGTGAATACGGAGGTTCTGGCTTGGGCTTGTTCATCTCAAGACAGCTTGTCGAGTTGATGAATGGACAGATCGGCGTTTCAGCTGAGCTTGGGCACGGAAGTACATTTGCATTCTTTGTCAACGCACCGCTCGTGCAGCAGTTTGTCAAGGTCGACTCGAATTCAAGCCATCAATCCAATGCCGATTCTGGCATACATATACAAACGACGGAAACGCCGGAGCTATGCTCAAAGACGACACTACTTGTCGTGGAAGGTACGGCATAACCAAATGTGATCCTCTACCGAAAAAAACTAATCATGACTANNGACAACATCCTGAACCAGAGAGTGCTCAAGAAGCAGCTGATTAAGCACGGTTACGAGGTACATGTTGCCAGCAATGGTCAAGAAGCACTAGACTTTCTCACCAACCCAACTCGAGAAGTTCACATAGACTGCGTCTTGATGGATGTAGTCATGCCCGTCATGGACGGTCTGACTGCAGCAAAACGCATCAGAGAATGGGAGAGATCAAGCAGCTTCACCAGCAACAACAGCGATGGCGGCATCAAGTCCAGACCACGGCCTTCGAGAGGAAGCAGCGCAAGTTCCGTCAAAAGCAACTGGAGTCTAGGCAGTAGCAACGCTGAGGACAACAGCAGCGTGGCTTGCAGTAGGCTACCTATAATAGCCATCAGCGCGAACGCGAGACCGGAACAGACGAACGATGCCATTATTTCCGGAATGGACGACACCATAGCTAAGCCGTTCAGAATTGTTGACTTGGTGCCTCGGATTGATCATCTGCTGGACAGANGGGCCTCTCCGGCAAGGACTTAGGTCTTTGTTTTGTATTCAATCTCTTGTATATATTAATTTCTAACTTTCAATATGTTTTCAACCACCTGCTTAGTCCTCCTTTGAGAACGGTAGCAGCCCGCAAAACACATCACAGAGCATGAAACCAATCTGAGGTTGTGTCCAAACGAAATTGCATTCATTCTGATTTAAAAGTGGTTGACCAGAGTTCAGTGTGAAAGCTAATCTACAAGAAGTGAAATAATCTTCGAATCTTTTTGAACAGTGACAACAACAATAACAACAACGAACACGCTTTAGTGAAACGGAAATGTAAAGAAGAGAAGAAAGGAAACAGAAAATTTTAAAAGGGAAGGTAATCGCACATGGTTCTCCTTGAATTCGTCAAAGGTATAGCATCGTCATCTAGTTCCAGCCAAGAGAGTTTCCTGCAAGGACAGGAGCACTGATACCTTGTTCTCTGACACTACGACCATTGGCACTGCTTCCACTTTGGCGGCTACCTCTACCGCTAGTAGGTGTCACGCGACCGCGACCTCCCGACATGAAATAATTTGCTGCGCTGTGACGCTGGCTCATCTCGCCTCTTTCGTCAGTGTATGGTACACTGCTGCTGCGAGCATGCGAGGAGCGCTTCTTCTTGTAACGACGAGCAACGTAGACCATGGCTGCGGCATACACGGCAGCACCGGCGACAGCACCAACACCGATACCAACAGAAGTACCATTGACAGGTGACGAACTGCTCGAGTCGCCACCAAGAGGGGCGCCATTGCTGTCAGAAGTGGTGCCTGAGCCAGATGGGTTCTTTGCATTTCCTTGGCTGTTGCCCATGCCATTTGCACCAGGCATCATGGGAATGGCAGGGTTGATCATTCCCATCAAAGTCTTTGTGGATGCATCGGGGTTGTTGTATAGAGTGGCAACCGAAGTGTGCAGATCGAGCTGCAACTGGTTGATTGCCTCGGATGGAACATATACCAGAGCCAAGGTGGTGATGTAGTGCATCGACTGTGTAGTGTCGTAAGGTTGCAGTGCGTACATCTTGACCTTGGCTGCGTCAATGTTGAGACCATAGGCCAAACCAGCAGGAAGGAACTCGAAGATCTGGTTTGCAGAGCCAGCAGTGGAAACTACGAAGGGGTAGTTTAGCCCGTAGGTGAAACCAACCTGGATCAGAGTGGTGTTGCCGGGAGCCGAAGGCATGCCACCGGGAGGCTGAATGACACGAGGCATTGATGAAGGAATACCAGACGCCTGGGGAGCAGTCGAAGTAGTTGCTGTCTCAGAAGGTTGGTACAAGATGCTGGTCTCTATGGGCATTGTTGTATAGGTGTTGGTGCCAATGGGTACAATGCTGGTGGGAGCAATACTGGTCGATGGTTCGAAGGCAAGAGAGGTGGATGCTGCTGTGGGGGCTGGAGATGCAGGTGTAGTCGGAACTACCGATGTCAATGGAGGAGACGACAACTCGGTGCTAGAAGCAAATCCAATGGGAACGATGGTGTCATCGGTAGAAGTAGCGCTTGAAAGACTTGCAGATGCGCTGCTCTCGGCGGTAGCTGACACTGCGGTGGCCTCTGAGGTAATCGTGGTTGAAGCATCACTCGAAACTGCCAAAGATGTGGAAGAGCCGATCTCCGAAGTAGCTGTAGCGGTAGAATCACTGCCAGAAGACAAATCAAGAGTTGTGCCGCTTGATAGTGGAATGGATGTCGAAATGCCAATCGCGGCGGAAGTCGTCATGGTGGCATTGTTCGGCACGAAGGAAGGAACGCTGGATGCTTGCGAAACTGATGCGGATGCGGCAAGAGATGACTCGGCAGCTGATATCGATGCAGAGACGGAAGAGGCGATTGACGACTGGGCAGAAGAAATGGACGACAGAAGGGATGATGGAGGAGTCGTGACCGGAACGGGAATCACGAGCGTTCCAGAAGTGGAGGCGGTGAATGAGGTGACCGACGGAGAAACACCTGTAGGGGCGACTGTAGCAGAGATGGCTGTTCCGCTGCTCGTGACGGTACTTTCTACAGATGGCACAGTACTTTCTGCAGATGGCACAGTGCTTTCGGTTGCAGAAGATACAATGGCGGTGCTGTCGACAGCAGTTGCAGAAGACGCGGTAGCAGTGCTATCGATAGCGGTTGCAGAAGATGCAGCGGCGGTGCTTCCGATAGCGGTTGCCGGAGTCAGACTGCTATCGGTAGCGACTGAGGCTACAGTGCTGTTTGCGGGTACAGAGATAAGAGTACCAGGGGTAGAAGTCGTCAAGGCATCACTCGTGATGGTACCCGAAACATCGCTAGTAGCTTCGGACACTGTGGCTGAAGTTGTGGCCGAAATGTCTCCTGAAAGGTCAGTAGCTGTGGTGCTACTTACAATTGACTGCGGAGGAATTGTGGCACTTTCAGTAGTGTTTGCGCCGTCAGTAACTGAGGCAGTGATTTGCGATGTAGCCAAAGGGCTGGTACCAGACACAGAGCTATCAGTAGCTGTAGCAGCAGGCAGAGAGCTCGAGTCAGTGACGGAACCAGAAATAAAACCAGAGACAGTGCTGTCAGTAGCTGTAGCAGCAGGCAAAGAACTCGAGTCAGTGATGGAATCAGAAATAGAACCAGAGACAGAGCTGTCGGTAGCTGTGGAGGCGGGTAGAGAACCGGACTCCGTGATGGAACCAGGCAAAGCCTCGGTGGTGTTCTCGGCCGCGGTAGTTGAGTTTGCAGAAGCATCCGTGACGGTTGCAGAAGCGGTTGTGCCAGAAGCAAGCGAAGCCGAAGCACTCGAAAGGAGGCTCGAGAAGTCTGAGGCCAGCGAAGATGACATGGCACTGTCAGAGGCTGTGGCCACTACACTTGACAGATCAGAAGCGATGCCTGACAAGAGACCACCCAAAAGACCAGTTGCAGTTGGTCCGTCAGATGAGGTTTTTGTGGCGTCGGTCGCCTCAGCAGAAGCCAAAGACGAGATACTCGTCTCAAGGGCTGCTTGTGCTGATGAAACAATGCTTGACAGGACATCAGCGGTACCAGTAGCACCAGCACTAGAAAAACCGCCGTCTGAGGTAGTGATTCCAATGGGCAATGGGACGATGGGAGTGGTGGAGCTCTCGGCCGAAGCGGTACCAGTGGACAAAGTCTCGGTAGATTCACCAGTAGTTGTGGCGAAGAGAGGCAGAGGAGCGGTCGAGGAACTTGCGACTACAGTGCCGTTGTTGCCATCAGTCTGGTCGGCCACAGCAGTCTCAGTGCTCGACTCACTACCAACAGTTGCAGAAGCAGGCGCTGCGGTTGAAGTGGTAGGAGAGCCTCCGTTCAGGAAAGTAGAAAGGCCGACAATAATGCCACCGCCGGTGCTCGAGTCTGATGATTGGGTAGCGCTAGTCGACGAAGCTGTGGGAAGGATGACGATATCCGGAATGCCACCAGTAGATGCAGCGCTGCTAGAATCTTGTGTAGTTGCAGTAGGCTGTACCTCGTCGGCAGACGACACAGCAACACCGGTAGAAGCGACTGATGATTGAGCATTGTCTGGCGAGGAAGTAGGCTGGATTTCATCAGAAGACTGAATTACAGAGCCAGACGAAGCAGTGTTAGCGGTAGGCTGAACCTCGTCAGAGGATTGAATGACAGCGCCTGAGGATGCTGCAGCGACAGGGACAAGAGTTTCCGTCTTGACATTATCAGTGGATCCGACACTAGAAGTCGTTGTATCGCTATCAGTAGCCTGAGCCACGGTACCCGAAGCAGTAGGAGTAACGGATTCGGATACGACACCGCCAGTAGAGGCAGGTCGCTGGATTGATACGTCAACACGAGAAGAAGTTGCCGCTGCAGTTGGCTCGACGGACTCAGAGATGACTGCACCAGTAGTGCCAACAGTAGAGGCATCACTGGAATCGGCCGAACGTGTTGGCTTTACTGACTCAACAACGACGTTGCCGGTCGAACCAATAGAAGCCAGTGTACTTTGGGCGGTAGGGGTAACCGACTCGACAACATTGACTCCGGTCGAACCAATAGACGATGATGGTGAAGCACTTCTAGAGGTCAATTGGACAACGTCGGACGAGGATTCTCTGGAGGTTGGCTGCACAATCTCGGTTGGTACGCCACCAGTCGAGGCAACAGAAGAAGGAGGTGTAGGCTCGACACTCTCGGAGGTAGCGATACCAGTAGAGGCGATAGTAGAAGGTGCAGTGGGCTCGACACTCTCAGAAGTAACAACGCCAGTCGAAGCGATGGTAGAAGGCGCAGTAGGCTCGACGCTTTCCGAGACAACGTTTCCGGTAGAAGCAACAGTCGAAGGAGCTGCAGTTTCGACGCTTTCACTAGACGAGGCCGTGGGTTGAATGACCACCGAGGGAAGGCTGCCAGTTGATGCGACCGAGGCTGAAAAGACGGTGCAGTCGGCTGAACGGTTTCGGAGAAAACCTGCCCAGTCGAGGCCACAGAGGCTTCAGATGTCTGTGAGGTAAGCTCGTCCGTAGAACCAACCGATGGTGTCGATTGTGCCGCGGAAGATGAAATTGTAGGTTGGACAACTTCCGAAGGAATTCCACCAGTGGATGCAACGAAGGGAGCAGCTTCGGTAGAAGTAGCGATTGTCGAAGGGGCAGCCTCGGTAGAAGAAGAAATTGTCGAGGGAGATGCAATGGTCGGTCTAACCGTCTCACTTGCGAGATTACCGGTGGATGCGACGAAGGCCGCAGCACTCGAAGGGGCCACGGACGAAGGCTCTGCAGATGACTGAGTCCCAGGTGACGCTGAACTGACAGTGCTCTTGATTGAGGAAGACGTGGCTGACTCGGAAGACGGGGTAGGAAAAATCGTGGTAGTGGGCGACGAGCCAGTTGATGCTACAAAGGTATCGGCGGTGCTGGAAGTGGTTGCAGAATCATCAGAGTTTGTGGTCGAGTCGCTGGTTGCAGCCGCTGCTGCGTCCAGCGCAGTAGAAGGTGAAACGGTCGAGAAGAGATCCTGAGAATCGAATGACGATGTCGAAGAAGGGTCCTGGGATTCGGATAAGAGGGAGGAGAATGTTTCGAACCATGATGGATGCGATGTTGTAGTTTGAGCTTCAGAAGCTGAAGAAGAGGTAGAGGAACTGGTCATGTTTTGCAAAGCGTTCTGTCTCTTTAGAGGGCGAGGAAAGTAGTATCGCATCTGTTGTCCAGGACCGGCACCTTGCTGAGGTGCGGGGGCGGCCTCGGCGGTGATTAGTATAGGACCCTGGACAGACATGACTGCCAGGGCGGCAGCCCATACAGCAGAAGATGTCCTCATGTTGGCCTGTGGTTAGTTGTCGATCGAATTTAAGTCGTGAGTTATGGCGACAAGTGATCGTATAACTTGGGTGTGTCAAAAGCGCGTGTATAAACGAGTGGACTTGACAAGAAATGCCAAAAGGAGAATATTCTGTTGACGTCCTGTCAGCACCGGGCTGCTATGCAAGGGGCCAGGATGTTGCGGCTGTGGGAGTCAGACGTGACTTACAAGATATTGGACAAGACCAGGCAACGGCCGTGGTGTTTTGGCAACAAGAAGACAGAGGTGAGAGGATGAAGGTGTCTGAAACACTAGAACATCGTTTTCCTTCAAGCCAATCGTGATAAAATGAGTGTAAGGGGTCGGCGTTGGCAGACAAAGAGGCGTCGCAAAGGGCAGTTACGAGTGGCGTGGCGGGAGACAACGATGTGTCAACGGTCACAGCGGCGCGCTCGTCAACAAAGAAGGAATTGACGTGCCGACACAAAGAAAGCAAGACCGACTAATGCCAAACGACAAGGCACAATGTGAAGTCCTGAAGTGGTGGAGATTGTGCGCCCAGTGATGCAAGAGTATCCCTGTGCACACAAGAAAACGACGGCAATGGTTGATGGACAACAAGTCGAACCTTCCAAGGCCAGAAGAAGAAGAGAAGAGTAGAATGAATGGCGTGAATGAACGAAAGGATGATCAAACAAGGCGACAAGTTGATCAACCACGATATTAGACGAGGCAATCAAAAGGCCGGCGATGGTTGATTAAGCGAAGGTGGGCCCGACTCTTGTGAGAATCGTAAAGAGAAAGTATGTAGGTCAGATGTGAGAAAGAAAACAAGAGTGCTGGAGGGGCTGCGGAAGCCGTTGTCGAGTACCGCTGGCAAAGGGGTGGAAAGTCGAAAGGTCAACGGGCAGTCGCGCGCGCGCTGATCGAAAGAAGCTTGCAATGCGCAGTAATATGGAACCGTTAAAGAGGCAGGAAAAGATGGTGCGGCAGCGGTCAAGAAGCGACGACGTCGAGACTCGAAAAAGACGTGAAGAAAGGAAGGGGAAACAAGAGATTGCCCTTTCGGTTGCGGCTGCCACAAGTCTCCGACCGCTGATATTTTGCCCGAATCAGCAAAGTACCTGAGACTCGTGCTGCACCCTCCGCAGACTAACGGAAGCCACCACCAATCATGACACCCTCCGTCGCGCTCAAAATAGTTCCAATAGCTGCATGCTCGGCTTGCTTGTGTCTTCTCTCGTTTGATCAATCTTCTATACCGCGACACCTGATACAGCCGCGCGCCTGTACACTGTTTGCTCTGGAGGATTCGCATCACAGTCTGGTCCTCAAGCCTTAACAACAGCCTCCTCGTCGTCATCACAGTGCTAGTGGGTCTCTCTACAGATGAGACGCGTGCGCAAGCATCAGAAGATCTCCCGCCATGTAATCCCCGTTTGATACACATTAGTGTCCTGACAAGTCTCCACTTCTCCAAGCCTTTTCAAGCCACACGATCAAGCCGAGACGCGAACCAGTCCAGTTCCATGTTAGCATCTCCAGGCTCTCTTACTGTGGCTAACGCTTGCCCTGGGGTCTCCTGCGCCAAATCGAAATTAAAGGTTTGTCCCAGCTGAATCCGTTTGTTACTCTATCGATTCAGGGGATCAGCTTCTAGAGATTTGGGTCTTGGTTCCTATTAAACATCAACTCCTAGCAGATACACCTTCTACAACGTCCTGCAAAGCGTAAATTGGCTCCAGGGTGAAGTATGACCTCTTTATAAGTGGTTCTGTGTTGCTTCTGACCCTGCAGTTCGGCGGGCGCACTAAGTTGGCATGAAACAGCCCGCTCCACAGTCGACCAAACCACTATTTTGACCAGCAGCCAACATGTCATCAAAGAGTCGAAGGTTTTCTCAACTCGATACACTTTGAACATTCAGCCTCCACCAAAAGTCAGCCATGTCTGTGTATGTTCAGCATCATGAGTAAGTCGTCTGAGAACAACAGGGCAGTACTTCGTCATCATTGCTGGGACGGTGACACAGGGTGCGCATTGTCGTAAAGGTCAACATGGCAACGAAATGCAAGACGACAAGCGCACGCTTTCTTGACTTTCAGTACTTACTCCTCACTTTTCTAGTATCCCGTGCAGGATAAAACACACCCCTCACGATTTACACAGCTATGCATTACATATGCCAATGGGATCTAGAAAGAATCAAATTTCATTACCCGGAATCCTTATCCTACGAACAGACACGATGCGTTCGATCTACCTAGATTGAAGTATTACACTGATCGTAATTCTGCTCTGGCTGCTGCTGTAAAGTTCTTGGAAGCAAAGGTAGTGTACTGTGAGGCCTCCCTCGGTGTGGCACATATTTCCACCAACAGCATGTCAGCTGGGCGACCCTGGTGTTCTCTTGTTAGCAAAGCTGGGTTGAATGTCTAGCAACATTGGTGTACATGTCACAGAGTTGTTAATATGCTTCGCTTGGTTCTCTCGACACTTTGCCATGGCGGATTGTCTTTCCCATCTGCCTTCACCTGAAATCAACTTGATCAGTTCATGTATTATACCTCGTCCACTGAACCCAAAATACTTGTGAGCCCATGGCCATAGTCGAATATGAAATGACGAAGCTGCAAGCAACAAACATGAGCTCAAAGACGCAGAGTTCCAAATCCAACAAGCATACGAGACGGATTCATGATTGACGCGTCGATTCATGTGTCAGTGGTAGTGGGTAGACATCAAGGTGTTTGACATGTTCTTGGCTGAAGTCGTTTCCCCAGACCAGCGGCGCGGCGCGTCGTCGAAAAACAGCATTGGAAGGCTCCATCACAGTCGACAGCATTTCAGGGGATCCTCGAACATTCAACAATGGCTCGCATGGGGAGGTTGGGCTTTCTCGCCGTGGCGGTAGCCTTTCATCTGATATATGCCTACTCAATCTTTGACATATACTTTGTCAGTCCAATTGTCAGTGGCATGCGCGAGTACAGCGTAGCACACCAACAAGAAGCTCCCGCAAAGCGACTCGTACTTTTCGTTGGTACGAAAATCATCTTGTTCTCGTCATGAGGTTGACCGGCAGCTGACACACACCAGNGCGACGGACTGCGAGCAGACAAGGCCTTCCAGTACTTTCCCAATCCTTCCCCTGGCGCCGAACAAGAGGCCGACTGGCAAGAACCGCGTCCTCTTGCTCCCTTTCTGCGATCGCGCGTTCTCGAGCATGGCACCTTTGGTGTATCGCATACTCGAGTCCCCACCGAGTCCAGACCTGGCCACGTCGCTCTCATCGCTGGCTTATACGAAGACGTTTCGGCCGTCGCCACGGGTTGGAAGCTGAATCCTGTCAACTTCGACAGCGTCTTCAATCGCAGTCGTCATACTTGGAGCTGGGGTAGCCCTGACATTCTGCCCATGTTTCAGGAAGGCGCAGTTCCTGGTCGAGTAGATGCATTCATGTATGGTGCCGAAGAGGAGGACTTTAGTAAGGATGCGACTCACTTGGACACTTGGGTCTTTGAAAGAGTAGAGGAATTGTTCGCAAGCGCCAGTCAGGACCCGGAACTGAACCAACGTCTGAGACAAGACAAGAACGTCTTCTTTNTGCACCTCTTGGGCTTGGACACCACTGGTCACTCGTACCGCCCCTACTCTCGCGAGTATTTGCACAATATCAAAGTTGTTGATGAAGGTGTCCAAAAGATTACCGCCTTGATCGATGATTTCTACGCCGACGACAAGACTGCCTATGTCTTTACTGCTGACCATGGTATGAGTGATTGGGGAAGTCATGGTGATGGACATCCAAACAACACCAGAACTCCATTGATTGCCTGGGGCTCTGGAGTTGCCAAACCTGTCACTGTATCTTCTGGTCTGGCTTCTGGTCATGAAGATGGTTTCTCTTCTGATTGGCACCTCGATCACGTCCAGCGCAATGATGTCGCTCAAGCAGATATTGCTACTCTCATGGCATATCTTGCCGGGCTTCCTTTCCCTGTCAATTCGGTGGGTGAGTTGCCTTTGGCCTTCTTGTCGGCAGATCAGCAGACCAAGGCTCAAGCAATGTTGGTCAATGCTCAAGAAATCCTGGAAATGTACCGCATCAAGGAACATCAAAAGAAGAACACTGTGCTTCGCTACAAACCTTTCCCAGGCTTTGCCGATGACCAACACTCTCCAGATCATCGTCTTGAGGCCATTGAAGACCACATCAGCCAGGGACAATATGAGCAGGCAATTCATGACTCTGATGCTCTCATGAAGATGGGTTTAGAGGGATTGAGATACCTTCAAACTTACGACTGGCTTTTCTTGCGTGCGCTCGTCACATTGGGATATCTGGGCTGGATGGCATTTGCCTTCACTTTTGCTCTGGATCAACACGTCTTTAGTGGCAAAGTTGACGCGACTCGATCTACCACGACAACGACTGTATTCTCTAGCATCTTTGTCGCACTTCTTGCCTTGCTACTCGTCCAATCTTCTCCATGGACTTACTATGCATATGCATTCTTTCCAGTCATGTTCTGGGAAGAGGTCTTTGCCCGTCGTCAGGTGCTCCTCCAGGCCAAAACTGTCTTCTCTCAACAACTCTCTGGCAAAAATTTCTTGAGCCTCGGGTTGAATCTGCTCGTCTTTGTTGGAGTCCTCGAGATTATGGTTCAAAGTTATTACCACCGAGAGATGTACACGGTTTGTTACCTCTTGGCCATCTTTTGGCCAATCTCATATGGACTCAAATTCTTGCGTCAAAATTGGGTCATTTCTGCTACATGGGCATTGGCATGTGCTTCCATGAGTGTCTTTACTGTTTTGCCTGCCCTAAAGATCGAAGATGCTCGATTGATTCTCCTGGGTGGTTTACTCATGCTTTTGGTGGGTATTCTGTACATTGCCTTTGACAAGAGTATCCTCGTTACAACTGGATCGACCCAGGCTGGTCTCGCTGCACCAAAGGCAGACCAGATCTCTAGAGTTCTCACTGGCGTGCAAATTGGCCTTGTCGCATTGGCCATGATTGTCACACGTTCAAGTGTCGCTTCACTACAGGCGAAGACTGGTCTGCCCCTGGGTGCGCAGGTCACTGGCTGGGTAGTGTTGGTGTCATCTTTGATCCTGCCTTTTGCCCACTCATTCTCGCCCAACAACCACTATCTTCATCGATTAATGGTCGTATTTCTTGCATTTGGTCCCATGTTCATCATTCTCACCATCAGCTATGAGGGCCTCTTTTATTTTGCATTCAGCTGTACCTTAATCACCTGGGTCAGGCTCGAACACCGCATCTACCGCGCTTTCACAACCAAAGGCTCTTTACCTCCGCCCACAAGTCCTGTATCGGATCTCAACCCTTTGGCACCTGCCTTGGCAGCATCCACAGATCGTGTGACTGCCCTCGAAAAGCACGAATATCGCTCCCTGACTTTGGCCGACGCGCGTATCGCCCTCTTCTTCCNNCTCTACCTGCTGCAATCCGCCTTCTTTAGCACAGGAAACATTGCCTCGGTGTCTTCGTTCAGTCTGGATGCCGTATCTCGCCTCATCCCCGTCTTTGATCCCTTCTCGCAGGGTGCATTGCTCGTCCTCAAGATCTTTGCACCCTTTGCTCTTGTTTCGGCAAACCTGGGCTTATTGACCCGCCGTCTGAGACTCAAGTCTGGCGCCCTGTTTGCACTGGTCATAGCAATCGGAGATTGGCTGACGCTGAGATTCTTCTGGAGCGTGCGTGACGAGGGCAGTTGGCTTGAGATTGGTGAGAGCATTAGTGTTTTCGTCATTGCAAGTGCACTTTGCGTCTTTGTTGCTGGACTCGAAATGGTCAGTGAAGCCTTTGTTCGAGGCATCGAGTTTGATGACGAAGTTGACAAGGCTTCGTCGGGTAATGGCAAGGTCAATGGCGTCAAGACAGAATAGATACAGACATCCTTGACTAAACGATGTCTCGGAAAACTATAGAACATATGTACAATCGAATGTAATCTCGACGTGTGAAAACCCAAGACACTATTGGTGATCGTTTTTGATTATCTTCGAGTCCACTATGTAGAGCTATAGAGTTGTTTGTTCCTGCCATTTCATGATTGCACAAAGATTGTGCTAGAGGAAAAGGTTGTACAGTAAAAAAAGAGGTCATGCCATCATCGCCATACTCTTCTTGACATGGAACATGATCGAAACAAAAGGGGGTATTATCAGCGTAAAAGAAAAGAGAACAGTCCAGTAAGAGCCTGCAACGCCAATGTACCCTGTGATGACTTGCTCATTGATAGGCTGGAGGGGTACCGCCTCCGTGATAGACACCAGCACCAGCAGCTCCAGAGCCTTCTCTCATGACATCAAGTGTTTGAGGGAAGTAAGGTTCAACACCCCAGTTGCGGAGATAGGCACCAGTCTTTTCGATGCGCTTGATCTCTCTGGCGACACCCCAGCCTTCACCCTCTTCTCTGAAACGGCCACGCACGATATCGACCATGGCCTCATCAAGACGTGCATAGAAGGATCTGCGCTCACGCAAGTCTTCTTCATCGCCATTCTCGAGACCACCGTGGGAGTTGAGGTTACCGCCCAACTTGAGCAGCAAGTCAAAGGCAAATTTGGGTCCGGAGGGTAGAGCAGCTAGACGACTGATGTCGGGAAGGAATTTGAGCATGCAGGCGCTAAAGGAAGGAGTAGGCAAAGAGTCGTTGAGATCGTCCTGGAGACGGTGCAGATCAAAGTTGACAATGGTGATTTTGCGGTCTAGCTGGGCGTTCAAGGTTGAAGCTGCAGCCGTCGGGTTGTGAGGGTTGGATGCATCCATTTGTTGAGCAATGCTTGGTGGAACATCTGAGTGAAGTTAGTGCATGTACTCATGAAGCAAGAGTGCAATTGGAGGCGCACCAGGTCTCAAGCCACGCTTGTCAATCCATGCGTGGACCTCTCTTCTCTGAGCTTCGAGCTGTTCAATCCAGGCCTTGAGGTCGGCCACTTCATTCTCAAGCTCTTCGACGCGGTTAGTGTAGGGACGCACAGCTTCGTTAAAGGCACGCGTCAAGAGATCTGGCATGGGCTCTGGTTGAATGGGCGCAGAGACGGATGCTGGCTTTGTAGGACCACCAAAGCCATTGGACATGAGCTGCGGACCAGCTCGAGACATGGGAGGAGCGTTAAAGTTATCCATGGATTGAGGCTGTTGTGCAAACATGGAAGCGTCGTTGAGCGATGCCGACTTTGTTGGAGGGCCGCGCGCAGAGTCGGGACGGTTGTCGTAGTCGTCGTCGTAGGCCGTCTTGCTGTCGTGCGGCGAGTAGTTGGTGTCAATGTAGCTCTGCGAATTGCTACGAGATCGCGAGAGGCGCTTGAAAAACATTGTCGGTGGTTGCAAGTGAGAGGACGAAAGGTCAGATTAAAAGACAAACGGCGGCGTGTGATGAGTGCAGGAACAAACAGGAAGGCGGAACAAAGTAATAACCAAGCAGTAGTGGCTTTGCAAAGCGAGGTGGTTGGTCAGATGCTGCAGATTGTCATGGGGGATGGTGCCGCCAGAAAAACACGCAGGCTGGGAGCTGGGAGGGACACGCTACCTTTTTAGACCTACTCTCACTGTATCTCCATATACATGTTTTCATTCACTGTACTCTTGATCACGATGCGCTGGTCGTACACAACAAACGCTTGCAGCATGCTGCTTCCTGCATCGAGTGATGGATTCGCGTCGTGCTATCCTCGTTGCCATTCAGCGCTTTCTCCACTTTCTTCGGCACCGTTGCTCGGCCAATCGTCCAAGCGTCTGCCAGCCACCTTGTATTCATCCTTAGACCATCACCAGAGTAGTCTAACTTGATTCTTGTTATATCTATTTGACACCAGCCATGTGTGATGGCAAGAACCTGGTTTGCATCCGACGCATGTCTGCCCAAATCCATCTGCCGGTCGGCTTAACCCTTGTCCTCTCTTGGAATATAATATCTATTATCCATACTCCACTCGAATGCGAGCTAGTTGCTTCATAGTACATGGTCGTCTATCTGTCATGGGCTCATTAGGCTTGATCCTTCCTGCGCCGTAGAATGGCAATAGTGAGCCACTTCTTGCGCTCCGTGACATTCTCCCTTCCTCCATCCTTTTCCTTGACCCACTCTCTTCTAGTGCCCTCAGCATCTTCTTCATAGATCTCTTGAACCTCGAGCCCCTTTTCCAGGGCGACATCGAAGAAGGCTGCCAGTTTTGCTCGACCAGTATGGAAGCCTCCAATGGCAAGCACACGGGCGTCCGGATCGTCCGAAAGGAAGTGTAGCATTGAGAGTGCCAGATTCTCATGCTGCCATGGCATCCAGAAGCAGTCTGCTGCCAGGACTCGACTAAACTTGCGGCCATGTGCTTTGGCAAAACAATCGTCCAAGACACCCCATGCATGGCCTTCTACTCTTGCCTTTGACGCGAGCGACTCTGGCACATTCTGCTTGACGTTGCGCTTGATGTTGTCGAGGACAACTTGGGCTGGATAGTCTGAAATGTACACTTGGCTAGCGCCAGCAAGAGTACTGGCAATACCAACAAGTCCCACGCCTGCNCATGTATGTTCCATCAGTCCATGCTCTTTATTCTGTATGTGTATCTTTCAGCCCGCACCTGCACCGAGTTCAAGCACATTGTGTCCTTCAACGCTCCATTGCTTCTCTTCCTCAGCATCCAGTAGTCGTTGACCACTGATCCTCTCAGCCATCAAGATGCCGGCATTCCAGAGGTAGTGGCTGAACAGTGTTCTTTCTTCCNNCTCGCCGTTCGGGTCGGCGGTCGTCAATGAAATGTCACCAAAACGTTGGCTCTTGTAGACGATGATGGAGCCTGGATCGCCATGCTGATTACGAAGGTCGTCAGTGAATAGGAACCCCGGGGCTGATGCAAAAATGTCTTCGGGCGAGTCTTCTTCGGTAGCCGGTATTTCTCGAATCAACTCTGTAAGGCTGAGCATGGTGGCAGAATGCAATTGAAGAATGTGAATGTTTGACTTTCACGCTGGAAGCCGATCCGGTCGTCCCTCTCAAAGCACGAGAGCCCCGCAATTGGCCCCGCCTCGGCTCTCGAACCATTGATGATAACGATATATATATATATACTCGATATACCAAGACCATCGTGTAGAGACACAATCTCGACCATGTTTACTCTAATCAGTGCGACACCATCTCCTTATGCTCGCAAAGTCCGCATTGCACTCGCTGAGAAACACATACCCTTCACTCTTCAGACCGAAGTTCCATGGGATGGCACAACCAAAACACCACGATACAATCCACTCGAAAAGCTCCCAGTCTTGATTCTCGACGATGGAAAATCTGCTGTCTACGAGTCTAGCTATATTCTCGAATGGCTAGAGGCAAAATATCCAGAGACACCCCTTCTTCCTGGTATTGATCAAGTCGACGCCAGATTGTTTGCTAAGAGGATTGAGGTTGTGGTCGACGGCGTTTGTGATGCCCTCGTACTCGCCTTCTTCGAGAAGATGAGAGAGCCTGAGAAGCGTTCGCAACCATGGATTGACAGGCAAATGAGAAAAGTTGAAGGTGGCCTGAAGGCGTTGGGAGAATGGGCAGACCAAAAGCAGGGAGACTATCTTGTCGGCGACAAGCTCGGACTGGCAGATATTGCTGTTGGCTCTCTATGTGGCTACCTTGACTGCAGATGGCCAAGCCATACTTGGGCAGACACCTACCCTGCCCTGAAGAAGCATTGGCAGATGCTAGAAGAGCTTCCTAGCTTCCAAGACACGAGACCAAGCCCACAAACCATGAAAGATAAGGTAGTTTGATAAATGACTATGGGGTATTGTTTCAACATTGAAATCAAGCTTCAGCCTTGCGCTTCTTTCCTCTTCTCTTTCTGCTTCCACCTTGGTTGTCTTCATTGCCTTGAGCAGGGGCTGCATCACCCAAGAACTCCTTGAACCCACCAGTGAAGCCTTCTTCGTTGCCAAATGTTTCTTTGCGCCATTGTCGTAGACGAGCCTTCTTGCCGAGCTTCTTCTTATCCTTCTTCTTCTTGTCCTCATCGCGCCAGGTTGCCAACTTCTTGAGACCAGCGTATTCGTTGAGCGCATTGTCGTCTGCAAAGAGAATATCGCGTGCTGTCAAGCCGAATGAGGTTGGCGAAGTCTCGCGGTAGCGGAAGCCAGCAGTCTTGGTAGAAGTGGGAAGATCAGCAGTAAGATCTGCGTCTACCAGTTCTTCAATGGCCATGCGTTCCTTGCGGGCTACACGTCGCTTGTCTGCAGCCTCCTTGAGACGATCCTTNTTGGTTTTACGTTTGACACCATCGGGAGCGATGATGTTGTCGTCCTCATTATCCTCTGCCTCCTCCTCTTCCTCCTCATCCTCATCCATACCAGTCAATTCACCCCTGAGCTTGGCCGCTTCTGCCTCCTCGTCAAATTCAGGAACGAGATCGTTGATGTCGATATCGTCGTCCCACTTAGGCTTGTGAGGCTTCTTTGACTTGTCTGCTTCCTCCTCCTCCTCTTCGCCATCCTCGACAAAGGCTTCCTTGTCAGCATAATAATTGTCACCAAAGCGACGTTTCATCTCTTGCTCCCATTGATCGTCATCAAAGTCTTCATCCAGCACTTGCTTCCATTCGGCAAGATCAAGTGCCTGGTTTTTGAGACCAGCAGCCTCCTTGATCTTCTTGACCTTTTCTTCAACCTCGTCGATTTTGAGTTTTCGGAGTCTAGCCTTCTCTTCTGTGCGCTCGCGCTTCTCGGCCTCCTTTCTTTCACGTTCCTTTTCACGCTGCTTCTTTCTGCCGCTCTTCTCTTCTCTACGAGCACTCAACTTGGCGACATCACGAGAGAAGGTCATGAGCTTTTCGTTGGCCTTGGTAGGGTCTTCGAAGCGCATATTGTAGGCTTCCTCAAACACTTCGGCACGTCTTTCATCCTCCGAGTCGTCCGAGTCAAAGGCTTCGAAGCGTGACTTCTCGTCGGGAACCCATGCGCGGGATTGCATAAAGTTGGAGAGGAAGGTCTCGGGGTCCTTATCGGCAGTCTGAATGTCGCGTTCGGTAATCTGAGGGCGGGCAGCATTGCTGGTGGCAGCAACAGGAGTCTGACCAGGCTTTCTGACGAGGAAGTCGTCTTCGTCGTCGCCTTGGTCGTCGGCAGTAGCGTGCATCTGGTTGATAAGGTCGTCCTTGAGGGCTTGTTGCTCTTGAGCATATGTCTGTGGTGGGGCATCTTCTTCCTCGTCAACCTGTGCGGTGCCATTCAAGAGATTCTGACGATGGTAGTCGGCCAAGTAAAGCGGCTTTTCCTTCTTAGCGTCGTCATTGGACTGGTCGGCTTCGAAGGGAGTGTAGAATGTGACACTCGAATCGTAGACACGCGGGTCCTTCTTCTTGATAGCATTGAGAGTGGCAAAGATCTCGTTGTCCAAATCGGCGGTGNNGCTAGCTCGGCGGCATCATCTTCGTCCTCGTCGGTAGACGATTCGTCTTCCGAGTCTTCGTCCTTGTACTTTTCCTCGACTGTGACATGTTAGAGAATTGACGAACAGAACAGGAGAGGAAGGGAAATTATTACGTCTTTGCTTTTCCTCGCGCTTCTTGTTGTGCTCAAAGCGTCTGGCAAACTCCTCGTTGATGGTGAGATTGACGGCTTCATCGTCAGAAACAGCATCTTCGTCAAAGAGCTTTGTACGCTTAGTTGGTGGTTCTTCGGCAGGCGCAACGGCCTTATTCTTCATTTTGCGAGGCATGTTGGCGACAATGGATGGTTGGTCTTGGGGAAAAAAAAGGTGCAGCTGACGGCGACATAGAATTTGCCAGGGTCTGGAGACAAAATCTAGCGCATACTCCGACGCCGACCGACTCATTCTGGTCCGAGCACTCCCGAGGGCCATGCCGCATCTGAAACGTAACCGGCGCCGGCGGCAGGTGCGAGCGTCGCGCGTGAGGCTGAGCTCAGAGATGTACGAGTGACGCTGTCGTCAAAGACCCGTGCCCCAAACGAGGCCATTCTCGCAATCTAATCCTGTATCCTACTGTAGCTATCTCCGTATTGCAATACGCTTGCTCTTCTGCTTCATCCGTCCACTCTTGTCGTCGACCCATGATCCCGCTCCTCGTCGCATGAGCCGTCCACCATGGCCACCCCAGACGATGCTGACAATGGCCTCCAGCCCAGCTTGCAGCCTGTCGGACGCCCACTGGACCTTGTACCTGTCCAACTCAAGGAAGCCGCTCTAGACTCGCCCACCTTCCGCGCCGTCGCTGTTCACTATGCCAACCAGGTCGAGGNNGGGATCGAAAAATGGCTTCGCGACTATGTCAAGCAGTCACAGAAGTTTGCCGACCGCTTCGCCAGCATCCAANAAGAGTTCGACAACTTCGACCACTTCCCACCTCCACCTCCAGAGAACCTGAGCCAGGCTGTCATGGACCATGACTATACTTTGCTGGCCATTACGCGCTACAGCCAAAACACTACCCATTACTTGAACTGGGTCTTTAACAACGTCGCTCGCTCACGCCAGACCATGATTGAGCCATTGTTGCGCTTCATCGACGGTACTGACAGCCCTCTTCGTCAGTTCAACCAAGCTCGCAAGGCTCTGGAAAGAACCCAGGCCATATTCGATGCCGAAATGACAAGGTATCTTGCTCAAGCAAAGACANAGGAAGCTTCCTCGTTGCGTGAAGATGCCTTCAAGCTGCACGAGGACCGCAAGGCCTACCTCAGGGCTTCCATGGATTACTGCATTATGGCTCCCAACCTTCGCAACTCGCTCGATCAATTGCTCATCAAGGTCTTCTCCGATCGATGGAAAGATTTCCGTGGTTACCGTGATGCCACTTCTGCCAATTTCCAAAAATGGGGTTCCGAGCTAGAGCGTATTCGTGGTTGGAGCAAGGTCATGCACGAGTCCGAGTCGGCGTTCAAACGCGAACTGATGCTGGCTCGCCGTCAACTAGAAGATTCAGCCGAGGTCAAAGCCCGTCCTTCGCGCGAGATGGATGATTATGCCGTATCAACTGTGCCATATTTAGGCTCTGGTGCTCCCACCTCACCCGTCAAACCCGCCTTTACAAAGCCTGAAAAACAAGGTTGGTTGTTCCTCAAGACTGTACCTCCCAAACCAGCTAGGCCGTCATGGTCACGGCGTTGGTTCATTGTCAAAAATGGCATTTTCGGTTGGTTGGTTCAAGGCAACATCTCGGGCGGTGTTGAGGAAAGCGAAAAGATTGGTGTCTTGCTCTGCAGCGTTCGTCCAGCCGTGCAAGAAGAGCGTAGATTCTGTTTTGAAATCAAAACCAAGGACACGAGCATTGTTCTGCAGGCTGAGACTCAAGGAGAACTTTTGGAATGGATTAATGCATTTGAGAGTGCAAAGCGCAAAGCTCTTGAGGAACCCCGTAACTCTGCTGTGCCCACTCCAGGGTCCGATCCTGCTTTTGCCATCAGCCCACCTATTGATCCATCCTTTGCTGCAAAGTTGACCGACAGCCTGGCTCACTCGACTGATGAGTTTGGTGCATCGTTATCTCCACCCGAACTGGCTTTAGCCAGTAGAAGCAGTTTCGATGTTAACCCTTCCAGAAGATCGACTATGCTGGACTCCGAAGGTAGCCGCGATACAGCCAACAGGATTATTCAAAAGCTCGACTTGCACAGAAGAGGCACAGCATTGTCTTCGGCGAATCAGCCTGCTCCAGCTGGCGGTATCGCCAGTCTGCTTTCAGCCAGTCATAGTATCCTGCCCATCGGTCCTGGTCCGGCTCCAAACACACCACATCGCTCCTTTACCATGCCTGCTACCAGCAACTTTGCTCCTGTCACACTTGCAAATCCTCCCGCCCCAACTAATCTCAGTAGAAGAGCTGTGGCAGTGAGTGGTCAACGTGCATCGAGTGGTAGATCTGATACCTCAGCCATGCCTAGCAGTCTAATGGCAAACCTTTGGGGATCCTCCAATTGGGTCAATATCAACCGACTCGGTCGCGATGATTCCAAGTCTGACCTCACGTCGAGACCTGCAGCAAAATCCGTTGGCCAATATCATGACGATATGGCTATCATGGAGGGGATTGAACCACCTAAGGACCTCAAAATAGCTGAAGTTGGATCCAACTCGACTCCGAATCGCATAACTCATCGCAAGACAATTAGCGCTGGCGATGCTCTTGATTCTGCATCACAATCTCGATCGCCGACCATCCCTCGTGATGAACCGCAAACAGAATACCCAGTCTCGCTCAAAACAGATGATGTTCTCGTGCTCAAAGAACATGACGCCGAATTTCACGTCCTGTTCTCATCTGTTCCACGTTCCGAAAGGGTTGTTCTCGTCTTCACCGCAATGTGGAATCCAAACGAGCAACAAGAATTCCCAGGTCGCATCTATGTGACTACTGAGAAGATTTACTTCTACAGTAATCACTTTGGCATGGTTCTTGTAGCTGAGATCAGCCTGTCGTCAATCACAGAGGTCACTGCTGCTCCAGGTAGAGAGAGTGAATGTGACTATCTGTTCTTACATCTCAAGGAAAGCAAGACAGATTTCCGGCGTGTCACCGTCAAGACCTTCTTGGACGCTTTGAGACCACTTCAACGCAGGCTTGACTACCTTGTACAATCAGCAAATTCTGGACATTCCACCTCCTTGGAAGATGTCTTTGCATCATTCTCCAAGATAGCAACGGATGATTCACAGGAGCATTCACAGGGCTGGGATGAGGACCTGCACTCACCTACAGACAGTGATCTCAGAGTTACGAGACGTCGCTCCAGAGATCTGAGGGCGAATCTGCGCATCGACGGAACGCTCTATGGTGAATCAGTCGCCCGAACAGGCAGAGAAGTCACCAAGTTCAAGTTGCCTTCTCAACCTGTGCTTTACAGACCTAAGGACATGGGAGATGCTGTCCTTGCCCAAGACTTCAATATCAGTGCCAAAGCGCTCTTCCACGTCATGTTCGGAGACAGAAGTGCGGTGTTCCAGATGTTGTACAGTAATCGCCCGATTGACAGTGAGTAGACACAGCCTTGAGAACTTGTAATAAGCTAACTCCATTCAGATATTCTCCTGACTCCCTGGACGCAACCAAAAGATGGACAGCTCTCAAGACAATTGATTTGTGCGATCGGTCCCAATCAAGAGACAGACCGACAAACGCTGGATGTGTGTAATGATCATCTCTGTTACGTTGTGACCCAGACACAATCTCCATGGCAGCTCCCCATGTCCAAGAACTTTCTCTTGCTCAGCAAGTTCGTCATAACTCACTCGGCAAAGTCCAAGTGCAAGCTTGCCATTTTCAACAAGGTGGTATGGAATGGAGATGCTAGCGTTGATCAGAGACTTTCGATGTCGCAGCGCCTGATACAAAAGCAAGCTCTGCGTGACTATCAAGATGATGCTGTTGACTTAGCTGCTGTGATTACAGATCAAGTATCCAAGCTCGGTGCCCAAAGTACAACCAAAGCTGCACAAATCTTTGGCTCTGTCGGCCAGAGTACACAAACGAGCCAGGTTTCGGCATTAGATTTACCAACCACTTCAATCAGTCGCAGAAGACGAAAAGTCAAGATTCGCACTCTCACTAGTCTCTATACTGATGAAGTGCTTGCTCAGGCATTCCGTCTACTCACCATGTTGATCGATATCTTCATTGCAATTGCAAAGTCTTTCGCAGGTGTGGTCACAGCAAACAAGATCCTCGTGCTGGTTCTTGCATTCAGTGCTACTTACAATACTTGGTATGGATACCGAGATGGACTTGCATGGTATGATGAACGAAATGCTGGCAAGTTTATGGCCAGACTTGGTGTCAAGCCCGACCCTACTGTCACTAGGGCGGTCTATTTGAGCGACATCGAAGAGTTCGTGGCTCCTGCTTCGATGAACAATATCGAGCTGAATTCTACAATCTCGGATGAGACCAACCAGGTCTGGAACACGTGCCATGGTACCTTCCGCGATATGCTTGCTTCGTCCGAGCTTGAAGACACGGCAACGACATCAACCTCCAAGGGCTCGAGTAAGCGCTCACAGCTAAGGCTACAACGCACGCGACACTCACTTGCGAGATACCGACACGATCTGTTGGTGGCGCTTCGTGTCGTCAACCGCGTTGAAGAAGAGGTGGTCCATGCCGAATGGGAGGATTGGGTGTTTGAAGAAGAGAGAAAATGTATCAAAGTTGAGACGATGATGCGTGAGCGCAACAAAAGTGGCCAGTCCACAGAACAGCAAGCGCGAGGGGAGAGCGATGATCTGGGAGATGGTTTCGCAGAGTATTGCCGCAGCTGCAAGAGCGAAGCAGGACGAATCTTGTCGGACAAGTGACAGTTTGCCTGCAACGCAATAGGATTACGAGCTCAGAGGTGTGTATCATCACAATGAGATAAGCGCATTCACCGTGCCGCAAACCTGGCCATCACTTTCTTTGGCGGGTTACCATGTCCAAAGTCCAAGGAACTTCGTATGAGAGTATGTCACTACCGTGCGTAAAAAGGCGTAATTCATCAAACAAGTCAAAACACGTGTGTGCAGGGTCGATTCCAGTCCTTCCAGAAGTCATTGAAAACGTCCGGCTCTGCTGCGATTCGAAGATAAGGTGAGTGAGCCCTACACGCGACATGCCGTGGTGTCATTGCAAGGCATCGATTGGCTCTGTGGCTGGCGGATGTGCTCAACCCCGGATGTGGGGAGGTGTCATCAGTGGCCCTTGATTGGACGAGGCAAAGCAACTTTTGTACTTCGATCTTGATGGATTAAATAAGATCATGTCGCCATGTCGTCGTTTAGAAAAAAAGCTGTCTTGCCATACAACAGGCAAAACACCAGACTATTCCAAAGGGTCTGACTTGTACACCACTCCGCCTTGCAAAAGAATATTCTCAAAGAAAATACCAGTCGTCGGTCGAAAATGTTGAAATGGCCGAGAAACACTTTCCACTCAAGAGCCGCATCTTCAGAAGATGAAATGTCAACAGCACCGCCCTCGATAGTCCCTGATGACACGGAAAGGCAACAAATTGAAAAGGAGATCACCCCGGACAAGGTCTCTGCATTCAAGGGACTCGGCTGGCTAGATCGCTTTTTGGCAGTGTGGATTCTTCTCGCCATGGCCATAGGTGAGAATACCAGAGTTCGCTCAGAAAGTCTAGAATAACAGACTGATCTTCAACCCANNGGTATTCTTTTGGGAAATTTTGTGCCTAGTACAGGCGCAACCCTTCAAAAGGGACAATTCGTTGGTGTCTCGGCACCAATCGGTGAGTCTTTCCAAGACATTCATAAAGCAACATTGTGTATATTGACATCTTTCGAAGCTGTTGGCTTGTTAGTTATGATGTATCCGATTCTGTGCAAAGTCCAATACGAAACACTGCATCTTGCATTCAAGAGCAGGGAACTTTGGATTCAAGTCGGTTTCAGCATACTCATGAATTGGCTTGTTGCTCCATTCTTGATGCTAGGACTATCATGGGCATTTCTGCCAGACGAGAGTGGTCTTCGTGAAGGTCTCATCCTTGTGGGTATTGCTCGTTGTATTGCCATGGTATTGATCTGGACTGGTCTTGCAGGAGGAGACTCGCAGGTATGCCGAATTGCTTCTCAATCTTGCTCTTTAACTTTGCTAATGTAGATGAAACAGTATTGTGCCATTCTAGTCGCCATCAACTCGATTCTGCAGATGGTCTTGTTTGCACCGCTCGCCATCTTCTTCATCAATGTCATCAGCGACTCAGATACGCCCATCTCGTCCTCGTACTCGACAGTAGCCACCAGTGTTGCCGCATTCTTGGGCATTCCCCTAGCCGCAGCCATCATCACTCGATTTGCCATCCGCAAGTTCTCACCCACTTGGTACAACGAAACTTTCCTCAAGTGGCTGGCACCATGGTCATTGATTGGACTACTCTACACCATCATCGTCCTGTTCGCATCACAAGGACACCGCGTCGTGCACCAGATTGTGTCGGTCGTGCGAGTAGCGGCACCCTTGATCGTCTACTTTNTCGCAATCTTCAGTCTTACACTCTGGATCACACATAAGCTCGGCTTCGGATACAAGTTGGCAACGACGCAAAGCTTCACTGCTGCAAGTAATAACTTTGAGTTGGCGATTGCTGTTGCCACGGCTACTTTTGGCGCCAACAGCGATCAAGCACTTGCAGCGACCGTGGGTCCTTTGATCGAAGTACCCGTGCTATTAGGCTTGGTGCATGTAGTGAGGTGGATAGGGAACAAGCGCCAATGGAAGGCATGAAGCATGAAATATAATGATGAATCTACACGTTTTCTCTTCTCTTCTTTGCCTTGCTGCTCTGTTTCTCTCTGGTGAATCTTCGGAGTCTTGACAAAAGTGGCTACTTACAAAACAGGCAGGCACGCCTTGGGCTAACCCAATGCAGTAAGCAGCTTTTGCTCCTTCCTTCTCGATCATGCTGGTTACGAGAACTGCTCTCGCAAGGACTTTAATTTGCAATGACTCTCAAAGAAAGGCTGAATAGGCAGAGCCCAAAGCGCGGCCATATTTGAGATGGCGGTATATCCAGATTTGTCGACATTCTCTGTATGTGATCCAAGGCCTTTCCTCCGAGCGAGTTGACCCTTCTGAATCTTTTTCGACCCGAACTCCGTGAAACAGTGTTGTTATGAAAGCTGATCGTCACAGCGTCTCAGTTTCAAGCTTCAACGTTTCAAGGTCTTCTGCTTCTCTCCATGCTCGACAACCTTTCGTTGGACGAACAGACCCTTGCGCTCTCTGACAGCGTCGACGTATCGCTTAGCAACATTCTCTCGGTCACCCTTTTCACCAAGGTCTTCGATCTCTTCCTCAGTTCTGGGAACCCAGAAGGGGTCTTCATCCAGCATTTCGAAGCCTTCGAAGACAAGTTGAGGGCTGGCAGCACCCGAAGTTCGCTTACGGATCTCATCCGAGAAACCGAAACTTTCTGCGACAGGCAACAAGGCCAGAATGGTGAAGTTGGGCGAGGGTTCGAGGAGAGATTCGGAGATGATTCGGCCGCGGCGTCTAGTAATGACTGCATACACACGACCCAGAACCTCGGCGGAAGCTTGAATTTCGCAACTGTACATGGCCAGGAGCAGACGAGGACTCCAGTCAAAGAAGCCTTGACGGATGCTGTCTCGTGTAGACTTGATCACTTCACCAGTTAGGCGGCCCATGTTCTGTTGCTCGTCATCGGTCTTGTTGATGGTGATATCTTCGACGAAAACAGCAACGCCTTGCATAGGTTCGTTGCAGAGAGGGCCTTGGTTTGTAGCAAGCTGGAAGGCATAGGTGATCTTGTCGACAAAGTCTTGAGCTCGTAGTTGATCAGGTCGGGCGTCTGTACCATTCGACTCATCATTATCGTCTTTCACATCACGCAGGCTACAACACGTTAGCATTCTAACATCATAAGGGGTCGATTTGGCACTTACAATTTTNCCGCAGATACCTCCTTTGGTGGCATCAATGAGAACATTCGGTCCTACTCTACGAGGTCCAAAGGCTGTAATCTTTTCGGTGGCATCTTGCCAAACCTCCTTCTCACCCTTGAGTTCAGCAAATGCTGCACCCAATTGAGTCTTGAATTCATTCATAGACAATGTTCGGCCCAACTCAACAGTGCCAACATCGTTGCCGGCTTCATGTTCAGTCTCTTGTTCTTCGGACTCCTCGGCAGCAGCAGGAGAATCCTGTTGCACTGCCTTCTTCTCGGAATAGAGTCTCTTGATTGCAGCCGTGTTCTTGACAAGGAAGTGCGTAACTGACTCAGGTAGAGGTCGTACACTCAGACGCACCGTGATCTGCTTACTCGTGGTGACAACATCGACTCTGCCTCTTCCTAGTTCGGGGTACTTGGGTGGGTTCATCTCTTCTCTATTCTCCGTGGTTGATGAGGCGACGTAGTTGGTGATGCCTTCTCTGTAAGGCACAATGACCTCTCCAGCTTGAACGTCACATTTGGCGAAGCGTTCACGAAGATCCTTCAAGCAGCGTTCCAGATGCAGTTCGCCAGCGGTAAGGATAACGTGTTCACCGCTCTCTAGCTGCTCATACAAGACTGCTGGGTCGGCTTGTTCAAGCAAGCGTAAACCCTTGACCATCTTGTCCAGATCTGCCGGCCACGCGGGCTCGACTGCAACGCGGACAATGGGGGCATTGGTGCTGATAGCAGATGATGAAGAGAGGTTGGGTGCGCCATCGAGTTGAGAACAGAGAGTGCCCGACTTCAAGATGGCCCCTTCAAGACCACCGATACCAACCACGGAGCCTGCAGGAACAGAGTTGAGAGCCTCCAAACTACGACCCATGAGAAGGTACAAAGCAGTGATTGTAACCTTCTTGGGTTCGGGTGCGGCTCTCGGGTTAGCTGGGGTAAACTTGGGCGGCAGGACGTATACTTCCTGACCGACAGTCAAGGTACCCGAATACAAACGTGCGAAACCGATAAGGTGTTCTCTGTCTTCTTGCTCTGCTTCCTCATTATCGTTAGGCGCGGCGTCGGCATCATCATCCTCTCCAATAGCCACCGTGCTAAGAGCATCAGCAACAGCATCGACATCAGGATTTTCGCCACTCGCAAGGGCTTGTGCCTTGGCGATTTCAGCTCTCTTCTTGCGACCCAACTCGCGAGCCTCTTCTGCGGTGAGTGCGCCTCCACGTCGCTTGTTGATGGGAAGCTCACTCTCTGGTACCGAAACCATCTTACTGACATAAGCAACAACAGGTTCCTCTGTCGACTTCCTAGACTCTGTCATGGCAGTAGTCACCTTTGGATCGATGTGATCAAAGCCGGGAGAAGCCTCCAGGAGCGGCGGGATGCGAGCTGCCTGAGCATTGACAGGAGAAGGCAGGTGCTCGATTACTGACACTAGGAGAGCAGTAGAAAGCGGCAACCAACTTGCAAAGACGGTGGTTAATAAAGCACGGGGGTCGCGTGAACGCTTAATGTGCTGAGGAATGGTAAGGTTCAAGGACTTTGTGATCTTCTCGAGGAGGGCTGGATCACTGTTTCGAGTCAGTCGACGGTCTCATGGTGAATTAGCAGAGATGACAACATACCCCTTTCCATGATCTCCGCCTGTAGTTGCTTCGTAGACAGCCCAGATGGGCTCGAGAACGAGCTGGACAAACATGGGCTTCAAATTTCTGCCCTTCAAGTGCTTACTCCCGAGCACACGTTTAGTTTTTGGATCAAGGTAGAAGTCGCCCCAAAGGGTCTTTTCCAGGATCTCGCGCTTCATGCCGAGTTTCTTGTCGTAAATGGCAGCAAATTGACGAGGTGTAAAGGCCCATCCGTCTATGGCACTACTGAAGATGACATTGTTGTTCTCGGGAGCAAAGTAAATGTCCTCGTCACTCTTCTCCTCATACTCGGCAGGAACATCGGAGGTAGGGGCAGTGGTACCATCCTCGACGACAGTGTCCTTTGTAGATTTTGCAGTGACGCGCTCTTCGACCCTCTCACGCCAGCGCAAGTCGTCTTCCATACGCTCGCCTTGGAAAAAGCTACCCATGACAGCATTTACCTGTTCGATGACCTTATTCAAATGTGTGTAGGCTTCTTGAGGCCCCATCTTCCATTCGGTAATGAGGCGGTCCATTTTGTTAATGACAAGCAAAGGCTTGAGCTTTTCATTCCAACATTGTCGCAAAACGGTGACAGTCTGACTACAGACACCTTCTATAGCGTCTACCAGCACTACGGCACCATCGCATAGTCTTGAAGCAGTGGATACCTCGCTGCTGAAGTCTATGTGTCCGGGAGAGTCTATGAGGTTGATAAGGTATTCTTTTTGCTCGGGGGCGGCGTCTGGCGCAGAGCGTTTTAAGAGGGAAAAGTACAAGGAAATGGCCGAGGACTCCATGGTGATTCCTCTGAGCTGTTCATCGGGCCTCGAGTCAAGGTAGCGTATCCTGCCGGCCAGCTTTGGTGAAATGATTCCATTTGTGGCAATGAGGGCATCTGATAGCGATGTCTTGCCGTGGTCGACGTGAGCAAGGATGCAAATGTTTCGAATGCCATCGGCGGCATGCTGAAGCTTGATGAGCTTCTCGGGTGGGACGACAGGCATAATGATACGGATATGCGACGGACGAGGGCGGATAATTGGAGGTTTCTTTGGTGGGAGATATTTTTGGGCTCCTGGCTAATGAGGATGCTCGATTTGTCGAGGTTTCAGGTTGCGCTTCGACGGCGGGAGCAGGCGACAGGCGAGATGAAGCAGTGGTGGCGTGTTTGTGTCAACAACAACAGGCAAGCGAGAGGAAGCGCAATAGAAGAACAGATTGGTGGAGAGCAGCTTTGATTGCTCGTCGGACATTTGACATTTGAAGCTTTGAGAACGCACGTCACCGAGCGATCGGCGGCGTGGGCCTCATTCCCGAGAGAGCGCCTTCCTCGTCTCTGTTATTTACTACCCTTGTGCTGCCTGCCGAAAAAGCCCAGCCTTCCTGACCGCCGTGTTTATTGATTTTACACCACATATGTAACCCCTCGGCGCATCGTCTCGATTGCTAGACTCGCAATGGCCGCCGTCATGTCGCAACCGCCGCATCACCACCACGCTACCCCTCGTCCAATTGACACTCATACCAACAACATCAACATCGTTCCTCCCAATCCTCAATCTAAGCCCTCGTCGGTCCACAATCTCCGTGGAGGTCAACTCACACTCGACACCTTCTCTCCCGTCAATCAGAATGGTAGCTTTGAATTCGATCGCATCATAAAATCCGGCCAAGTCTCGAAGCGAACCCGCAAGACCAAGTCATGGAAACCCATATACATTGTCCTAAGGCCCAACCTTCTCTCCATATATCGTGACAAGGCCGAAACAAAACTGCGCCATCAAATCACCCTGTCCGATCTGACTGCTATTGCTCGCCAAAAGGATCCCAAAGGAAAGGCCAAACATGTCTTCGCCCTCTTCTCTCCCTCGAGGAATTACCACCTAGAGGCCGCCTCGGACCAGGACGCTCAAGATTGGGTCCAACTCATCAGACGTGAGGCTCGCATTGACCAAAATGAAGAAGAGATTGTCTTGGCCAGTCCTGGTGGTGCAAAAAGCACCTATCGTGGCTTCGAGAGGCATACCCATCATACCATCAACCAGGACATTCCTCAAGGTTACAGTTCCTCGGAAGCAGAGACTTCCCTCTATAATCCTCCGATACGTCGGCCCAAGCATGCCTTGCACAGTAAACGCAGACCCTCGCACACTCTCGATTATTCTGGTCCTGAAAATGCTTCATACTCTGACTTTTCAGACTCTCAGGGTGCTTCAGCTCGTATGTCATCCCTGTCACTCACCTTGGCCGAGAACCAGTCACAGCAGATGCCACCTCCGGCTAGTGCCAATAGCATCTATGGAGCAAACACCCGTACCCCATTAGCACCACGCAACGTCAGTCAAACATCGGGCATACAAACAGTGAAGCAGGACGAAGAAAGAGTCATCTGCCAGGGCTGGATCTACATGCTCAAGTCAAAGTCAGGAGTACGACAATGGAAAAAGTCATGGATGGTGCTGAGGCCAAAGTCACTGGCATTGTACAAGAATGAAGAAGAATACGCAGCAGTGCTGCTTATCCCATTCCACAACATTATTGATGCCGTCGAAATCAATCCCATCAGCAAAAGCAAGCAATTCTGCTTGCAGCTCATCACAGAAGAGCGCAACTATCGCATGTGTGCGCCAGATGACGATGGGCTGGCGCGGTGGTTGGGAGCGGTGAAGAGTCTGCTGGTCAAGAGGAAGGAGATGGCTGGGGGCATACAAAGAGCAGGCACTGGAGCAAGCTAAAGCCTTGTGACTCGTGTCTTGAAGGACCAGGAAGTGGAGGGAGCATTCTACGTCTTGCACGATATTAACGAAAGGGTGGATGATTTTGGCGTTGTTGGATTGAATTGGATTGCGGAGCGTTTAGGATGCTACTTTTGGCTGTGGCTTGGGAGGTGGCTGGCTCTCGATGCCGGACCAGAGCCGGATGTGGATGTTTCGATTTTGTTTTGTCCAAAACAGTGTCAGTCAGTGAGTTGAACAACATGGATGATGTGCATAGTGTAGCAGGGCATGGCAAATCGAGAGAAAGCATAGTAACAAAGATGTAGACAGGGGAGCAGATCGAGGATCAAGTTTGGTGATGATTGATGTGCATGCAGCAGCCGGCAAATCTGAGACTAGGCTGGCTGCGCTGTGCACTGTCTGTGCGGTGCGACCCCTGTTGTCGCGAGTTGCGACAAGCCATCAATCATGGTCTGCTTGTCTCAAATGCGTGGGCGGTAGAGTAGCAGATGCCGACCTCTCTCACGACCATCTGACACGACAGTAATGAAGATTGTTTGAGTCCCGGGAGCCGTTGGAAATATCAACCTAGATTTCTACGAGCCAACGACTTTCGAACGACGCCTATCCAACTTTAGTTCTTGTAACCAGCCCATCAATTCGCGACACGACCGGCTCTGCCAATTGCCAACACTTGTGCCTGCGACACGCGCAATGTCCTGTAGACATTGACTTCTGATTCCACCGCCGCCTTCATCGTAGCTGCAGCTGCTTCTCTCCCCCGGTCTTGTCTTCGTCAACAACCATGACGCGCCCCGGACTTGTTAGAGCTGGTGAGACTCGTGAATCTTTTCGTCAATCCTACTCATTAACTAACACGTCGCCCTCTTGCCAGACACAATCGATCTGCAAAACCAAGACGCCCCTACTACCCAAGATCACCACTCGACCTCTTTACAGCCTTCGGACCTTGGTAAACATCAGGCCTCGGAGATTCGTCATGTCCACGAAGAAAGACACGAAGAGGAGGAGCATTTGCAAGATGCCTGGAGCCGCGCCCACCACGACGGACAAGTCAATGAATTGACCGATGACCAACTACAAGCCCACAATCATGAAAATGGCGATTCCGCAGACGACTCTGAGCTGGACGACGACATGCTCGACGACCGCATCTCCAGTTCTCCTTCTATCGACGATGGTGCGTACCCTGTTGCTGCTTCTGCTTGGCCACACCGCTCTTCCTCCTTAACTCCTCCACGCCATACACTCAACTGTGAGGCTATCGACTCTCCTGACTCGTCACCCTTTGTTCTTGCTCCCGCACACTTGCCTCTATCCATCATGTCGGCTGCAGACTCGGCAGCGTCGCCTGCATCGTCTTTGCAGTCGTCTTCTCCTTTACCCTTTCTCCGAAGCATCTACCGCTGTCGGCCTCCCCTCTCCAGACATCATCATCATACTGGTGAGTATGCTGGTAGGTATCACAACGACCACGACTACGATCAAGAAACCGACGAACACGACCATGACGACCTTTACCGAGAGCCACTTGGCACACAAAATGAGTATCTGGATTACAACTACTCGCATGATAATCCTGTTGAGGATCTTACAGCAATACCCGAAGAGGACAACGAAGATGAGTTGGACATGAACGGTTTGTTTTTCACTCCAAGGAGCCCGACATCCAGAACTACGTCCCCATCCTCTTGGAGCACTGTCAGCGACGCATCTGCTTCTTCAATTTTGGAAGACACGGAATCACAACACAAACATGATGATGATGACCTGGACCTTTCCTTCTACTCTGATGACCGTTTCGTTGATTCCGGTTGGGGCGGCGAATGCTTACGTGAAACAGAAGACATCGATTTCGATTTCGTCTATGCCTTGCACACCTTCGTGGCCACAGTTGAAGGCCAAGCCAATGCGGGCAAGGGCGACACCATGGTCTTACTTGACGACAGTAACAGCTACTGGTGGCTTGTTAGAATCGTAAAAGACAATAGCATTGGTATGTTCATGGTATTATGCGAAGGAGATGTAAACTGACAGGGCATAGGTTACCTTCCGGCCGAACACATCGAGACTCCGACAGAACGCCTGGCGCGTTTAAATAAGCATAGAAATGTCGATGTGAGTGTTTCGGGTACGGCTCCATCTACTGTTTGCTAACATGTGTGTGAAAAGCTATCTGCTGCGATGCTTGGAGATACGCCTGAGAACTCTAAAAATCCGCTCAAANAGGCCATGAAACGACGCAAGGCAAAGACGGTACAGTTCACCGCCCCCACCTTTGTCGAGGCCTCGGATTATGACTACTCGTCTGACGAGGAGGACGGTCTTATGCCCGAACCTCTGTACGGTAACGGCAATCAAAATCAACATGAAGACGCCAAATCTGCAGAAGACAAATCGTCATCAGGCACCGACATTGCTACGACTGTGGTCGAAGTCGCGAGAGCCGAAACGCCTGTTTCGGAAAGTCCAGCCAAAGACATCAAGGCTCCTGCTGAAGAACCATTAAGCAGTCCCACCTTGGTTGACAAAACAGGTATCCATCCCTCTTGAATCATTTGAGTCTGTCCATGTGGTACTGACCTTTTCGCAGAAGCAGCGCCGCTCAAATCATCCAGGAAAGGGACGCCACGAAACGCCGACTCTTTCCTCAAGGACGACGGGGCAGAGCCCCTCAAGATTTCCCTCACACCAAATCTGCTGCGGGACAACAGCAATGGAAGCCGATCTCTGGAGAGTACCGGCTCCAGCATGGAAGGCCTCGAGAAGACAGCTTCCCCACTAGATAAGNTCAAAAGACGACAAGAAAAGAAGGAGAAGAAGCCAGGAATGCTTAGCGGTCTTTTCAAGAGCAAGAAGAAAGACAAGCGAAACAAGAATTCTGTCGATGAAGACAGCGATATCGAAAAGTTGTCAAGCGAACTGGCCAGACAATCGACATCTTCCGACTCCAACAAGGGCTCCCCGATTGAGCGTCCCACCCAATTCTCAGCCGCAGAGCCCAAGTCTAGAGGCAAGTTGCAGAAGCCGCAGGTGGGAGGAGCCACGGTTGCTCCTGTAGCTTCACAAGTCACCACTCCTGCGCCGGTATCTGCTCCTGCCCAGGCTCCTGTGGCTGCTCCTGCCCCTCTCCAGGTACCATCTGCCGCATCTGCCATCCAACGTCAAAGGGACGAACAGCCATCAGCAGGCTTTGTTGCCGAGCTCGAAGGTTCTACTGTTGATACTCCTGTACAACCTCTACAACCTGTACAACGCAATGTCGAGTTGCGTCAGCCAGAGCCAAGAACCACTAGCGAGACTCTGCTTGGATCGCATACGCTTTCATCAATCACGAACAAGATGAGACACTCGGAATCACAAGACAGTATCAAGCCAAAGAAGGTGAAGAAGGCTAAAGCTCGAGTGGAGCTCGACGACTTCGATGAAATCAGTGATGAGGAAGCTCAAGCANAAGAGGTCGAGGACGGGCCGAACGATGCATTCATGCACGGCACCGAAATGGTACACATTCCTGTCAACCTTGGGGACGAGTCTTCCTCGCCTGATGACCACGATACGAACGAGGAAAGAGGTGGTGAAGAAAGCTCAGAGAGGACCAGTTCCCCGAGTATGATCGGCACGCCCAAGGCATCCCTGGATGGATCTCACGAAAACGAGAAGCACACACATGACGTCCCAACTTCAAACATGTTAGACGACGACGATCAAACACCTCTAGCATCGAAACGACAATCGGCTGTGGTCAGTGGGTCCTCCACCCCTCAGCAACCACCAGTCAACGCTCCTGTCCGACGTGCACCTTCTCCTCCCCAAAGAACCAATTCAGCCACTCCATCCAATGGTTCTTCGGTACGATTATCTCCATCACCCGCATCAACACGCAGTCCTGTGTCGACTGCAGGTACGCTCAACACGTGGTCCGATGCAAGTCTTCGGGCGTGGCTCGATGGGGCTGAGAACGACGTACGCGACATGCTCGTCATAATTCACGACAAAAGTTCGGTTGTGCCGGTCACGCGCGATCATCCGCTCATGGCGGACCTCTTTACTGACGAAAGCCGTAGACTGGCGGGTTTGCAGGACGAACTCGACGGGCTGCTCGGCAATTGGCTTGCTCGGAAAAGAAGTGTAAGAGAAGTGGCGACCACGTAGATGAAGGAAGAAAAGAATGCACGAGAAAGGAAGTTGTGAAAACATGGGTGAAGGGGCATACATGACATGAGCATGAATAATGGCTTACTTGGGCGTTTGTTTATGGTCTCATTGGCAGAAGTGGTTCGATACACTCCACTGCTCATGCGTGATACGTTTGATTTTTTGTTGCACTTGTTTCTTGATACCTAGCTGCGTTGGAATTTGCCTCGTTTTTATCATTGTTTTCAACCCAAGACTCGTTTATAGAAATCCTTATTTGCGCTTCTCGTCTGACATTCTACCGAGTCAAAGTCACCCTGTGGCCATTTCAGATGGTGTGTGATTGTAAAGGCGGCTTGAAAAGAACGATGATTGTGAAGTATAACAACTAATCTCTGGTATAGAACTGCTCCCAAAAGAAAACTCCTACGCAAAACGAACAAGATCAAGCAGCCGCACCACAGGATGAACAGCACAGTCTTGTACCACCACCTTTCACGGCTTTGACATGGAAGTTGGCACTCCCACACTCTTTGCAATGCACCTCCTCCTCATGACCTTGCAGTGCATCCTTGAAACTCGCAGCGTCCGAGTCACTATCCGCAGCAGCGCTCTCCTGCTCGATACTGAGCTTACTAACCGCAGTATGGTTGCGTTGGAGCGGGTGTGGTAGACCGAGATTATAGCTTCCTGTTCGACTCGAAGAGGGTCTGCCAGGGTGTGGTGCTTGTTGTGATTGAGGTGATGGCGATGGTGGTGCATGCTGCTGATGGTTTCGTGCAGAATTGATTGCGAGCTTCCAGTATAGCATCGATTGATCGCCTTGCAGAAATAGTGGATCGCTCTCTTCTTCGCCACCTCCACGGTCTTCACTCTTAGGCACTGGAGGAGGTGCCATTGAGGCCTTGGACTCTGGACGGGGCTGAGCGCTGGCAGTCGATTTGCGTGGTGACTGGCTGCGAATAGAACCGTTCGTGACATTCGATGAACTCGAGATGCCCTGGCGCCACGACAAAATTCTATCTGCCGGACCTTCGGGTCGACCGTGCGAGCTGCGCAAGCTACGACTGCTGCCTTTGGTCGCTATTGATGCAGTGCGACCGAGTTTTCGTTTTGAGAATACGGAAGACGTTTCCCAGTTATCCGTCTTGCGCTTGTTCCAAGCACAATCTTGTCTAAAGACTTTGATCCTACCGGCCAAGTCTGCAGTTACGATGATGTTTCCGGAAGCATGCGTCGAACGGGCGAGATATGCAGGCGACTCCTCAGGGCGCTTTTGTGATTGTGGTTCCGCTTCGAGACCATCTTCTGTCGGTGCTCGTGACGGAGGGCGTGAACCAGTTCGCTCAGCCGAGCTCATCAACATGACCGGAGGAGGATTGCACAAATCGTAGATAGGATCTTCTGATCTGCCAAGTAATTGTTTGCTCTTGGGAGGCGCAAATGCGACACAGGTTACAACTGTATTACTGGCATCAAATGTCTCCATGGGTCGCTTTTGCTTCTTTTCACTCTGACCAGGATCCGTTGGCCAAATATAGACTTTGTGATCTTCGCTGCCACANAAGATATACTTGGCATCATCGCTGACTGCCGCTCGAATCTGGCTGCTGTCGTTGATGTTGCCCTTGAATTTGATCTCCATGCTCTTGTCACGAAAGTTGTAAAGTCGTATCCGGGAATCATTACTGCTGATGAGAACCTTTGTTTCACCAGCAGCATGAAATGACTGGATTCCTGTAATTTTGCTGCCCTTGGCATTCTTACCGTTCCTCGAGCGAGCATGAATCTGGGTCTGGTATTTCAGGCCTTCGGTTTCGTAGAACATGCAAAGACCAGTAAAGCACCCAGCCATTGCGTATTTCCCGTCTGGTGTGAAAGCGACTGCAGTAATCATGTCTGGTAGCTGACTCCAATAAGCGACTGTTTTGTCAGGGATACTCCATAATCTCAACTTCGAATCGAGCGAACCGGCCAAAAAGAAGCGATCGTCCTTGGGGTGGAAAGCGATTGATGTTACAAAATCACTATGCTTGAAAGTACAAAGGCACTCATCCCTGCTGACGTGCCACAATCGTACGTTCTTGTCCATAGACGAGGAAAGAAGAAAGTTGTTCTTGCTCCAACTCAAGTCCAGGATTGTCGATGTGTGGCCCTCGTACTCTCGAATTGGCTCTTGACGAAAGACCGGAGCGCTCAGACGCGGACGATGGTTGATTTCGGATTCCTCGGCATGCGACTTGCGATCCTCGGGAGTTTTGATGACCTCCCAGACGCGTATAATCTTGTCTTGTCCTGCGGCAGCCAGATATCGGCCGTCCCTGCTGAATTGCATGGCCCATATTGGTGTTTCGTCATGATGGACTTCTGAAGCCAAAAGCTCTTGGGCTAGGAACAGATGGTCAAAGTCCTTGTCCTTCTTGTCGCGCGCCCTAACCCTAATGTACTCGGGAGGTGGTGGATGGCGGGGATTGAACTCGATATTGTCGACGGGCTGGGAGAAGACGTTTGCCTCCATGCCTTCGGGTCGCAGGTTGCTGAAGTCGGATGCAGCGTCGTCAATGACATTGTCGTCGGACTCTTTCTTCTTGTTTCCTAGCAGTCGTCCGAGGAATGAGGCACCCTTNCCTGTTTTCGCAGCGTCAGCCCGACAGTCGAGTGTAGTGCGCAGTGTCCGAGCCTACTTCTTCTCTCGACCCGCCGAACTCAATGTCGTGTTTGATCTGGAAATTGCATTGTCGTCGGATCGGTCTTCAGAGGGTACACTTGCACCAGACGAGGTTGGTCGCACACGGCGGAACAGGTGNCTTGTATGCAATCAGTCGACATTCCACAGCGACCAGGGGCTAGCAAAGCAATCTCTCACTTGTGACAAGGGGTCTTTGTCGTTTGCGACGGGCTCTTCCTGGTTCGACAAGGTGCCCGACAAGGAACGGAGCAGTTTCCCAGGGGTTGGAAGGCCTCCGGATGTTGATGGTCTGCTGCCNTGGGCCGCCTCCTGTCAGCCTTGGGCTTGTTCCGTGACTTCTCTCATCTAATGCCTACCCTCTTTTGGCGATGCACTCCTGCCCGCAGCAAAGTCCAATCCTTCGCTTCTGTTTGGTCCTAGGCTGTCTGGTACCGTGTCTCGGCTCTGTGGATCCGTTACACGGATGGCAGGTATGTCGGCCATATGCGATATCGATAGGTATGAATAGCGAGTGCTGATAGCCTATGCTGCAATGTTGTTGTAGAAGTCATAGTCATGGCGCCAGAGATTGGCCGCATATCGCCCTGTACACAAACATCCACCAGCGCCCATCTTGGTTGACAACGCTCAGCATCCGTCCGCTCCAATCCGCGCTCTACGTCATTGCTATTCTTGGCCAGTACCTACGTCTTCTGTACGCCGCGAGCGACCGCCATCTCATTGATTGCTGTAGAGGGTGGGGAATGGAAAAGTGAGAGATGCTTGATGTTATCATGAATTCGATTTGATTTACTATACTACATAACTACGACAGCTTGTCGCTTCTCTGTCAAATTGAGTCGAACAGAGCCTTTACCCAACCCTAAAAAAACTCATCCCAGGATATGCCCATATTACCCAAAACGCCACATTATGCAGCCGCTGCAATAACCATGAATAACTCCCTCCCATGAAATCACTCTGATACTGGACGAGTAGACTAGAAGTCCTCGTCAAAGGCGAAGTCACCACTGACAGTGGCGGCCAGGCCGGCAGTAGTCTTGCTCTCCTCCTTCTTTGTGCTGTTCATGACACCAGCCTTCTGGTAGTCACCAACTCTCTTCTCGAAGAAGTTGGTCTTGCCAGCCAGCGAGATGTTCTCCATGAAGTCGAAGGGGTTGGTGGCTTGGTAGATCTTGGGTTCGCCGAGGGCGAGGAGCAGACGGTCGGCAACGAACTCGATGTATTGGCACATGAGCTTTGCGTTCATGCCGAGGAGAGCACATGGGAGGGCATCTGACAGGAACTCCTGCTCGATGGCAACGGCCTCGGTGATGATCTCACGGACGAGCTCAGCAGAGGGCTTGTTCTTGAGGTGTGAGTGGAGCAGGCAGGCAAAGTCAGTGTGCATACCCTCGTCACGCGAGATGAGCTCGTTGGAGAAGGTAAGACCAGGCATGAGACCACGCTTCTTGAGCCAGAAGATGGAAGCGAAGGAACCCGAGAAGAAGATACCCTCGACAGCGGCAAAGGCGATCAAGCGGCAGCCAAAGGTCGAGTCCTTGTCGCAGATCCACTTGAGGGCCCAGTCGGCCTTTCTCTTGATGCAAGGAATGTTCTCAATGGCGTTGAAGAGGTAGGTACGCTGCTTAGGTTCGCTGATGTATGTGTCGATGAGCAATGAGTAGGTCTCGGAGTGAATGTTCTCCATCATGATCTGGAAACCGTAGAAGCATCTGGCCTCAGGGATCTGGACCTCGGAGCTGAAACGCTCGACGAGGTTCTCGTTGACGATACCGTCAGAGGCAGCGAAGAAAGCGAGGACGTGAGAGATGAAGAAACGCTCGTCGTCGTTGAGGCGTCTGTTCCAGTCGTGAAGGTCCTTGGAAAGATCAATCTCCTCGGCGGTCCAGAAAGAGGCTTCGGCCTTCTTGTACATGTTCCAGATCTATATGCATGATTAGTATGCATGTCATATTGAATGAAACGCGTCGCGTACGCGTCAATTATTGAAACTTACCTCGTGGTACTTGATAGGGAAGAGGACGAATCTGTTGGGGTTCTCTTGCAAGATGGGCTCGTTCACCTCGTCACCCTTGAGACCAGGAGCAACACTGGGCTTTGCTTCCTCGGGCTCAGGAAGGTCCTCAGGCATGGGGATGCCCTTGACGGGGACAGCGACCTCGTCGGAAATAATGTTCTCCTTCTCTTCTGATGTGGAGGTGAAGACGGGTTGCTTCATAGGTGACTCCATGTTGAAGTTCTCGAGGGCCTCGGCGGCCNNTGCAGAGACGCGTTAGCAAATTGGTTCAGATGTTTCGAAGACAAAGAGAATTCTCACCTTCTTTGAGGGAGTGATCAGTGGCGCGGACATGATGATGTGTATGTGTATAGAGGAGCAATTGAACGAATAAGCAGATCAATTGATGCTGCGTCGAAGAGAAGATGCTTGATGTATGTTGGTATGTGGATGGGAAGAAGGACGAGACGCGTTCTGGTTAAATAGAAATCCACAAGTCCATACGCGTTAAGCTGCAGGTCCGCTTCGATTGCCAAGAGAACGTGACATCGGGCCCCGCGTCATCGTCCATGCTTCCAGATCGGCTTCATTGATTTTTTGTCATGATTCTGCTCAGTTCAAGACATGGTCTACTGATTCCAAAGTCTGGCTGTACAAAAATCCTAGTCCGTCTCTCTGTATTCCATGTGCTCGCGTGCTCGACCTTGCTCCGTTATTGCAACACAAATCCCACATAACAACAATTCCTCGCGATATGGGTGTCTCCCTACCTGCCCCTTTGTTGACGCGTTTCCCAGCGCGTTTCCGAGATCGCGAGCCTTCCAAGCCGTTTCTCGGGCGACGGAACCAATCATAGCATTTCATCGGATCATCGAGGTCCTCGACTTATCAATCTACCATCTACCCGAGCCCTCAGATGCGATCATATCCTTCGACATGCCCCATTTGCTCGGCCTCATTCGGACACGCGAAGACGAGTGACTCAGGAACCTTCCATGCCCTCATGTCGTTGTCATCGCTTCTGGTCCTAGCCCCTTTCCAACCTCTCCACATTGACTGGGCGTCATTTGGCATCTTCCCAAGTAACCGAAGGAGTTGCTGCGAACAAGTATCGTGGTATTTACGGTTCTTGTCTTGTTACGATCGAGAGTTTAACCCATGATGCGCTAAATTGTCGAGTTGCATATCTTGGGAGTCGACCGATCTAGCTACTTGATTCTAAGTAGGTAGGCCTTGCAACGTAGCTCCTGAAACACACCGAATGTTTTCATTGGAATTCGCTGTAGGTGCTATGACCTTAGAACAATCTGATGAACCCGCCGTAGAGAGGCTCCTCTTTCTAAAGTCTGCACTCTCATCCTTATTCCATAACAATGTGTGGTGATTGAGGTCAAAAGACAAAAGTTCAATACTCTGTTGTCTAGGAACTATGTTTAGGGCAGGCACTCAACATGCTCCCAATGAATTCTCCGGCTGATCAGAAGAGCATCGTACATTCTTCCTTGACTAGACATGCTACGGTCAGTCTGTTTTGTATCGTGTCCTGAAGCAGTCAAGGTCTCAAGAATAGCCTTTGCACGTTTCGGCATTGACAGCGAACGCGTGACGCCGATCATTTCCTAGATTTCACAATAAACAAGCTTCTGGCATGACGCCAAGTTTCAACCCCACCATATTCACTTCCACCTCGGTGCGTGTTGAGCTTTGGCAGCTCTCTCGATTGCGTCTTCTGCTTTGTATCCTCTTACTCAAGTATCATACAACCATGGCTGAAAAGAACCCACTTATCGAGGCCTTGCCTCCTGCTACCGACTACCTCAGCTATCTTACCATCATCGAATACAACCTCAATCCGGAAGCTCTGCCAACACTTCATCAAGTACTCCAAGACACCAAGTTGACCACTAACATCGGATGGGATCTCGTCCATCTGCTTGTGCCCCTGCTGCCAAACTCGAATGAGTGCCTCCAGGATATTGCGCGCCTAGGAAACCCCCGTGAAGTCATTCTGAAGGTCACGGAGTCACTGCGTTTGATCGACTTCCAAGGTCTGGAGCCAGACACGGACGATGATGAGCCTATCGCTGGTGAAGAGACAACCCCAGCTTACCACCCTGCTAAGACTGCGCCTGTCCAAGGCAATGACGGCAAGACTACTCAAGCAGTTGAGACTCCGGCACCTTTACCCCTCCCTGTGCTGCAGTTCACCAGCTTGTTGTCAATGCTGTCAATCTTGCACACTCGCATAAAGACACAATATCCCAGTCGCTTCTTATCAACATCACTCCAGGCTATCTTGGCGTCTTTCAACAATGCAGCAAATCACAAGGAGGAGTTGATCTCAGCCATCGTACAGTTTGTAAAGAGTGTCTCTGGAACCAAGCGTCCCAATCTTCCTCCTCGTAAAAGCAGCACCCAGATCCTGAGCACAAATATTCGAGCTTCTGCACCTGACCCAGAGTCTGACACAACCGCAAAGTTGCCATCAGCAAGTGAGGCCGATATACAGAAGCGTCTCGTTCAATCATTCATTACCCACGTCTTCGAGGACTACATGCTCTCCTTGACTTCAGACAATGATGCGCCCGGTCTGGCCTGGTGTAGCCGCTTACAAGAAAAGTTACACCCTGAACGTACCGTCCCTGGAAAGCCTTCGATGACTGACAAGTTTATCTTGGATGAAGAGCTTGCAGCTCGCTTGACTGCTGTTGGTGGCCTGGTTGCTTTGGCTCGCGATCTTGGTATGGAGAGAAAGGATCTTCTACCTGCCATGGAGGGTACCAATCCAGGCTCATCGCTTCTTCNNCCTGACAACGAAGATGAGTTCCCCCAGACTGCGACCGACATTCCTCTGTCAAAGGTCGGCTCACTCTTCATGTTTGCTGCTGCGAATGTGGCCACCGTTTTATATTCTACACCAAAGCCTAAGGATATGTTCAGCATCTTCCCTGAACATCAANAAGTTCTTCGCAACTACATCGCGAGCTCTTCTGACATGGGAGCAACTATTGGTACAGAACCCGAGGCTGTACTCGACGCTGTTCTGGCTCTTGCCATACTCGCGATCGAGGAGGACCACGTTGGTGAACCTGCAGACAGCGAAGAGTTCAATCAGTACCTCCAATATCTCTCTCTGGTCTCTTCAAATTCTCCTTCTCCCAGCATTCGCTACCATGCATTCTATCTGGCGTCCACCATCTTGCGATCAAACCCCTCCGATGTCGAAAGACTTGCTTTCATCAAGGACACGCTCGAGCATTGCCCCTTCGACAATCTCAAGGTTGCAGCGATCAGCTGGGTCAAGGGCGAGACTATTGAAGCCAACCCTCCCACTCCTATCTCCTCGCACAAATCTGAGCAGCAAGAGCCAGTCCAGGATGCCGGAGATGATGGTTCTGTCTTCGCAACACCGGTAGCATTGGACAGCTTGGCCCCATATCTGTTCCCGGATCTCACTCACGACCTTACGACAAAAAGTATTACTGAATCATGGCTCGTCTTCCAGCAGAGCTTGCACTTCTACCTGGCATCACTCAACTTCTATTACTTGCTCCTGTCTGCACAGCATCTCCACAAGCCTTTGGCTATTGGCGACCTGCATTCCAACAATGATGTGGCAGGATCATTCTTGCAGCCTCTGAGAGCCGCATCGACTCGTTTCCNNAAGGAGGGCAAGGCAAACGGTGAGTTGGCTAGTGTCTGGGAGGACACAGGTGATGACGATGCTCACATGGCTGAACTTGGTTTGCTTGATATGACTCTGGAGAAGGTCACGGCTGGTGTTGCACGTCTGAATCAGGTTCAAGCATAGGTCATGTTTTGATGATCTCTAGAAAAATCGACGTATGTCTGACAAGTAATTGAGCTAGAATTTTGAGCATTCCAATTCCTTTTGGTCGGCACTTGTTGTTCCTGTCGATCGTATGTACGTTGAAATCAAGCAAGAGGAGAAGCCCGTGGAAGGTGACAGGCGTTGGCATTTGTTGTCAACGATACCATCCGGTCTACATCATTCTTCTGACTACTCCACATATCTCCGGGAATTATACGTGCTTTATCATGATTCCTTGTGACCTGTGAAAGTGTGAAACTGTCGTTGAATTGCATATTATTTGAGTGACAAGAACTAAGTGTGATGGGACACCCGATAACAATACCATCTCTAGTATGGAAGAATGACTACAAACTCAATCTTCTTCTGTACCGACACGACGAGCCGTACGCAGATCCCGAGCTTCAAGCCCAGTGCCCCGCATGAGTTGCGATAGCCTGTTCGGGACCCCCAAGGTGGGTCTATCAAATCTGGCAACAAATATGACGTCTCCTGTGTCCTTCTGACAATATTTCTATCTTCAATCATAATCTCAACGAGGACTGGACCACAAACAATACATGATGGCTGAAGAACAAAGAACATGGACTGGCAAAGCCATAGTGGCTCGCGATACGCTGGCTAACAAGGGGTGGAAGATGGAGGAAGTCACGACGAAAGAAATCAAAGAGGACGAGCTGCTCGTGGAGCTTGTAGCGAGTGGTATCTGCCATACAGATATCATGTGTGGTTCGGGAAGCGGCGATCCAGACCTCTTCTATTATCCTCGCGTTCTTGGGCATGAAGGTAAGAATAACGCAGAACCCCTTCAAGCATAGTGATGCTAATACAACACCGCAGGTTCAGGCTATGTCAAAGCTGTCGGATCCAAAGTTCAAGTTGCAAAACCAGGAGATGCTGTGTTATTGTCGTTCGACTGGTGCGGTAGTTGCGAGTCCTGCAAAGGCGGCCTTCCATCATTATGTTACGAAAGCATGCCGCTAAACTTCGGTAACAAGGCCGCTTTCACGTCTGCTGACTCAGAGAATGCTGGCGACATAGCTGGTAAATTCTTTGGTCAATCCAGCTTCGCTCGCTATAGTGTGGCGAAGCAGAACAGCGTTGTCAATGTAACCAGCCTCGTCAGGAGCAAGGAAGAATTGCAGACCTTCGCACCCTTAGGTTGCGGATTTCAGACTGGAGCTGGCACCGTAGTCAATGTCGCAAAAGCTACACCCGAAGACACTATTGTCGTGCTTGGCTTGGGAGGCGTCGGCTTGAGCGCAATCATGGCAGCAAAGCTCTCTGGCTGCAGGACCATTATCGGAATCGATCGCGTGGATAGCCGTATGGAAACGGCCAAGTCTCTGGGCGCTACGCATGTAATCGATACATCGAAACTCTCAGATGGCAAAACTGTGGTTGAAGCGGTGCAGGAACTCTGCGAAGGTTGCGGCCCTGCGATCACCATCGACACAACGGGTGTTCCTGTCCTCATCAAAGCTGCCATCGAGATGACAAGAAAGGGCGGCAAGATTATTCAAGTTGGATCAACACCGCCAGACTTTCAGGTCGAACTACCAGCATTCCTCTTTATGAACAGTGGTAAGGCATATATGGGAGCGATTGAAGGCAACAGCATATCTTCGGATTTCATCCCGAAGATGATCAGGTGGTACCGGGAAGGCAAGTTCCCATTTGACAAGCTTGTCAAGCTCATGCCTGCGGAGGATTTCGAGAGAGGTATCCACGAGATGCACACGGGCGAGACAGTAAAGCCTATCATCACCTGGTCCTGAGACTTGATGTTGTATTGGCCACATTTTTGGGAAGGTACTGTAGAACCTGTCAGGTCCATTGGAGTAGAGGGTCCAGAATTGAGTCTTCAGTAATCAGCGTATCCGAATCTTCTTCTGGTGCCATCTCTGTATCCGCGCTCTCTACGGGTCCTAGGGTTTTGACTACGTTCTGCTCTTTAAGAAGACGTGAAATGGTGGACGCAGATACAAAGACACCGAACTTTGTGAACAGCTCGTAGGCAAGGTCTCTCTGCCACATCTCTTTGCCGTCTTTGACTAGCTCAACCAACCATTCTTTCATCTCGGGTGTAACAGCTGGTGGTCGTCCCTTCTTNTTGTGCATGGTTTCTGGCTTTCTGACGGTGCCAAAGGCTTGAAAGTTCTTNTGCATTCGATAAAGGCTGCTCTTGGGTCTTTTTGGGAACCAGGTTTGCACAACACGGACGGAACAGCCTTGCGAGAAGAGCACCTCTATGGTGCGATCGGTTTCTGACAGAGGGTTCCTGGACGGGGGACTCTCAGGCTCGGCTGAAGTGGCATGGGCTTCTGCATCAGCTACAATGGGCTTTCTTAGCCTTCTCTTCTTTGTGGTTTCCGGCTTATGTATGGAGCCAAAGGTGTCGAAGTTTTTCTTCTGTCTATACAGGGTCGAGACGACGGCGTGTGGCAGGACTTTGAGAACTGAATTCACGTTATGCTTGTTCATGAACATGGCTTCAACGAGCGTGAGCTCTGTTTCGGACAGAGGCATCTTCGCGATTGTAGTGGGCGCGCGGCCTGGACTTTCTATCGTGAGCGCGCGACGGCGTTGGTTCCCATGGCCAGCGACTTACGCGGAAAGCCAGTGTTCGCTATGCCGACACCGAAATGAATGCGATGGCAGTAAAGATGTCGATTAATGGAATGGTAATATGTTGGCGTTGTATTCTCATGTGTGAGTTGGATGAGATTCTGGAGCGGACGCGGGCAGCAGGCAGCTTCGGCATGTGAAGACCAAGCAATTGCTTCGATCGCTGTTTGCAAGGGAGCTCCAGTTTTATAGCTTTCATCTAGATAATGACAATAGGTTGTGTCTTTAGTTTGTGCAATACACACAGCTATTTCTCTACATACAGAACACGGACAAGTGACTTTTCTCAGGGTTTGCTGACCAAGCTGACCTACTGTTTGCGATCGAGGCTCAACGCTCGAGCCTATAGACCCAGCTGCTCTAGCAAGAGCATGCGTGATAGCCAGATGCCGCCGATTGACGGATCCATTAAAAAGCATAATGTCTTGTTACTTTAGTGTTTACACTGAGAGTACTGGCAGAAAACAGCGCATGTTTCGAATACCTTACGAGGTTGCTGTCGAGGGCCGGCCTGGTCCCAGCTGGACAATGACGCCCGCCGATGTTGCGGGAAAAAGTTGTTTGGGTGAAAGCTGGAAGCCGAGGGGTGACGGATAGAGCCGGGACTTGCCTCGCAACTTCCGATTCCTTTGCATACCTCAAATCGTCGCCCTATGAAGCGTAGCTTCTACTCGCACTCTTCATTCCCTATTGGCGAGCGCTCATCATGTTGAGAGCATCTTTTTCACAGTGCGGCAAGCGCCTGGCTACTGCTGGGAGCCGCACCAGCTTCTCCACCATTGCTAGAAGCAGACCTGTTGTTGCTCTGAGCCAGACAAGGAGAGACCTTGCTGTGAGCCAGTTCCGCAGCTATGCTGTCGCTGCTGAGGACACCAACAAGGGCGTTGTATGCTTGTCCGCATTCTGATCCCTCCCTCGGCCTACTGACACACATGCCTCTAGGNATCCCAGCGACTCTTTCCTCCAGGGAAACACTGCCAACTACATCGACGAGATGTACATGGAGTGGAAGCGCGACCCCAAGTCGGTCCACGTCTCATGGCAGGTCTACTTCCGCAACATGGAGAAGGGTGACATGCCCATCTCCCAGGCTTTCCAACCTCCCCCGACCATTGTTCCCGCTCCTGAAGGTGGTGCTCCTGGATTTTCTCCCACCGCCGCTGCTGGTGTTGGTGACAGCTCCGACCTGACCAACCATCTCAAGGTTCAGCTCTTGGTCCGCGCCTACCAGGCCAGAGGCCACCACAAGGCCAAGATCGACCCTCTTGGTATTCGCAACGAGGCCAGCCAGTTCGGCTACAGCAACCCTCGCGAGCTCAACCTCGAACACTACAACTTCACCGAGGCCGACATGGAGCAAGAATTCAGCCTTGGTCCCGGTATCCTGCCTCGCTTCGCCACCGAAGGTCAAAACAAGATGAAGCTCAAGGAAATTATTGCTGCATGCGAGCGTCTCTACTGCGGTAGCTACGGTATCGAATACATCCACATTCCCGACCGTGAGCAGTGCGACTGGCTCCGTGCTCGCATCGAGGTTCCTCAGCCCTACAAATACTCCGTCGACGAGAAGAGACGCATTCTGGACCGTCTGATCTGGAGTTCTAGCTTCGAGAGCTTCCTTGCCACAAAGTACCCCAACGACAAGCGTTTCGGTCTCGAGGGTGGTGAATCTCTGATTCCTGGAATGAAGGCCTTGATTGACCGCAGTGTTGACTATGGTGTCAAGGATATTGTCATTGGCATGCCTCACCGTGGTCGTCTTAACGTCCTTTCCAACGTCGTTCGCAAGCCCAACGAGTCCATCTTCAGTGAATTCGCCGGTTCTGCTGAGCCTGCCGACGAGGGATCTGGTGACGTGAAGTACCATCTTGGTATGAACTTTGAGCGCCCCACTCCTTCCGGTAAGCGCGTGCAACTGTCCCTGGTCGCCAACCCTTCGCATTTGGAAGCCGAGGACCCCGTCGTCCTTGGAAAGACCAGAGCCATTCTCCACTACAACGGCGATGAGAAGGAGGCCAACTCCGCCATGGGTGTCTTGCTCCACGGTGATGCTGCCTTTGCCGGTCAGGGTATCGTCTACGAAACCATGGGTTTCTACGCTCTTCCCTCGTACCAAACCGGTGGTACCATCCACATTGTCGTCAACAACCAGATTGGTTTCACTACTGACCCTCGTTTCTCCCGTTCAACCCCCTACTGTTCCGACATCGCCAAGGCCATCGACGCTCCTGTCTTCCACGTCAACGGTGATGATGTCGAGGCCGTCAACTTTGTCTGTCAGCTCGCTGCCGACTGGCGTGCCGAGTTCAAGAAGGATGTTGTTATCGATATTGTCTGCTACCGCAAGCAGGGTCACAACGAGACTGACCAGCCTTCATTCACCCAGCCTCTGATGTACAAGCGCATTAGCGAGCAGAAGCCTACCCTGGACAAGTACATCAACCAGCTTATCGAGGACAAGACCTTCACTCAGGATGATGTTGATGAGCACAAGAAGTGGGTTTGGGGCATGCTCGAGGAGTCTTTCGCCCGCAGCAAGGACTACCAGCCTACCGCCAAGGAGTGGTTGACCAGTGCATGGAACGGATTCAAGAGTCCCAAGGAGCTTGCCACTGAGGTTCTGCCTCACCTCCCCACTGCTGTCGAGGCCGACACACTCAAGCACATTGGTGAGAAGATCGGAACTCCTCCAGATGGCTTCAACGTTCACCGCAACCTGAAGCGTATTCTCAACAACCGCACCAAGACCATCAACGAGGGTAAGAACATCGATATGAGCACTGCCGAGGCCCTTGCCTTTGGTACACTTTGTATGGAGGGTCACCACGTCAGAGTTTCGGGTCAGGATGTCGAGCGTGGTACTTTCTCCCAGAGACACGCCGTTGTCCACGACCAGGAGAGCGAGAGCACTTACACTCCTCTTCAGAACCTCGGCAAGGACCAAGGTAGCTTCGTGGTTTCCAACTCGAGTTTGAGTGAATTTGGTGTCCTTGGCTTCGAGTACGGTTACTCGCTCTCTTCTCCTTCTGCCCTTGTCATGTGGGAGGCTCAATTCGGTGACTTTGCCAACAACGCACAATGTATCATTGACCAGTTCATCGCTTCTGGTGAGGTCAAGTGGCTCCAGAGATCTGGTCTGGTTATGAGCATGCCTCACGGTTACGACGGTCAAGGTCCTGAGCACAGTTCCGGAAGAATGGAGAGATTCTTGCAACTCTGTAACGAGGTGAGTACTCGATATCTTCGTATATCTGACCCTTGTACTAACAACGTGAATAGGNATCCCCGCATCTTCCCTGCACCCAACAAGCTCGACCGCCAGCACCAGGACTGCAACATGCAAATCGCATACTGCACAACCCCCGCCAACCTCTTCCACATTCTCCGTAGACAGATGAACAGACAGTTCAGAAAGCGTAAGTTGTCCGAGCTCTCGATCATGTACATGTCCTAACATACTCCCANNGCTCTCATCCTCTTCTTCTCAAAGTCCCTTCTCCGTCACCCTCTGGCCCGTTCATCCATCGAGGAGTTCACTGGCGACTCACACTTCCAGTGGATCATCCCTGACCCCGCTCACACCGAGGGTGAACACCAGATCCAGCCCAAGGAGGAGATCGAGCGCGTCATCCTCTGTACTGGTCAGGTCTATGCTGCTCTGCACAAGTACCGCCAGCAGAACGGCATCACTAACACTGCCATCACCCGTATCGAGCAGCTCAACCCCTTCCNNCCCTGGGCACAGCTTAAGGAGAACCTCGACTCCTACCCCAACGCCAAGAACATCGTCTGGGCTCAAGAGGAGCCTCTTAACGCAGGTTCATGGACCTTCACACAACCTCGCATCGAGACTCTGTTGAACGAGACCGAGCACCACAACAGAAGACACGTTCTTTACGCTGGAAGAAACCCTAGCGCCAGTGTCGCCACTGGTCTCAAGAGCAGCCACATGAAGGAAGAGCAAGACCTTTTGGAAACCGCTTTCAACGTCAAGCAAGACAAGCTCAAGGGCGAGTAAGCACAATGTCGATTCTTTTATTCCTATTGGGGGTTTTCTCAGTACATAGTTGGCCTGTGGAGTTTCATCGAGGGCGTTAGCGAACAGCAGCGCCTTGTGTATTATTTCTAAATTTGATTAACCAAGTTTTGCATGATTTTCTGTATCGTCGAATAATGGTTGATGTCCCTTTCACATGCGACCGTGTTTCCGCTCGGCCTTTGTACCTCGGTACCTTATGCAAGGGCAGACATGATATCGAACGCAGCCGACTTCGTAACAAGTGTTTGCATTCGTCTGTGAAATGATGGACCTACATGAATGTTCAAGTGATGAAGCGCACAACCGAAATGATGCGAGCAATTGAAGAACTACGCAGTTGAAGTGAGTTAAGTGAGATCTATAATATCAATCTCGGTTTGAAATAGAGCTCTGTGGAATCACAAATCCACCATCCGATATGGATATGTGGATGGCGGATAAGAAACCCCTTACGCTCAATACCGCTGCTTCGGAATGACGAAAGGCGAGCCTCGGCGCATTGTTTTTATTTTATTCGATAACCGTCGTATCAGTTGCCGACGAGATGATATCTTGAGATATGTAGTATTGTCGCCACCTTTCTTTGACTTTCAAGTTCTCGTGCTTGCCGCCATCCCCAGCCATTGTGTTCGCAACTTGGCCACTGTAGCAATGAGTAAACCAGGAGATTTCGAAGCCGTCGCTGCAGACATCAGAAAGATTCTACACCAACCCGAGTACGACGATGGTAGTGCTGGCCCAGTGTTAGTACGTCTGGCCTGGCACTCGGCGGGTACATATTGTGCAGAGACCGACACAGGTGGCAGTAACGGAGCAGGCATGCGCTATGAGGTAAATGGTATTCTTAACATACAATCTAGTATCTGATTGACTGACGCATCGCAGGCAGAAGGCGGAGACGAAGCAAATGCTGGCTTGCAACATGCCCGTGTTTTCCTGGAACTCATCAAGGAGAAGCATTCGTGGATATCCTACGCGGATCTTTGGACACTTGCCGCCGTCGTTGCATTGAAAGAGATGGGAGGTCCTCAGATAAAATGGCTCCCTGGCAGAACCGATTATGTCGACGACAGCAAACTCCCTCCTCGCGGTCGCCTTCCAGATGGTGCTCAGGGTGCCGACCATATCCGCTTCATCTTCTACCGCATGGGCTTCACAGACCAAGAGATTGTCGCACTCAGTGGAGCACACAATCTCGGAAGAATGCACATGGATCGCTCTGGCTTCCATGGCCCCTGGGTCCCTAACGGCACTCGGTTCAACAATACCTACTTCAAGATCATGACAGAATATGAGTGGAAGGAGAAGACGCTCGAGAATGGCGTCAAGCAGTTTGTCTACGTCGATGAGGACTTGGATGAAGAATTGGCCATGCTGCCAACTGATCTTGCGCTCGTCAAGGATGAGTCGTTTGCTCCGTGGGTCAAGAAGTATGCCGAGGACAAGGAGCTCTTCTTTGATCACTTCGCGAAGGCTTTTGGCAAGCTTCTGGAGTTGGGTATCCAGAGGGATGCCAATGGAAACGTCAAGAACACAGACAACGTCAAGGGTGGCTACCACAGCGCACCGAAGAAGTCTTCAAAGCCTGGCAAGCCGAAGACCGCCGGAGATGGTATTGCCGAGCCCCTGCAGGAAGAGAATGCGCGTTTCAAGGCTAGACTTTAGATGGGTTTGTTTGGTAGAAGGATGCATAGACATGGGTTTACACATATTAGATTCTTAGATTTTACAGTTCAAGACTAGATTAGAGAATATACAAGCCGGAGCTCCACATCGATGGCCTTGCACAACTTATAGCACTATCAAGAGCACACAGTCAACAGGATCTTCATAGACCATCTCTCGAAGACATAGAAGCGCGCAGTCATGTATCTCGAGATAAAAAATCATGGTTGATGGTGTGACCCTACCATATCAACGTCATCTACGGAGATACGAACAACTATCGCCGAGGCAGCTCAAAAGTCATGGACTCGATGTTGCCACTTTCTATCTACACCAAACCACAAGCCTATGCCACCGTTGTCGTCGTCGTCTGTCTTTCCCACCTACTCGCGATGTATGCGATCGGGGTTTGCCCAACGGGCTGCTCGAAATACCCAACAGGTCCGCCGTCTTTCAACGCCACTCAAGGATACCCAAACGAATCATGACGAGGAGAAGCAAGAGAAGGAACAAGGCGCCATGTCTCGAAGACTGGCTGCTTTGAGCGAGGAAGGACTAGAGTCTGGAGGCCGAAGTGCTCGTAGAGCCGTGGAAGAAGCAGGCTTCGACGAAGGTCTCAAACAGGAACTGCTCGAGAGAATCGCTACAGCCTCTTTTCGGAATGAACACGCTGGTGCCATATCTCAGGCCGAAATGCCCAACAGCGCAAGCCGGCATAGCAGAGATATAGCTGGTGCGACGCCATGGTCTGGTACCGAAAACGTCCACGATGCGTCGCTTCGCATGCTCAATGACTCCTACAAGCCCTTAAAGCCTGTCCGTGGATCATCTACAGGACCCTCTCGCGGACCTCCCAGCAAGATCGACACTGGTAGACCAAGGAATGCTCCATCATCAGGCATGAGGTTGGCCAATGCACGCGACAAGACATCCATCTATGCCGAAATGAAAGAGCTACCTGATGAGGAGAGGGAGAAGTTTCGCAAAGAGTTGAAAGAACGATTTGCGCCTGCTGCTCGTTCTGCACCCGTGACTCTCAAGGGATTGGAGTCTCTTGCCAATGAGCGCATAGAAGACGCAATCGCTCGAGGCAAGTTCAAAAACATCAAAAGAGGAAAGGCTATCGAAAGAGACTACAATGCCAGTAGTCCTTTCATCAATACCACTGAATACATGCTCAACCGGATGATTCAGCGACAGGATATTGTGCCTCCATGGATCGAGAAGCAGCAAGACATTGTCAGCACTTCCAATCGATTCAGAGCACGTTTGCGTGCTGATTGGCGGAGACACGTTGCAAGGTCTATCGGTAGTAGAGGAGGGTCTCTGGAAAGCCAACTAGCACTTGCTGAAGAATATGCGCGGGCGGAAGCCATCGACAATCCGCCTGCGAAGAAGCGAACAGAGAAGATCAACACCATCGACAGTGCTGGACAACTTACGCAACTAACACTCGATGGCGAGATTACATCATCTGGCACTGCTACCACCAAGGACTCACAGCACATAACAATCACCGAGACCCCTATCGACGAAACAGCCCAGCCACTCTCGACACAGAGCGAGTTACAGATTTCTGTCGATGCACCTTTAGAAGCTGTAGTAGAGCCACAAAAGGCCTCACCGCCCAAAGTTGCACCATTCAGAGATGCAGACTGGCTACGCACCGAGAGGGCTTACCATCAAGCCGCCATCGACAATTTGAACCAGTTAACACGCTCATATAATCTCATGTGTCCAGCTCTGGCACAGCGTCCATACTTCTTCCTGGACCGCGAGTTGAACTCGTGCTACGCAGAAGTTGCTCCTCAAGTGGCTGAGGCCATCAGGGNNGAGCGTGCCGTGGCACCAAAGCCAAGGTTCGAGGCAGCTCCTAGTAACAAACCTGCAAGGATTCTGGGCAATCTGGCTGGTCCCGCTAGTAAGGTGTATGACGAGCAGCGTCCACAGTTTGGCTTCCGAGATCTCTGGAGAGAGTGGTTCAGCAAAAGTAAGGAGCATCGAAAAACGTTAATAGACTTAGAATCAGCACATATATTCCGAAGCCGATGGCGATCCTAATAGTGTTTTTCCTGAGTTGCGGTTGCTCGTGCTGCTGTCTGTGATTTGAATATGCAGGTTCCGAGCACTATGACCATAACATCAGTCCTCCTTCTTCAACCTGTGATTCCTCTCTCTCCATAACTTGACTCCAGCATCAATTTCCTTCCGCGACACACCATCTCGTACTAATTTCATCGTGACCCCAAGAGTCTCCACGTTCTTGTTCCTCGATTCGTCATCGAAAAACAGCATCTCTTCATAGGGTATATTCGTCCTCTTGTGTATACGTGAAAAGTGTGTCTTCTTGTCGCCAGGGTAGATTTCTAGTTCGTCGAACACGGAAAGAGCTTTCGGCGAGGATGAAGTGTAGGATGGCGAGGAAGGAACGATCAGGTATGACAGCATCTCGCGTGCCAGTTCGGGTGCTTGGGTTCGCGAAGCCGCACATAATGTCAAATTCTTTTCTTTGATCTATGTATGAGCAGATCAGCCAATGTCCCTATGTGGTTGCCATTTTAGACGACGTACCGAGACCAAGATGCCAGCAACGTCTGGATAGAAGCCGTATGTGTCGTTGTAGCGATCTTTGACCACCAGGCCGTCTTTGGTGGGTTTCAACGGGCCAGTGACATGAGTGTCTACCCAGAAAGGCCAGAGTGTATAATCCAAGTCGAAAACCATGACTTGCGGCAGGGGTAGTCCATCGCTGAAGGTTGATGGTGCCTCGACCTCGGACGCCGGAGCCGTGACGGTCGTGCTGTCGTCGCCTGTCTCGACTGTTTTGTACGATTTTCGAATCATGACTATAGCCGCTAATGTGACCACAGCAAGTGTGATTCTTGATATTCTGCCGCGGGATCGTATTGTGGATGGTTTGCTGCTGAGTTGGAAGGATGACTCGCCGCCGGACCAGACAAAAGTCCATACAACTACGTCATCTCACTGATAAGCATGTGATAAACATTCTACTCGAAATGACTTGGGCCCTCAAAGTCCTGCATCTGCATAAACTCGACCGTGAACTGCATGCGACGAGATACTGTAAAACGATTGTCTTTTCTCGCTAGTTACTACACGGGTGGACTGACACCACCCTCTGAAATCTCAAGCCCATGAGCTACGAGCTACGAGCCACGAGCCCTGTCGGCACATCTACAGCCAACCACTAATACTCAACACACTCGGCACCAGAAAGGAGCATGAGAAGCTGAGAGCTCTCGTCCTTGATTCTCCAGTCATATCCACTCTTCAGAGTCTCCCTCTTCTGGCCCCATGTGAACGCCTTTCTCTGCTTGTCCAAACCAAGATGACTGAGATCAACACGGCTCATACTGCGTCTCAGAATCTCAAGGCAGATAGGGAGAGGAAGGTGGCAACGTAGACTGACATCTCTGTAGCCGTCACTCTCGCCTTTGTGGTATGCTTTCAGCTTCTCCATTCTGTTCTTCTGGTAGCGCATGTACTCTTCAGAGCTGACGTCGGGCTTGACATGTCTTCCGATCTTCTGGTTACCGTCTGGACCGTTCATTTCAGAGCCTTCCGAGCGACTACGGGATGAGGCGCTTGTACGAAGAATCTTGGTGCTAGATTGCACCGTCAAGACTGCATCATCATCTGACGTAGCCAACTCTGGGCTCATCGAGTCAACAGGCGAGGATGTCATGAGAGTGGAGGCGTACGAGCGCTTGTTCTGGTTGTCTTCGAAGTTGACCGAGTCAGGATGCAGCGAAAGCGTGCTCAGAGATTGTTCGAGGTGGCCATCAGTGACAGGCATTTCAATGACCTGGTCGTTATCGACGTGAGCAGCATGACCATTCTTGTTCTGGTTGGACTCAGTATCCTGTGCGCTTGTCTTCACGATCGAATTGGTAGCGTCGAACATCTTGAACACAGGTGCTAGGAGGAAGACCTTGCGAGACACAATGATTGCGGATAGAGACGCGCGCCACAGGTCGACACTTTCACAACCAGCGTGCCCTATGGTGTTTCGTTGTACCTTCTTTCGAGCGCTTTGAATGTCGGATTTGTCGAACATACTGTAGTCAGCGGACTGGACAGAGAAGAGACTCGAACGTCGGAGGCCGACACCGGGAGTAATGATAGGAGATATATCAGGTGCGTCTGCGACACCTGCCGACATGTATGAGCTAGTGACACTGTCCGAGTCTCCCAGTAGCATCTTCATCCTCAACTTCTCAGCACATTGGNNAAGCAAGTGAAGGCCGTCTTTGGACAAGAACTCGGAATTGTTGTCCCAATCGATGCCCTTTGTGTTGCCATCTTGGCGGTAGGTAGGGATAGAAGATGTGGCTTCGGTTGCATTGTTTTCTGTGACCAGCTGGATGGGATAGTAGTGTTGTTCCAGAACGTAGGACAGGAAGAGGCCGCCCGTGTCATCTAGACCGACATTGGTCAGGGTCAAGTAAGGGATCGACCGAAGACCGCGGCGATGCTTGAGCATCCATGGATCGGCAAGCGTCTTTCCATTGGCACATCTGAGAAGACCAGGGTCGTTTCCATTCGTGATTTGGGCGCCATCGAGGCTAGCGTTGCTAAGCACTGAACAGCTGTCCGGCAAGGTGATGAATGACTGGTTGCCAGTGGCAGGCTCAGGATCCACAGCAGGCTCGCGTGAGTAGACTCTGGCAAGAATCTCAAAGGCCCGGGATCCGAGATGGGGGTTGTCTCCGAGGTCAAGTCTTCGCAGCGTCATGCAATTGTGAAAAGACTGAAGGAACAGCTGCCATTCTTCAGCCTGCTTGTCACTTGAGACCTGAAAGTTGTTGTGAGACAGGTCAAGGGTCTGTAGGGTGTAGCAAGATGCCTGGATGAGAGGAGCCAGTCGAGCCAAAGATCGGGTAGTAAGATCGTTGTTGGTGAGGTTAAGATCGACCAGAGCTAAGTCTCGACATGTGGTGAGAGCATTTTGCAGGCCATCGGCGAGAAGAGCAAAGCCGTCGTCGGTCAAAGACTTGCTGGGCACTTTCAGGTCGAGCTTGTGGAGCATGTTGTCCTTCGCATCGCTTTCAGAGTCATCACGATCTCTGTCCTTGATCTTGAGTCGGTCCTTGTTGGGAGTGCGCTTGGCCGAGGCATGCAATCTCAATGACAACCTAGGAGCTGACGATGATGGTTTGTTGGCTTCGCGCTGCTTCTTGTCTGCTCGCTTTTCAAGGTCGGACGCAATTGACTTGCCCAATTTAGGGCCTGATGATGTGCGCTAAGTGCGTGCAGGTCAGCGTGTGCGCATGCCTTCCCTTTTGACAGGCGCCGTGAAACTTACACCTGTATAGTCGAATTTATTGGATTTGACCATGGTAGCGTTGTGTGATTCGGACTCTGGATGTGGTGTGCAAAGGTCGAAATGTTGTCAGTGAACAAGTCGTGTGCGAGGAAAAGAGCGTCTGTTGGTTTGCGTATAAACAACGCGACTACAAACAAGACATGGTAACAACGCCATGATCGCGGACCTTCTGGAACAGTCTTTTTCTTTCTTCGCATGCAAACGGGGGAGATAGATTTAGGAAACAGGGGAGTGAACTTTTTGTGTCGCACCTGCCATTGATTACCATGCCATATTTGCCTTCTCTTACCAAATTCACACCTTCTTCTGCAAAGCCACCGGCGCTTTCGATTGTCCTACCTGAATAGGACTTACTCCATGATTACACGCACAAGTAAACAGCCTACCCAGCCTACCCAGCCTATCAGGTCCTATTGCTGCTGTGCTAGACAAACGCGTCTCATCCTTGAAACCCATCTGATTGGTTCAATACTGCAACACGGGCGGTCTGACACAGAGTCAAGCAGATAGTCAATTACGCACATCTCGGGGCAGGTGGCGCGTCTTGCAAGTCACAGTTTTACAAGTCAGGTCAGCGAGCTTGAAGACTTGTGGTTCTGGAGGCATGAAGTTGACTGAGAGCTTCAAATCTCGGCAACACCCACATCCCGCTTGCACGTGTCACTACTTTACCACATTGTTTATCCACCTCTTTCACTTACTCGTGTGACCTCGAACACTTCTATCATGTCTTCTGGTTCAGGAAGCCTCCGTCGCCAGGCCTCAGCTGTTCCCGGCCCTAAACCGCCTTGTTCAATTCACCCGTCCGCCATAATCTCCGACAAGGCTGTAATTGTTGGCACTCATCCTGTTTCGATTGGTGAGAATGTGGTGCTTCACCCCTTCGCTAAAATCACATCTAATACGGGAGCTGTCCGTATTGGAAAAAATTGCGTTATTGGAGATCGTGCTACCGTGGGGTTGAGTGACAGTCCTGGAACTTTCGCTGGAACAACAGTCGAGCTTGAGGAAAGTGTCAGCGTCGACAGTGGGTCAACCGTGCAGGCCGAGAAGATAGGAAGTGGTAGCACGATAGAGGCCAATTCAACAATTGGACCCGGTGTGGTTGTAGGCAAGGTCTGTAACCAGTCTACTCTACATTTGATTGACGATTGTGCTGACTTTGATTTCANNAAGTTCTGCAAAATAAGTGCATCTTCTAGCATTCAAGCAGAGCAACTACCTGATTTCACCATCGTCTACGGCGAAAACGCTAGGCGTATAGACACCACTACAAAGACTCGATCAGATGTCAGAGACCTCAAACTCAAGGGCCAAACAATGCATACCGAAACGTTGAAGCGTTTGGTACCTAGCAACACTATGAAGTGGCTGTCTTGATCAACTCCACTCGAGAATGCGATCATCTCGAACATCCTCAGAACAGCTTGGCCACAAAACACGAGATGAAAGTCGAATCGAAATATTAAGAATATTTTCTGGTCAAAGATTTGTCTAATCGAGTTGATTTGGCAACAGTGCTTCTGACAACAACGCGTCAGAAGCTGGCTACGTCATGGATATCTTGTCAAGACAATTATAAAGTCTTTTTCGTCCAGCTCGAGACCATTTCTACGAACATGTACAGTCTCTCAATTGTTCATCGGAGAAGAATCATTGAGCGAACACGAACAATCATGTCACAAAACACTCGACTTTCGTACTCTGCGGCTGCAGGGTCTGCAGATATTCCGAAGCCGCAACCAAAGCCTGCGACCAATTCTGTTGCCAATTCATCCTCTTCAAATCACCGTCAACATGCTTCCGGTCAGCAGCAAGGAAACCGACATGGTGGACCAGGTCACAGGCGAACTCCTTCACCTTCATATACTCCAAAGACATCATCTGCCGAAGATGCAGTCTATGTCTTGACTCTTCTGACGGACGCCAAACACCACCGCATCCTGACCGAGACGCGAAAGAAGTACTTTCCTCCTCGTTTGAACAGACTCGATGCACACATCACTCTTNTCCACGCACTACCTGGAAGTCTGCTCGAGGAGTCGATCAAGCCAACTTTGAGAGAGATTTCGAGCAAAACCAAACAGTTCCACCTCCTTGCTGCAACGCCATTCCGGCTAAACAAGGGTATTGCTATTGGCCTGCCCAAGTCGTCAGGCGGCGATGATGCGAGACAGGTTCATCAGCAATTGAAGGCGGCATGGTCGGATTTCCTGAGTCGGCAGGATGGCGGTGGCTTCGCAGCCCATTACACCATCATGAACAAGGTCGATGATGAAACGGAGGTGCAGAAGGCATTCGAGCAGGTGCAACAGGAATGGAAAGGCTGCCACGGTACTGTTCTTGGTCTATCGCTTTTCAAGTACGATCGCGGAAACTGGGTGCACGATGAGGACTTCAAGTTTGCAGCGAGTCAATAATTATGGGAAGGAGCATATTCCAAAAGTTGAATGACTTTGATGTCTATGATTTGTGTAATTATTCGTGTCTAATATCCCTCTATTCGAGAGAGCGAACCAATGCAGTCCGACTGAAATGCTTTCATGTACCCGTAAAATTCTTGACGCTTTCTGGCAACAAGCCAGCTGACTCTGCTTAGAGAATTGAGCCAATGCCGAATGTCTGCTTCATCGAGCGAACGTAGTAGTTTTCCCAGTTGCGCTTGGTGGCCTCCTCCTCGCCAACGGGAACACCAGTCCAGTCAACGCGCATGATGGTGACAGCATCGACGTTGTTCTGCTCAAAGGCGATGTTCAGAGTACTGTAGTGACCCTGGGGCCACTGAGCCAGACGCCATTTCTGGACAATCTTTGTAGGCTCTGAAAGCTCGACGTACTCTCCACTGACGTTTCCGCCAAAGATCTCGAACTTGCCGCCGGGTCTGGCACCCTCGAAGACCTTTGGTGGCGCGCGAGTGAAGGCAGCAATGCGTTGAGGGTCGGTGAGGATCTGGAAAAGCATAGGTGCATCGCAGCGGAACTCTTGCTGGTCGCTGAGGCTGGTTACATTGACGGCGGGGCCTTTGCCGTTGGAAGTGGAGGTGGTAGTCGAGGACTTGGACTCATCAGTCTGCTTGTTGACAGAAGAGCTAGAGTAGACCTTGGCGGGGGTGAAACCAGGCTTGTGGCCAGCTGCGTGCTGGATGTCTTTGGCGTGAGCCTCCATCAGAGCGGGGCCCAATTGCTGGAATCTAGCGCGGAGCTGCGAAGTGATTTGCGATCGGACGAGGTCCTTGACAGGGGTCTTGGAAGAAGACTCGGAGTACATCTCAATCTCGAACTAGACAGTTTGTCAGCGACGAGTCCAATGCATGAAGAGTATGGGATTACGCACAACGTACTCATCCTCCTCGGTGTCGTGTGCAACCTCAGGAATGGTGATAGTGCCGCTGACATTCTCGTCTTCCTTGGTCTTGCCAGTGTACTCGAGTTGCAACTTGAGGTCGAAGATAGTGATGACCTTGCCCTTGCGTTGTGCGACTTCGACATCACCCTCCTGGCTCAGCAACTTTGAGATCTCAGCAGTTGCACCATCCTTCTCTGCCTTGATGCCAACGAGATCCTTTTCCAGATATTCCTTGGTCCAGCCCGAGACATCCTTGTTGACCCAGTGCCAGTTGTTTGGGTTGTGGAGAACCATTCTGGAAGTGTGAAGTGTTACGAGATGATGAAGTAGATTATGCGCGTCTGTTGCGATTGATGGTCAGTCATTGATGCGCCAAGTCTCAAGGTAGTTATGCAGAGAGGTGAATGGAGGTTCGTATCAGAGATAAGGACATTGTCCCCGCAAGCTAGTCCGCAGCAAAAGAGTACAAGTCTTTCTAGGACTGGTGCCAGCTGGTGTCTCATCATATCAAGGCGGCATGGGATAACAGGGAGTAGGACTCACCGGACGGAAACAGCGAGGCAACTGGGAGAAGGGGAAGAAAACAAGATAACAAGCAGTAAATAAGGAGACAAGAACGCAAAGGGTATCGAAGATGATGGTCGAGCGACAGGAGAGTCGGAGCGAGCAAATATTGTTACAGAAACGTCTAGAAGCGGATATCCAAGCTTTGGCCAATCATGCGGGGATTGAATGCGAGTCCACCATCAGCAGCAGCATCAAGAGTCACGACAAAGATACTCAAGAACTGCAATTTTGCAGATGATGCTCGTTGTCGGTCAAATAAGAGTAGACTTCACATCACAAACAGCCTTGGTAAAAGAGCTTGCGCTCCGTATGGTATACTGATAGCTGAGGAAGACTTCTATTATGGTCTGCTCAGGTACGATTTCTACGCATGTATATCAAGCAGGGTTGAGTCTGAGATGTCCTTGAAATATCACAGGGCGCACTCATATGAGCGGGGATCATTATCGAATAGACAATAGTCTATGGAGAAATGGCCCTGGCTGATAGGAACTTTTGAGAAGAATTGTATTGTACATGTCGAAGATAGAGTTGTAGTACAGAGAGAACGAAAGGACGCCGCCTGGAAAGATAAGCCAAGATCAAGAGGGAGTATTCTTGTCGCCGATACGCCGTGTAATGCCAGAATGCAGTCGTGAAGGGTAAGGAGATTTGACAAACGTCTAGTTCCGCTTGTGTGGGCCGATGATTTGGGGGTATAATCTCGAGAGATGGTAGTTGATCGAACTCTTCTTGGTTTGGCCAGCTTTCTGCACGACGACTAGAGTTAGAGAGGGCGTGATTCAAGATGAGGCGGCCAAAACATACGGGNNAGCGTCCATGCATGCGCGAAGTTGTTGTTCAAGGGCAGCACATCCTTGTGCGGTGTATCCAGACGATGCCCAGCATCCTNNGTTGACCATGTCAGTGCAAGCACAGCGAGGCGCAAGAGGTTTGCGGCCAAACATACCGAGGACAGAAGACATGACACCGATGCAAGGGTTTGCGCCAGCCTGGTCGGGCTTGCGGACGCGCAGCTTGTGGAGNGGTGGCAGACGAGGCGCGGTGGCCTTTGCGACAGCTTGGGTGTTCTTGACGACCATTATGAGCTGCTGGCGACGACGATATGCTGCTCTGTATGATCGGAGAGACAATTTACCATGGCTTCACTGAAATCCGTTCTTGGCGTCGGCGCACCTTCCCCGAAAAGTTGCGGGTCGCGTTGACGGTTGCCCTATGCACGGTTGGCTTTGTTGTGCTTGTCATCAAACATCATCTTGCATGTGCCTCGCACATTGTCCAAGTCCAAAGTCGCTCCTGCCTCCAGCTCATCTTTATCCGCTTGCACGACTGCTTCGCTCCAACATGGACGTCGAGTCTGCTCCTGTCCAGACATTGTCGCCTCCCGCCCGTTCGCACTCTGCTCCTGCCGCTCCTATCTTGTCGCGCCAATTTTCATGGAACCCAACCGACGCTACTCACCTTGGCCCTTCGCGCATTACAATCACTCGTCTTTATCAACGCGCCCCGAAAGCCCCATACCATCACCTACAGCCCCAACCTCGTCTTTCACAACCAACTCTTCCAAAGTCGCCTGGTCCTCAGAAANAGAAACGTTGTGTTGACCTCGATGCTGGCCCGGACCCCTTTCACCCTCAAGACTCTTTCTCCGATCCGAGCGACACTGAAGATGCCAATCCTATGATCCTCCAAGACTTGCGTTCCTCGTCAGCTCCTCCAGAAGACACCAACACCCCCGAACCCATTCCCAAACCTCGAATCTCAGATGATACTGCCATACTCCATGCCTTCCTCAGTCGCGCCGCTGCAAGCAAAAGACCCATGGCCGCTCACAAACGCGAATCCCTCGAAAATCGCAGAGACTCGGATGTCGTGCGTCATGCCCTCGCTTCGACCGACAAGCCCGAAGTCTTGACCGAGCTCGATCCAAACAGTCTTCCATTGCCTCCAAAAGAACCTGCGGATGACATCAAGCAAGAACTCGAGACCACAAGGGCCGAGCCCGCTGTTGAGCTGCCAGCATCGACACCGACCAAACCTAAGGCACCAAGAAGGACGACACGTACACGCACACCAGCTGCCGCTCCAAAGAAGCCAGCCAAGATTGCCATTAGAAGTGCAGCCGATCACATTGCGCTGAAGAGAACGGAGGCACAGGAGCTGGCCCTGCTCACGCGATCAAATACGCGCAAGAACAAGGGAAAGAGCATTATGCCTCAGGCTAGACTTTTGAACATTGGTGATGAGCTCGTTTCGTTGGAGGACCCGACCGAAGAATCAGCTGAGACGGCTGTGGCTGGAACAGCGCAAGTTGAAAAATCAGCAGCACGCAGGGGTGTGCAGTGGAACGAGAACCTCACCCACGTACGAGAGTTCGAATCGGATTCACCTGACAGTCCGCCAAAGACAAAGGCTCGTACTTCAAGAGTGTCTGCCAGAGCCTTGGAGCCATTTGTCCCCCTTACATCTGCCGAGGAGCCTATCGAGGAGGTGGCTTCAGAGTCTGCCGAGATGGAAACCGACACCACAGAGCCCGAAGCACAACAAGCAACCCAGCCACCAAGCGAACCAACACCACGAGCTAAAGCAGTGCCTGTCAAGAGAAAGTCTCGAATTGCGACGGCTGCGCGTTCTTCCAAACTTGCTGTTCCCAAGCCAGTATCGACAGCTCCACTATTACAGCCAACAACATCTGCACCACAGCCCTCCGAGCCTTTGACCACCAGTTTGGGAACGCCTAAAAAGCCGCCTACCCCGTTCACTGCACTCAAGGCTCCATCCTTGTCTTCTAGACTCGAATTTGCTCCTCCAAAGAACAATGTCGCGGGTTCGGCAGTTGCTCACACGTCTTCCCTGCCTGGATTGTCAAGCCCCGCAAAGAAGCGAGTCAGGACCACACTGGGAAAATCAGCGGTGAGGCCGGCGACTGGACAAAATGACAGCGAGTTGCCAGGCTTGACATCCCCGGCGAAGAGGAAAAGAGCTGGCGTCAAGTCATCTTAGTGTGGCGCCAACATACCTTGTACATACATCTCAACCATCTGCATACTGCATCGTCTGGGAGCGAATGGTTTCTTTCACCTTGGGGTTTAGCCCGTATAACGCTTCACGACTCATGCCCAATCTATTTACGATCACAGGGATCCCACTTTTAAACAAGTCACGTCCCATGAATACAAAAGAGTCTTTCCATGTTGTAAAGAGTAATGATGTCGTTGTAGTGTTTAGGTGTCTCAAGTACCCAGTGATGACCTCTCAACAGCATCAGACTTGGACAAGTCGAATGCTTTGTCGGCTGATCTCATCACTTGATTCGTCCTCATCCTTGTCCCAACACAAACAACCCTGACCAATCCACCGCATGCCTTGGGCAATGGGTTTGGCAATCTGGCAGCTTGTGTTTTCAGCTCCATCCCTCAGCATCGCGCTTGAGCGCAATGCCCCCAATCTGGCTCTCCAAGTGTTCTTCGTCTGCTTCTTTCCAGCGGTTCCTAGAGTGATGCCTGAAGCCGTCTCTGCATCTTGGCCGTTGTTCCTTGTGCTCGAGGCAAGGTTGGTGACCTGAGGAGGACTTGTTGAATCACTCGTCGTTCCATTATCTGGTCCTTCTTCAATACGATTCTGCTCCGAGGCCACATTGCGGGTGCCTTGCAAAGTCTGACTTGGCTCCTGCAAGTCCACATCGGACATATGACGGAACCGCAAGCGATCATGACTGTGTAGTGATGCCGCATCGTCACGATATATCGGCATACCTGAGAAGGTGTACCTATCTTGCTCACCTCGAATTGGTGGCGTACCCCCTCTTCTTAAGTCTGATGTACCGACTACTAGTTGCGGATTCGAGAAGTCAGAGTTTGATGCCTAGTCTTGACTCGCAGAACGAACTGTCATTGTGTCTCTCTCGCCTAGAAAAGGGGCNAAAGGGGTTCTCTGTGGTACCGGTGCAAAGAATGGCAGCCTGTCTCTCGGCCTGGTCGCCGATTTTGTTGGTGGCGACGGAAAGCTCTCGATCATGTCGATGGTACGTACAGTATCAGAAGGATATGCTCTTGTGCTTTGGCATGCTTGCACTGTAGTTTGGACAAGTGGTCTCGAAGTCGAGTTAACTTCCGATATCCTCAGCTGTTGAGGGAGCGATACTGAACGAGCCCTTATTGCTCGAGCGGGGTTGACTGGAATGGCATTGCCGGCAATGGCTCCGAGGGCTCGTTGAGCCAGAGAAGCGCTAGCTGACTTTGATCGACACCGTCTATCCAAAGACTGTCTTTCGGCCAGTGTTGGTTCTGGGATTGGTGCGGCTTGTGTGCCATCTTGCCTATCATGTTCCGATTGTATGACTTCTGCGAAACGTGCGTCGTTGAGTGGATGTTGAGAAGGCTGATCGTAACGATAGGTCGAATGACCACTGACAGGTGGACGCCAACTTAGTGGTTGAGGGNNCCTACGGCGCGATCGAATCTCCCCACGTAGAGTCCTCAAGACGAAACGAGTACCTTCTACACGGGATAATGAAGTTGCGGAGCTCAGGGTTCTTGCCAGTGTCCGTACAAAGGAGACTCGGGCTTTTGCAGGCCATTGCGGTACACCTTCGGGCGTCTTCACACGATGAGGTGGCACAAATGGTGGTTGCCAAGGATGCACTGGATCATCCCTAGGGCTGGGTACATCTAGACCTGAAGATGTCTGAGTGATTTGAGAAAGTCCACGTCGATTCATGTATAGTATTGTATCATCGACGCTGGCAGCCTTGGGTCTTCTAGAGGATGCCTTAACGAGAGAAGTCGGTCCTTTCCTTCTGAAGGAAGCGAAAGACATCTGAGTTCGGAGCGTGGCAAGCGATTTCTGCTCGGCGATGGTGAAGAGAGGTGTACCGTGTGGGCGATTCACGAAGCGGACCATGTCATGTTGAGCATTTCCTTCACTCTTTGCTCGTGCGTGAAGAGATGAGGTCTTGTGATCTGCAGCAGTGGAGTGGCTGGAGGAATGATGACGACCCGAGTCCGAAGCAATGTCTGATACGCATGAAGGCGCTCTTGATGCATTGTATATCGATATATCGGACGAGTCGATTTCCGAAATGGCTAGGTCTGTAAGGTAACAAGATTTCCTGGAAGTTGATGGCCAGCTTCCGTTCGAATGATCAAGGTGTTTGCGATTAGTGCTATCGCGAAGCGGTTCTTGGATAGAAGATGGGGGAAAAGAAGCATGTTGATTGATTGCTACTTGCGGTAGGATGATTTGGGTAGAAGTATGGTTCGTTGTGCGAAAATCATGATACTCTGTTGGTTGGCTGATATCCCGCAGCACTTTCCTCGACAATCCTGCATGCCGTCTTCCGTTTTGTTTATGCGATCATTAGGGTTATGTGCGGCAAGAGATGGATCTCGACTTCCAAGGGAAGGAGTCCATATTTCTGAGCCAGATCAGCCCTTTCCTCACACATACTGATGCGCATCACTTGCTCGGTGAACTGAACTTCTGGACCTCCACTTGCTGAATTCGTACCCTAATTGCCGTGAGTCTTCCGAAGAACTTGCATGATTCAACGACTCTGTATATTAGACGACACGTTGCTGCCCAACGCTTACCTAGTCAAACAGGGGTGCTGCATTTACTTTACTTGGCTAGTCGTCACGGTGGACCTTCGAGAAGGCCAACAGAGTTGACAACCACAGCGCTCAACTTGCTGTCGGTAGTCACTAGACTGTCCTTTCCTGAACCGGAACTTGGTTTTTGCATGCAAGATATCTGACCACACTGCCGTTGTAACGCAATCGAATGTACTGCTTGCATCATCATCGAAGACATGATCAATATGGACGGTGAATACCAATATTGATCTCCTATAGTTCTTTGTGTCCTACAAATAGCCGGACCTCAATCCGCTGTATCATTGATGAGCGTCATGATCTGACAGGCAAAGGCTGGCTTGGCCGTCCAGGATGCCCACCTCATACAATGAATAGACGTCTCACATGTAAATGCAGAGTAGATCACAATAAACGGCACGGGCGGATCGATATCTACTATGCTCTAGGCTGGACACACTCTCAGAAGAAGCCGATATCGCTACAGCCCATGCCTGGACATGCCACTCGAATACTTGAAAGGTTGACACCTGCCGCCGATCATGCTGAAGAGTATCTTACTGTCTCGAGCACTGTTGGATGATGGCTCCACAACTACAACCTCTAGCACGCAGTGATTCTAAGACCAAATTTTACCAACGGCTTGGACTGTCTTCCCAGAAAAGTTCTGACAATCGTCTCTATGATTTGATGAAAGTGGGACAGACAATCTGTGAAAGATTGAAGGAATCACGCTGACTGCTTCTGCAGGACGAGGCAATTGTAGGACGAGAACGAATCCTGAGCAGTCCAGACAGTTTGTTGCCCCAGTTGAGAGGTGATCCTAATGCAAGTGTTAGGAAACGGACAANNAGGCTAGCATATGTTGTCGGCTGACAGATACAGGTACTACCACCGTATTCAAACGTTCAGATTTGTGAATCGGCAGTTCACAATGAGATCTTGAGAATCTATCGCGAGGCAAGCCCCGAGACCAAGTCCATATATGAGAAGGGACACGATTTTGAGAGTTTCAATGAAGAGAACTGGATTGTACGATGGATGCTGTGTAAGCCTAAGCGATGCAAGAAGAATGAGCTTGGCGGCTGACCTTCGTGCGTGTAGGGCATGTGTTTCGATTTCGGGACAGCAGAAACAAATCCGGACAATCCATTCAAGTAGACTCAAAGTCTCCGCCAATTGATGAAGCAACCAGCAGCAGTCATACAAGCAATGGGTATTGGGATCCTGTCAAGGACGCGCACCAGACAGCGCAAAGCTGAGATGTGATATATGCATAAAGAGCAACAGAGTAACAGAGTTTTTCCTGAGTCAAGCCTCACATCTCAAGCTTCGCACGTTCCGGCCTTTGTCGATATTTGGCATCAGATCGAAGATAGAACTGCTTGCTGAGAAAGATCATCAGGTTGCCAGATTTCAGCACCTCTTATCAAATTGGGTACAGCTAGCTGATCGCGTGTCGAAGAGGTTGATAGGCACAGGCTACATTATTAAGAATGAGGGTTTCACAAAATGTCATGGTTCGTTATGAGGGGTTCTTTTCGGAAAAGAAAAAAGTACAAATCATGATCAAACGATTAGCGGTATCTCAAGTTACAAAACCAGGGGTAAAGGGTCCAAAACACACCGCTCTTGAAAAGTCTATGACACAGATGATGAGACGGCAGAAAGGAAGATAGGACGGATAAAAGACGAGGGGTAATTTGGCAAAGAAGACAGTACAAGACAATAGGCATAAAGGAAAAAGGGATATCACAAGTCGATAAGACTGCCAGACTGTTGAGGGGCTTGCTGCTTTTGACCGAAAGGATTGGACGATGCATATCCGTTCGCGGGTCCAGTCTGTGCAGGGAACTGCTGCTGAGGCATGCCAGTGAATTGAGATTGTAAGAAGGGGTTGTTGCCAGTGCGCGAAGCTTCGAGTTTGGTAAGTCCTTGACCAGCACTGTTGACAAAGGTACCGGGAGCCGTGTGCTGAGCAGGAATACGCATGTTTCCAACATTGCCAAAGGTGTCCTGACCTTCGCCAGAAGAGAGAAGGGCATTGAGCTGTGCGCGGTGAGGATCCATAGGCTGGGCGGTCTGAGCTGGTTGTTGGAAAGGAGCAGCTGCAGGCGGAGGAGCTTGGTAGCTGGTGATGGGGTTGTACGCAGGCTGATTGAACTGTGTGGCCGTCTTTTGTTCTTGCAAAGCAGACAAGGTAGGAGCTCTCTGCTGCTGAGTCTGCTGTGGTCGGTTGAAAGACGAGGCAAATGGATTGTTTGAGCCAGTGGGCTGTGGGCGCAGAGCCTCTTGCGAGGCAGGCGATGAAAGAGCCCATGGGTTGTTGGAACCAGGTTGAGCGGTCTGCTGGGGTTGTTGCTGTTGCTGAGGCTGCATCTGAGTAGCCCATGGATTGTATCCGGTAGCCTGGGGCTGTACGAACTGCTGCTGCGGCTGTTGTTGCTGCTGGAAAGACTGGTCAAAGGCGGTAGGCTGTGGCTGTTGGTAATAGCCAGAATAGTCTTGCGAAGGGAAAGCGGTCTGCTGAGCTTGAAGCGGCTGCTGGTTGTAGGCGTTGTTCAAGTAACCAGTAGATTGGGGTTGCTGTTGTCCCATGGGGTTGCCAAACCAGTCAACGGCTGTCTGTTGCTGATAACCCTGGTTGAAGCCGGTGGGCTGCTGGGTCTGAGCGGGCGTATCGTCAAACAGCGAACTTGCATTTGCATCGTCGAATTCGCGCTTGCGTGCTTCTTCCTCTTCCTTGCTCAACTTGAGCGCTTTGGCCAGATCGTCATCTTCCTCGGGGCCTCTGTTCTTCATGGCACGTCGTCTGGCATCTTCCTCGGCCTCGTTCTTACTTGCTTCGAGTGCAAGTCTGTACTCGAGATCTTCGTCGTCGGTACGTACTCTATTGGCACGCTCGCGTGGCTTTCTCGGCGTCGAATGTGTCTCGCTGTCGTAACCTCCGCCAGACATGTCTTCGAGACCAGTAACTCTTGATTTCCATGAGTGTCTGTTTTGACGTTCGGAGCGCAGGCGTTCTTCGTCCATAATCAGAGAGGTCAACTCCTTGGCAGAGACACGAACTNNAACAAGATTAATCAGCAGGGTCAAGGCGTGACATTGTGAAGACATACTGTTTTGACCGACATCGCGGCCCTCCTCATCGAGGTAAATGAATTCACGGAGGGTGCGGATAATGTAGATGTTCTTGCGAGCCCAAGTGACGCACAACTCGGAGCCCTCGTGAAGGCAGTAGTCGAGAACTTTGAGCGATTTCAGGACGTGACGCCAGTTCTTGCCCTTGTCGTTGAGGCGCTTGTCGAGCATATCCATGACTTCATAGAAATCCGTCGAGCTGNNAAGGCATAGTGTCAGTACTGGTTGTAGGTGAGGCGCTGTGTGATGTGCAGACCTGTTGTAGGTAATCTTGGCGATTTCGGCCATGTCGGTGCCTGTCGGGCCCCAAGGATCGTTGCTGGTCGCTNNGTGCATGGTGTTAATACGGGCAGGCTTGTCGAGCGGCCAAGACTGACCATTTCTGACTTTGACCTGGACGGACGAGTATCCCTTGGTGACATTCTTGACACTCCTGAGCATATGCGACATGATGTGCGGTGAACTGGGGCTCGCAGCGGGCCCGATATGGTGCGGATGAAGGAGTGGTGAGCGATCGATGTGGACGTGTCAATGCGAGTGGATGGGAGCAGAGACAAGACAGGCAGCAGCGACGGCGACGACGGCGAGTTTGCTGTTGATTGCTACGGGACAGAAAGTGTAGGCTTTGGGCGTGCATGCGACGACGAGACGAGGCGTGTGGAGGTTCCAGTCGTTGTTCTCGGCACGTCTTCGTCATCGGTCCGTGCAGCCCCAAGCCCCATGGACAGAGTCCCTGCCACTGCCAACTTACTTGCCTGCCCCTTTGGGAGAATCATTCTTGTTCTTATAGTATTAATCACTTCTTTGGTAGTGTGCAACAACATGTGCATTTTTCGCTGCTTTGGCAGTCTCTATAGTATAGTTACACAAGCGTCAAGTCATTATCAGCCTCCGACGCAACCACGCCCTACATATATGCCGCTGAAAGACTCAAAAGAATAGCAAAATGCCACCACTGTCCCACCAGAACACCGAAAGTCGGCAGAGCCACTCTAGAAAAATAGAAAGACAAACGAATGAATACTGTCAAAACGCCCTTCCGTGCATCTGCCCACAATCTGTGCTGCAGCTTTGTCCGTGTATTGAGAAAGCAAAAAATGAGAATACGACGAGACTGTCGAAATTGGACTCCGTCCTACTCTTTCACACCCAGTGCGCCTATCTGCCAAAAACCCCCGCGCCGTTTATGCTGCCAAATGTCTTGTACATGCCTTATTGCGGGTGTTGAGCCCAAAGCTCCTGACCTACGTGGCCAATGCGTTGCGCGTGGTAAGGGTCCATGGGATCCGTGCTCTGAGGGCGACGCATGTTTTGGTTCTGGTAATACAGGTTTTGTGCGTTTTGAACGTACTGCTGAGTGTTGGGATCAGGGTACGAATAGTCGGCTTGCTGGGCTCCACCAATAGATTGGTGAGCAGGAGACTGCCAGCCCGAGCCACCCATGTGGGGGCTACCACCAACGCTGCCATTCTGGCTTGGCGGGTTTGTGGTGGGCGGTTCCAGAGTCGAAGGTAGAGGGTATGCACCTGGGTGAGAGGTCAATGGCTGACGGGCTTGACTAGCTGAGCTGGGCATCGAGTAATGAGAGTTGGCTGGGGAGGCGGAACGCGGGCTGTGTGTAGCCATTTCGTTACGCATGTGTGGAGGCATCGTCATACCGCCGTTCATGGCATTCATGTAGTAGTCCGAGGTGGAACGCTGAAGTGCAGCAACGCCGTTCATACCACCAGCGGGCGAAACGGAGACGGGGCGGTCGTGAGGAGAGGGAGTAGGCATTGGCGACTTGTTCTCCGAGTATTCTTCTCCATCAGAGCGCGATCCACGCGTCTGCATCGAGGCACGCGAAGCCAAGGCTGCAGCAGTGGCAGCGGCTGATTCTTCAATGGTGCCGGTGTGGTGGTTTTGGTGACGCGTCAGAGTTGTGCGACGCGTAAAAGTCTTTTGGCAGTCGGCGTAGGGGCACTTGTAAGGTCTCTTGCCAGAATGGATTCTGCGATGACGTGCAAGAGAGGAGGAATCGCTGAAGGGCTGTATAGAGACTGTTAGCAAATTTGACGTGACAGCAGAATCTGGAGACGCGTTAACGAACCTTGCCGCAGCGCTCACACATGTGAGGCTTCTCTCCAGTGTGGACGCGAGAGTGCACTGTAAGAGCAGAACGCTGAATGAACTGCTTTCCGCAGCCTGGNNGTAATCGCACACGTGAGGGCGCACTCCGCTGTGAATACGTTCNTAAGACGCGTGTCAGCACTGAGCTTCCCGAGACCTCACAATCAACATACCATGTCTGGCAAGATCACTTCTGCGAGCGAATCCCTTTCCACAGGTCGAGCATGCAAAAGCCTTGGGCAGGCCACTTCCAGTACTACGCTGAGTCGTTTCTTGTTGAGGCTGTTGATCCTGGACTGGCGGAGGGGCTGCGTTCATGGGTGGTTGAGCATATGCTGGGTCGTTCGAGGTAGGGTGATATGTATGTTGGATCAAGGGCATCTGCTGGTGCAACTGAGAAGGCGAGGGGTAGCGCATGCCAGGACCAAGGCCGTTTAGACCTTGAGGTGGGTAGGCGGCGGGATGAATGGCAGGGGGAGCTTGAGACGAATAACGGGACGAAGGATCCGAAGGGTGAGGTGAGACTCCGCGCTCGGAACCATTCTCGGACTTGATTCTACCGGCGGGCACGTAGAGGTTCTGAGTGTACTGAGGCGCGGGTGCCGCCGACGACATGTCGTGGTGGGCCGGAGGGGGNTAGTGAGGGACTTCGTACTGCATGACTCTGTCGGGAGTGTCTGATGGAAACTTGTTAGTATTCAGGATGCTATTCAACTTCATTCTGCCGCCGATGCCGCTGTCCCTCCTCATGCTGGGCCACAAGAGTGAATCGATCCGAGGGAGCAACATGTGTGTGGCCGTATGAGACAAAAAGATATGTCTACGTATGTGCAAGAAGACGTTTGGCACACGGCGTGTGTGTGTTTGGGACTACTGACTGATGGGCAGGATTTTTTCTCTTCGCCAGGCACGCGTTATAGTGAGATGCGCGACGAGGTGCAGACGAGGAGAGAGCAGAGGGTTACTAGACAAACGCGTCGAAGACAAGAAAATCTAGCGTTGTTGTGGTGGTGGTGAGGAGCGAGAGCGAGAAAGGCGGTCAGGACTGGATTAGGATCATGTTAGTTGCTGGACATTAAAGACGGTCGAGGGTCGAGTGAAAGAAGAGGCGGCGACGATAAGGTGAGTGGATGAGTGAATAGAGGGAGGGACCAACAAAAGCGTCAAGGCGTTGCGGTCGATATGCGGTCGATGCGCGCGATGGATGGATGCAGCACAAGAGGGACGGGTGACGGGAAAACGCGTGTGTTGATGGAAAAAACGAACAACGACGAGGGCGATGATAGGGAGGCGAGGATTGGAGAGATAACACAAGCATACCTTTTGATGGAGACAATGATGAAAACTGCGCACAGTTTGTGTAAAAGAAACAAAAGAAGAAGCCGCGACTTAACACGGAGACTCTTTCTTGATCTTCTGTTCGATGAAGAGTGCGCAGAATGGAGGGTTTGGAAGGAAGGAGCGAAGACCAGGATGCGACCGGTGTGAATTTTGGCAGGGAGCGTCCCACGAAGGTCAAATGTGGCTGTGGCCGACGCTATCCCGGATTTGGTTGGCTTCTTTGCTTCTCAAACACTGGCTTCTTCGACTTTTCCTCTCTGCTCGAATTACACTCCTGCTGTGCTGCCTCTTGGGGAGATTGCCTTGTGTCAGATTCTCTGTGGAAGGCACCTTTTACTTTCGTGCCTTGCAAGTCTCTTTTCCCCTTTTTCTGCTCGAATTTCTGCCGACCTAATGTGCTTCTGCACGACGTCACCGGCTTCTATTATGGTCACCTTCGAGAAGGTCGAGAGAAGTCCCGAGGGAAAACGCCCCTTGGTCTGTTTCACTCTTTTCTGACGAGTCACGGATGTCCTGCACCCCTTGACCGACTTCCTGGGCGCTGTTTCGAGGCTCTCCGAAAGAAATGAATTATTCAGTCCTGCTTGTTTTCCAGTCCAGTCTTTTTGATTTGATTCGTAATCCCACAGAATTGTTCGGATCTCTACGGGATTTGGTTTCGTGTTCTCTTGTTCCAGGGTTTTCCAGTGGTGTGTGTTGATAATGTGTGTCGGCCTTCTTCTCCTTCCAGGGCACAATACGCGTATCTATCCGTGTGACCGAAGCGGTTCTCGGATCACGACAAGTCCGTAGAACTGACGTCTGGTCTTGATCTCAGTTGCAACTTCATGCGGTTCGTTCGGCTCTAACTTACCTTTTTATTTTGGTGTGCAATAAATAGTCGCAGCCAGCAGTCTTGATATAATAAGAGTTCGGACACGCTGTGATCTGATCCGATTATAGATGTATCTGTGTTGATTGTTGATATAACAGACAGGCAGTCGACGATCAAGCAAAGGTATCAAGTCGATGATTGGATGATGGTAATCAAGAGTGGATTTCAATGATGAAGGATGAAAAAAGTGCACAGGATGTGGTCAAGTTATGGGCGATGGGACGGAATAAAAGCAACCAGGAACGGCGGCATTCTCTTGCCATGATGAAAGAGAGGCTTCACACTGGCCTTTGCCATATTCTACTACTGCATCTTGATCTGAGCGTCCCCCTGTTGACCAGTATCCAAGCGGGTTCGAAATAAGCATGTATGCTCCGCACCCGCTGTTCCATCAATCTCACNTTATGGATACGGGTCTGATGAGCGCATTGTCAATCTCAATATGGTCCAGATCTGNNATTGACTGTCGAATCATGTTCCAACATCTACCAACAGATCAGTGCGTTCACTTACTTATCCAAGCCTAGCACCTGTTCGGTCAGTCAGAAGGATCGTGTAGTGGTCGAAGCTCTCTCACAACCCTCCAAGAAGTTGACAGATGGGTGATGCTTGCAGCAAGCGTACGCAACTTGGGACAAGTCAATTCCGCCACCAACCCAGAGGCTTGGTNNAAGTTGGTGGCTGCAAAGTGTGCACACCTGCATGAAAGATTTCCCATTCTTGCAAATCATCTGTGCAGGCAAGCTTTGGCGACGGCGACTGCGGGACGGACCTGTCCTGCCCTGACAGATCCGCTCGACGATACAANNACCAAGTCGACAAGCACTGTGCGCATTCGAGTCTTGTGTGTATGTGCCTTGGGAGACTTTCAGTTGTCAATGATCAGAGCGCATCAAAAACTGTTCAAGGGTTCAACAAGCTCGGCTGCTCAGGAGCACACGAAGGTCTGTTACAGCACACGTTATGCGGAACCGAGCAACAGCTATCACCACAAACGGTCGCACTCGTGTACTCGGGTAGTGCGCACCGTTGCTGTTCAAGAACCTCTACTCACGGCCCAGGAACCACTTTGAAACACTCGCGAGAATGCACCAAGACGCATCTTTGCAGGAAACCATTCTGGTGGTATCTTACAGCCATGCACGCTCGGCCATCAGATCCCTCTCATTTATTGTGTGTGTCCTTTTTATCACAACCAATGACTTGCGATCAGGACAGATGACCCGGTTGCGTCAGGCCGACAGCACTAAAGGTTCCATCTGCTCACCCGATCTAGCCGCCGAAAGGAACTTGGCCGAGGGCTTCAAATGAGCCATCACTATCGAATTTTTAACAAGCATACAAACAGCAGATGTGACTGTGCAATGATCTGTTCAACGATCTCCAAATCGAACATCAGCAGTGCTTTTACTATTAAGATATCTAGATTGGTGACGCCATTGACTGTGATTCGATGGCGCAAGGAAGACAGACGTGCGTTGACAGCGGCCAGAAAGTGGCAGGTGTCGGTGCGTCTCTTGCACTCGTCCCTCTTGAGGACCCAGCTACCTGGATTTGCTTGTCGACATGGGCGATCGCGCCATGGGCTAGTTCTTTGTCCGTGTGTTCCCCGCCGCCATGCTCTGTCAACGTGCATCAACCGCGGGTCGTAGTGAGTGTCTGTTCTTTTTGTGGACCTTGCCAGGGGAAAATCATCCGCCATCGACCTCACAGAGTCATGTTAAACATGTATCATGAGGAGCCATGTGGAGATGTAATCCCATACCGGCCTCTAAATTGCCGGTCATACAACTTGTCTTAGAGGCGAAACATTTCTAGCGGAGCCGCCGTCGAATGGCTATCTGCTGCAGCACATAGATTTGCTAACAATCATGCAACTACTACGAAACTTGTCCTTACCCACCAGCAGCGTCTGCGGATGTTCTACGCATGCACCACTCAACGAGAAACCGCGAGCTCATGCCACCGATTCGATGCATGCACTCGAAGGTTAGTATCCTGCACGCAGCAGACAAGGCTGAGCCCTACAAGGTTTCGGGGAGCAGACACCAACGGTGGAAAGAGCTCGTGCTCTATCGGCGTCATATAGGGCTTGCATATACCGCTCTGGACAGCCATAGATACCAACCTATGAGAGTGTTCATGGTACGACACGGCAATTTTAATACTTGAACGCACACACTGTAAGATTTGTATTCATTCGGCCGTCTGACAATTTGAGTTTTCGAATATCAATCTACAGCTTAAGGAGAGATACTACATCGGGCCATTGGCAATGTAGCACATTGAGTCTGAGGTCGCGCGAAGGGAACAGATCGCGAGCGAGGTTTGTATGCCTTGAAATCATCATCACTGTTTCGAGAGAGCTGGTAATTGATTGCCATTTGTGCCTTACGCACGTACTCTGCTCTTTGACCATCTTGCCAAAATGATTGACGATGAGCCATCAGATTGAGGCTGCAGATTGCCGCCGACTTGGCGACGTCCTATCCTAGCCGATCACGTAACCGACTTCCGCAATGAGTCTCTTGCATCTGCTTGCATGATGCATCAATTAACCATCAGGTATCAATTCACTTTACAACACCAAAATCAGGCTGTCAGAACATTAGAGGCGGCCATACTGGACGGTCCTTGATCGCATTCTCATTGTGGCCCTGGTCGTCCGCAAATCTGACTGGTTTCTTCAAAGTTTCCTGAGGGGACACAATTGGTGTACCTAACACCGACTGCTGTGCGAAGAACCGCTCACGTCTCATTGTCAATGAAAACATGCAAGATTAATATATGCGATGAACGTCTCACCGACTCTTTGACCTGACTCACAACGCAATCGTCGCGACGAACCATTCTCGGAAGCCGTGAATTCTGCCTTACCAAGAGCGTCTCTGCTACGAGCAGATCCTGTTTGCACTCTGCTCTATTCGAGAATTCTGATCACGAATGTGTATTCAGATACACACTTCTGTAACATGAAACAGACGTCGTAGTCTCGTACTAATTGCCCAATTCCTAAAGAAGCAATACGAAGGCCATGTGAGCATAGCATTGACCATCGGCTCCAGCACATCGGACATTCTGGATATCTTCCCTCACCTGCATTAGCAGCTTTCTCTAACATTACTCTACCGCTATCATAACTTTGAAATGGCCGAGCTTCCGGATTAGACTTTGCCCTGGTGGGCAGTGTTAGACTGCATGAATTGGGAGGCCTGAGGTGGGAGTCACAATGACCTCTTTTGTCGCTGCTATCCGAAACAGATGAGACAACCGTCTCCTTGGAGATGCATACGATTACATCACTCGAGATGTTGCTGTCGAGCTGTCAATGATTCATGTGTCTGAGAGGGTCAAATCGCTCGCCAGTTAGTGATGGAAGAACTGTTCTCTGGACTCACGGAGCATTTGCTGTCGATGAGTCAACCTGGTGCCTTTCAGCTTGCAGACGCCTTCATGCTCAATTGGTGACTACTGCACGAGACTGGATATAGCTCCGCATGAATCCTTCTTGTTCACCTTCTACTGTACCTCAGCTCACACGCATCTGCACACTCCCTGCGTGGCTTCTGACCACGAGGTCTATCTTTGCATGAACTCCGCTGGAACCCAGCCGTTTTGATTCTGGGAACCTCTTGTCCCCAGTCACCTGGTTCCAGGCTTTTTGCTGTTGGTAAACCTTCTGGCTGAGCGTGTTGTCGAGCGTCCCCGTGTACTAAAGTCTGTGACCCCCACCGTACTCCGACTTTAGCTAAGAGCAAGATGTATGCCATAAAAGACATAGTTGTTGCTTCTCAGTGGATACTATTATCATTATCGTGCATTTCTATAGGCATACGCTGTGCATACTTGAGTACAGGGGGGAAGTGAGGAGCTACTTGTGAAGTCGTCAATGTCTGGAGCGAGTACCAAATACAAGATCGACAACAAGCCTATAGATCCAATTCGATAGTCTTTTAGCACTTCAAATGCCCAGAGTCTTTAAGTTAAGTGCAAGAGTTGCAAACTTGCATCGTCGTAGAGCATGTATCGAACTTGCTATGAGATACCAGGGTCATACTAACAACAAGATTACTTGGCGACCAGATAAACATATTGTCATAGCTGTTTGAAAGCAATGAATGAAGCTGCAACTACCAAAAGAAAGACGCGAATCTGGTGAAGAAGTAGCTATCTCGATCAATAGTTCTAGCAACAGCCAAAGCAAAACTTTGTAACAACCAGCGAATAGGGTATATAGCGCTAAACCATGTCATGAATTCAGAAGCAAGAAAACAAGAACAAAAAATAGCCTCCTGTCATGCAGTCATTATCGTTACTGATTCTCCAGCGAACCGATCACTCCCCCCACACGTTACTCTGTGATTCTCTGCTTCTTCTTCGGCGTACCTTCGAGGACCAGGCTTCCTGACTTCTTCATCTCAGACAATGCATCATCGGTAATCTTTCTCTTCTTAGTGAGCGCCTGCTGCCTCTCAGCGATACGCTGCTCGAAGTCAGAAGCAATCTTACGCCTGTTCTTGCGTGCAGCTTTGAGTTTCTCGAAGACTTCTGAGAAACGCTCTTGAAACCAGTCTCCGGCCTCTTCCCACTGTTCAAGCTTCAACGAAGAGAAGAGCTCCTTCTGACGATGAACGTCAAGCTCAATAACGGATGCAAGTCTCTCGCTTAGTGGTTTCGAGAGGTCAGACTGAGTGTCGTGAAGATCTTCACGAGGTGCACCATCGAAAGGTTCGTTCTGCAACTCAGCAAAATCCTTTAAGTACAACTCCTCTAGGTCGTAATCGAGATCTTCTGGGTGTGTGTTCTGTTCGTGGGTTTCCTCTGGAGGATCTTGGGTCACGTGTTGTTCCTCATGATCGAAACCGTCGAGAAGCTGGTCTTGATGATCAACCCTTCTTGTATGGTGCTGACGACGATGATCAGCTTCGTTGACGCGTTGTTGACGGTGATCGATTTGGGCACGAGTAGGCTGTCGGTGTGCTTGGCTGGGTTGTTCGATAGGGGCGTGTGAAGTGGACTTGTGGACTGCGGCCGTCTGGGCGGCAGCTTGGAACTGCTCTGGACCATGTTTGGCCACAGGCTGAAAGACCGCTTTGGTCTTGCTTTGCGATTTATTCTGATATTGTACATCTCTCTGACTTATCGTTGGGTTGGTTGTGACTTTGAACTGATCCTTGAAATGTTGCGTATGAAGCGGTTGTGGCTGGATGACCAAGGGAGTGGAAATGACCGGTCTCTGTGGGATCTTGGTCGTCGTATGAAAATCACGAGGCTGCTCAGCACGGAAATGGGCTTGTGGATGCTCGATATCGACTTCATCTTCAGAGATCTCGTCTGGATCTGGCTCACCAGAAGTTGTAGGAGGATAAGAGTTTGGGCTGACTTGGCGAGGACGAGCCATGTCTTGATGCACCTGCGACATCAACTTGTTGAGCTCTCCAACATCTGCATGGCGGCCGTTTTCTTGATGAATCTCGAGAGCCTCCTCGTCATATCGATCGTACTCTTCCCCATGCTGAGAAGCATCTGAAGCATAATCTTGATCATTGAGGGATGACTGAGTTGCATCAAAAATCTCCGTGTCTGTGTCATACATGTGATGGCCATTGTGCTCGTGGGCATTGCGCGTCGTTTGGGCTGTTGCTGGCCGAGCAGGATGTGGTGCATCCCAGTGACCGTTGGACTCTCCAGGATTGCGACTTCGAATAAACTTCTCCATGCCTGGCATGATGGCCAACACTCCGAGATATGTCGATCCGAAAGAGTGAGGATGTGGATGGTAGAAAAGTCGCTCGAATGGAATAAACAATGCGATAAGCTCCTTATCGTCAACCCCGCGCTTTCCCAATCAGATTCACGTCACTATTTAGACCCTGTCCTTTAGCCAGCCACTTCCTTTCTTCAATTCGCACCTGCCGTGTCTCGATTGACGGATTCTACTCTCGCTTCAAACACCCAAGATGAATGATACACAGCATCGCGGTTTTGATGCCTTGCCAAACGAGGTACCACCAATACCTACCCCATCTTGTTTCTCAGTAGTATCCGGCTAATGGCCAGGGCAGCTTCTATACGACATTTTGCAATCCTTTACTACAAAACATGTCTTGACCTTTGCTCCAGTCTCGCGCAGGTTCCATTCTATCTGCGTCAGAATCCTGCAGAATCGCTTGACAGTTGCTGCTACTCTGCTCGACCACGTTTTGATACTCGAACTATATCCGCCAAGTGCTAGATTGACGGCTGGCAAGCTGTTTTGTACATCCCTAGGTACCTCTCTACTCGACGAAGAGTCTCTTGAGAGCGTCTCAGACTCGGCAAAGATTGGACATCTGGGAAAAGCCGTCTATTCCAAATTCAGACCTCAACATCAGGAGGTGCGAAGACCCTCCCTGAAACATCCTGCTGGGGACATTCCAGGCTCGAGAACTCATCCAAGTTCTGCTGATCCAAGTATTCACGCCCACAATGCAGAGAGTAATCTGGTCTCTCAACAGGTTTCTCTGGATGCGGACGAGTTGTTTACTCAACTGATCGCCACTCTGATGCTAGTAAAGCCAGGACCGCGTCCAGACACTATACTTACAGCTGTCGAGGTCTGCGAAGGTACCATCAGAGTTTGGAGAGATTGGCTGGCCAAACAGAACAAAGCGAACATAGATTCGACATCGTCACGCTCTCCTGCAGATGATCCGTCTACTCTTTGGGTCAACACGGCAGATCAAGCTGTTGGTGTCAAGTTTAGAGTCAAAGAGAGAAAGTGGAAAAGAGATGTTCCTATCTTGGTCTCTGCAGACGAGGAAGTTGCCGTTTCGTATACAGTTGATCTTGAAGAGGTTGTATTGAGGACGTCGCACCTATTGTTCATGGTGGAGGAATCACTAAGAGAACAGTACGAGCCACTGAGTAGGCAGCTGTACTTGAGACCAGTCTGAAACTTTTTGACGTTTCGAGGGTTCGTAGAAGCAGTTTCAAATGACTCAACCTCTTGGTCTACCCAGTAGCCTTGCTCCAAGTTTCGAAACCTTGAGAACATCTCTGTATGTAAGACTGATCCGAGTGGTGCGCACGTTTTTGCCTCCATTTTCAGTAAAGATTTTGCTGTCGCCGAGAAGAGTCCAATTAGCCACAGTGTCGGGTCTCAAGTCCTCGTCAATATCGATTTCTGAGATTCCATGTAGAGTGTCGGTATATGCAGACCCACAAGTGACAAGAAGAGAGCGTGGTTCTTGCAAGACACGCCACTTGGGTGATGAGCTGACTGGAGCTTGATCCCCATCCTGATTCTTCTCGTAGATATCAAGACACAAAGCACTTGACAGGCTTACAGTGGCTACGATCGGGTGATATGCTGCGCCATCCTCGTGTGGCATGATACCTTCATTTGGATTGTACTCGTTGATCAAGACGTGATTAGGCGAGTGATGTGGACTGTCACTGAAAAGACCAAGTGATCTGAATTTCGAGATGATGGGTTCAACGAGCCAAGGAGGCAGCGGCGCTTCAAGGAGGGTGTTGCTTTTNGATAGTGAAGATGGATGAGTTTGCAAGCGGCGGTGTTGTAGTTGGATCCAGCGATTTGATGGTATTGCGGTCAACAAATCTGCTTCTTCCTTGTCGTTGATGAAGTTGGGCACATAGAACATGCTCTCTGGTATCTCCGGAATCCTGTGGTTCTCGAATGCACTGCTTGTCGCCATGTTTGGGTGAAATTGCCGGCAAGATGTGATAAACAATTGGAGGAAGTGTCTGCAATAGCGATTATATGCCCGATGATCGTCCGCAAGATGGCAACACGTTGCGCATTGCTCACTTGCACAATCGAATCAGACGCGATGTCAACAAGATTGTTGTCAACGACTTGAAGGAAACAACGCTTGGTTGCACCTGCACAATTCAGAGTCGCGAGGCCAATAGCACCTTCTTCTTTAAACAACAATCCGCCCGACCACATCAAGATGGCACCAAAAAACAACAAAGGCAAAGCGAAGGAGCCAGAGAAGGCCGGCGCAGCGAAAGTGAAAGGAGGTTCGTACAGAGCAATTTTCCCTATTCAGCATGCTGACCTCCATTATCACACAGCTCAGAGTATCAATGTCCGCCACATTCTATGTGAAAAGCACGCAAAGAAGGAGGAGGCACTTGCCAAGTTGAATGCTGGCGTGAAGTTCGATGAAGTTGCCAGAGAATTCTCTGAAGACAAGGCTCGTCAAGGTCAGTCGTTCAATGCCACGGTTCATGTGAGAGGTTTTCTGACGACATTCGTCACAGGTGGTTCACTAGGCTGGAAGACCAGAGGAGGTCTCATGCCCGAATTTGAGAATGTTGCTTTCGAATTGCCGGCCAGCACCACCAACAGCCCCAAATGGGGTGAAGCCAAGACTAGTGAAGGCTACCACATTATCATGGTTGAAGGTAGAAAGTAGGGAAGAACTCTTTGTCTGAAAAGCTTCATATTAAGGTCTGCCATGCTTTACGACTTTTGTAGAATTAAGGCAAAAGATATGATCTGACATTCATTCAACTGGCGAAAAGAATTGCGAAGAAAGAAACATCCGCTCGAGGACATTCATAAGGAGCGTAAGAAGAACAAGAAGAGGAAGGAACCTCGATGAGGTGCCAAAGAAAAAGAATCAAAACCTTGAACGATTCCCGATCGTTCATCAAATGTCTAGCATCCGTGCCATCACCCAGCATATATCCATCCATAGAGACATTATCATCTACCAGGTAAAACTCTCCTCGTAGAAATCAATAGTCGTCTTCTCGCAGCGTTCTCTGACGGCACGTCTGACATCGTCACCCAAACCTCCAGTACCACAGACACTGACGGCCATGGCGCCAACCTGTTTGGCTTGTTCTGCAGAAATCAGAGCACCAACGTCAGGCTTACCAGGGAACATCTGAACTGAAGCGCTAGGCGAATGGATTTCCTTAGTGCTCTTGGGACGAGTGACGAAAAGAAGAATACGGAGACAATCACGTCTCTTCTCCATGGCCAAAATCTCAGTCATCCAAGGACGAATCCACTCGAGATGTTCTGGGCTCTGGAGGATCCATACCAAAACGACCTTGCGAGTAGCACAGGTATTGTTGGCGTAGCCACCGACAAGCNNTTGACGGGCATGTGGCACGGCATGAGTGATACCAACACCAGCAGCGAACAGCATGACGTGACCATAGGACTCATAAGAATCCGCAGCTCCATAGGGACCCTCGACAAAGGCATTGGTAAAGAATCTGCCATCAGGAGCATTCTCAGCTTTCGTCCAGAGCGAGTCGGTGAAACCGGTACGACGACGAATAATCAGAGACATGGTTGTCTTGCGTCTGGCCAATACGTCGAGTGCATCAGTTGGCAATTTCTCGGAGGTGAGATCCTGTTCCTCTTGACTCCAAGCGATGGTGAATGGGTGACTTGTCCACATGCCAACCGAAGGCAGGTACAGGTAGAGGTGTTGACCAGCACGGAACTTCCAAGGACGTGCCATGCGAATGGTGACTCTGATAGCCTCACCAGCCAGAGCCTCGACTTCAGCTTTGGTACCGCCGCGACCGACATTGTGGCGAATAAGAATGGCGAGGCGTGCAGTACGTTCAAAGACCCAAATAACAATCACACCAAGAATCAAGATCTGCTGGGGAAGTGTCTTGAGATGGATCCATACAGTGACGATAGCAATGACTGCCAGGATAATGTGAACGTGCAAGAAGGTTTCGTAGAATGCATGGCGGACGACTGATGGTGAATGTAGCAACAGGACGATGAAGGCGCAAGTAGCCTGTTTGGATGTGAGTCAACGAAGAAAATGCCAAAGGTAGGTACAACTTACGATCGTGCCAGTCAGGATGAGCTGACTGCTTGCCATGGCCTTTCCAATGATATTCCAGCCGACTGAAGATGAGGGAGCTNNTCACCAAGGTTAGTCGAGTGACAATCACAAGCAATGATACAACATACCAGCCATAATCTTGCTTGCCATCCATGCTGCAGTATGAGCCACTGCTTCAAGAACCACGATACGGCCAATCCAACGGTGCATCAGATTGTAAGTATCGAATGAGATATCGAGCAACTTGATCAGCGGGTTGTTGCGACCAGCCAGCAGGAATAGGGGCAGCATGTTCATCACTGACAACACGCCTGTGCGGTTTCTGATCTCGGTAGCAACATTACCACCGCTCCAATGAATGCTAATGACGCAGAAGGCAATGTTCATTGCTAGATAGCCTNNGGAGAAAGAAGATCAGCAATTTATACGTCGAGAGGGCATATGTAACGACAAACCAATGAGGTACATAGTCTGAAGTCTGCCTGGTAACGTTCCCATGCTGGCTGCAGCCGAGAGCTTGAACTCGCGATTGTGTCTTCTGCGGAAAAGAGGAGCATCGATGATGTTGCGCCTCAGACTGGCCCATCCAGGGTGAGGACTGACAAAGTAGTGCTGTTTCTCGTTCTCCAGGCACGCAAGTGTTCGAACATAGCGCAAAGCAGTAACCGTGATGCGATAAGTGAAGATTGCTGCGACAGTCGCGGCCCAGACATAACCAAGGTACCATTGGATACGATGGTTCTGATAATAGGAGTCGTAGAGCAGGGCCTTCTGCTCGGGTGTCATGCTGGGACTGTAGGCCGTTACAGCGGTCGTAAGGACGGCAAAGAGCAATGGAGTGTTGTATGATGCCATGTTGGATGGTTCTCACTGATCAACAGGAGGGGTTGGTAAACAATGAAAGGATTGCAGAATCTAGACTTCTACACCGTTGACATTCAAAGGGGTTGCTCAAGAATGAAAAGGTGGCCGGCACCGTAGCTTCGAGGACGAGAGAAGCTGAAAAGGCTAGACCTGAAAGATACTGAAGAACGAATGGACGACCAGCACAGCTGTCTTAGGGATGCAGTGTCGGGCAAAGACTGGGGTCGGTGGCACGCAAGGTAAAGAATCGCAATCACTGTAAATAGAAATGACGGAATCCGTGAAGGAAGGGAGGCGAAGTGTTGATTCAGAAGGACTGTCAGAGATTTATCGTGCTTCAAACACCTGGTCTTTTACCCTATCCATGCACGTCTCCCTTGTCAGCATGTGCCTCTAAAGTGTTTTCGCATCGTCTTGGTGGTGACTGCTGCACGTTTCCTGTTGCAACCGGGCCCAAAACATGAAACACGAAATGGTGGGTCGCGGAGTCTAAGGAGCAGGTTTTGGGGTGAAGCGGCTACCGAAACTGACTTTCCAGGGGTACTTTGTCCAGCGCCTTGCGATTCGATCTGACAGCTGACACTGCTTCATAGCTGAGCTGGCGCTTCGTCGATCATGCTTCACACCCCTGCCAGGCACACATCTTCGGATCGAACCACAGCCTCAAACCGTGGCCATAGCATATTCTGCAGCAACACAGCACACAAGCTCTCGTCCTCTTCTTGGATCTAGACAACGGTAGTAGAACCAGCGGGGAGCCTGGTCATCGAGCGCCACAGCGTTACAGTCTCCATCTTGGATACGCGTAGCCTATGGTTCACAACCACTACGTACTTCTTTGTTCTGTGTTGACAAACAAGAATATTGATTGGACAACGAGATTACCTAGTCTGCACAATTGTTGTCCGATGTCAAGGCTTGAGATTTGCACGAGCAAATCGCACATCTACTGCTTCTTCTCCATGTCTCACACAAAAGAGTTCGTCTTCTCCTGCAATCCTCGCTCTTTTGAGAGTGCAACTGCAGTTGCCAACTTCTCGCGTGCTTTTAGAGTTCATTTCTCTCGAAGAAGCAAGTATGACATGCTCGCTTGGACTCTGGCTCATTTATCTCTAGCACGACAAGTCTGAGCATTGTTGTTAGCGAGGAGATTCGGCTGCTTGGCCAATATGTTGCTTGATATGATCATATGAAGGACATGCACAACCAACCGTAAGTTTGGCGCGCTAAGCGGAATCAGCAGCAGAGGCCGGAAGATCCATCAAAATGTGCAATTGCCGCCCAGCAGTAGTTACAACAAGGACCATCGGAGATTCGTCATTGCCTCTTGTCGTAATATCTTACCCGAGGCGTCTATGTTCTACCTGCATCGCAGCAGATCACAAGGTTGCTTTCTAACCAAGACGGTGATCTTACTGCGCAAGCCTCGGATATATCGTGTCAGATCGTACTTCACAGCCTTGATATCATGAAGCTACCAGTTGCGTAGATGTAAACAGAAGAGACCCGTAAGTCAGGATACTCCGAGATCAGGTCTAGAGCCGGGATCAGAATTCATGTGGTGTAACATGCACGCATGTCGAGCATACGGATCTTCTGTGAATCAAACAAGACTGGTATGCATCCATCTCGCAACTCTTCCGATGGGTGTTACAGGCGAGGCACACAGGCATAGCTTTTGCAGGTGTCGTCGAAAAACGGTAGAGAGCACGTCCTTGGTCAGTCAGTCGTTCAGTGCATGAGAAAGTGAACACTACCGCAAGGCAATCGATAGGAAACAAGGATGAGATATAAAAGCTGTCCAACTTGGTGTTGGGAGGTTGACAAAATTCGAATAAGTTCATTCATGAGCATGACTGAGGCATTCGTGAAAGTGGAGGTTTACAGGTCAAAGGTTGAAGTGGTCCGTGCACTGGCTTGCGGACTTGCGCGCGCGCCCTCGTCTCCCGACGCTCGATCAGCCAGCGACTTCGACCGACCTTGACATTTACCAGATTGCAATCAACATTCACCATGTCGTGGCGCAGTCAAGGCATCACCGGTAGCAACAACATTCCTCTTGGTAACCGTCGCAGGTTTGAGGCGAAGATGGCTCACCCGCTGCCGAGGAGAGCTACAGCAGCGGCCCCGTCGAAGGCGAGAGCCTCAAGCGCGGTCGCAGCCCTGTCAGAGGTATGTCCGTCGCATCCAACATTTCTGCACTCTGCTCACAATTGCCTACAGAGCTCAACCCCGACGGTACCAAGAAGAGAAAGAAGCGCAACCGATGGGGTGACGCAACCGACAACAAGGCCGCTGGTCTGATGAACTTGCCCACCGCCGTCCTTGGAAACATGACAAGCGAACAGCTCGATGCCTATACACTGCACTTGCGTATTGAGGAGATCAGCCAGAAGCTGAGGATCAACGATGTTGTCCCAGCCGATGGTGACAGGTGAGTTTCATTTCTTCCCTTTCCCTTCCGTTATACAACTGACACGCCGTGCAGATCACCCTCTCCGCCTCCGCAGTACGACAACTTCGGTCGCCGTGTCAACACTCGCGAGTACCGCTACAAGAAGCGCCTCGAAGAAGAGCGCCACAAGTTGGTCGAGAAGGCCATGAAGACCATCCCTGGCTACCACCCACCTTCTGACTACAGACGTCCTACTAAGACACAGGAGAAGGTCTACGTGCCTGTCAACGACTATCCAGAAATTAACTTCAGTATGATTGCTAACCTCTTCCCCTCCATTCTCCCCTTGATGATGATGGCACGCTACAGTGTGACTGCTCTTCTACCCCTAACCATTCACTGTTCTCATGTCCCATAACAGATACTAACATTTAGGGGTTTTTCCTACTAACAGTTGGTCTACTCATTGGTCCTCGTGGCAATACCCTAAAGAAGATGGAAACAGAGTCTGGTGCAAAGATTGCCATCAGAGGCAAGGGCTCCGTCAAGGAAGGAAAGGGTCGATCCGATGCCGCACACACCAGCAACCAGGAAGAAGACTTGCACTGTCTCATCATGGCCGACACCGAAGACAAGGTCAATAAGGCCAAGCAGTTGATCCACAACGTCATTGAGACGGTAACCATCAACCATCTAGAGTGGCTGCGCTACTTGATCGAACTCGGGCTAACACCATTGCAGGCCGCTTCCATTCCCGAAGGCCAGAACGAGCTCAAGCGCAACCAACTACGTGAGCTCGCGGCTCTCAACGGTACGCTCCGTGACGACGAGAACCAGGCATGCCAGAACTGTGGTCAGATCGGACACCGCAAGTACGACTGCCCCGAACAGCGCAACTTCACCGCAAACATCATCTGTCGTGTCTGTGGCAACGCTGGTCACATGGCCAGAGATTGTCCCGACAGACAGCGTGGACAAGATTGGCGCAACAGCGACCGCGCCGCTCCTGGAGCTCCTGGCCGCCCTGCTGGTCAACTCGAACCCGCCGATACCGAATTCAACAACCTCATGCAAGAGCTGGGTGCTGGTGGCGCCATTACTGGAAGTGCAGCCCCTGCTCGCATCGAAGCTGGTGGATATGGCGATGACCGTGGAGCTGCCAAGCCCTGGCAGCGTGGACCTACAGGAGGTCCTGCTCCCTGGCAGCAAGGCGGTGGCGGCGGCGGTGGTGGTGGTGGTCGCGACCGCGATGGTGGCAGCTCAGGCGGACCTGCACCTTGGGCTGCTGGAGGATCCGGTGGAGGCCGCGCAAACGACCAATACGGAGGATACAGCGGTGGACATTCTTCAGGCGGGGCAGCTCCATGGCAGCAGCAAAGTCATGCAGCACCTCAAGCTGGATATGGAGGTGGCTACGGCGGTTACGGCTATGGTGGTGGAGCTCCAGGCTATGATCAAGGTTACGGTCAGGCAGCAGCACCCGACATGGCACCCTGGCAACAGCAAGGCTATGGAGTGGCAGGAAGCCCCCACCACCTCCTCCAGCTGGCGATGCTCCTCCCCCTCCCCCTCCTCCTTCTGAGAACCCACCACCTCCTCCCCCACCAGGCGCTTAGATGTGCTGGACACAGGGGACAAACAGGAATAGCTACACTATGTAGATAAGTAGCAGTATCAAAATTGGCAGAGCAGGTTGGTGTATTCGTGTAGTCTTCAAAGTTGTGTGCAGCTTGAGTCAGTGTGCGTCTGGGCCTGGATCGGGCGTGTGACGCAACTGACGAGACGGCGGACAAGTAGTCCGTACATGTCGACTTGTTGGCTTCGCAACAAAAACTTGAACATGGCGGGCACAGAAGTCAAGACTCTGTCGTCGGCACAGTGTATACTGCTGACAGTGCACTATGCCAGCGAGGCCAATATCCGGGCTCTGCATGCCTTCACGCCGCTGCGTCTGGATGCGCTATCGCCCGAACTGGTCCTGCGCATCGTACTGAGTTATGTGCCAGAGACGGTCGACCCTTCACTATACACGACATACGTTCGCGAAGTGGCCACGCGCATCTACCTGGAGCAGCAGGAGCCCTTGGATGTAGACACGGCCCCCGTGGCCGCCCTGTCTACCGAACAAGCCCAGAGGCGCGTCAACAAGCTGTCCATCGCAGACCTCAGTCCGCCAGCCTTCCCTCCTCATGCGCCCACCGACCTATTGACTCGTTTCATCATCCACCGGGCGAACCGCATTGACAACGAGACGGGCCTTCTGGCTCTAGTCCCACGCCTAGCAGAACCATTCCTCGATACCAACGACTACCTGCGCACCTGGTACGTTTCCGTCGTCTTGCCTCTACTGCGACTCCGCTACGACTACTACCCTGAGAAGAAAGATCCACCAACACTACCCGCTTTCGAGAAACTGGATGGCCAGCAAGGTATCGACCTCTTGCTCGACAACGTGACCAACGTTGAGCATGAGATCACCTCATCTACCGAGTCCGAGGGCGTAGTCGCAAGAGATACTAGAGCAATGGTTGGTCCCTGGATGTATGGCCACACAGAGCGCAAGAGACGTCGTCTTGACAACAAACAAGAATCAAACCATGACGATCAAAACGTTGTTCGCTCTCCTCCTCGTACTGCCTTTATCAAACTCGATGGCGTGTCCAAACAAGACAAGACGGGCCACGATTGGGAGTATGTCTTTGAATGGATGGTACACAATGCTGTAAACAACTTTCCGTTAGTGACCAATCTTATCGAAGAGTGGGACGGTCCAGGAGATGTCGATCTCGGTGGTTTCCATAATCCTCAGGATTATCTCGACGACGATACCCAAGCCAAGCTTGAACGTCAGTATGCACAGGCTGCCTTTGCCAGTTGCTACGCTGCCGAAGCTGATACTCCAGAAACCATCGATGGTGCTCATGGGATTCTTGTCCGCCTAGCTCAACTGCTTGATTTTGAACCTCCTCCGGAACTTGCTACCAGTGTCAAGCAGCTACCCAAGGTCGACAAGCATGCTGAGCTGTTACACGCCACAGACTCGACCATATATCTCGAGCCAGATGTCCTCTTACGCCCCGAGCATCCTCTGGCCACCCCAAGACTCGAGACATACATGCTTCTACAGATGATGGTCTATTCGGCATACCAGCTCAACGGTCTTGGTCACAGCATCTCTATACTCAATGTTGCCAAATTACGATTCTTCTCCGGTGAGGATGAACAACTAAGTCTCTTGCTCAAGATTGTTCATGGTCTGGCTGCCAAAGGGAAGCGTGATGAACAGCAATGGCAGTACGATTACGACAGATTGATCTGGTTGTGGAACTGGAATATTGAGCTCGAAGACCAAGGTCGCAGAGGTGCTGGCATCNTTGGCCAAATCGAGAAAACAGCCATTGAACGCGAGTTGCTCAAGGTGCTAATCTCAAGTGGATGTAAGTCTGCCGACGAAAGACTTGCTTCAGACATTAATAGACTTTTGCACATTTCTGATCACTAGCAATCAATCATACTTTCATTCTTTTTCCTTATTATCACCTTCTTGTTAATCATTTGGCGAAGTTCTAACGGATAAATACACAGGTNNTATTCACTAATCGATCGATTATACTTTTCTCCTTCAGACACTCGCCAGATTGAGTCAAAAGACATGGAACAAGTTGTCCTCGACCAGGCAATGCAACTTTACGACAATGCTAGCAACGGCAACCGAACAAGAGGCAGCATGAAGAAAGCTCAAGATCTGTATGTTGATCGGATGGATGCTTTTTTCTCACCTGTTTCTGACCAAATGATAGTANTTACCCACTGCCAGGGTCAATTTCCTCAAAGTGCCGAATTCAAGAAAGCTCTGGCCTTGATCGCCGCTACACACTCCATGTCTTTCTACTCACTGACGTTGCAGCATGGCGTTCCTTTCCAACCAGTAAATATTCGTGCTAGCTTGGATCCTCTATCGCTCCTTCCGAAGCTTCTCGAACAGAATGCCAACAGCTACACAAAACTTGATGACCTCATTGGAATTGGTCGCAACTTGATAGCGGCTGGTCTGCCTCTTCGCAATGCCGATGGCGACCTCATCGACAGGAGTTTAGAAACGGACAATGATAAGAGGACCAAGCTCTTGGTTGCTGAAAAGAGGGTGATATACATGTGCGTCGAGGCAGCACTCACCGTCGGCGACTTTGAGACTGCATACTCGTACGTTGTCAACAGACTGGCTCCACAAGACACTATCCCATCTTCTACACCAGATGGTCAATCAGCAACGCAAGAAGACGATGTGTCCTGGCGTGCAGCCTTCTTAGCTGGTCGCTACAGGCCGCAGTCGAATGCTCAGCCTACCCTTCGCCGTCTGGATCAACGCACCGAACTCCTGAGCTTAGCCCTTCTCCTGGCCCCTCCTGCGTCCTTGTCCGAGGTTCTCAACATATGGCGCCGATGCGAAGAAGAGACCAATGCCTTGCTCGCCGCCGAGACAGAAGCAGAAGAAGAATTCGACGACCGCGCAGACAAACGCATCAGCGTGCCCGGAGGCTTCTCAGATGTATCTACAGAAGGCATGGTATTTGGCCAACCCCGCCGCGAACTCGGCCGCTCGAATGCCGAGGCCAGACGAGGCGCCGACGAGGAAGCACCGATGGGATTGTTCGATGTGGCCCGGGGCGCGGCAAAGGCTTTTAGTAGGAATGCATTCCCCTTGCGTGGTGCAAGTGCTGCAACAGCAGCTTCGCAGCAGCAGCAATCCCAGATGCATGCACAGCAGCCAACGTCGACCGGTGAGGCAGTGCATGAAGGCATGGACGATGCTGGCAGAGTGCGCAGGCGAGACATGATCGCAAACACCGTGACGGGTGGTCTGGCGTCTGGAATTGGATGGATGCTGGGTGCCACTCCAGTGGATAGGAGTGCAGATGATCGGCGATGAGAGAGCTCGATGTGGCATTAAGGCAGCCTCGACCTATATCCCCTTTCTCTCGATGAGTAAGCTGCCTGACAGGACCTATTAGTATCATAACCTCCCTGGATGAAGCCTTGAAACTAGGTCCAGACCATCATTCCTTCTAAAGTATAGCCAGATGACTTCTTGAAACTAGAAGTGGGTGTTGTCTTCAGCCTCACAGCTTCACCCGCTTCACCGACTCTGCTTATGCGTTGTCAAGACATCTCACCATACAGCGGTGAATGTGGTCTCAACGTTGCACGTAACTACAGTTGTAGGGACGAGAACCAACAAAGTAGACCGTTGAAGAAGTGAAGGTAGCATTCAGTGATTGGAAGACCGAGATGGAACTACATCAGAAAACCCAAGAACAAAGTAGTAGAACCACATGCATCGCTGTCGAAACAACCGGAAGAGCAAGAACGCTTCGGCAAACCCGCTGCCAATGCTCTTTCCATCTGGAATCTCTCTGGCAGTAGAAATGAAAACCGTGATCGTGAACAAGGGAAGAGCCGGAAGTTGTCAAAACAAGAGGACGTGGAACGTCGAGCGATATAAAAACATTGAAATCAACCAGCTCGAAAAAATACAGAAGGCCACCAGGAAGCAGAGTGCAGTATTTGCTCCATTAGAATGCAGTCGTTTGAGACCGAGGCCGGGCAGAGTTGAGAAGTAAAGAGGCATACATGAGGCGAGGGAGGCTAAAGATGTCGAGTCCATTGTCGTCGACATCTGTCGTGTTCTTGAGAGGACATCAATATGTAAGATCTTTGGAAGGCGGGCTTCTGGCCACGGCAGAGGGGTCACACNNTGTCCATTGTCAGATTTGCAGTCAAGTTCGAAGAAGCAGAGAAAGGCATACCTTGTAAGCGTGTCTGAACCAAGATGTGTGACTCTTCTTCCCACCGTTCAGTATAATCCATCTATTGCATGATCCACAATATCCCTCCCATCCTTTATCGTCAGCCAATGCTCGAGTGCGGGTTGGTCGTGGAAAGGGCGTGCCCATGACAGTGATGCCGTGGCAAAAGTTCTTGTGGTCTGGTGTCCTCATCAGCACACGTTCGTCAGAGAGAATAATGACTTCACCTACANNCCAATAGGTACTGCGCTTCAGACTCAACCATTTACCAGGACGACATGCACCACACCATCCCTCTCGCTGCTTCCCGTCTCCTCTGATCCAACGCGGCATGTATAGATGGTTTGGATCTTTGAGGTTGCGTCTCTGCGGTACCATAGTCTTATCGCTGGGGTTCATGTCCTCAGACGGTGGATCCACTAGCTCAGTAGGAGGATCGGGTATGAGGTCCGTTGGAGTTGTAGTATTTGTAGTCGCGAGACTAGCATTGTCATCAACATCCCAGCAAGAAGAAGTCGGAGATATCTGGGTGCGTGGCGTGGCCATTGATGGACTCAGTTTGAAGTATGAAGTCCTGCCAGTGTGAACAATATTCTGAGCGGCAATATCTGTACGAAGTGGAGGGTGAGGAGATACAACATCAGATGTGGCCTGTGACCAGTCCCAGAGAAGAGCATCATGTTTCTCTGGATAGTATTTCTCGTGTCTCGAAGCTTCATCAGGAGAGACGGAGGTGTAGTGGTTCATGTGCACAGACGAGTTGTCGAAGCATCCCACCCTTGTATCTGAATATTGCAAGTTCACATCTCCTTCGTGCTGAGGTCTAGCATGTGTGTGAGTCTGATATCCATGCCGATAAGAACCGGCATAGTCGCAATGTCTTAGGTTATAGGTTTCCGGAATCTGATCGCCAGGCACGTCTTGAGCTCCATGATACGAGCGCTGGAGAAGCCTGTCTTCCGTGCTTGGTGGGCTGGTCTGGTCATAACCTGCGTCGCTCAAAGAAGGGTTCAGATACGTCTGAGGTATGTTGCTGTCGTTCCACTGTCCTCCATTCCCGTATGCACCTGGCGAAGCTTGAGAATACCAAGTGTTGTTTGGCCAAGTTGGCCACACTGATTTCATGTCAATATAACACCCTCTTCTTCTGCGGGACAAAGTCGACTCACGCTTGGGTTGAGCATCCTGAGTTACCCATTGGAATTGGACATTGTTATCGTCCAGCACTGGTTGCGAGATGTGTTGTTGGTGGTGCTGCTGGTGATAGTGGGTTTCATGGTTTCCACAACACACAGGTTCGTCGGCAAATTTTGGCTGTTGATTGGCTGTAGATGAAGACTGACGGCTGAAATTAGGTCGCACCGTGGTAGGGTCCACAAAGGACGAAGTCATTGCATCCTAGAAAGACAAGGAATTCCACAAAGCATCTTGGGAAAGGGAAAAAATGTGACAGGTCAATATCCCTTGAGGACTACCCCACCGGTTATAGAAAACNNCTCCCTTAAGCAAATGCATGACCATAACGGCCACGGCCCTACAAGGCCACACATCNNAAATGTAAGACCCCACGTAGTGTTTGTTGAATCCTGCGTGAGATGATGTGCTGAAACCGTCCTCGTGCGTTGAAGCCTGCATGAGCCTTCTTCACATACTGAAGCAAGGGATGGTGCTGAGCTGATCCAGACGGGGNNAATCGCATTGACANNATTAGTACTGAAAATGCGTATAGGATCAACCACTATTCGTCGGATAGCTGCATTTGAGTTCTACTTGGGAGTCGAGATGATTTGGTCAAGAATGTAAGACCATAGAAGAACCCGGATGGGAGAATGCGGCTGCAGCAAAACAAGCCTACCGTANAGTGTGTGTGGACGAGATTATTCGATCGCTCGAGACATCGGCACGTGGCTGTTCCCATAGTCAACAAGAAAAGCAGCCAGANNCTGAAGCTGTGAAGGATCTTGTGTAACACATGGCTGTCCTAGAAGCGCGGCCCAGACGGCCNNCGGCCTACTGTGATGAACATTTTGGGCTGCAGACAACCCATTCACGTGGAATGTGTGAGCAAGCGCTCGGCGANNGGACCGATGGAACAGTTGCTGCAGTCTTTGTTGACGTGCCGACAGGTGCCCTTGCAGAACGGAATTCAGTGAGGGGAATGCAGAAGCATAGGANTATTGAAATGTGAGAAATAGACGAGGTACAAAGTGGCAGTACCTTGTGTGTTGCGCGTTAATGATTCAACCTAGGAAGAAAGGTCGAAGGTCTGGTTATCAACATGACATGTGCCTAGGTCGACGGACGGCAAGAGATCGACGTAATCTTGCATGCACTATCCGTTAGTGCGCGCAAGACCGGACAATGCAACCCAGGGCACAAAACAGGCAATACGCTCGCGGAGAAGGAGCAATAGAGATACTCTTGACGATATTTCGAGCACTCAGATAGGACTGCTGACAAGTTTCAGAAGTCGAGTTTTGAGCCTCAAACATCCAGAAACGATGGGTTGTTGGCCGTTGAAGTGTGTGACCATCTCGAAAGTTTGGATCTCGTTGACTCCACTCTGATCGACAGCGTCACCGATGAGATCAAATCGGCACTCGATTCATCATCGCACCCCTGTACAATTTTGTGAACCCATCTGAGCTGCTGGGTGAACTGCTGTCTCCGTGAACTCATGACGTGAAGGCTTTCTGGGGCAAGAGACTGCCAGAATGTATTTGTCCCGCCCGTCTCTCTTGCTTTTCTTGGACGAGGTAGGTGAAGTCTTGCTCAATCATCTCGGACACCAATAATGGCTCCATATTTGGGTCTAAGAGGCTCCGGCCTTCGAACTGCTATCGCATTGGCAGCTGGACTTTGCTTTGTCGCCTTTGGATACGGCCAGAGTGATTTTGGAGGCCTTCTCACAGTCTCAACTTTCAGAGCGAGATTTCCAGAGATCGATACCATCGGAAATCCCTATAGCAGCCATGTTGCCGTCATTCAAGGAATCACAAATGCGACGTGGAATATTGGAGTATGCAAGACACGCTGCTCTACTTTAATCCATACTAATCTTCTCATTAGTNGCTTTGCAAGCGCCATCATTGCAGTCTTTCTGGGAAACTACCTTGGCCGCCGCCAAATGATTATGCTTGGCTTGGTCGTCATGGCGATTGGCAAGGTAATTCAAGCCTCCTCCTACTCCTATGGCCAATTGGTCGCTGGAAGATTCATTGCTGGCTTCGGTAATGGCTTCAACACTGCTGCTGTGCCAGCTTGGCAAGCAGAATCGACTCGTGCACATCGTCGAGGCACCATGCTCATGGTCTCTTCTGGAGCTTGCATCGCCTTTGGTGTTGCCTTGGCTTATTGGATCGACTTTGCCTTCGCATGGCTTGCTCCAAGCTCGGCCTCGTGGAGAGTAGCCACTGCATTCCAGATTGTACCAGCAATGTTGGCATTCGTGCTCATCATCTTCCTTCCCGAGTCACCCCGTTGGCTCATCCTCACCGGTAGAGAGGAAGGAGCCTTGACTGTCTTGTCGGCACTGTCCGATGCTGCTCCGGACGATGAAGAAGTTCGCCAGGAGTTTCTCCAAATCAAGGACGCCATTCTCGAGATGGCTCGTGGAGGGTTCTCCTCTGCCTTCTCGATGAACGAGTATAGATATCTGCATCGCACCATACTTGCATTCATGCTCCAGGTCATGCAGCAGTGGACAGGAATCAACCTGTTTACTCAATACCTTGCTCTCATATTCAACACACAGACAGACTACAAGCCATGGGTGGCGAGACTACTTGCAGGTTGTAGTGCGACCGAGCTGTTCCTGGCATCTTTCGTCACCGTCATTGGCATCGACCGATTCTGGGGTCGACGAGCCCTGTCCATGTTCGGCGCTGTCGGTATGTCAATCTCGCTCATCATTCTCACGGTAATGAGCTATGTCAACACAAGCTCTACCCACATCGTCATGGTGGTCTTCATCTTCGTCTACAACACTTTCTTCGCTATTGGATGGCAAGGCATGTCATGGCTATGGGCTGTCGAGTTGACGCCTCTAGCCATTAGGGGACCTAGCAATGCCATGTCAACAGCTGGAAATTGGCTCAGCAACTTTGTCGTCGTGCTCATCGCACCGATCGCATTCCACAACATAGGCTACCGGACATATATCATCTTTGCAGTCATCAATGCTGCTATCATTCCAATAGTTTACTTCTTCTACGTAAGTCTCTTCCGGTTTCAATACCATGCTTAGCAACTAACCATATATAGCNCCGAGACTGGATGCCGTTGTCTTGAAGAGGTTGATGTCCTGTTCCATCAAGCATCTCAAACCTCAAGTCCTTGGACCAGTGTGGTCAAGGTCGCAAACAAGGAACCTCTGTGGTACGGCAAGGGAGAAGAAGGTGGTTTCAGCACCCTTGCCAGTGATTGGCACCAGCATCTTGCCGAAACCCAAAGAAGCTCCGACGAGCATGGAGCTTCCTCATCCAACGGCAGTCCACCTGGTATGGAAGAGAAGCAGGATGTCTAGGTATTGGATCGTGAGGCGTACTGGCTACAAACAATTCTGTGTATTATTTAATGTCAAAACAGTATTTAGAATGTTAATGTATCTTAGTATTTATGAGCACGAATGACTACAACTGTAAGATACTTTATCAACCACAACTGAATCCAATTAGTTGTGACGCTCACACACCCAAATTGGGCTAGATAAACCGTGTACAATTCTTTCCTGGTGCATCGTGCTGAGATTGGTTAACATATCCTCCCCGTGTGCTAAAGACAACCACAACCTTGCAATTGATTCCTTTTTCCATTCCGAGCATAAGGATTATTGTAAGCTATCGAAATGCATAATTGCAATTCAGATATGAGGCCAGCCACTGAGATAGACTTTAATAGGGAGTTCTCTCTGGAAAGTTCATCTTTTACAGAAGTATATTGCATTCCTATAGTTACACTGTGACTGTCTCTAGCACATGGGGAGAATGCAAGTTGTTCACTGGTCTCTGCCCATATATCATCGGAGTTACGGGAATGACACGCCAGTGGAAGCTTGTTAGCTGCAGCGTCAAATACTTCTCATGCGACTAATCTCGTGGCTTTCCCACGACGAGAGGGGATCGGCGCCGGCGTCAGTCACGACTGGCTTCGTGACAGCTATCTCCTCGTGCGCCAAAGGAGGATAAAAGGCTGAAAGGAGGTCGACGTGGTAGACATTCCAACCAACAGTTTCATCTACAATGTAGGGTTGCAGAGGTTGGTGGTTCTTGTCAAACAAGCTATTTGCATTATGGAGAACTTGAGGTTAGGGTATGAGTGTCTGAGTGTCTGAGAGTGCACCAGGAGAGCGGATTGGATGACAGCGCGTCCACATTAGTTATCACTATCGCCACGTTTGAGCGCTCTCCTGGTGCCTGCAAATCGTTGAGTGATGGGAGCTGAGAAATAAGCCTGATCGTGTCATGCGACATGTCCCCAAAAGTCACGCCACGAGCAGTACATGCAACGTTGTGATCCCAAAAACAGGGTCCAATATTAGCATCAACAGTAACATATTCAGCCTTGCTAAGGGATATGGCATTCCTCAGAAATGTAAGTTCCCAGTATGCTCTCAGTCCATCGAGAAACACTGGATGGACTTTGTAATATTTAGAATACCGCTCGACGAAGATGATCAGTGTGTAACTCCAGTTGGCAGCATCAACGATGGTAGTGTCGATCTCCTGTGGTGACATTGGAGCTGAAAGAATCTCGGAGATGCCATAAGGCTTTAGGGATCTGATGGTGCCATGTGCGGTCATACACATATTTGCCTCATCATACACGAAATGGGGGGATGTTCCGAGGAGCCAGCGGAGGAGATACTCTGGGGATGCTAGGTCCCCAGAGTGATCACGATCAGATGTATTAATGAATTGTGGCCATCCCTCGACATCTATAAGGACGTGTTCGATGAGCTGTCCAGGGCTAAGCCGGGGGTGGTCCAGGAGATATCTCCACAGGGGCATTTGTATGCCAGTGTCTCTTAAGAAGATCGAGCAACGCTTGGCCCGACAGGGCTGGGGAAGGGGTTGAGACAGTTGGTGGACCTGACTGTGGACCTGACTGTGGACCCGACTGTGTATCTGACTGTAGATCTGACTGTGGTTGCGGTAGCGCGGTCGCTGTTGTTCGACGCCTTGTAGAATGCGCCGGGGAAGGGGTTACGACACTTGGCGGACCTGACTGTGACTGCGCTAGCGCGGTCACTCTTGTTCGAAGCCTTGTGGTGTGCGTAGATGATGAGACTGTCGACGGTTTCGGTTCCATCACCACTCCCGATATAGGTTCCTGTGAATATGCACGAAAGACAGCTGGATATCTCTACGCCTAGAAGTCTACGACAATATCGCCTGTGGAGTACGTAAAAGCTGATCCAAGGAGGGCCTCTGAGATCATTGCGGCGTGGAAAAACCTGAAAGCTTTTCTGCGGACAGTAGACTCCTGCGGCTCTTCTCGAATAGCGTGGATGAAGTGCATAGCAGTACAAGGGCCACAGTCCCAACTGTTTGGCTGTTGGGGTGTGGGTGGATGATCAACCGTGACATCGAGAAATACATCTGGGTCCCAGGTGCAAGAAGGTCGAAGACTGATGGTGTGGGTGGATGATCAACCGTGACATCGAGAAATACATCTGGGTCCCAGGTGCAAGAAGGTCGAAGACTGATGATGTGTGCAAGGAGGGGAAGTGCTTCGTCGAGAAGAGCTGCGATGCGGCCAGATCTTGCTTTGTCCCAAGCGGAGTCAAACACAGAGGTGGTCCCTCCAGAATCAATCTCGACTGCTACCCAGTGATTACCAGTGGGATTTACTGGTAGTACGATTTTTGATGCGTCATCTGGCATCGTCGAGCATGGGAAGCGGAAGGCTGAGTTCAGCGTCTGTGGCCTCTGGAATAAAATATCTTCGTGGAGTTTTTCAAGCTTTGAAACCATCCTGCGTGCTGCTCTTTCCCAGCCTATCTTTTGATTATGTGGTCTGGTATATTTGTGCGCGAGAATTGCAGAGAAGGTCGACGTATCAAGCAGTGACCAGAAAGCGAGCGGTTCTATGTAGAAGACTTTGCTAGATGGACTATGCGATTTGGTGATCTTGGCAATGGTGTTGATAGTCTCATCAGTATACCATTTGTCATCTAAGATAACAGAAGCGTCCTTGGTACCAAGTGTCGTAGGGATGAGGGTTGTGCGTTGTGATGTATCAGCACAAGACAGTGCATCCTGAATCTGCTGGACCAGCAACGAGGCAATGCCATCCATGCCCGCAGGAGACTGTTGATTCCAAAGTTCGGTGGCATCCGGTGGGGTATAATGTTGTTCTTCACCAGATGCAGGACGAGAAGTGCTTGGCCAATTAGCGAGCGCGAGAGCAAGAACTTCGCTGCCAGTCAGGACCTTCTGGCGAGGGACAATAGTGGACTTGTGACCATGTTTTGCGCAGCGCTGGCAAGGTTCCCCACTGTCGTCCATGTCACAGGCCTCGCAAGGTCTCGAGTCTCTGGGCTTGACGGGATTCTCGCGACCAGTTGTAGCAGCATGGTCTTCCAGGGGCGAGGGTTGTTGAGCGGCAGTGTTTTCGGAGCCCTGAGCACTGAAAACTGGGAGTGGTTGAGCAGCGTTATCCTTGGGGCACGGCAGTTGGTAGAAAGGCAAGTGAGGAGTATCGTCCGTAGGGTCGGGGTACTCAAAGTGCTCTGGCGGAGGAGAAGAAGATGACTGAGCGGCACCAAGTGTGATGCCTTGTGGGTTGCTGGAGCGCTCTGCTTGGCGCGGATCTTCTGTGGACTGGTAGGTGACGAAGTGACTGTCGTCGTCTGGCCATGCATCCAAGTCCTGCTGATCCTGCTGCTGAAAGATGGCAGGCTCTGGTGGTGGTGTGAATGAGTTTGTTCTGAGCCTTTTGCTTCTTTGATGCTCTTCCATTGCCTTACGGAAGCGTCAGAATGCTCCAAGTAAGGTCATTGGATGGGAAACAGAAGGCATGTTCAGATGAAAGCACTTCATGTGAGGATGTCTGAGATGTGACGGATGCTTGAGATGTAGCAGATGTCTGAGCGGCGGCTGGTATCTGAGGTGCGACAGATGCTTGAGTGGCGGGTAGTGTATGAGATGCGACAGCTGCTTGAGTAGTGGCCGGTGTCTGAGTGGCGGCCGATGTCTGCAGCTGTCGAAGGTAGATGCAGTAAACGCGCTGAATTGCTGTCTGTAGAGGGATAAGTCCGTCTCTCAACTTGCCTTTGGTCTTCTGTGCGATTCCTGTGCGGGCCACGGCGGAAGTGATGACGCCTTCGACAAGTTCGTCATCTGTGTAGATGTAAGGTTGCGACATGGCTGAAGCCACTCGGATGTGAGAGGCTGGACGTGAGAGGCTAGAAAGAGGAAAGCAGAGTTCGTCAGCTCAAGGTGACCGCAGATTGCAGGACAAGCAGGTTGAAGAACAAGGAGGGAGGAGCGGCAAGGGTGGCAAGGTGAGCGATGCGGTGAGCGACCAGGTGAGAAGTGGATGGAAGTCGACCTACGGGCTCAAGGTGACAGGAGATTGCAGGACAGCGAGGAAGGAGCGACGACGTGATAGTCGTGATATTGAGCGACGAGCCTACACTTTGAGAACGGGATAACAATATCAGTGTAAGGAATTACTTGGAGAGAGATAGTTTACCAAAGGATGGAATTGGAAAGACAAACAGAAATACCACCATCATAATCAAATGCGACGACCTTGAGCAGCTCTATTCCTGAGCAGCTCTAATCCTGCGACGCATCCCAGTCGTCAGCGTTGTTGGCACCACGGGCAATTGAACCCTTCTCGTAGAGCAACTTGAACTTGATATCTTCTGGATCATCAGAATCCTCCCACATACTCTTCAACTTCTCCGCCATGATAAAAAGGCGCTCTGGCTTGGTGACAAAGTAAGATAATTCACCGAGCTCCCAACGCAAGTGGTGTCCATGTTACTTGAGTCCCTCTTTCTCGAGTTTCTCCCAAAGAGTGTTGAGGCTCAGCTTCTTGACGTCGAGCTTGTCCTTGCCAGGAGTGACGGGAATCTGGTTGGCAACCAACGCAGTCAGTTTGATCTGGTAAATGTTCCGCTCTGCGCCAGTGACATGGTAGACTTCGACATAACGGTTCTTGGGAAGGGGTGCTTGTAAATTCTTTCTGGACTTGCGCAGCTTCTTACAGGGTGAAAAGAGCTTCTCGGCGGCTGCTCTCTTCAGAGAATGCTTTGGACCGTAGATAGGGTGTGGGATCTTCTTCTTCTCAATTTCCTTGAGGCGCAGGAGTGGATAACTCTTCATCTTAGCCATGCACTGGCGGAAAATGCAATCAAGACAAACGCGGCGATGGAACCAAGGCGCCTTGTGGTGGCAACTGTACTGGTCAGTCTTTGCACTGGCGTCCCAGGCATCGTTACCTTCAGGCTCGCGGAAGAGTTCAGGGTACTTAGCCACGACAAGCTGCTTGGAGCGTACAAGCAGTGGCTCCGTGTATTTACCGGTTGGGAGATAGAAGTACTTGATGGGCTCGCCTTGCTTGCAAATGACTTGTTCTTCAGTTGTCTTTCGGACAATCTCAACGGCGACTATCATGTCTTCGGTTGCAGTTAGGCCAGTGTCCTTGCGCGGGAGGCTGTAGACGAAGGACTTCATGTCGTAGCTTTCGTCTTCGGTAAGTTTGGGAAGGCAAACGAACCTTCTATTGCTGATTGTTATTGAGCCGTCAATGTAAATCTGGCGCACACCAGCGGGGGTGGCGGATGGTGATAGAAACGAACATTGCCGACAGTGCCAATTGGCTCACCATCCTGACCTTCGTCGCTAGCCCATCTGGCATTGTGATGGTTGTGTAATGACAAGAGCAGACAGTGAGGCGTACTCGGGGAAGATTGGCTCCTATAGATAGTCGTGCCTTTCTACAGTGCAAACTCCGCTCTATGCCACAGTCGGAGGATAGTGGTAGTTGCAGACCTAAGCACACAGGTGAAGAAGGATCTATGTTCGAATTCTGGATTTATGTGTACAAGTAGTATTCTTACAAGGTTCATATCGAGATCAATCACTTGACCCATTGTCTCCAAGCTGCATTTCTAGCCTGGATATAGGTCTTGGACTGGATAGCCTTCCAGATACCGTAGAAGCCAGCCCAAGGCCATTTCTCGAGGAATTTCTCGGGCGCGTCCGCCTTTTCTGGTGATGCCTTCACCTTGTCGTAAACACTTGGCAGGTTTGTTGCGCTGTATTTTTCTCTGAGCTCGTCATACCATTTGCGGTCAAACTGCTCCCAGAATTCGGACTCGGTATAATAGGTCTGGGCATAGAGCCACTTCATACCGCCCAACTCGCGCAATTTGGCCTCGAGGTTTCTGTTTGCTTTTGCAAACTCGGCACGATTATTGGGTCCGAAGCCCCAGACGCCGATATTGAGCATCAACTCCTTGTCTTCTCTGGTATAAGGATGCATTGTCGGTTGTTGCGTTCTCTTCAATGGGCATAACCATAGAGGAAAGATGTCGAGTTCGGAGGATGTGTAGTCGACAAACTTTTCAGCAGTAGAATAAGGGAGAGCAAGGTCTTGGATGATGCAACGCTTTGACTCGCCAGAAGCATGCAGGGCCGTGTACATCATTCGTGTATGCGTAAAATCGTCTAAGAACCAACGGGTAAACTTGTTGTAAGGGAAGTTGAAGTATTTGAACGCCATGTCGCCAACCCAAAAGCCGCCACGGTCGTAGCGGAAAAGGTATTCGGGAAGTGGCACTGCCTCTACGACGGGTTGTGTGCCTGATTTGGAGATCTGACCTTGGACATGCTGATAGAACCATGGGTCCCATGCAGAGCTAAAGGTCTGTACGGGTAGATTTGACGAAGGTGTATCGGTCATACGTCCAGTCACGACAGCTCCCTGAGTCTTGGAAAACATAATGCCGTCAACATAGTCAAGACTGTGGTCCGCCGTGGCTTTTTCGAGAGTCGCAATCGCATCCTGCATGTTGGTGACAGGGTGATATGTTGTCTCGACAAATTTCTTTGCAGGTTCAAGACGGAGCTCGATCAGGGTAGTGACACCAAAACTACCCACCGCACCAGCCGCTCCATAGAACAGATCAGATTTCTCAGTTGGAGAGCATTTGACGACTTCGCCCGTCGCAAGAATCATCTCGACCGACTCGATGGTGTGGTTGAAGAATCCATGTTTGAAACTTGAGCTTTCGCCTGCAGTACCAGCATAACCACCTCCAGCTGTGATACCAGGAAACTCCATGACCACTGGAGGGACCAGACCATATGGCAATGTGGCTTCGACAAGTCTGTCCATTGGCACATTAGGTTCAACGTAAGCGATCTTTCGGTCGACATCAACCTTTAGCACCTTGTTCAAGGCACTCACGTCGAGCACATGAGGGCCCTTTGATGTCTGACGAGTGCTGTTGGTCGAACCATGAGAGATGCGAAACTTTTGTTTGTTCGAGTGAAACTCCGCAACGCGCGTGGAGAGGTCATGGACGGCAATATTGTGCTGGTTCAGAAAGTCACTGGTGCCAGACGTGGATGCAAGACCACGAACCCCTGTCGTGACATTGCGATGGACAGATTGTCTACGAGACGAATTCCTCAAGATGGTGGTCCGCGGCAACGTGGCAGCGCTGAAGTTGGATCTGTGGACCACATTCCTCTGGGTAGTGGCGACCCTGCAAAGAGCGCGGCGTGCCTGCATGCTTCGCCGCTTGATTGTAGGTGGTCGAATCGACTACCGAAAATAAAAAAGACGCTGCAAGACTACAATATTGACAACAATGAGCAACAGGCAACTATTGAACAGGGTGCAAGTCTACTGCAAAATTGGCTCGCAAATTCGAAGCACGGACGAAATCTGTTTGGGTATTCTCTCTATTATATGCTTGAATATTTATACCAAACGATAACTTTCATGCGGTCTAGGTTTCAACCCAATCCATTCAGAATTGGCTCGGGTACTGTCACCCCAGCAGCTTTCATCCTTTCTATACACCTTTTAGCCCTGGAACGCTCTAGGGAAGCACGTTCCTTGTTTTCGTCGCCATCATCATCCGGATTAGCTGCAGTTTCATAAAGATCCGCTAGCCAGAGAGCTACTGAGCTCCTTAGTTGTAACAGCGGCGGATATGTGTCAAAAGGAGGAGACAGCATCAGTTCGTCCATACGAGCTGCGAGGCCCGCTGCTGAGTCTAGCTCGGAGCGTTTGATGGCAGCGATATTTTTNGACTCCTGGTTCCTGGTTTGCTCTGACTCGGAGTCGGATTGGTCCGCTTCCAGCGAAGAGTTACGCATGCGTTCCAGAGCTCGATTGCATTTTTGTTGAATTTCATAGATGCAGAGTCCAAACATCGCAGGATAGAAGGTTAGTGATGATATGGCATTTGGGTTTGTCTTTTGAAAGGGGTACTGTAGAATCAAGCGTTCGTAATAATCTTTTGCTGCCTCGAACCCTTCGTCACTAATGGTTGATGCATGGTCGGACTGCTCGTGAAAATCGTTCTGGGGCGAGAATTTTCGCATCAGTATTTCAGCACCAATACCCCATCGACCATGTGTGCGCACATCCAGCGGTCGACCAAGGATATTAGTACGCAAGATCATGCCCCACGCTCTGCCTGCGCGCACAAAGTCATGCTTCAGAAGGCTTGTGTGTAAGATGGTAGTGAGCACACCTAGATGATGGCGGCGAAGTGATGAAGTAGTGTCTTGTTCGCCAGGAGGTGGGACGTACAATGGGGGCTTCAGAGCTGCGAGCTCGGTTTGGAGATTGTTGGATACTGGCTGTCGATTCCTTCTTTTGACAGCAGGAGCGTGTGGGAATGAAAATCCAGGTAATGGCATGTTTTCAGGCCATCCAGCAACACGGTATGGATCGTTGACATTGCGGGATGTCACCGAAGGCTGAACTGGGTCGGTGTGTAAATCCGAATCGTCGCTTTCATCGTCGTCATTAGGATCTTGTTGCCTCTTCCTTTTCCTGGGAGGAGCATATTGCTTGCTACGGAATGACTGTTGAGGCTCATGCAGAGGATAAACCGGAGTGAAGTGGTGGGCTGTTGGCGGCATGGTGAATGTGAGGGATTGTGCACAGGGAAAGTGGAAGGATAGCAGAGGGGTATCACTGTTTGTATAGTGTGACGTGTCTCTGTCTCAGGATGAGACTGTATACAGTATGCTGTGTTTTTACTTGTGCAAAAATAGGCATCAAGCAGGGCTGAAGCTTAGCGGCAGCTGGGAGAAAAAAACTGCAAGAGCAAGTAGTACGCGGGAAGCCGCTTCTTGTTTGGTAAAGAATGCGGGTGCAGATGGTCGAGAAGCCGGCGTGCGTTGAAATCGGAACAAGAACCAAGGAGCGCTACTTGACAAGTAAGTTGTTCCAGTAGAGCAGATGCGGTATAGCAGGTACAGTATAGCAGATGCAGGAGGAACAATTGAAACGGATAGATGAGGCTCGGCTTGGCATGCTCGGTCCGTTCAGTAGCGACGTCGGGCGCAAGCGCAGCAGTGTTTCGGTCAGCGTAAGTCGGCGTCGAGATCCAACTCAGCAACTCGTGCGTGCAGCCAGCCTGACCTCCTTGTCGAACCTCATCTCCAACTTGGCCCTTATCACTCCCGCCTAGCGAGCATATTACCATCACCACCACTACCACTATCCTCACACCAGCGACACCACTGCTGATCTATCCTTTTCCTGTGTCTGCATCCCGCCATGGGTCAGGCTGCCTCCTCTGCGAGACCTTCGCCGCATACAGATGGCCAAACATCTCGCCGCGAGTCCTTCTGGCGTCGCTCATTGCCTCCTTCCTCGGTCCTGGCCTCCGACAATGACTACGACGACCATGCCACCCACCCACATTCTTCGTCCTCTCCAAGCACACGCCCACGGCCACGTGCTGCTCGCTCGAACCGGCTTTCCCAGATGCTACGCTCTTCAAACCCTAGTGATGACCAGGAACTACACTCTGGCCTCCAACGACCTTCGCGCTTACAGCGTGCTCGTACTTCGCTACACAACTTCGGTTCTCGCCATTCTCCCTTTTCGCGCCCCGCGCAAATGTCTCGCTCACGGACAGATGACTTTGGCTATGCCTATCCTCATGTCGAACTCAACTTTGACAACTTCGAGCTCAACCTCGACCTCGCTACTTCGAATCCAGACTCACACACCCCGTCGTCACGTTCCAGTTTTCGTCTTCCAACCTCTCTCTCCGAACGCCTGTCTGCTCTTCGCTCTGAGAGATCAACACGAAGTCCTGCCTTGACTCCTCCAAGGCTTATGCCTGATGACACATCTGAATCTCAGCCTACATCAGCGAACGACCCATCCCAAGCTTGGACATCTGCTACTGCTGCTGCGTCACAAGAATCCTCTCCGTTAGGTGCTACAGCTACGAGGTCAAGAACAGAAGGAGAAGGACAAATAAGAGAAGACAACACGGCTTTGATATCTCGCATCTTGTCAGTTGCGGCTGCAACCACGGCCGCCACTCTTCTCGATGGTGACCAGGAAGCAATCGCAGAAGCTCATAGCGTGAGCGGCGACGGTACTTTCAGCAACTTTCTCCAGTCTTTGGAAAGTGGTCGTTTGGCATCAGCTCTCAGACAAGGAGGTCAGACCTCGGCCAATGCGCCCCTCAACTTTTTTCGAATGTTTCGCTTCGGTTCAGCAAGAGATGCTTCTAGAGATGCCAATGACTCGTCATCTACTCAGTCCACTGGTACTGACGGACGCATGGTTCCCGTCATCATCGTCGGCATCCGCTCTGTAAATCAGACGAGTACGAATGGTGCTCAAGACGCCGCCATGCCGCCTTTTCTGGATGCCTTGTCTGCTCTGCCAAGGTCGCCCTTGAATGGTGAAAACGACAGTATCGACCACATCCTGGATCCGACACCGACACATCGCTTTAGTCATCGTCGGCGGGCTTCCATGGGCGGTCAGTCCAACTTCCCAGCTGCATATGATGCTCAACGCCACTCGTCCATCCCTGATCGTACACGATCGCGCTCCATAAACACTTCTCGGCCACCTTTGAGCCCTACTCTTTCACGCGTTGGTTCGGCCAGTTCTGCTATACCGCCCCAACGCCCTACGTCTAGCCGTTCGAATTCTAATTACTCTGACCGCCGTGAGAGCATCATCAGAACCACAACGACAACGACAACCCTCGAAACCACGGCAGAGAATGCCCCACTCAGACCTCGACCACATCGACCACGCCGACTGAGCGAGTCTGATTATGGTCATCGTGGTTATTCTTCTCGGCGTAATGGCTTTGTTGAGCCTGATAATGCACCAGGCGAAAACACCCGTAGTTGGATAATCTATGTTCTCGGTGGTAGTTACCCCGAGAACCACCCCAATATCACTACACCCAGTCTTTATACCGATTCGCCCACTTACGAAGACATGATGCTCCTCTCAGCCCTTTTGGGCCCTGCCAAGCCCCCTGTGGCCAGCGAGCAAGATGTTGCCGATGCCCCAGGTATCTTTAAGATCCAGAGTACCGAGGATTCTCTTGTTGCTGTTGCACTTGAAGGTGATGACAGGATCACCTTGACCTCTGAGCAAAGGTGTCTCGTATGTCTCTGTGATTTCGAGCACGACGAAGAGGCAAGACGCCTTGTCAAATGCAATCATCTTTTCCACAAGGAGTGTATCGACCAGGTATGTTGAGCTTGATTAGTTTGTGAATTCCTCATGCTGATTTTTTTGTGAAAGTGGCTCACCAAAGGTCGAAATTCTTGTCCACTTTGTAGAGGCCAAGGCGTTGATGAGAAGGAGAAGCCCTCTACCGAGGACACACCATCAAGTCCTCCAATTGAGGTTTCCACTTCAGACATTCCCGTCACCCTCCAATAAGCCGTTGTTCGGACATCGTTCTCGACAATCGCCATCATTGACGACCAAAGCACTTTCATGTTCATGTTCCAGCGGCCACATATCATTCTCCCGCTATGCCCACCATCACTTACGAATCGCTTACGAATTTCCTTTCTTTTCTAATGTCCATCATGCATACCCATCGGCGTTTGAGCGTTGCATTTTATATTTGTGGTTGGCGCTTTTCTCCTGTTTTTTTTCTCAGCCAGCGTAATTGAGGGCAGCTTTCTATCGCTATATCTCGTCACTTTCGGGCTCTATAACCTTGCCAGCACTGGATCGGGTCTGCAACGTTAAGACGATTGAGAAAGCAACTCTAAACAGCTAGTCTAAAAACACAATTCATACTGGGAGACTTGGTTCTCTCGTTTTGCAACCGTATATGTTGGACGACTCATCTGGTGCACCGCCTGCCACTTCGTCTTGCTAGTGTCGGACAATCTGATTCACGATGAACGATGACAATCCATGCGATTCATGAACCAGCATGAATCATACACTTTCTCCGAGCAGCCCTAGTAAGTCCACTCGATTAGGTATAGATAACATGTTCCTGCAATGTGTGGTCCTATTGTACACATTAACACCCACTGCTTGATTCGACGAGACCACCTCATCTCCGGGTATTTGTATCCAGCACTTGTCCGTCACGAATGTACCACCATTCTGTACTACCACAACGAAACCATGAAACACGGGCTAAGAGGGGTATGCTCATTGAAGAAGATGCATTGATTATGTCACGAATGTTGTTTGACGTCGGCACACATGGCCGGTCAGGATAGATCCTGGATGCATTTCCTCGAAACGCGCATGCCGACGCGCAAGGCATATCTCTTGAAGAGTCCCTGCGGCTGAATAGTTCAAAGGTAAACCATGATGTGACGTTGGTCCGTCTCTTAGCCTAAGGGCCCTGAGACTGATGCTCATGGTACTTTCCATAATATGCTGGTTGATCCTTCGCGATCGACACTGTGTTAAGAGGCGTTCTTCAGCAGCGGCTAAACAGAACGTGGACCAGTTGGAAACGTGGCTTTGCCTGATGGTTCAAGCAAGATCTTCAGCACATTGGCCAAGTTTGCGCAATCGTATGAATATTCCCGTCAATGAAGACCTGAGAATGATCGCCCGAGTCTCCTGGTTTGCTTACTAGCAACTTGGCAGGTCGTCTTTTCACTTTGGACTCTGGCTGGTGCGACAGAACTTCAGGCGCCTCGAGTGATCTCTCAACGGAAAAAATCATGCGTCCAAGCCAATCATATTATCAGAAAATGTCGAATCCTGCAAGGGAAAGGGAGTCGTCCCTGCAATTTGTCGCTCTAGGATCTCTAGATGCAGCGCTATTTGCTGTGGGTATTGTGATAGCATGCGGATGCGCAACCACAACCAACACTGCTACAGCTACCTATCCCATCAACCTCGGCACGAAAGCAGACCAGTGGCCGAGCACTTCCAAGGATAATCAAATGACAAGCACCACTGCACCAAGCAGGGGGAGGCGGCTACATGCGGAGAGAAGATATGACATGACATGGTAGATCTCGAACAACAGGCACTTTTCTCGAACTAGCAAAGCGGCTTCCAAGATCTTTGCTGCGGCATTGTTTTGCAAGACGAGGGTTGGTCCCATGGCGCTCGCAGCACGTGGGCCCCACTAACCTTGCGGGAGCGTGTGCACTTTAATGCCAAAGCCACCTGCCACTTCAGGGAAATGAATTGCCATATCAGCAAGCTATACAAGATGATATACCTTCAACCACGGATAAAGAGAAAGCAACGCATGAAAGTGGCTGAGGATCCCCGACCACGTCCTTCGATCATCTCGACGCAAAAAGCGGCGTTGATCCCGGACTTGAACGGCTCGAATCCTTAGAACACTAGATCTGACCATCACGTCACCTCACATAGAAGACTTGGAAATAAAGCCGACTCAGAAACTCGAGAGATCACCTTCCCACAAGCAGGTAAGAAGAGGCTGGGTTCGGATTCGCATAAATATGCCTCCGGTGATGGTGATGATGATGATGATGATTCGCACCGCATAGACGGACAACAACGGTGGGTAGACATGAGACATGTGCAAGCTTTAACTCTTACGTCCATAGCCGTTGTTTGGCACGGAGCATTTTGGTGCCCAGGAACCGATGCGTGTTCACGTAATTCTCGAGTGCGGTACATGTCTTTGTTGTAGCTTGGCTCGGCTGTCGTGTTGTGTTAGATTGCTTTCACATGCCCGACCGAGGCCAGAGCTCTAGAGGGAGGGAGCTGGGTGTCGTTCTTTCCAGAGCGAGATTGGTGCGCAAACGCGAAAGCTGTCTTCGCGATTCAGGCGGACTTCGATAAGCCACGGGTGATGAACGATTTCGCGATCCGCTATGCAGTACCAAACAGCAAGAAATCGTGTGGCCTGAGACATGCCCACTGGCCCATGGGTCAGGGGGAGGGCGTATACCGTACTGCACGCGATAGTTGCGAGTGATGTGAGCCATGATTGCTACCTTGTCCAAGTAGATTCACGTGTGGTCGAAAAGACTTTCGAGTAGGCGGGGCATCACGCATCTACTGAAAGACAGCAGCTGCAGCAGCACACCGACAGGGGCCGCCGTGTCCTGTCGCAAAAGCTAAATCGGCGCGATAGGTTCTTCTCCACCAGCACCCAGGAACATCGGAAGTTTCCTTGGAGTGAGGCGGCGGTAGTCGTTCACAGAAATCTCCCCGGCTCCACGTCCAAGCTCCAACGAGGTGCGCCATCAAGTCGATCAAGCCGTTTGGCCATGATGCTCTGGAAGCACATTCTTTGCCGTTCTCTCGTGGGCCAGGAGCTCGAAAACAGTTGACATCTGAAACGGGGCTTTCCTGCATATAGCCTGCGCTAAATCGTGATTCTTTCCCCTCGCACGAGAGGCTTGCATCAAGCCTCTTCCCTTGCCGGTCTCACGAACATCCTTCCTCATCCTGCGCAACAGCCCCAACCACTGTGTGACGCCGACTCCAGCACTTCTAATCATCTATCCTGCAGATCATCGCCCGGGTTTTGTGGTCAGTGTCCACTACTAAGTGCAGACTACGATCATCAAAGCATCCATCCCTGCCGTGCAGCGCGTCAAGGACCGACATATCATCAGCACACATAATTTTTCTTACCCAAACGGAAGCTGGCCCCAGTCACCCAGGATTGGTTCTAAACACGATTAGTCTAAGCCCTGGCTTTTTTTCCTTCAAGGACTTTCCCACTCGCTATCAATCAAATGAAAATACCACTTCTCGGCTCTTGATACCACTCAGCTTTTACCATCATTCATTAGCTCTGGTCTTTGCCTTTACGTGCGCTGAGACCATTCCTTGGCCCTGGAATTCCCATCCCCGCACCCAATTAATATCGGTGGCCGGTTCAGCTCAGCCGGAAGTGTCAGCAACTCTTTCCTTCGTCGATTGACATTTTGCAACAAGTATAGTCTGGCCAACCTTGCCTGGTGGACATATTTCCGACTTGGCTCCTACGGGGTAAAACAGACCGGACCACTTATTCCAGATCTGAAGCTCTTTCTGGATCCACTGTGCTGTCCTCTCATTCAGGAGACCCATTCAACAATCTAATCATCACGTTATCAAACAGGACTCTCAAAGGGTCCTTGCTGAACATCCGTTCTTATACCAAATCCCGTTTCTCTGGTTCATCCGGTTCTCCTTGCAGTGTACTACTTACACACCTGCCGTCCCAGTCTTTCGGTATTACCCAAGGAACAAAGTTTCAAAGGCTTGATTTATTCCATCCATTGCTTGCATTATCTGCAGTCTACCAGAGACATGGACAACCACTACTATACTATGAACTCCATGGGTACCGGATACTACCCTAACGGACAGCCCATGATCCCACCGGAAGGCATGTTGCCAGATGGAGTCATGATGCCGGATGGCTATGTCCCAAGACTCTATCAAATGCCGACCATTTCTCAAGAAAACCTAAACAGCTATTCTGACCTTGACGATCCTAGTCGCACATCAGTATCGCAACAAGGAGGGTCGCGCGGCGGTAAACGGCGATCCGTCACTGGGACGGATCATGTCAAACACCGGAGAACACGGAGTGGTTGCTTTACTTGCAGACAGCGTAGAGTCAAGGTGAGATTTCCTGACCTTTCATTGAGGACAATTTATTGACCTGTCCTGATAGNNTGTGACGAAGCTCATCCTATTTGTGAAAGTGAGTTGGTCGCAGCCTCATTTCTTGTACTGTACTTACCGTGCTGCAGGANNTGTCGGAAAGGCAAACGTGAATGCCACTACCCCGAACCTACTACAGGCGCGTCGACAAAGTCCTCGAAAGGCAACAAAAGCAGGGGCTCCGCTGGCGAAGCCTCGAACTCGTCTGGTGAAGATTATGATATCAACGAGGCCGACAGACTTCCTTCAATCCNNCCTGATGACGAAGAGATCGAAGAGGGCGCGTCGAGCTTATGTTCCAAGGAGGACCGCAAACTGTCTGATGCATCTTCCAACTCAAGGGATCAAAGCCCTCTAATCAAAAGCCCTGCAACTACGGACAGCTCCATCACATCGTCTGTTCGTCCTTCTACACGCCCACAAATACCCCGCCAAAGCTCAAGAAAATCATTGAAAACCAAACAGCCACCAAACAGCAAGTGGGCACATCTACCAAAAGATGTCAAATTCTACATTACATACCACCGAGAGAACTTGACGCACCAACATTATGCCATGAAATACGATACAGGAGACTTCTTGAAGACGACATTCCTGGAGATAGCCCTAGGATACGAGCCACTCCTTTATGCGATCACCGCATTCTCTGCTTATCATCATACATTGGCGAAGCCAGGCGGCAAACTCTCGAGTTTCTTGGGTTACTACAACAAATCGGTCTCATTACTACGACAATCTCTGGAGAGAAGCCCACGGCATACCGTAGCCACCCTGCTCACCATATTGCAATTGGCCACTTTTGAAGAGTTCCTAGGCGATTGGGTCAATCTCATGGGTCATCAGAGGGCTGCTTACGAGATTCTCACAGAGCTGTTCACACCACAAACCATCATGCAGAGCGAAACACACCGCAAAATCATCTCGTGGTACATCCGATTCGACCTCTTTGCAGGATTCATGCATGGGTACGGAATGGTTCTGTCTCGTGACTGGCATGTGGCGTGCATGGAGTTTTACGTTCGACAGGCTAGAGACAAGCCTCGTGATCTAGGGTCTCTTTTCGAAGAGAAATTCGCACGATCGAGACTGCTGGCAACCGACATATCGCTACTATTCGCACGAGGCAAAACAGAAGGTCCGAGCCAAGAACTCATCGTGGATATGGGCAAACTAGGCGCTCAGCTGGAAACCTATGCTCACGAGCTTGAATCCGCCTTCAAGGACACACGGACATACGTCAAGGAGTTCCCAAATGCACCAAAAGGAGAATGGGATAACGTGGTTAACTCGACAGATCCCGAGTTCCTATGGGCAGGAGACCTCTTTACATGGAACTTCATCCTGATCGACTTTTGGGCTATCCATCTACTCTTCAAGTCACAGATTGCACAATTCGATCCTACAGTGGGCGGCGAGGAAGTTGTGGCAGCGGCGTTCAAGGTGTGCAAGATGTTCGAGGCGCTACAGTATTGTGGCGAGGATGCGACAGCAATGATTCTGGGCGCGCAAGCAAGTCTGGGCATGGCTGCAGCATGCTTGCCAAAAGACCAACGACACACCATGTGGTGCCGCAACAAGTATGCTCTAATCGAGCAATGCGNNGGTAAGTTTTGCAAAGGCTTTTCTGTGTTTCAAAGAAGAAGTCTGTGGATGTACATTTGTCTTGAACTAACACAACATAGTTACATCTACCCTGCTGCGCTGCGACAACGCATGACTGGCGTTTGGGGCGTCGACGTGATGCGTTGGTGGCTTCCCAACGACGAAGGCTACAACCCCATGCTGCAAGCCGTTCGCGAGTTCATCGACTATCGTGCGCGTGTGCCGCAAGACAATGTGCAGTCAGATCTGCGCGACATGAAGGGTTTGTTCAAAGCATTGCAGCTTGACGACACTGATTCCAAGAAGAGTACGGGCAGTGCAGGAGGTACCGATTCATCGGATCCGTTCGACTTTGAGCCGGCTGGAAGCATGCCGTGGGAGAGCAGTCCGGAGATGAGTTGGCCTTAGGACGATAAGGAGGAGGATCATGTAGGCCTTTCGTGTCAGCATATTCGAGCTACATCTCATGATCTAACAGCTGTGTTTTGGATACAATCCTGTATTTGCTGTGACCATGAAATGCAGAGTCATCATCGAGCACGTGTAAACAACCTGATAGAACGATGACAACAGATGCTCATATGCATTGATGAATTGCAATGACACGGACCGAGAGCGAATAGCAGCACGAATGATTACAAACTCCCAGATACAAGCATGGCGCAGTCAACCGCAGTCAACCGCAAGGCTGTGTTCGATTTTCAGCATGACATTGCTCAGGATGGAAAAGACGGCTTTCAGACATGCGAAAGCAAGATCAACATGATTAAAGTGGCCCGGATCCTATGGAAGCCGAATCAATGCACAATATACATCTTGCATCTTCTCCCTGCTTCGAATACCGATAGACTGGATACAAGGCTCGTCAGCCCCGTCACGGAGTCAGACTTTTTGTCTTAGATAATGCGGAGAGCTTTGGATAATAAGAAATAGGGCGCAAGGCGTTTCATGACCCGGTGACGACATCTGTATAAGTCATTAGGCTGGCCTGAGTCGTGCTCTACTACTATACTTGACTCTTGTTTAGAGGGGTGCAAATTGAGACTGATTAGTAGGCAATATAGAGGAAGCGAGGTCCGTGGCCCAGAGGAAGGCTTGGCATCAAAGGAGGTCCGTGAGAACGATATGATGTACTTCTTCAAGAGTCAGAACACCGAGCAGTCTCGGTCCGGGAGCGAACGCGGAAGAAGCATAAGGACGTATTGAATTGATTGAGTGGTATCCAGAAGCGAAGCTTGCAAGAAGGACAAACGTAGAATCGGAAAGAAGGAAATAAGAGAGCAGGGGCAACAAAGTCGATGTGTAGTGGGACTCGAGTATCGGAGAGATTGAGGAGGGTCAGAATAAGCAAAACAAAGAGAATGCCGAGGCTTGTTAGGATGAACTAAGCAGAGTCGCGGGCTCTGCGGTAACTGGCCTGAAGAATGTAATCAGAATTGGGTGACTTGGATGGAGGGAGTGGGTCGGGCAGAAGATACCTCCTGATCAAGCTGCAGCTGGTCGACCTCAGGGGCCAGCTCTGACAGAATCTCGTAGGCTCTCTTGTGGAACTCTAGCTGGGCAGCAATCAACTCGGCCAGGTTCTTGAGGGGCTCGGGTGTGTCAAGAACGTTCTTCATGACACCCACGGCTTCCTCAGTCTGGTTGACAAACTCATCCTCTGCCTTCTCAATTTCGGCACGCTGAGCTTCTGTGTAGTTTTCCTCGCCGTGAGATTGGGCCTTGTTGTTGAAGGGGTTGTTGATGCCCTTGACACGAGCCTTTGTGGCATCAAGGTTGAGGCGGGCATTCTCGACGTTTTTGCGGGCACGCTGGGCAAATTGCAAGTTTGTGTTGAGAGTAGCACTCCAGCCAGCAAGGAAGCGCTGCTGGATGCGCTCGTCCTGGGTCAGACGGGCCTCACCAACTCTCTCCTCGGCGACAGCGTACTTCTCTAGAGCTTGGGCAAGCGAGTCGTCGGCGCCGGCGCCGCGAACGTCACTCTGGTGCAACAGCTGGCTGCCGGCCAATGAGGCACGAGCGATGGCGTGGTTGAAGGTCTTAGGTTGGGGCTTTGCTTGGGGNGTAGCAGTAAAGGCAGCCTGAGCTTCGGCAGTGGTAGTGGCGCGCGACAAGAGCTGGACCTTCTCGGAGACATTCTTGGACAGATCGGTAAAGGACTCGCGGATGTTGGGAGGGTAGTCGTATGCTTCGTTGGTGTACTGAGATGTGACGGACAGCAGCTTCTGGTGAACGAGCTTCAGGGCATCGACGCGCTTCTCCAACTCGATGTAGTCTGGGGGCAGCTCAGTCTTGTCGTCGGTCTGGCCAAACTGCTCCTTGACATATTGCTGGGTGCGGGCTGCAAAGGGTGTGAAGGATGCACTGCCTAAGTAAGCTTCGTGTCCTCGATTGACAGGCGTGGTGCAGCATTACCCGATGTTGCCGATGTTCTTGCCGAATGCTGCGAATTTATCCATGGTGATGGGCGGTTGTGTTTAACGAGTTGTGTGTATGGCTGAGTGTTTGACAGGAAGGTGGCTTTGTTGGTCAACTCTTGGTTGGTTTCGCGCATGTGAGAGCTCCTGGACCCTCCCCACTGCCAAGCCTCTCACATGAAGACGATGAGCATTCCTCCTTCCTCGTCATACACCACCTCTTTAACATTACCAACATGCCGCATTCACACCACTCTCATTCGGGCCAGTTCTGCGCCCATGCAACATGTACTCTCGAGGACATGGTCCAACAGGCCATCTCTCTCAACATGGACACTTTTGCTCTGACCGAACACATGCCCCGTGATGCCGCTGACCTTTATCCCGAAGAGTCCGACGCCCAAACTCTCGTCGACCTCTTTGACGCCTACTATCCTGAGGCTTTGCGTTTGCGTGAGAAATATGCCTCACAGATCAAGATTCTGATTGGATTTGAATCCGAGTGGATTCGTCCTGAAACCAACGCCATCATTAAAGACTTGCTCGCCCGCTTCAAGTTTGACTTCTTCATCGGCAGCATTCATCATGTCCATACCAAGCCAATTGACTTTGATCACGACATGTACTATGAGGCCAGATCCATTTCTGGCGGCTCTGATGAAGACGTCTTTGCTGCCTACTTTGACCAGCAATATGACATGCTCAAGGCTTTGACTCCCCCTTTAGTTGGTCACTTTGATCTCATCAGACTGAAGAGCGATGACCCTGAGCGTGCCTGGACCACCATGCCAGCAGTCTGGGAGAAGATTGTCAGGAACCTCGACTTCGTAGCCAGCTACGGGGGCATCCTCGAGATCAACTCTAGCGCAATCCGAAAGGGCATGTCTGAGCCATATCCCAAGGCTGAAATTTGCAAGGTTCGACTTACCCGCCTCTTTCTTGCTGTACCAGTATTGACATTCAACAGGNAATTCATCAAGAAAGGGGGACGTTTTGCTCTTTCTGACGACAGCCATGCCACCAGTCAGGTAGGCCTGAACTTTTCAAAGGTACTATCTTTCCTCGAAAGCACTGGCATCAGCCAAGTCTATCACTTTACCTCTAGAACCGACAACTCATTCGACACATCATCTGTCAAATCTGTCTCTTTGGATCAGCTGAAGAAGCACAAATTCTTCGCTGCATGATCTTAATTGCAAAAGAATAATAAACCGAATGCCATGAAAATAACGAAAGAGGGGTATCTTCCTAGTCCTGACGCCGTCCATAACCTACTCCAAGAGAACCATCATGAAAAAATCAAGCCATGCATCATAATCACACCGCTTCCCACCAGTAGCGGTCGCAAGGACATCGTTGACAACAGCTCCAAGCTTGTCATCAGTGTCTTTGCTCTTTCCTTCCCGCTGCAGCCAGTCCTTTTCAGCCTGGATTGCAGCCCTGCGGATTGTGCCTTCTTCATCCTCAACAATGTATAGGTCGCACCGATCGCACTCTCTACAGCGACCTCCTGCTTCTCTGAAGTGCTGGCAAAANTGGCCATAACCTTCTTTTCCAATCTCTTGGCGACAGACATAACACATGGTGTATCCGCAATTGCACACGAGCTTGTTACAGCCACTCGACTTGACGAAGCTGAGATTGCACTTTGGACAGGTGCGCTTGATACTGCTTGTGGTGGCAGCCTCGACCGCTTGTCTGAGAGATTGCAAGGATGCTTCGTTGCAGACGTGAGGATCTGACCATGGGCCACCGCAGTTGGTGCACGAACTTTTGCCGCAAGCTGGTGATCGGCAAGTGAACTTCAGACCTCTTCTCCGGCGGATTGTACGTGTTCGAGATGCTTGGATGCGATTATATGCTGTCTTGTCGACCACAGCAATGAGAATTAGAAGAGGGTGCAACATAACCCACACCAATGGGTAAACAAAAATGAACATCAAAGCGATCAAGGATTTCAGCGGGTCCATTGGCATGTGCACGAGGTGGGCAGTCAGAGCCATTGGATCTCTGAACCTTAGACTGACCGGTTCGTCAATTTCAGCATAAGGACAAGAGAGGCATCGCAANAGGGGCAGCTGGCTCTTGATCAGGTTCTCCGACATGACACGCTCTTGGAGCTTCTGCCAGTTCGTAGCACCATCCTTCTCTGTGCACAGGGCTCTCTGGATCAGTTCCGGATTGATGCATCCTTGACATTCGGGAACAGATGGGGCCAGACACCGCAACGAGGATTTTGTCAAGTCAATGTTCCTTGCCCATCCTTGACCGTAAAGAGCCTCATTTGCTGCAAGCTTTATACATCGAAAACAGATGAAGTGACCAGCGTCTGAGTCGCACGTAGATATGTACTCGAAGGGATAGGGAGTAAAACAGCACTCGCAGTCAAACATAGCGTTGGCGTCTTCGGCCTCGGTCTCGTTGAGGTCGTATGCCAGAGCTTGATCTCGGTCCAATCGTTCCTGGTTTTGGCGAGCCAAGACAGGAGCAATGTATACACGATACAATTCTTGGTCCAGCTCTGTGCAGCCAGTACGCTTAAAATACGGAAACAGGCTGCTCGGTTCGGTGGGGTTGGGTAGCCACTCAACATGAGGGTGAAGGTCGGGATCAGAAGTAGCAGGACGCTTCCTGGTGAAGAATGAGGAAATAGTGGCTCTCCATGATTTTGAGGACAGGTGGTGCAGAGTCGGACGTGCGAGGGTGTATGAATAGTTATGCTCGGCCAGAACGGCTCTGATGGAAGAGTGACTCAGATTCCTGAATTCGAGATATAGAGTATCCTTGACGGTACGCTTGTATTTGTCGGACCTGAAGGTCTCATCCTTGGGCAGCGGCTCGAGGTGGCGTGGCTGGCTAGCGTTGTCGTCGGATGGTTTCTTCCTGTAGCGTCCTTGAATGTATTGTGCTCCGTTCCTCAGGAGATGTTCAGTCACGACCTCGAGCCTGCTTTCCTTGGACAAGTTTAGAAGCATCTCACGGAAGACATCGGGCTGCACGTCAGGGAATATGTCGACCAGAGCACCAAGAGCCGTGTTCAGCTCGCCCAGGTCAGAGTCCTCCTCTTCCTCCACATCTTCTAGCACCTCATCCAGATCCAGAGGTGTTCTCACTTCTGTCGAGGCGGCGTCATCGGATTGGCGTGACTTGAGGAAATCGGGTTTGCGGAGGAAGCGGCCGCTGCTTTTGGGCATCGAGATGGACAAGATCATGTTGGTTGTTGAAGGAAATCGGCACCTGGACACATTGCGATTGCAATGTCAACAGGAAGATAGCAATACGCCGCCTCTACTGCTTGGTCGAACTTTCATGTGATCAGGTCAGTCATGTCCTGATGTAAACGCGGCGGCTCCTCGTTGTTTGTGACGCACGGCGCCTTCCGGCCTTGTCCAACTCTCAATCTCCGTACTAGTTGCTTCCTTTCTTCTACTCAACCACCTGTGATTAATTTCTACTTTGACAAGTCGTATCACATGTGCTTCAAGCGTAGGCCTTGTTATCTTGGAGAATGGTTGGAGCCGCACAACTCGCGATCGATAGGGATCAAACCTACCGCTGTGTTGGACCGAGCAGAAACATCAATCAAGCCTCTAATCGTATCGCGTGATCCCAATCCCTATATTTTCTTCCGACTCCTCCCTTGACTCACCTCGGTCTGTTTCTTTCGGTTGCCTTCCTCTCTGTTACCTTCTCCTTCCTGCATTCTCTCAAGAAGCCTTCCAACTTTCACTCTTTCACCTTCGTCTTGTTTTCACTATCACTTGCCTTCTTTTCAGACATTCGATACCATACATATCTGTCTTTCGTTTACTTTGCCTACAATATGGTTCTCGGTCCGACCGCTCGTCTGTGGCTTCCCTATCTGAACTTCACCGTCGCCATCTCAGCATTGGGATTTCAGACTGGGGTCCTGTACCCCTGGCACGAAGAGCTCGACAAGGAGTTCAAGATTCTCAAGCAAGAACACAGAGACCAACTACACTTGCACCAACAAGTCACTCTCAAGAAGCTCGAGGACCTAGAGAGGAGGATTGTAGTGACTGAGAAAGCCATGCCGGATGTAAGTGTGATCTCTGGTTCTATGGCTTAGGGTTGCAGGTCTGCTTACACGAAAGTCAAGGTAACTCGATGATTTGCAAGGTGCTACAATGATTCTTGAATCAACGTTCTCTCGCTGTCGAAATAACATAACTCGCACTCAGTATATTAGAACATTTGCAAATTCCGAGTCATTCTTTTTAATAGCCGACTTTACAATACCACAACCCACGCCATCTCATGGCCTGGTAGCGAACAAGAATCCAGCTTGGTGCTTTGCAGTAGTGCTGGTAGATGGTCGATGCTCTATATTTCAGGCAATCTTGTGGTGCTGGTGACCCTGTCTTTCTTGAGATGCAATTCTTAGTTGGTCTTTTTCTGGTCTCCTGCATAGTATTGGAGACTCTAGTGTGTGAGGTCTGTTGTCCTCCATGCGTGTGTATTGGCACTCATACGATTCATTAGGTCGTCGAGGCGAATCCATCTTTCTAACTTATGGTTATCAAAATTTACAGTTCTCTGCTTCAGACCCAGGCGGATTTCTACGCTAGCTCCATTCCTAAGTTACTGCTTTCTGTTTTGCAATACTAGCACTGAACAGGCGACCCAGATCATTCATGCCCTAGCCACAGTATCAAGGTTGTCCGTCCTTGTATGATTGTGTATAACCAACCAAAGAGCTTCTAGAACTTCGGACTCGAGACCGAAAAGCTTCCCGTTCACCTCGCAAGCACTACCCACTTCGGAAATACCGCCAGCCAACACAAGACGTCCTAAGAAGCTTTTACATCCGTGCCATGTTGCGGCAGACAAAGATGCAAAATCAAGGGACCTCACTCCGTCACACTTCGGCTCCTGACTAGCAGGTTTGTTCGGTACACTTGATAGATGTCGGCAGGCCTAAAGCAGAAAAAGACATGTGTCCAGGTTTCAGGCGTGCTGCCTAGTTGATGTAAACGAGATTACGAACGTTTATCCCACCACCATCAATGTGCTTTTGGTCGCTTAAGAGGGTTGTGGAGTAGAAAAGAGCACCGTGGAGGCTCTGCTTGACTCGTGGTATTAAACTCGTGGCATTAAACTCGTTGGTTAAACTTGTGTGGGTAGGTTAGGCTAACGGCCCGTAGAAAAGGTCCACTTTTGTCCTATTAACTAAACATTTACGCGCAACACCGTGCATGTTTTGTGCTTGGACTGGGTCGATCGCGAGCTTGCGTGTACGTGGAGTACGAGTACCGTTCGCTTGGTAAGCATGGTTGCTCTACTACTGTCTGCTATGACATGCGCGATGGCGATCTGATCATCTGGCTATGACCTGAGTTCGAAGGCTATGATGCAGCGATGGCTGATTCCCACCGAGAGAAGCAATCGGACTGGCCGATGACAATAGAAAAGAAGTATGAAGTCTTTGATGAGTGTCAGTCACGAATGAGTGCCTTTCACAATGACCGATATGAGCCGAGTAAGAATTTCTCTTGTATTCTGTTCATGCCTCATGAGTCTAGTGTCTTGTCGTGGATGCAATGCCACAACGAATGATGTCCATCTCCAGTCTGAAACGATAGCACCAATCTTGGTAGGAGAGTAGTGATTGATGTATTACCTCTCATCCTCGAAAGCCAGAGCCTGCTGCATGGCCCGATCGCGCAACTTATCATCGTGCTCAGGAGGAATGAACTTGCGCATGACCTCTTGCACGTATTTCTCTGGCACACCTTCCTTGAGAGCATCGCTTATGCCCATGTTCATGCGATAGATGTACTCATGCTTAGGGTGGGAATCTGTCACATGGTCACGACTGATGTAGACGAGCATGTCCTGCTTCTTTGCGGGTTTGTGTAGATCAACAGGTTCGTCCTCTTTCTCCTTGGCCCAGAACGAGACAGGCAGATCTTCCTTGGTGTATGCGAATGGGACGCCCTCATTGATGTCAAGGTGTTCTTCGTCGGATGGCTGCAATGAGTAGACAAGACCGTAAACGACGTTGGCGTAGTTTGGTTCGACAGAGGAGGGTGATTTGACTTGGACGACGTTGGCGTAACCGCGATCGTTGATCATCCAGCGATAGTTGTCAAGGCGTGCAATACCGAGGTAGTCTGAAGTTGGACATCTCATGCGCATCTGGTGCTGCCAGAGGTTACTGCCATAACCGAAGTAGATGGTAGGTGTGGTTGCGTTTGCCATGATTGTGGTGTTGAGAATGTTGGTGAAGGTATAGATAGCTAGAGATGCGACTGCTTTAATCAGTGGATCGCCGTATGGATGTCTCGCTGTGTCTTGTTCGTGTTCCAAGACAGTCAGAGCTGTTACGCAGTTAATGCGATGCAGATTTATCAATTCAGCGGCTTTGTGTTTGAAGATGGGTTGGTGGCAGAGTCGGTAGTCTCGGTAGTAATTGACGCGACTGCACGTGTGTTCAGGTTTCGGGTGACACAGAATCCAAGACTCGTCACTTTATGATATCCTTGTTGAGATGCACGTTGGTCTTGTCCTGGTAATGCAGTCCTATGACAACGAGGCAACAAAGCACGCAAGGGAGCAAAGGATTCTCTAGCGAGGATTGACAGGCGGTGAGATCAAGATAGGCAGGAGCAGCTTCCGCAAAGGGCAGTTTGGCCAAGAGCAAGAGGAAGCTGCGTAGGGGCCCCGCCGAAGCTCGAGTCTGCCCCTCGGATCCATCACTCACATTACGATGCCTCGTCTTCCCACTTCCATCCTCTCTTCCATCAGACCCAGACAGACTCCTCAATTCCTCAGAAACTCTTTCCACTCCACAGCAATCAACATGGGTGTCACCAAGCAGATCATCAAGCAGGGCGACGGCGTTAACTTCCCCAAGAACGGCGACAATGTCACCATGGAGTACACCGGCTGGCTCGAGGAGAACGGCGCCAAGGGCAAGCAGTGAGTCTATGTGAAGTGTCCTGCTGCAGCTTCACCATCTGACTTTTCTAGGTTCGACTCCTCCGTCGGTCGTGGTGACTTTGACGTCCCCATCGGTACCGGCAGAGTCATCAAGGGCTGGGACGAGGGTATTGTCAGCACTGATGGTGGCATGTCCCTCGGCGAGAAGGCCACTCTTACCATCTCCAGGTGCGCCCGCTCCTCTGACTCTATTAATACCCCCAAACTGATCATTTCACNNAGTGACTACGGCTACGGTCCTCGCGGCTTCCCCGGTGCCATCCCCGGCGGTGCCACTCTGATCTTCGATGTCCTTCTCAAGAAGATCAACGGCAAGAGTGCTTAAGCAATTGGAGTACGAAAAGCAAAAGAAAGAGTCTATAGACATCTCGTTCAGCTCTATAGAGTAGAATATCGAAGAAACAGCTTTCATACCCAAGAACCTTCACAACTGTCACTCTGCCCGTCTGCTCATCACCCGAAAGAGCACGTTGATAGAGCCTGTAGCAAAACGTTGTTGCTGCGTGTCATTGTCATACATCATGCTATCTAGCATCATCTAGTTCTCAAACTTGAGATCTGCCTCCTGTCTGACAGCACCGTAGATGCCAGCAATGTCACCTTTGCTGCCCATGTGCTTCTGCACCTGTGCCAAATGCTGGTCGGCAACCTCGACGTCTCTCATCTTGACACCGTGAGTCTTAGCCAGAGCCAAGGCATGTCCAGCATCTTTCCTTGCAAGGTCGACAGCAAACAATGGCTCTTCACGCTTGTAGTAGTCGCCCTGGCGCAAACGGTTGCTGTACGCTGTGTAAGGGCCAGGGAACATGGTCTCGACGAACTGATGAAGCCTGTCTGAACCAAGACCTGACTTCTCGGCAAGAGCGTGACCTTCAGAGAGAGTCTCGACCATGTTGAGGATGAATGTGTTGCCAATGATCTTGAGTCTCGTAGCAGATCCATGAGGTTCGCCAGAGTAGTCAATAACGGCACGACCCAAGACACCAGTCGTGTAAGGCTTGACCTTGTCAACCGCATCGGAAGGACCAGCTAGCACACATACAAGCTGACCTGCATCTGCCATTGCAGGAGCACCAAAGACAGGGCATGCAACAAACTCAGCGCCTTGACCATTGATGGTCTTTGCGAGCTTGTCTGTGGTGTCAGGGTGGACAGTGGAGCAGTCTACAAACAGCTTGCCCTTTACATTTCCCTTGAGAGCAGAGTTGATGGTCTCCTCAATTGCCTTGTCGTCTCCTACGCAAGTGAAGATGATATCTGAAGCGTTGACTGCTTCTTCAATGCTCGAGACAACCTTGGCCTTGCCAGATCCAAGACTCGAGGCGAGCTGATCGGCGCGAGATTGGGTACGGTTGAAGAGAATGATGGGGTTAGAAAGGTCACCCTTTTCGACCAAGTTCTTCACCATGCCCTACGATGAACCATTAACAGTGTTTCCAGCAAAACTATCATAATCATTATCACTTACACGACCCATGTTGCCGAGGCCAATCCATGCAATTTGAGGAGCCATTGTGAGATGTATTTTATGTATTTAGGTGATATTTTGAGATAGAGAGTTTTGCAAAGGAGTCGAGGCAAATATGTCGAGCTCCAGAAGACATACTGCCGGTCTGTCCCGCTGACAGTACCGAGCCCGCGAGAAGCACATGTTGGATGAGCTTCTATGACGTTCTTGGCGTGTATAACGGAGATAGATGGCGGGGCTCGGAGATAGCAGTTGACTGTCGTATCCTCGGCATCTCGATCACGAACGAGCATGACTGAAATCAGTGGTAAAGGAAGACAGAGATCGGACTGTCTCCAAGGCATATGTCCATCTCATCACGCACCAATACGAAAAAATAGACATTGAGAGAATTCCATTCAGGCTGGCAGTGAGAGAAATATGGCCGCTGTCGGCGGTGTGGAGAAGTGACGATAAGATAAGAGTAGCTTGTATGGAGATGAGTCTTTTTATTATTCCCGCTGTGTCTTGAATCCCGCTGTGTCTTGAACTACATCTGTGGTGACTGGTCCTCTTGTCAAGTCGTCATCCCACTCTAGACATTAGTTGCCATGAACCATGGCAGCATGCCTCCGACACTTCGAAGCAGAGTGCGCCCTGAGACCATCAAGTGTTTGCACCGCGATTTCGGCTCGCTTGCCGCCAATCGTTCCAACCATACCAACAACATTAGCAATGGAGAGAAGAGGGACAAACTAGCTCACAGAGTAGGTCCATTCTGATCCTTTATGCCAGTAGTGCCTTCTCTGACAGTGGCAGGACTTCTTCTTCGACCTTTTGAACGCAAGCTCGACCCGCAGAGACGCCAAACAATACCTGGCTCGCTTCAAGCCTACGCTCGACAACAAGCCTAAGAAGACGTCTGTAGTACACGATGCAAAGGAATCAAAACAGCAATGGCAGCTCCAAAGGTCTGGCGTTAACCTCGGCCAGCTGTACCTTCCTACCCAAGCCGCTGCTGCCACACCGACCTTCACGCAGTACGTGGAACGAGATACGCAGGTTCAACGCGGCGCTGGAGAATTACACGTTGCACTGGTCTGTCTGAGGGCTCCTCATCTGATTGATGATGAAACTCTTGATGGCATTGCTCTGACCATGGCTCAATTGGTCCGTCTCGATATGCAGATCGTCCTCGTACTCAATTGTGAAGACGAGATTGTGCAAAAGAACGAGTCGTATAGGGAATTGTACCGTCGCCAGGNNGGGAGCAGAGTTGTCGCTGCCTTGGATCGTCACAACAATGAGGGCGCTCGTTATGTCGAGTCCGCCTTGAACATCACCAGCCAGGAACCAATGCCAGCTTCACGTCCCAAAGTCATGGGTATCATAGAGCTTGGTGTGCCCAAACTCATAACAGAACCATTGAAGCGAGGTGCTATACCTGTCATCCCCGCAATGGCATACGACACGACTTGCAAGGTTGAGAATGCGTCTGTAAGCGGTGTTATGCTGGCCTTAACACGCGCCTTGTCTGGTTTGGCCGCTGTTACTGGCACGCCAGATAAGATACTCGAGGATACTTCCTTGGATAGAATCATCATGCTGGATCCTCTAGGAGGGCTGCCTACCGAAAGTCGACAGGACAAGGCACATGTCTTTGTCAATCTCGAGCAGGAGTACGACATGATTCGCGACGAGATAAAGACCTGTGGCATGAGCCCCCATTATCTCGACACTCTCAGTTTGGTTAGAGATTGTTTGGCTCTGCTGCCTCCTGCATCGTCAGCATTGCTCATATCACCCGAAGAAGCGGCCATCTCCTCGCACCACTCTCGCAAAGAATCAACCATTGGCATCACCACTCGACGACAAAAGAATCCTCTGATACACAATCTGCTGACCAACAAACCCCTTATCTCTTCGTCTCTGCCTGTCGCTCGTCTCTCTACCAATGGTATAATCCCTTCCGCGTCTTCTGAAAGTGCCACTCGCTCTACACTTGTAAAGCGCGGTATGCCTCTGATGATAGTCCCGGATCTCAAGAACACACCCTGGACACCACCAAAACCCGGCGAATCCACCATCGCCCTAGACAACCACCCAGATATCAACTTCCCTCGCCTCGTCGCTCTGATCGAAGATTCCTTCCGCCGACCCCTCGATGCCCAACACTACCTCAACCGCATCAAGAACCGCGTAGCCGGCGTCATCATCGCAGGAGAATACGAAGGTGGTGCAATCTTAACCTGGGAAGAACCACGAACACTCGGCTACAAGCAATCAGGAGTAAATCCAGATCCCACTCGCTTAGTCCCCTACCTCGACAAATTCGCCGTGCTCCAACGCTCTCAAGGCAGTTCCGGAGTAGCCGATATAGTGTTCCAAGCTATGGTGCGCAGTTGCTTCCCAGATGGCGTTTGCTGGCGATCACGTTCCAACAATCCGGTTAACAAGTGGTACTTTGAGCGGTCGAGGGGAACATGGCATTTGCAGGATACACAGTGGACCATGTTTTGGACGAATCCGGATTTGGTGGCTGATCAACAGCGCTGGGAGGAGTATGTATCGGTGTGTAGGAACATCGAACCTAGCTGGGCAGATAACAAGGCCAAGCCTGATTGACGCACCGTGGTTTCGATCTCTACAAGATGTATATAATAACACGTGAATGATACATTTGATGTCTCCGTTTAAGATTTCATAAATGCTTTTGGTCATTTCGAGATACGTCTATCAAGATCGTTTGAGGAGCTGTTCAATCTCTCCTTAGATCTAGTGGTTGTGTGTTGTCTTGTAAGAGCTGGTCATCGAGACCTCTTTTGCTCATCCATGCAATCAGGCTGGCATCTGACCTCTGCAGAGGCCCCGGTCTTGCACAAATGCACCATTATCGCAACAGCTCAAAGCCGGATCTGCCCTCACTGAGGCCCTAGGTTGGCTAGGGGCTTTACAGTGTACCGATCGCCTCTTGCTCGCAACCTGCACGAGAGGACGCTTTTTTCGTGGCCAGGAATGAAGCAGTTTGTGCTCATATCGATGCTCTCCGAGAGCTTTATAAGGTGAAATATGTACAATCGAAAAGTAGAAGCTCGAGAGCTCGGGTTCTTATAGGGCGCTAAAGGTTGCGACTATGCTGCTTTTTGTCTGCTGGGAAGGACGCGGTCTTCGAATCTGCGCATGAGTTTGTTGGTCTGTTCAGCCAAACTCAAAGTCAAGATCNNTGGAGGAGTGTTAGTAAGAGCTAAAGTGTCAGACGAGGCTTTACGTACGGTATGCGGCAAAATTCTAGCCAGATGGGCAAAGAAGCCCTTGTAAACGGCCAGTGGACCTTCCGTCTTGATGGTTCGGAACAAGCAGTCCAATGCGCTAGAGTAGAGGTTGCCGTTCTGGTTGTACATGCGGCCCATGACGGTATCCGGAGGGTGCATGACGCAGCAGACGACAAAACCAGAGCATGCAGAAGACATGAGATGCAGAGCAGGACTCTCTTGCATACCAAAGTGTTTTACGAGGTTGCGCTTAGCAAAGAAATATGTTGGTAGCTGGACACTGGATCCAAAGCCAGTTCGGACCATGGCAGGTACAACGCCACGATAGAGACCCTTGATACCTTCGGCGCGGTAGATTTGAGAGAAGCCATCGGCGGCACTCTTGTATTGATGTTGTGCGCCAACGGGCAATGCTGGACTGTAGCTCTGAAGACGAGTCTTGATCAAGAAGAGAGGGNNGGAGCCGAGAGCTGCACCGATGATACCGGACGAAGCACCAGAGAAGATGTTGACTGGGAGGTTCTGCATGGCGACAGCTTGCGGGTCGTGAGCGTGTGAGAAGTCGCGGCTGAGGAGCAGAGAGTTCGCGTGGGTGCGGATAGGTTCGTAGAAGCCGAGACGACAGCCATTGAGCATCATCTGGTAGACGTAGGCACAGTTCAGGCCGCGCAATAGACCCCTGAGGCCTTCGTTCTTGAAGATGACCGACATGCCATGAAGCACACCTCGGTACATTTTTGGAGCATCCTTCCTGGCCTGCAGCTCACCCTGGAGCTGTAACCGCACCTTGACCGTCTCAAAGCTGTGAGTTACTGTGACAGCGCCGCATGCTGCAATGCCGCCGGCGATAAAAGAACTATTCGAGTTGTGTTAGTTGCGGATTCTAGATGGAAGGTGTGGAGGAGTTACCCAATGCCGGTGGACATGGTTGCTCGTCAGACTACTGAAAAGGAGAGCGCAAAGACTGAGGACAAGAAGCGATATGAAATATAGTCACTGTAATAGTATCGAGAAAGAACTACGGACAATTTGAGAAGCAAGTTGGACTCGAAGCAATTGAACCGAAGTCGGAGAGGGCTGGTCAGCGCACTGAAAGGGAAGGGGTGACGTATTAAGGAAGGTCCCTGAGTCGCGCCTTCCTTCCGAAGATCTGGGGAAACATTTTGAGCTTGACGCTGCCTTGCGCGCTTCCACCTTCACCAAGACGCATTTCACGACATCTTCTGTCCCCAAGAAGATTACACCAATCGGCGACATGGGAGCAGAGAACGGCCAGCCGGGCCCCATGGCCAAGGTCAGCGAAGTCATTGCGACGTATCGGCCGACGAGGGTGAGTGGCCCCCTCAGCGCGCTCCTGCTCATGCTCATGCACCTCTCCCCAACCTCAACACTGACGCAACTTGCCAGCNTCTTCAAAGCCCCCAACCTGCACTACACATCGCTCGACTTCGACTCAACAGGCGAGCTACTCCTCCNNCTCGCTCGCACTGACGATACTCTCCATATCTACAACACAAAGGCTGGAGCCCACGCAAAAGAACTCAAGTCACAAAAGCACGGTTGCGCCCTTGCCCGCTTCACACATCACTCGCAATCTGTTATCTATGCCTCGACCAAGCTCAACCATGATATCCGATACCTCTCTGCTCATGATAACTCCTACATCCGCTACTTCAAGGGCCACACCGACAAGGTCACCTCCATCCAGCTCTGCCCTAGCAATGACACCTTCCTCTCTGCCTCTCTTGACAACACGGTGAAGCTATGGGACCTCCGCTCTTCCTCTCCACAAGGCAGCCTCAATCTGCATGGCGCCGTCTTGACCGCTTATGATCCTTCAGCCACCGTCATTGCCATCGCTTCTCCTGCTACCCAGACCGTTGTCCTCTACGATGTTCGCAACTACGACAAGCCTCCTNTTGCGACCTTTGATATGCAGGACATTGAGCGCCGCTTCAATCATTATGGCCAAGCTCAAGCTCAAGGCTGGACCACTTTGGAATTCAGCAACAACGGCCAGTACATCCTGGTTGGAACCAATGGTCCAGGCCACTATGTCCTTGACGCGTTCGAAGGCGTATTGAAGGCCTACTTATATCGCGCCCAGGGTCCTCCACCCTTCCCATCTCAGCTTGGTCAAAGCGACAGTCCTCTGCGTCATACTCAATCCTCACTTCAAGGCGACGCTTGCTTCACATCTGATGGTCGCTATGTCGTTTCAGCCTCGTCCAAGGGCGGCATGTTGGTATGGGACCTGCTTGCCGATAAGCGCTCTGACGGTACCATGAATCCCATGACCGATTTGCCCGGTCCAAGAACGTCTACTGTTGTTGGTGTGAACCCCAGATACAACAATCTCGCCAGCGCTGGTCAAGATGTCGTACTCTGGCTGCCCGACCCTGAACTGGCTTGATTCCCGGCATCTAAATCACATCTGTAAATTTAGCGAGGCGTTGGTGGTGCGGTTACTTGCATATCTTACATTACTCAGCATATCTCGATCTGAGGACTCATTTGAAACCAGAGGAAAGCTTCTACAAATCAACAAGAACTCGGTTCGCATCTCACCACTGCTGCTTCCAGCTTGACCATACTTACATCCGAAGCCTAGACATGAAGGACACAAGGTACCATTTGGTTCAAGAAAAACACTTCAATATCGCTAATGCCGAAAAAATACGGAAGAGGCCATGCATGCTCTCAGAATTCCGTACGCAAACTCCGTCCAACCATGAACTTCCCAAATATCAAATGTTCCACCGCTTCCTTGAATGCCATAACCAACGCCTTTCCATGAGATCAGCTCTCCCCATTCGTAAATCAATAACTTTCTTGCTCTGAATAGCGTCGCAGATAATCACTCAGTCCATTACCAAAATTCAGTGGCTCAACATCATCTAGACCACCTTCACCTCTGAGCACAGGGCTAGTGCCGGAACCTCCTCGCCTCTGTTTTGCCAGGGAGTGACGAGAGGCCATTGATGGATCCGGAAAACCATCCACTCTCGGTGTCGAAGCCAACATGTTCGAAATCATCGGTCGCATGAGACTCGACACTCTTGTTCGGTACGCTGGTTCCTGGAACGCGGAACTCGTAAATGTCTGATGTCGATGGAGAGACTGAACCTGACGAGGCAATATCGCTACTGTCAAAGTTGTAGTAGCCGCCTTCTTCACCTTCGAAGCCGCCTGCAGCATCGGGGTATGAAGCGTCTTCCATTTCCTCATCAATCGGATCCAGTGGCATTTCATCTTCTTCTGGTCCTGAGCCTGCCTGTGACAGCTGTTTGTTGAGATTGGCCAATACATCTCGAAGGCGAGCTTTGCTACGAGGATTCGAGATCTGGTCAAGCTGCAGCTCGGTTTCCTGAATCTTAGATACCAGCTCCGAGATGAGCTCCGAAGTGGGACTCTGAGTGCCAGCAGCTTGTGGCTCGGGAGTCACTTCTGAAGGCGGTGGTGTGGATTCCTTGGTCAAAACATCACCGAAGCATTTCTCGAACTCCTTGAGTTGACCACGGTCAGTGATGGCGAAAACAATCTCCTTGATGCCTGGCCAGGACTCTGCCTTTCTGGTAGTACCGAGTATGACACGCTTCCAGATCTTTGCGACCTCGCGTACAGGGTTTCCATATGCACCGCAGCCCCACGCTCCAAGGATGAGTTTTTCAGCTCCGCGAGATTGCGCCATGCGAAGCACGCCACGCATCTTGTGTGTCACGAGTTCACGGTCACGGTCGCAATAACTGACACCACATGAGCAGCCGCCTTCGGCCTCCTCCTTCTCAGCAATGCGTGCACTGTTGGTCTCTGGGAAGCGAATCATGGCCGCGCTGACGACATCAACGAAGAATCGTTCCCGCTTTGGTAGGTCTTCTGCTTCTGGTGTACTATCTCTGTGCACCATGACATCCGGAGTAACGATTCCGCCCACTTCGGGTAGTCGATAGAAGTCATCCCAGAGAGAAGCGTACAATGTGGTACGCATACAAAGAAATTCCTCGGAACTTGTTGCACCATCCAGGAACCCACCGCCAGGGCGCAGAGGAGAGGCCATGTTTAGGACGCAAACATTCGTCGACCTGGTTGCTTGCTTTGAATTTGCCAACGCAGCTGCTGCAGATTGCCGGCGAGACGAGTGAGTCAGGCGACGAGCCGCAGTAAGAGAGTCCGTGTTACAGAGTCTGATCGTCAAGTTTGATGTTGATAGCTTGTTGGTATTGCTTTCGGCTTTGGGATCGGTCGTCAAAACAGCATTGTGAATGCCATGTCTGGCCCTCGGACTCGACTTGAGAATATCCGGAATTACTTTGTTGACAGTATCCTTTGCCCTTTTGGCACGATCCGAACGTCTGTTGGCCTGAGGAGTAACAACGACTGTTGGTTGCAGCCGTCCCATGATTGCTTTTCCGGGAAGAATCCTTGGCGAAATGTTTGACTGATGGCTGGTCGTATTCACAAAGTGGGTTGAAGGATACGACAAATCCAGCAGCCAGATAAAAGAAGGTAACAGAAAAGAACGAGGAGCGACAAACAGGAAAATTAAGACAATGATGGGCGATTCAGCGAGTACTAGGCGTGTTGGCTGACGTTGGCAGGCCTGACATGTGAAAGTGTACTATATTAGCCAGGATGACGTTCCAGCTCCACAGCCGACAGTCGGAAGCATGTGCAGGCCGGTGAATACAGATGAAGAGAGATGGAGAATGGGATATTCTGCGAGACGGTTGGTTGGAGAGCCGAAGGAAAAACGGAGAAGCACGAAGGGATGGACATGGGAGGAGAGACAAGTGACTGCATCACAACTGCATGCGGCATCTTCGATGGATTGACTCTGACCGTGGAAACGCCTATGCTGGATGCCAAGCTTAGCATGTGAAGATGCCGGAAGCGGGCTATGGGGACGTGGCTGCCGGCTTTAGCGAACGCAAGACGCAACATCAGAGTCGTGTGCGTAATCTCAAAGACCGTTTGTGCTCTCGACTCTGGAGCAATTCTGATGGAAAAACATGTCTCGAATTTAAGCTGATCTCTGCTAAACCATGGATATGAGAAGGTGCTCCTATACACAATTCTTGCATTGAGTTTCGCTCATCAGCGTCGGTATATAGTACAAATGTTCGCTAGTCAGATGTACAATGTGCTGTATAAACGAATGGGCGGGTTTAACCGATCTGGGAATACGACACGCTGGAGGAGCGTTGCAAGCACCTCCTAGTTTGATTTGGAGCAGCACCCGATTTATCGATAGATACATCTCCAAATTTATTGGATCGATTGCTTTTGCCAGGGCACGCGAGGCACGGCGTGGACAAGTCGAGAACAGCGGCGTGCGTCTTGGAGGTCGGCTGACAGCTACCTAATAACATCGTTGCTTATACTTGGTACCGTCCTCGTACACAATATTGGCCGCCATGGCTACTCAGCAGCACACGCAACAGCAACAATCGCTACCGCAGCAGACGCAGACACAGTCCAATGCAGTGCCCGGTGCTGCCAGGACGAGCTCTTACACCGCGCTGCCTCCGCCGGCAGCCTACACACCTCTGCGCTATGCCAGTAATCGAAAGACCATCTACGACCGCAACCTCAACCGAGCTCGCACATCCGAGTTGAGTTTGGCATCCNTTGCGCACCTCTTCAACACCTTGATCGCATACCACCAAGCTCGCGCGCCCTCGGTCTCGGACCTTGAGGCCAGGTTGGCCCAATCGGCATACCCCATCGGTGTCAAGCTGCTCGATCTGCTCCTGTTCCGTATGCCACCACGTACAGCCTCACGACCAACCCGCCTGCTTGACCTCTTGCAATTCATACATACAACCTTGTGGCGCTCCTTGTTTGGTCGTCCTGCTGATGCTCTCGAGGCTAGCACTGGCAACAACAACGACTATATGATTATAGACAACGATCCTCTTGTCAATACATACATCAGTATCCCCAAGGAGATGAGCCAGCTCAACTGCGCTGCCTTTGTTGGTGGCATTATTGAGGGTGTATGTGATGCTGCCGGTTTCTCGACAGACGGAGTCACGGCACATTGGGCAGAAAACGACGAGCTCTGGCCGTCCAAGACTATCTTCCTCGTCAAATTCAAGCCCGAAGTAGTGGAAAGAGAAGAAGCACTTAAAGCTGGAGGTGGTTGATTGTTCGATGAAGTCTTACTTCCTTACAAATATCGAGATGGGATAATGAACATCAGCCTATAGCGAGGCTTGGATTACAGCCCTGAGGATGACACTTCTCGTAAATCATCCCCAAAGCAAGCAACTTCTCTTCAGAAGACTCTTGTCGGGCTGGCTCCTTTGGTCAAGCACTTGTTCTGTCGGATCAACTTGCCACGGTTCCGATCGGCACACCTTCCCACATTCCCGTCTCTCGCCGCCAACCTCCTTGCTCTGAAGGAACATCTTCCATCTCTACGTCATCCGTCTTCTTGGTCTCCTTCGTCTTCTTCGTTGCTCCTTCCTCAGCATCAGCATCCGCATCGTGGTCGCCCACCAAAGCGCTAGCTTCGACCAAACTCTTCCAAGTAGTTTGAACATCCATCTCGGCATCCTCTAGAATCTCCTCGGCCAGTTCGTAACTCCATTGTGTGTTGGGATGTAGTATACATTCCCTTAGTGCCAGGATCTCGAAAAGCTCAGGGCTTTCGCCACGCATTTCTAGCCAGCTGTCGGAATCTAGCAAATGCATGATCCAACGGTAGATGGCCCATTTGGTTGGGTCTGCTCTGTCCCTGTCTTCGTCCGCGGCGTTCATCTTTGCGTTATGGGCGATAGCTCGCTCAAAGAAGGCTTCGACAAAGAGCGAAGATCCCGATGCAAGCATGATCAAAAGTTCATCCCAGATCAAGTAAGCGCCCTGCAGAGCCGAGTCGGCAAGAGGGCCTCTTGTCCTGTAAGAATAATTAGCAAAGTCCAATATCAAAAAGATTCGTTCAGACCACACATACTGTTTCNNCAGTGAAGGTACAATCAAGCCATCGTCAATCAAAACCGATGCTACTTGAGTCCACTTTGCTGCTTCATCTTCACCATGGCATAAGTTTTGACAGTGCTGTTGTGTTTCAAGTAACGAGCTGGCGATGTCCTTTGCCTTCGCTTTGCTCTTTAGTGCTGTGACCCTGCGTGATCTGAACTTTTTGAGATACTCGGTAGCCTCTGACCTGACTGCCGCCAAAGATTCCAGGTCTACTTGAGCTGCAGCTTCCTCGTCAGCTTCGGCCTCCCAAGCGTCTTGAGGCAGTTTTGCCCAGTAGACGCCCCAGAGCCAATTGACTGCTTCACGAGCGCTGCGGACAAGTCTCGCAAGACCAGGCAGATCTTCATGTGCGACTTCATGACGGAGTTCGACAAAGTGCGGAGGCAGGCCGATAGACCTGGCAACGTCAAACATGCTCTGACCAGGTCCGCTTCTGTGGCGTCCCAGATCGGCAAATCCAGTCACGAATCTGGACAGTGCAGTAGTGTAGGCGGCTCTGAGGGCAAAAGACGAAGCAGTACCGGCAACAACACCTTGAAGTGGCCATTCTGAAGGGTCGGCAGCAGAAGAGGCTTGACGCATGCTGGAGGTTGAGAATTGAGCGTGGAGGAGCATGGCGTCCATTAATAGAGCTGTACTTTCGACTGCATGAGGAACGTTGCCTCTCTGTTTCCAGGCTGCTACTGTAGCGATGGCATGGCTTTGCTCTGCTGGCGTCGAAGGGCTGTAGAGGCCATGGCGAACATTCAANAGGTCGGCATGGCTGCGCCAGGGTGTGACGAAGTAGTTTAGCTGTACTGGTTGCGGAGGCATGTTGGAGGCCTCTTATATTCCTATTTCAGTATTGGTCTATTCAGAACCGATGCTTTTTGGTCTGTCTAGATATCCAAAGTCAGTATGATAAACAATACAGAACTGGTTGGTCTTGCAGTCTTTCTTAATTTGAACCATCAACATGCGAATCCAGATATGTCGAGGATTCACACAAAGGATACAGGGTTCCTGAAAACCTGAGTCCGTATCAGGTTTCGAACGAGATCTGAAGTCTTGAACATTTCTCTGGTGATTTTTTCGCCTTTTTTCTTCCCCAGAAAAGTCTGCTGGAGGTGGTATGCAGGTTGCATTAAAGTATGTGACGAAAGATGACTTGCCTCTATGAATTATATCTGTTTCTTTGCTTCTATCCTTCTAGCCAGATAAGAGAATTATTTCGAGGTCCAGTAATTGACGTTGATCTTGACAAGAGTGGTTGTTCAGTTAAGGTCATTCGTTTGCGCTCTCAACTCCGTGATGAGTCCGTGCGGCGCAGCTCATCCTCGACAAGCAATCATGAACTCGACCTTCTGTTCTCGGTGACGGACCACGTTCCGATGTGTAACAGAATACAACGAGAGTCAATATGAAGTGTTTAGAGATGCTTCAATTTGGGCCTCTATGCTCCCCGTATACTAAAGTATGTAACGCGTATGACTACAGAAATGCACGATACTATCAGAAACCAGGATAGTATCCACCGAGAGGCGATTTCTTATCGACTCTTTTGGTCATATCTTTGTCTCTAAGTAAGATTGTGCATCTCTATAGCCATACGCGTTACATATTTTAGTATACGGGGAGCATCTATGGTCGGCTTGATTGACTGGTCGGTTGCATATCTTGACAAAGATTCACAATCGCTGTGCACGTACGACCATCTTCATCTTGACAGTTTTGACCGTCAAGCTCTGCGGTATCAAGGTACTTCTCTAGTTCAAAGACACTTCAAACTTAGTTCTCAATACTTGCCCGATAACTTTTCTTGATGTAGTAACCCCGTCTCTAGGGCACATACGAGGTGAACAATCACATGTTGGGACAAGGATGTATGCTTCTTGAATCATTATCAGCAAGGCTTGATGGCAATTGCGAGATCTAAAGGTCCATGCCACGTGTTACTCCACCAACGTCACCGACAGTTGAATCGCTCCTTCTCTGGAGCCAGCAAAACTCGTAGCAGTTGCCAGATCTGAAAGGCTACTCTGCTGATTCATCATCTTTTGTTCTCTCTGATACAATTTCAAAGAAGACCAAGCTACAAACACAAAACGGGAAAGCTTCCATACAATCAGTTGTAGCTGACGACTTACACACCAAACAGCAAGTTGCGTCTGAGAGGTGATAGAGGAAGAGTAGGATTCCACGCGAACAAAACACCTTACTCTCCGGTCTGGAAAAACTCGCCGCATATACCGCTGTAAAACATGGAACCATTGTCGAAGCAAGACACTCCTACTGCAGATGCTCGTCCTCTGATCAGCTCAAGCGTACTAGCCTGGGACGCACTTCAAGACTTACTCCAGGATGAACAATGCACCATCGATGGGAGCTCGCTAACCATCGCCAGCGTTGTCGCTGTTGCCAAGTCAGTGCAATGTTATCCTTCCCTTACAGATCATGTTTGACTGATTGTTAGATACAGATATGGAGTATTGACACAATTATCGAACGACGACGAGATCCACAAACGCATGAACGACAGCGTCAGTATGCTGAAAACTCACCTGAATTCAGGTCATCTTGTTTATGGTGAGTGATACACTTGTCTCTATGCCTGCCCAGCAGATTCTGACCAGCGATGACAGNGTGTCTCCACGGGATTTGGCGGAAGTGCAGACACTAGGACAGACCACTTGGAAGATCTCCAAAGAGCACTTGTTCAGCACCAAAACTCTGGTGTCCTTACCAGCCACGATATCGGCCGCCCTCTAAATGTATCGGTGACGGATCATGCTCTTCACTCGCGAGATCTCGATCTGGGATTCAGCACAAACTCAATGCCAATGAGCTGGGTAAGAGCAAGTATGCTCATAAGATGCAACTCAATCATACGAGGACACTCTGGCGTGCGAATGTGTGTGGCACAAGCCATCCTTAGCTTTCTCAACAGGAACATCATCCCGGTCGTACCTCTTAGAGGCAGCATCTCTGCCAGTGGGGACTTGAGCCCTCTCTCATACATTGCCGGAGCCATTGAAGGCTCTCCCGACATCTACGTAAGACTCGCTAACGGCAACATATCGTCGGCGGCGGAGGCATTGAAAGATGCTGGTATCGAGCCTATGAATCTTCAAGCCAAAGAAGGTCTAGGTCTGTTGAATGGAACAGCATTTTCTGCTGCGACAGCATCTCTTGCCTTGCACCAGTCTCGAGATGTTGCTCTCTTGTCGCAGGTCCTGACTGCAATGAGTGTTGAAGCCATGCAAGGTTCTGCAGAACCTTTCTGGCCTCAAATTGCGGCTATGCGTCCCCATCCTGGTCAGATCGAGGCAGCTGCTAACATCCTTTCCTTCCTCCAAGATTCCAAACTAGCGAAATGTGTTGGATCGCCAAAAGACACAAAGATGACTGGCCTTTTTCAGGATCGTTACGCCCTAAGAACTGCATCTCAGTGGATTGGACCCCAGATCGAGGACCTCTTACTAGCCACTTCTCAAATCCACACTGAGATCAACTCCACCACAGACAATCCATTGATGGACGTTGAGTCTGATCATGTTCTCCACGGTGGCAATTTTCAGGCAGCTGTGGTGACTTCTGCCATGGACAGGACTCGTCTTTGCTTGGAGCGATTGGGAAAGATGCTCTTCTCTCAGGTGACAGAGATCATCAACCCGATGCTCAATGGCGGACTGCCAGCAAACTTGTGTGCGGATGATCCGTCGTTATCCTTCACATGCAAGGGCATTGACATCAACATGGCTTCATATCAATCGGAGCTGGGCTTCTTGGCCAATCCTGTCGGAAATCACGTCCAGTCTGCAGAAATGCACAATCAAGCAATCAATAGTCTGGCCTTGATTTCTTTGAGATACACATTCCAAGCACTCGATACGATCTACATGATGGTGGCTGCTCATTTGTTTGTCCTCTGTCAAGCCCTTGACCTGCGTGTACTGCAGGTTGAGTTTCTAGAGTCCATGGAGGAGAACTCAATAGATTGGTTCACCGACATGCAGGCGCCCGAAGAGTTGCATGCCACACTCAAAGACGCGGTCTACACACGGATCAAGTCTGTGTGGATTACTACAAATACCGCTGATCTCGACCAACGATGCAAAGTTACTGCCGACGCTGTCATTCCGGATATCATTAACACATCTGCCAAAGTTCTATCCGGCACATCTCTTGAGTCTACTAAATTGGTCGAGTTCAGAGCAAACTTACAAGCTCAGATGCAAGTTCAATATGAACTTAGCAGACAAGACCTCTTTGAAAACCATCAAACGATAACTCCGAAATTTCTAGGAAATGCAGCGAAGCGTATGTACAACTTCGTTAGGGGCGACTTGGGTGTAAAGCTACGTCGAGGCTTGGTCGAACACCCTACCCAGCAACCTCTTCTGGGTGTGGAAGTGGAGGAGCCACGCAAAAGTATTGGCAGCAGGATCAGTGTGATCTATGAAGCTTTGAGAGATGGACGTGGAAGTGCGGTTCTTATGGCAATTGCTGAAGAGAGTCTGAGAGAGAAGGATACTTGAGCTGCAGAAGCAAAGCTGATGACCGAGAACCATCGCCATGAAATATTTCGAAGCCTGACGACATGGGAGATAGAGAAACATCGCTGAAGAATGCTAGATGGTAATAGCTCACTACACGCTTTGCTAGCTTACAAGCTCGTTCGGTACACTATTTATCAGAGAGCAACGTGTTTGGCAAGGCTAAGCAGACAGAAGGAGAGAGCGACTAAGAACGCGGATTGGGCATATGTCTTAGGTAGGAGCGATACACATGACTGGTAATGCTTGCACTTCTTCACCACGGTGCACGCAAACTTGGAGTAATCCAGAAATTCACGTTGCTTTGTTCTTGCATTCTGTAGAATATTATCAAGAAACTGATCCTTAGAGCAAGCCCCTATCTATACACTCTCCGTTTCGCCATTCGCCAATGAAGTATTGTTGCGTTGTCCCATAATACTGTAAAAGCCAACCTTACTTTCTGAAGCGCAGTGCCAGGTATCCAAGGATACGGTAGACGGCAATGATGCCAATCATGATACCGACAGTCTTGCCCAGCTGACCAGTAGGATAGTCGTAGTAGTGTAACACAGCCTTGCCATCAATCTTGCACTGACCCGAGAGTTCGCTCTCATAGGCGCATGAACATCCAGTGACAACATTGCCAGCGCAGCTATAGGTGCGGCCGTCGAACTCATTGACCATCATACCGCGGAAGACGTAGGCTTGATAGTCGATGTAGTGGAAGACGTAACGCCAAAAGACGTTGAGACTTCCAGTGGGCACGAGGAAGCCGCCCACTGACATCCAGAGACCATTGGCGAACGCCACGAGGGCGAGAGCGATGATGAAGTTAGGGAAGAGAGACGAGACGAGAACAACAAGACTCTCGGCTGCGACCAAATCCAAGAAGAGCCACATGACGTGGATGAAGAAGGCGTCAGCATCAGGACGGAAATTGATGAGCCAGTAAGTGACGCTAGCGAAGAGAATGGATATGAGGAAGAGGAAGGGCAGGCCGATGAAGAAGTTGGACACGATGAATGACAAAGGTCCGTAAAGGCCATTGGCACGCTCCTTGACGAAGATGGCTCTGTCTTCGAGGAAGGCAGGTACGTAAGCGACAGCCATGAAGCTCAGGAAGGCACTACCGAAGAAGAGTGCATTGACAAAAGACTGAATGTCTTTNTGTATGGTACTCAGCCGGAGCCAGACAGTGCCCATCATGATAGCAAGACCCATGTACATGGCGACACGGATCCAGTAAGCAACAATGTCGCGATAGGATTTGAGGAAGAGGCGGTGCAGAAGGGTGACAGGTATGCCTAGATCATGAGCCAGACCAGGTCCTTGAGAGCCGGCGAAGGTCTCGTTCTTTTCAAGCTCAGATGACGCTCCATGATTGTCGTTATCGTGCGTCTTCCATGCAGATTGAATCATGAGCAGACGTTGAGCTGTCATGTTCCCTTCCCCATCTTCCGATTCGAAGTCGGTGTTTGTCAGGTCGAGGATATGTTCCGAAGGGTTCATCAAATCTGGGACCGGCATACCGAGGTTGGCAAAGTAGGGTGCAACACCCGATACGGATCCGAAGTAACAAGTCTGGCCCTGTGAAAGAAGCAGCAGCTTGTCAAAGAGCTGGAAAGTCGCGGTCGATGGTTGGTGGATACTGGCTACCACGATAAGCTGGTGTTGCTGAGCATACTTCTTCAGCAGGTGAATGACCTCGAAGCTGGCCACAGAGTCTAGTCCACTGGTGGGTTCGTCGAGGAAGAGGATTTTGGGTGCGGTGATCAACTGGCTCGCGACGCTGACACGTCTCTTCTGGCCTCCTGATATTCCTTTGCGGATAGGTGTGCCGATAAGAGTATCGGCTTGCTTCTTGAGACCGAAGCTGTCGATCAAGCTTTGGACTCTACTACCCTTCTCGTTCTTCAAGACAGATCTTGGANNGTGTCAGCAAGATGTCTTGTTGATAGAGAGGTTGTAAGCATACCTAGGAAGAGCTAGACGAGCTGCAAAGTCAAGAGTCTCTCGAACAGTCAAGGACCCCGCAAGGGCATCATCCTGCTCGACGAAGGACGTGAGTTTCTTGTAGATAGGAGCAGATACAGGAGCGTTGTTGACAGCCACGGTGCCGTTAGTACCAGAGGTACGGCCTGCAAGTATGTTGAGAAGAGTTGTCTTTCCACTGCCAGAAGGGCCCATGAGAGCCAAAATTTCTCCTTGATATCGTATCAGTACAATTACCATCTCAAGGGTCATGACCAGATGCTTACCAGCCTTGACATGGCCACCGACATTGCTGACCAAATCTTTAGGCTGCTTGGTTGAGCGGTCCTCGACGGTCAACGTAATGTTCGACCATGACAGAGATTGAACAAGATCGTTGAACATGTAGAGTTCATGGCTAGACTGCCTTTCTGTGTCCGAAGATACGCTGGCAGACATCTTGCTGTGCATAGTAGGTAGGAGAGATGACGAGAGACACAAGTGGAAGAAAAGGTGATCGGAAGGAGCAAACAACAAGTCTTATCAAGTGCCTGGTCGACAGTACATTATACCGAAACACTACTCCGGAAGGGACTAGTTTCTTCTGCTCGCCGAGTTTTCGGGGACCTACAGGATGAGACGCTTGCTACGTACATCCTACCATGGACACGATAGTCTTACGGTTAGGCGTCTTCGGTCTAGGCATCCCAGACTTTTTTTGCGAACTTTTATCTCCATACGGCAAGTCTTTCGTGTGAGCCTGCTATCCTGGTCGCTTTGTCTGATGCGACGAAAGTTGTTGAAGACTGGAGGTACAGTATAGTGGTCTCTCCGCTTGATGGCCAAGCATATGCAATACGTGATTGTACCACGACCAATGCCAGATAGGCTTTCAACGTTATGGGATTGATATTTGTCGCTTGGTTGGTTGCATTTATGCAATGCCAGAAGTTTCCGTGACACGCGTTGTTCGTGTTTGGAAATCAGGTAGGCAACGAACGCGCTGGCAGCTTGACTAACGGGTTCTTGCTGTTTTGTACACCCATGTCAAGTGTCAACCCATGCAAGCAAATGTCACAATGCAGGACAAGGTCAAGTGGCCTGCCGCGAATCTGATACATCAACTGGCTCCGCAGATTAATGAGGTCGCCGAAGTACTGTAAGATTGAGTGCTGAGAAGATGGCACTCGTTGTGAAGATTACAAGGCGAATTGAATGCCCGGAGTGGTCATAACTCATGGTTCGCCGAGCGCCACATGAAACTGTTGCGTTGGCTGAAGTCTTGTAGACGCCGAACTCACTGGTTTGAAAGGATGCGTACATTAAACAGGAAGAATTTCGTTTGGTGCCTGTTCATCCTTGTCCAGACGCGGGGTTGCATGTCCGACGCTATAACCCAGGTGTCAGTCTTGGGGTTGGTGCGACCTCAACGTGGGTATCAATGTCCTGTCCGGATCTCGCATGGACCAGACCCTGCATGTAAGGCTATCGCTCGATCAAGAGGAAGCATGTGTAGTGTGAGTGGACATGATAGAAGCCCAGGGTGACTAGACACATAGATCTCAGCTGAATACCAGAGGTGTGGTATACCAGAGGTGTCAGGATGCAGGCTGCTTGTACATACGTGTTTTGCGCCCAAGACAAGGGTCGCAGTTCTGTCTGTGAGGCCTATATCAAGGAAGCGGCTCGTCGCTAACGAGCGCTACGGCATGACAATTACATGTTCTGGACTCGGTGTGATTACTGGTCGAAGAGAATCGTTCTCTAGGAGCGTTGAGGTAGCGGGCCGAGGTCAGTGCACAAGCTGTCTACGACGCGTTTATCCGCGATTCCGACCTCCGCAAAAGCTGGGGTGGTTCGTGATGAGGTTCCCGTCGCTCCTTCCCTCACTCCACATTGATATGCATACCAATATGGATAATACATCATTCTCATTGCCCCCGACGCGTCGAACGAACCAAGCCTGTGATGCTTGCAAACTCAGAAAGGTCAAATGCAATGGTCAAGCAAAATGTCAACAATGCAGTCATCTCAATCTACGCTGCGTCTATTCTGCGCCCAAGCCAAGGACAAAGACTTTGAAACGCGGAAAACTCATCGCTCAATACAAGGAAACCACAAATGGACGCGCCGGAACTTCAGACTCGAGTACAGCTCTACCGTCACCCTCTATGATCACGCATGATGCCGCTTTCTTTACCAGTTTCTTGGATGATTATGACGTTTCTGTCTATCCTGTCAATCCTATCATGACTGTCGACGATGTACTGGCCTCAATCAGAGAAATGGACCAAAGCGCCGAAGCAAAAACCTTTGTATATGCTTACACAGCCATCACGATTGCCTTGACCAACAAAAGTCCGGATGGTTCGACTGACTCTCAGTCGCAAGTAAGATTTTGGCTCGAGGAACTCATCAAAGCCAGAGCAGCTATTGCATTTGACGAGAAGATGTCTGTTCGAAGGGTCATGATCAGCCAGTTTGCTCACATCTCTCTCATGTGCCTTACCAACATGGACATGTCTTTCTACTACGTTCGCGAATCCATCACCATGATTCAAATGCTACGTATCGGCCACCCAGAAGTCATGGAAAAGCTCAACTCGAGTGAACGTGCTCGTAGACAAAGGTTGTATTGGGAGGTCTTCATCCACGAACGATATCTGGCCATATCCAACTATCGGCCTGTAGTCCTACCGCCGTTGCCCGATCTTCCAGAATTTGATCCATCAATACCGCCTGGTGTACACGAAGGCTTCCTGCAGATCATCCGTCTCTTCCGTTTGATTGATGAAGGTTTCCTCGCCAACTGGTTCGGAACCACAACAGTAACACGAGAATGGATCGACAGCAAACACAAAGAGATTGATGAAGAGCCAGTCGGAAACGAAGCCCACTTCGGCGTGACACCTTTGACAGATATGCAACAAGCAGACTTGATTGTGACCAAACACTGGATGAGAATGTTGGTGTGGCAGATGGCCATGTCTAAATGCTTGCTAAGCTCGAATTCATCAAAAGAATCTCTGTCTTTGTCTTTTCCAGTACGGTTGTCAATACAATTACGAGCTCTCATGACGAGGTTTTCTCGCCAAGCGATTGAGATTCATGGCTCGGGTATACAACAAAAACTGTTCGAGCTGACCGATACGATCGCCAATGTCATCATCACTGTTCCCGCAACTACTGTTCAGGAGACGGCTGGTCGAGTCGACGATTTCACTTTTCTCATTGGCTTTCTGTTTTCCCTGCCAAGCTTTGACCCTGTTCAGAAGGACATTCTGCAGAACAAGTTGGAGCAGCTACAGTCGCTCTTTCCCTACTCAGCAAGCGAAGCCGGCGCATCGCCTGCGGCCAGCGATGTTACATACACGTCGAGTGGCAAACCCCCGCACCATGATCTGCCATCGCCTCCATCGCGTGTCGTCTGGCATGAAATGGCGAAAAAGTTGTCGATGGCTCAGCCACGAGAAACGCATCGATCGGATTTGGCACGCCTTGTTGAAGGTGTTTGAAGCTTGTGGACTTGGGAACAAGGTGCCAATACCTGCAACTCCAAGACGAAACGGAATCAAGGGCTACACCGAGTGACGAAGGGCTTCGGAAGGATTATCCCAGGACAAAGCGCTGGGAGCTTCCAGCTAATCTGTGCAGATGGAGATATTATTACGGAGTGAGAATCGCTCTGCTGACATGCTAGAGTCTTCACTCGGCACATTGCTACTATATCGAACTGGTCACAGCATGCTTCGCACCCATCTCGCCTACGCAGCTGCTCCTGTCGTCCAATTCCATCAACCGAAAGGGAACATACTATGGAGAAGGAATCCTCACTTGCTGTCTTCCGTCAGCAACCTTTCGATGAAGAACTTCGTCAACACAGCTATCTATTGAGAGGCAGTGCTCACCAAAAGAAACCTTCTGCGAACCTTCCAATGCCTGCTCGCACACATGGCACGGGTCTTGTATCACCAGGCGTTGGAGGATCTCGGATAGAAGAGGCCAGCAATCATCAACGACTAACTCCGAAAGGAGAAGGGCTACACTGACTCAAGATCAAGCTGAAAGGATGTGATAAATCATATTCCATCTGTATTAATATTGGGGCATCGGGGCATGACTTGTCCTCGTAGTATACAGAAAGATAGTCAATACGAGTACAAATACCAACAAACGGTCCAACATCTCATATCCCCCTTCTTCATGCGTTGTCTACTGTGAGCCAGTGCTCTGCATAACCTGGTGACGGTAGATTCCTGTCTACTGCTAATCAAGGCTCTGATGCGGCCGGTCTTGAAAGAGATATCGCAAGCATGTAGACAGCCAAATCGACTGTAAACATGTTCACGTAGCTGCATCCATCTTAACGGTGGTGTCTGATATGGCTTGCCCGGGGCCATCCTCTTGTTTGCTGTCTGTTCTGTTGATGCAGCTGCCTAGGCTTGCTTTGCTAAGTATGTTGGTGCTGTAGCTCGCTCAAAAGTCGGCAATGAAGCATTTCGCTGGTAGAGAGGTGAAGGATGAGCAGGAAGAGCTATAATTGGTGGACTGGAGGGGTAACATAGTGGTCGCTGAAGGTTGGGGAGATACGGAAAATGCTGGCTGATAAAGAGTTAATCGCGAGAGTGACGGGCAAACCACATTTGATGGCCAAACCGCGTGGAATTCGGCTCTTAGAGCGGGCGTGGATGAAGTCGAGGATAGACGCTTGATTGTGAGGCTAGCATCGAGACGATACAGTTGAAGGAGGCGAAGGCAGATGCCCATTGTGTTTCGGCTGCTGATTCCATGAGGGTGATTATTTTACAACTCTACTGCTGACCAAAAGTGCCCCTAAAAGTTTCTATACACGCGCGGCCTTTGGACTTGGGGTTGTCTGCCTGGTCATGATGCTACTTATCAAATCAGATCTTTGAGCACTGCTCAGAGAAGAGAGTGGAAGCATCTGATGCGCTGCACACAGTTGTGTTGTTGATGGAGCGCTATCAAACTATGTGTTTCGCCCTCGAAACAACTCTTCATCAGGCAACAGCCGCAGCCTATATAGACCATGTTGTTGGCTCCCCTTCCACCAACCAAGTGGTGCTCACCGGACGCGGTGGCCCACTTGGTTGGCGCCAGTCGGCAAACGCTCATCCAAAGGTCTTGGGTTCAACTCCCAGCATGGCCAGAAAAAAAATAAAAGGGGAAAACAGGGAAAAAGAGCATTAAAAAAGAAAGAAAAAAGAAAAAAAAAATAGCAAGCCACCCCAAAAGAAAGAAAGAAAAATAACCACAAGTAAACTGCCTTCGAAATGCAAGTTTCTTCCGCCGGGAATCCGGTGTTTCTTTTGCTCCTGGTCAGGACAGCGCTTTCTTTCTGCACCTACTTCTTGATACACATTGGTTGCTCTACTTGTTGTTCTCAATTGGTTCTGCCCCTTACTTGAGCAGCTTACTGGAAGCAGGAGTCATGACGCTAGATCGGACTACACAGTGAACACCTAACACAGACACGACTTGTCAAGGGCGAACGAGACATGACTGGAGGTGAACAAGGACGTCGAGCAAGAAGTTGATAATAGAGAAGGTTTGGTCGGAGTTGCAGTCTGGGTTGCGGCATCGGCAACTTGGTCGGGTAAACTTGTTGCGAGTGACGGAGTGCGCTTGGTGGGACAGCGATCGTGGGCTGTCGTGGACAGAAGCTGAGTACAGCGAGCTTCCGACCTCACACGAGCAGACAAGAGACCATGTCAGTACCGCTGTCTTCCAAGGAGCAGTCCCTGTTCAAGCAGGTCGTCCAGCTCTACGAGTCCAAGCAATACAAGAGGGGTGCGCATCGAGTCTCAACCCTCAGCACGCCGACGCAGACGCTGGCTAACACAACCCACANNGGCATCAAGACTGCCGACCAAGTCTTGAAGAAGGTCCCCAACCATGGCGACACGCAGGCCATGAAGGCCCTGATTCTCAACTCTCAAGGCAAGACCGAAGAGGCCTTTGATCTGGCCAAGCTCGCCCTCAAAAATGCCATGAAGTCCAATGTCTGCTGGCACGTCTATGGATTGTTGTACCGCTCCGTCAAGAACTACGATGAGGCAATCAAGGCCTACAAGTTTGCCTTGCGCCTCGACCCCGACTCGCGCCAGATTCAGCGCGACCTTTCTCTCCTCCAGGCCCAGACTCGTGACTGGAAGGGTCTCGTCGACAGTCGCAGAACCATGCTGACCGCTTCCTCGGGCGTTCGTGCCAACTGGACTGCCATGGCTATTGCTCACCACATGGCTGGCGACTACCAAGCTGCCGAGAAGGTCTTGACCATGTACGAAGAGACGCTCAAGGTTCCCCCACCACCAACCGATCTCGAGCACCACGAAGCCGTCTTGTACAAGAACACCATCATTGCCGAGTCTGGCGACTACGAACGTGCCCTCAAGGGCCTCAAGGCCATCTACAAGTCCAACCCCGATAGAACCGCCGTTATGGAATTGAGAGCAGAGTACCTGTTGAAGCTGGATCGTAAAGAGGAGGCTGAGAAGGCATACCGCAACTTGCTCGAAAGAAACGCCGAGAGACGCGCCTACTATGATGGCTTGGAGAAGTGTCTCGGTCTGGACAGAAACGATCCCGCCGCACACAAGCAATTGCTGGATCTGTACAAGTCATTTGCCGAANAAAGCGAGAGAATCGATGCGCCTAGACGTGTGCCACTCGATTTCCTACAGGGCGACGCTTTCCGCGAGGCCGCTGACGCCTACCTTACAAGAGTCTTCCGCAAGGGCGTGCCCTCAACCTTTGCCAACGTCAAGGCCCTCTACAACGACGAGTCCAAGAAACAGACCATTGAACAGCTAGTCCTCGGTTACGTTTCCCAGAACAACGAGGAAAATGGCAAGAACTGGGATCTTGCCGTAAACTACTTCCTCGCACAACACTACGATTACCACCTCTGCCGCAACCTCGAAAAGGCCTCTGAATACATCGAAAAGACCATCTCTCTCAACACCAACCCTCAAGATTACACCTTCCACCTCACAAAAGCTAGAATCACAAAACACTCTGGTGACCTCGAANAGGCCGCCCAACAGATGAACGAGGCCCGCGAAATGGACCGCGCAGACCGCTACATCAACACAAAATGTGCAAAATACCAACTACGAAACAACCAAAACGACACTGCTATTGAGACCATGGGCCTCTTCACCCGCAAGGAAGCCAACGGCGGTCCTCTGGGTGATTTGCTCGATATGCAATGCATGTGGTACCTCTACGAAGACGGCGAGGCCTACAAGCGCCAGAACAAGCTGGGACTGGCGCTCAAACGCTTCAAGTCGATCCACGACATTTTCGACGTGTGGTACGAGGATCAATTCGACTTCCACAGTTTCTCTCTGCGCAAGGGTATGATTCGCGCATATGTCGACATGATCCGCTGGGAGGATCACTTGCGCCAACACCCCTTCTACTCGAGAGCCGCATATTCAGCCATTGACATTTACGTCAAGCTTTTCGATGACCCGAACTATGGCTCCACAAATGGCGACCTCAGCGATGCAGACAAGAAGAAGGCAGAAAAGAAGGCACGCAAGGAGAAGGAAAAGGCAGAGGCAGACAAGAAGGCCGCCGCAGCCGCAAAAGCAACCGCTACCTCGGAAGAGGTGGTCAAGAAGGAGGACACAGACCCGCAAGGCGACGAGTTGCTCAAGACCAAGGACCCACTTGCCGAAGCCATGAAGTACTTGTCACCTCTGCTCGAGCAAAGCCCTCTGAACATCAAGTCCCAACAAGCAGGTTTCGAAGTCTTTGTTCGCAGGGAAAAGTACCTTCCTGCTTTGAAGTGCTTGGTCGCTGCTTCCAAGATTGATGCTGGTGATGCTACGGTGAAGGAGCAGACTGCCCGTCTGCGCAAAACACGTAAGTCGCTATGCTGATAACCCCACCTTCCTTTTGTAAATTTCTGACTGACGTGATCGCAANCAGTGTCTGAGCTCAAGGAGCCTCTACCGGAGAAGATCAAGGAGGTCATTGATGCCGAGTTGGCCACGCTACCATAGAGTGGTAACTCCTTGACTTACCTTCAGCCTCCCTTCGTCCATACCTCTATGCAAATGAAACCGAAAAGTACATTTTGTCCTACTTATCTCAAAGCGAGTCTCTAGATGTGACAACGTCCTTTAGCTTCTTGGTCCCGCAAAGTCATACAGCCCGTCACGTAACCAGCATGTGCCAGCCTTTGAGGTGACAGCAGTGATCTAGGGTGTGCATGAGATACAAAAGGCATCTACGCAATCCCAAGTTGCGGAAAGTCGCAAGACGTGTCTCTAGTAATGATTTTCTGGCATGAAGCTGAAGCAGGCCTGAACACTGGATGAGAACCGTGAGAGATCTAATTACGTGCCACATGAAGTAAGACTTTTGATGGTGGGCCAAGTGTAAACTTGTCGTGCATGATGAAGAGAGCCAAAGTATACATCTTCCTGCCTTGCTCGTAGGCCTGGCCACAAAACACAAGGATCTGTTGTAGATACCGACCGGGCTGGGAGGCTCAGAAAGATACAGAACATCTGGAACGTGCAATAGGAAGAAGAAGGGAGAAGGAAAAGAAAAGAGTCTGATGTCTATGGTCTAAAGTCTATGTGTTCTATAACTCCTTTCATGAATGAACTCCGTCTAAATGTATGAAATGGACAAAATACGAAAAGCAGATATAAACTCCTCGCAAAATGCTGGCAGCAGGTCATGTTTCTCGTTTCGGCAGAAAAAAAATCAAAAACATCCTCAAAACAATTCCTTCAAGCTGTAAAGTGGAGGGAATGAAGAAAGCGACAAGAAAGATCAAGGTGTGTTCCAACCTTTTGACCTCGGAAGTCTGTACCTCGCTCCTTCCCACTTCAGAGACTGTTATTTCAAGTCTCTTTGTGAGCGTTCTAGGAACCTCCATTCTCCACTTCTCCCTTCTCCATGGCTGTTTCAAGGTTGCGAGCTTGGGTGTGTTGACGGAACATTTGCAAAAGTCCNAGTTTGCCTTCATTGGCTTTGCCCTGCCATTTTCTGGGTGTATAATTGACTGGACTCTCACCACCCTTGAAGATGCAAGTGTCGTAGAGGACACCGCCGGCAATACCGCCAGAGATTGTGGCACCCCAAGCACCCCAGATCCACCAGTTGTGGTAGGCGGTAAAGATCTCGGTGCCGTAACCCATGGCCATTGCGGCAAGGCGAGGGCCAAAGTCTCGGACCGGGTTGAAGCAACCGCCTGTGTTGGAGCCGAGGGACATGATGAGGGAAATGACAAGAAGACCGATGATAAAGGCGTGCATACCGGCACCAGGAGGCGAGTTTGAGTCATCACCGAGTGCCAGGATGGAGCAGGTGAGAATTGCAGTGCCAGCAAATTCGGTGAAGAAGGCTGTTGCGGGTTGCACATACTCCTTTGGTTGTGTGTAAATTTGGATTCCAGTCGATGAGCCGATGAGTCCGCCATCATTGTATAGAATGGCATCACGATAGATGGCTATGGCGATGAGGCCACCGGTAAAGGCGCCCAGAATTTGGAAAATGATGAAGACTGGAAGTTTGCGAGCAGGGAATCCTCTNCTGTCTATTTGTTAGATTTATGTCGCTAGAATTTGGCGCAAAGCACAACTTACGTAGATCCAAAGAGGAATGGAGACGGCTGGGTTGAGATGGGCACCTGAGCTTCCACCCGAGATGTAGATGCCCAACATGACAGCCAAACCCCAACCCCAATACATGTTTTGATAGATGCCTGGATGTTGTGATTCTCCGGTTGCTACGGCGAGGTTGCTGCTAACACCGATCAAGACAAAAATGGTAGTCTACAGGCGAGGTTAGTATAAAGACAGTGGCTGCAAGGACAAAAACTCACTCCCNAACCATTCACCAAGAGCATCTTGAAACTTGGCACGAACGATCGCCCACGAATTGAAAGGTGCAGGTTCGTCGAGAACTTCCTCATCCTCTGGTGCAAGTGTCGTGTCATCACTATCGTTGCCAGGAGAGTATACAGCTTCGTCACCAAGAACTCCTGTGTTTCCACCATCTCCAGATTGAGCACTAGCTTCGTGCATCATCATGCCTCCTCCTGACTGGTTACTCTGAGTAGATCCGTGATTTAGGTGTCTTTCCTCGTTAGAGGGTTGAGGATTTTGCTTCTCGCCTCCACGGTGCTTTTTGCGTTCGTCAGTGTCTTGAAGCTGAGGAGCTGCTTCTCCTTCTCCCTTNTCGCCAGGTTGAACACCAGGCGCTGTTCCAGCATGAGAAGACTTTTCATTCTTCTTCTTTCCTTGCCAACCACGTACTGTACGTGGCAGGTTGGAACCCAAACTGAATGTCGGCTCGTTCTGCTTCTTTTCGTATTGTGGGTTGAGGTCGCGGTATCCTTCTGCGACATAGGTGTCTCTGTTAGGTCCACCACGGTTGGGATTTGTTTGTGAACCAGCCAAGGAGTAACCACCTTGTTCTGCAGTTCCTCCTGTAGCGTTGGTAGCCATTCGGCTCATTTGAGTGGCCATGCGACTCATTCTGGGTCTCAATGTGCTCATGGTGTGCTGATTTCGCATATCTGGACGCTTCTGCTTGTTCGTCCTAGATCTCATCGTACTTGCAGTACGCTGATTTTGCATGTTTGGTCGCTCCGGCTGCTGTTCATTTCCAGATTGAGTCTCTTGGAAAGAGACATTGCGATTCATTTTGGTCAGAATATCGCAATTTGGTGTGTGTCGTGTGTCGTCAGAAGAAGAGTCAAAAGGACTCGAAGATCCTTGGAGGAAGAAAAACAATCGAAGCAAGAATTCGAAGCAAAGAAGGTTTTGGCAGTTGCGTGCCTTTAATATATCAGAATCTTGGTGCTGGCAAGCCTTGGGAACGTATTTCTTCTATCAGACACTCGCCGCCGGATAACTCCCTACAAAACAATTGGCAAAATCGCGAATTCAAGAGTGGGACCGAGAAACTTCTTAGACAAGGTGACGATAAAGCGGGTCTTTGTTGAGCCTCACCATATGCCCTTGCCTTTTGGGGTAATGTGACCTGTAGATCTCTGAGAAAGCAGGGACGACCCACGACGTCAGATCTTCGATTGCTTCAGAAGGCCCTGTCTCAGTCAGCAAAATATCGCTTGGACACGTCAAAGTGTCACAACGATATACACACTGCCTGTATGATGCGCGATGGAGCAGCGTGAAAACGGCAGTTGCAATCGAGTACGGGTCCCCAACATCCCATCATCTGCTACGGCCTGACTCATGAGTGGAGCTCTTTTGATGCTTGAGAGAATGGGATTGTGCGAAATTCAGTCATCTCAGGAGGCACTTCCGGGAGCCCCTCTTCTCAAGCCTAGTGAATTACTCGTAGGTCTGAAGAGCCTCAACATGACACCGATAGATCCACCTCCACATCATCATGAAGCTACACCCCATACTGTGTCTTGTATGCGACTGTCACACCAGAAAGACGATCCTTCTCTTCCACCTTCCCTACTTTTGAAGCTTGCCACAATGAGATAAATCACCCTGCGTTTTCTGGAGATTGGTATGGACGGTATCACGGCAAGACGGCAAAAGGATGCCGTGTGGTGCGAGTAGGAAAATCTTCTTCCACAACAACCCAGCTCTCCCAATCCTGGACTCGGCCTTTCCTCGCTCGATGACCTCGAGTGTACAAGACGAGGTTGCGTATTGTGACGAGAGCGAATAGATTGATGGCTTGGAGAAGTTTGTTCCGCCATGCGTCAAGATTACAAGTGGAAAGTAGGAAGAAAGAATGCCATTCTACAACTCTAAGGACAAAAAATGTGGATATAATGACCCAAGACAAGATCAGAAAGACGCCGCCCAATCTATTGTATCGCAAAAAAAAAAAAAGGAAGAAACAATTGTAACGCCATTCACCCTACTTTTTGCAATTCGTAGCTGGAGACATGGGTATTCATTACCAGCAATCACAATACGTCACGTTCCTCTACTCGTCGTCACTGTCAGGAGGGTGAGGGGTTCCNCTGAACAGGTGGTTAGCAGACTGTGATAAAAAGTGGAAAGTGATAAAACGAACCTTGGGACTGTTGAGCCACTCAATGTGACGCAGTCTTCTGCGAACCTCTCTCTCCTTCTGCTCCTTCTTGGTCATCTTCTTCTTCTTTCTGGCTCTGAAAGCCATATCACCACCACCTTCGGCATCACTCTGAGTGGGTGTGCCAACAGTAGAAGCTACGGCGGAGCTAACGACTGAGCTGGCAACAGAAGAGCCAGGCTTGGAAGAATCCTCGAAGCGGTCAAGCGAAATGGCGACGGTTCCCTTTTGGGTCAGACGACCGTCTGCGACATGCCACTGCTCAGGGCAGAGGGCACCGACAAACTCTTCGTTGTGAGAAATCATGACGACACCACCCTTGTAGTCACGAATGGCGACGGCGAGACCACCGAGAGAGTCTCTGTCCAAGAAGTTGGTAGGCTCGTCGAGAACGAGCAAGTGGGGNTTGTTCCACATGGCACCGGCAAGGACGACCTTGACCTTTTGACCACCAGACAGACCGCTGATTTCGTTGTGGTTGGCGATCTCGGGGTCAAGACCAACATCCTCGAAGTGCTTGGAGATGACCTTGGGCTCGAGAGAACGGAAACCAAGACCTTCTCTGCTAGCCTCGTGGTCATCAAACTCTTGGATGAGCTTCTGGAAGCCGAGGTCCATGAGAGTCTCGCGAGAAACCATGGTGTTGTACTTGGGCAACATACCAATCCACTTGATTTCGTACTGGAATGACTTCTTCCACTTTTGTCTACCAATGATGGACTCGATTCTGCGCTGACCCATACCAGGTCCAAGGTCGACAAACTTCTCCATTTGAGCCTTGTCTTCCTCGGTCAATTGACGAGTTCCCTTCATCAGAACCTCACGATCATCGCCGTTAGCGTAACGCCATTGCAAGTACTGGTTGGGGGTCTTTTCCAAGTGCATCTCAACATGCTCGAGAGCGTGCTGCTTGATGTAACCAATACGCAAGTTGGGGTGCTTCTCGACTTTACCAGTCTGAGGAATGGTCTCACCAGTGAGCAACTTTATGAGGGTAGATTTACCAGCACCGTTGGCACCGATGATGGCAACTCTGGAAGAGAGCGACAATTGACAGCTGACGCCTTGAAGCGAGGGCTTGGAAGCTCCAGGGTAGGTGAAGTTGCAGTCAGTCATACGGAGAATGCTTCTAGTGTTGGACTTGACACCAGTCAGAATACCAGGAGGAGGGAACTTGAATTGGACCTGGGAAGCGGAAAGGGTGTAGTAGGCACCAGCTTCGGGCTTTTGCTTGACGAAAGCAGCAAGGTTACCCTTGTAGTTGACAAGCTTCTTTTGCTCGTAGTGGATAATGTCGGTACAGACCTCATCGAGGAAACCAGAGTCGTGAGAAACAATCAGAGAAGTAATGTCGGTGTGGGTCTTGAGGTACTCTTGGAGCCACTTGACGTTGGCAACATCGAGATGGTTGGTAGGTTCATCGAGAAGGAAGACATCGGCGCGCATCAACATGGCTCTAGCCAAGGCGAGCTTCATCTTCCAACCACCAGACAGGGAGCCAACCTTTTCGGATTGACGTCCTTCAGGACCAGAAGAGAAACCAACCTCTTCAAGAACGGCCACGATTCTGTCCNNCTGGCCTTCGGCCTGGAGCTCGGGATCCTTCAAGCAGTAGTTGAGAATGGTAAGATCAGCATCCTCACCCTGGTTGTGCTCGACGAAGCAGGTGCGAACCTCGTCTTGAGGAGGGAAACCCTCGAGCTTGCCATTGGCAATGGCGCGCATCAAGGTGGACTTTCCAGCACCGTTTCTACCACAGAGACCGTAACGGTGACCCTTGAGCAGACGAAGGTTGGTGTGAGAAAGCAAGAGCATACCACCGTAACCAAGAGAGAAGGTGGCGTTGACAATTTCAACCTCACCATCCTCGAGAGGTGGAGGAGCACCAAACTTGCGCTCATCTTCGGCAGTGTAGAACTTGAGGACAGCCTCGGCAACGGCATCTGCCTTGCCTTCCTCCATGAGAGGAGCCATGTAAGGAGCAATGTTGCCAGTGATGCGGTTGAGCTTGCGATCAGTGGCATCCTCTGCAACCATGGTTGAAAGGTAAGGCTTGGCCAAAGTCCAAATCTCAGCATCGCCGGGAATCTGGATAAGACCGCCGTTTGCTTGTGTCTCCTTCTCCAAAATTTTGCTAACATCCTCGGGAATGGTACGGTCAGACTCGGAGTGGTCACCGTTGGTCTGTTGGCCCATGGCCTTTTCGATGACATCGAGAGCTCTCTGAGCAATCTCACGAACCTCGGGAAGAGAGGCTCTATCGCGGACGGCCTTGGTACCGGGCAAGAGCTTGGGAAGGAAAGATCTGGCCTCGACGGGGTCGTGGACGAGCTTGGTCAAGTTTTCAACAACGACGACTGTTTGACGGGTAACTTCCTGGGAAGTGCTGGGGCTGTTGAGAGAACGCTCGAGAAGGGGGGTGAGAACGGCGAGAACGGGAGAGGTGACGATGGCAACAAAGGTGGTTTGCGAGAGGGCGTGAATAGCCTTTTGCAGACTTTGAGTGGAAGGATCCTCCATCGACTTGATCAAGAGGGGAAGACGAGGCTGAACGTCATCGTTTTGCAACAAAGTTGTAAGGGAGTTCATGGACTTGATGGCTGCCTTTGCAACCTCGGACTTGAGGTCGTGCATACCACCTTCGACGATGGGAATGAGATCCTCGAGCTTGCGGCCCATGGCCTCACGAAGAACGTCCTTGGCTTGTTCAGCCTCGAGACTCTCCATGCCCATCTTTGCGTCGTCGGCCATGCGACCGACCAGTTCGTATGCAACGACGGCGCTCTGCCACTTGGCAGTGCCCTTGCGGAGGTACTTGATGAGAATGGGCAAAAGACCATAGACCTTGGCTTCGGCGCCGAGCTCCTTGTAGAGAGCATCGATGGCGTATTTGGCTCCGTCGCGAACACTAGGAGTCTTGTCGGCAATGGCGTCGAGAGCCATGGGCAAGAGGTAATCGTGTTGAAGGAGGAAGACGACTTCGCTCAGGCGCTGCTTGCTGGGGAATCTTTCGAAAATGGCGCCCAGGGCAAACATGGCGCCCTCACGACGGCCGATGTTCTTCTTGTCCGCAGCGGCCTTCTTGACTTCTTGCAACACATTGTAGTCGTTGAGACCGCGGAAACCGACCGAGTTCAGGAGAATATCGCAGAGAGAGTAAGCGGCGTCGAGCGACTCTTGCGATGTCTTGCTTTCGTAGATGGTCTTTGTGATGGCAGAGATGTCCTCGGCAGCGGGCGGCGCCGACTTTGAGCTGATTGCGACGTTGTTCATGCTGGGCTCTTCGAAATGGGGCATATCCAAGAGGTAGGGAACAAGGCGCGATTAATGGCGTAGGCGCAGGGGGTTGCGCTTTTTTAGCAACGGAAAGAATCAAGCAACCGGAACAAAAATCTCGATAACAAGGAATCGAGACAGAAAGAACAACTAAGAGTGGAGAGTGGAGAGTGAAGAGAAGGTGTTTGCAATCAAGCACTCCTTCGAGATGGTTGAATAAAGAGAAGACTTGGTTGGGCTGATATGGGATTTTTTTCTAGTCTGCGGCCTGCCCCTCGGTCAGCGACTTTGCCGGGCGGCGGGCCAACGCGGAGTTGATAAAGAACGCAGTCATCTTGTCTTGTTGAGCACACCCTGTCCTATGATCAGGAAGTGCCTCATTCTGATTCCATACAAAGATTCAGCCATGGGGTACCTTGCCAAAGCGAGCAATCTTACAATTGTCGTATGAGTCTACTTCACATCAAACAACAATCAATCGCTTCTGTTCACCATTGAAGTCCACAGTCCAGCATATTCTTGGCATACGCAGTCACCTACGTTCAGTATTCATACCCCAACTTCACGTGTCTGAATCCTTCCCACCTATTGATTCGCGCGCTAGATCGTCATAAGCGTTTAATGAATCGACAATTTTTCAACAGACTCTTGGAGGATTTGATTCTTGCAAAAGATTCATCTAGTATTTCTATACATTTGTTGCTTACATGCTGTCCTTGACATAGAGGTCGACATACTTGTCGATCTCCATGGCGTACAACTTGTCGGGCGAGTTGCCAAGCTCAACCAACTCATTTACCCGGGCCTCATCAAAGTGAGGTCCCAAATGCCTCTTGTACTTGGCCATGATTTCTGGCTTGGCCTCCTCACGACGCAGTCTGTGACCGAGAGGTGCCTCGACAATCTCCTCTTCCAATGTTGTGCCGTCGTTGAGGGTGACGGTCAGAGCGTTGGAAATGGTTCTNCTCTCAGGATCATGGTAGTCCTTGGTGTACTGAGGGTCCTCAACACACTTGATTCTCTTGCGAAGCGACTCGACAAGAGGGCTCTCTGCCGCCTCGGACCCATCTGTGTAGTCTGAGGCTTCAAGACGGTTGAAGACGAACATGGTCGCAACCATGTATTGAACGCAGTGATCACGATCGGCAAAGTTGTCCATGGGCTTCAACTGCTTGTCGATGATGCGAATGCATGCCTCGTGGGTTCGGTTGGTAACATCCTTGATGTCTTCGGCGCTCTTGCCCATGGCCTTGAGCTTCTTGTTGAGACGGCTTGCCGCTTCGACGGCGGTCTGCGAATGGAATTCGGCTGTGGATCAAATTAGTATGAGCACATCTCTGACGCCCTATGCGTGTTACTCACCAGGGTATGAAACCTTGAAAAGGACGTTTTCCATGACATAGCTGCCGTATTCTCTCTGGAAATTGAATTTGGCACCGTGGAAGTTTACGTCGTAAAAGCCCCAGGTAGGAGCGGTAAGAACGGTAGCCATACCGCCCTCACCCTTCATGACCTTTAGACAGAGATTGACTGCCTTCTCGCAAGCATCACCAGCAGCCCAACTCTTTCTACTCATGGTGTTGGGGCTGTGTCTGTAGGTACGCATACTCTGACCATCGACCCATGCCTGCGAAATTGCGTCACGAGTTTGAGCCTCGGTCAAACCAAGCATTTGACTGACAACAGCGGTCGATGCAACCTTGACAAGAACGACGTGGTCAAGACCGACCTTGTTGAAGGAGTTTTCGAGAGCCATGCAACCTTGAATTTCGTGTGCCTTGATCATGGCTTCGAGGACGTCCCTTACAGTGAAGATCTTTCCATTGCCCAAGTTGCCACCATTGCGGTTGGTTCTGGTGATCCAGTCTGCAACAGACAGGATTGCACCCAAGTTGTCACTGGGGTGACCCCACTCGGCAGCGAGCCAGCAGTCGTTGAAGTCGAGCCATCTGATCATGGCACCAATATTGAATGCACCAAGCACGGGATCGAGCTGATAGGGAGTACCAGGAATCTTCGTGCCATTGGGTACAGTTGTTCCAGGCACGACGGGACCGAGGAGCTTGGTGCAGTGGGGNAATTCGAGTGCCTTGAGGCCACAGCCCAAGGTGTCTAGGAAGACATATCTAGCGGTGTCAATNCTGTACATGAGGTCAATGAATGTTCTCGAAGTGTGTGTATGTGAAAGAAGTCGTACAGCAAGCTCCGAGTTGACCTTGTAGTTGTGAATGTAAGATGCCATGTCGACGATTTCCCGATCGAACTCGGCAGCGGGAGCCGGGCTGGCAAAGGCATCCGAGTTGGGCTTCATGGTGGTAGAGAATGCAGCAGTGGAACGGAGTGAGAAAGTTGTTGGAGCGATTGAAGCTCTGCTGGCAATTCTGGTAGTGTTGCGAAGGAGAGAGCGCTGGCCGACAATGTTTCTGGAGCAAGTGCGGAGAAAGGTACGGCTCAGTGGGGAAGACATTACTGCCCGAAGTCCACCAAGATATCAGAACCAGATTTGTTGATCGAAGGGGAGAGAGAAAGAGAGAAGAAGAGTGTAAGAAGACAATTGGAGATACAGCTATGGAGTTTTTGCTCCTGCAGGTGATCTGATAGCTCGACAGCTTCCAACTACGTCGCCGGTCAACCCCGCCTTGCAGTGTTGCACGACCTTACCGGCTTACCGAGGTATCGTTGGGGGACCAAAGGGAGGAAGGGCGCTGCACCGAGTCGCGATCTTCCCGCTATAGAGCAAGCGTCTACTTGCATCAGTGCCAGGTCGCCTTGTAGTCGTATGCCACGAACAAGAAGAGACTGGGCTCTAGATGTGTAATCGACATGTCGCAGGGCTTTCATTTTGCCCAAGTAATGATGCTGAGCGGGTGACCCTGCCTTCAGTTGTCTACCTCGACAATATAATCTCTTACGAGACTTGAGCCAGTACTGATCACGGATAGTGGTCTCGCTCGATGCGCATGGAGATATGTCCGGGTACTGGGTAGAAAAAATGGTGGTACCGACGTGTAGCGACATGCGCTGTGTGCCCACGTTCTCGTGCAATTAAGTTGTCAATGCAGCTTTGATATCAAGCAAGCTTCACACACAAAATTGTCAATAAAGCATGCATGGTGAACACAAGAGCCCACCAGCTGGACTTGTGGATTTGATGAAGCAAGATTTGTGTGAGTATGGCCGAGAGACAAACACTCGAAAAGAGATAAGACATGAGGGTATTGGCATCGCGATTCGCGATGAGTGCGTTGTCCTCGATAACAATATATTGCGAAAAGTAGTCGTGTGGGTGGAGAATCTACTCCTAAAATTAGGCCGGCCGCCTGGTTGAGAATTTAGAAATTCATTGCAGCAAAGATGCATGCATCCTGCCTGGCTGCGCATCGAATGCAGGCCACGGTCTCGCCGACTTTGCTGAACAAATTCTTGACAGCTGAAGAGAAACCGCATGGAGTCTACTCGGCAGAGGCGCCGCTTAGCATCTTGGTGCAAATTGCAATTAGAGATTGCTGGCTGAAGATTTGCGAACGCAATACGGAAATGACGTGCAAGCCTCCGACGTCTGTTTCCTGACTCTGTCTTGTCACCAAGTTCCTTTCAACCCTATCTACTCTACAAATCTTCACGGCTGCAACAAGCTCCAGTCTCGATGCAGGTCCGCGTCGACCGAGGTACCAGAGCGGCAGCCGGCCAAAGCTTGGGGAGAAACATGGTTTTGACGGCCGGTTCCTGGCGCGGATCGTATCATCTAGCGTGGAAATCAGACGTGCATACTCACCCGAAAAAACATCACGCTATTGGAATTCAAGCCCGATTCGATTGCTCAACCCATCAGTACACGGCCCTTGTTTATTGCCAGGCATGCTCCGAATGTGGAGTTCTTAGCTGGCAGATCATGTCTACCACGCGAGCGGCGTGGACGGCTCAGTCATCGCCACGCCGCGCCATTGTGCGGAAATGGCGCGAGTAGGCTGGTTTGCTTGAGAGCTCGACCGTAGCGGCGTAGGGGCTCGGCTACTGGTTCAGTTTGCGCCGTTGCACCTGGCCCGGGGCCTCAACGTTATGGTGTTTCTTCTTCAGCTTCCATTGTAGCGTAACGTTCCCGTGGAAGGACTAGACTGCATGCGATTCTATATCGGTTGGTGCTTGGCTTACTTGAACCCAAACGGTCCTGCTCGGTGATCTTTTGCTCAAAAGCCCCAGGTCTGCCGTCAGTAGGAACGCTCCCTCGTCTCTACTAATTTTCTTGTCTACTCTCCCATCCTCCTTCCGCTCTTTCATACTTGGTGGTAGTGATATCAGGCAAACAAGCCAAAGACTCTATATTCCCATTCTACACCACACAAGTCCTTCGCCATGGACGACCGCAACAATGGCACCGCCGCCTCTTCGGCCAATGCAACTCCCTACCTCAGACCTGGCACTCCCGAGAGTGAGGCCATTACCCCTGCTGCCAGAGCAAACCCTTTGCAACCCCCCTATGGCTCGATGCCCGTTTCAGCAGCAGGTTCCTCCACAGCGCTGCAGCAGCCTCAGCAGAGATACTTCCACTCTAGACGTGTGAAGAAGGGTGAAGTTGAGAAGCCTTGGCTCGAGAAGAAGGACCCCAAGGAGAAGTGGGTTACCATTATTCCTTGCATCGGTATCGCCATTGGTCTTGCTCTTACCGGTTTCCTCATCTACGACGGTCTGGCCAGTGTCACCAACCACACTTACTGCCCCGTCTTTGAGGACGACTTCTCGAACGGCTTGAACAACAAGATCTGGCAANAGGAGGTCGAGTGTGGTGGCTTTGNNGGTATGTTACCTTTCAAGAGGTCAACCGACACATCGCGCTAACTTTATAACAGTAACGGTCAATTCGAACTCACCACCAACACCGACGAAAACGCCTTCGTCCAGGATGGCATGCTTCACATCAAGCCTACTCTTCAAGATGCAAAGCTCGTCGAGCAAAACAACGTCATCAACCTTCTCGCAGATGGCTCCTGCTCGTCTGACGTCTGGTCCAACTGTATCACCGGTACCAACGTCACCAACGGTACTATTGTCAACCCCGTCAAGTCTGCTCGTATCAGCACCAAGAACGGTGCATCCATCAAGTTCGGTCGTATCGAAGTCGAGGCTAAGCTCCCCGCTGGTGACTGGCTTTGGCCCGCCATCTGGATGCTTCCCAAGGATGATGTCTACGGTGCATGGCCTCGCTCTGGTGAAATCGATATCATGGAGTCTCGTGGAAACAACCACACTTACGCTCAGGGTGGTAACAACGTCATGAGCAGCACTCTCCACTGGGGTCCCAACCCTGCCAACGACGGTTGGTGGCTCAACAACAACAAGCACTCTGCTCTTCACACCACCTACTCCGCTGGTTTCCACACTTTCGGTCTTGAATGGTCCGAAAAGTACATCTTCACCTATGTCGATTCTCGTCTCCTCCAGGTCATGTATGTCAACTTCAACAAGCCTTTCTGGCAANAGGGTAGATTCCCCGTCAGTGACAGCAACGGTACCGCTCTCTTGAACCCTTGGGCTGCAACCGGCAAGGACAACACTCCTTTCGACCAAGACTTCTACCTCATTCTCAACGTCGCTGTTGGTGGTACCAACGGTTGGTTCCAGGACGGTGCTTCTGGCAAGCCTTGGACTGACGGCAGCACCTTCGCCAGAAAGGAGTTCTGGGATGCCCGGGACCAGTGGTACCCTACCTGGGAGAAGAATGGCGAGATGGTTGTCAAGAGTGTCAAGATGTTCCAGCAGAAGGGCTACAATGGTTGCAACTAAACTGTATATTTTCTGATAGCGATTTGTTTTTCTTTTGGACTGCGATACCACAGGAGTTTATGCCTCGATCACAAAAGGGTGACGATACGAATCTTTTTTCGATTATAGACAAAGAATCATTATAATTTCTACATGCTTATTCTTCAATTGCAATGGTCGTTTCTACATGCTCATTTTCGGCATAACAATACCAGCCATCTGTCCATGACCGAGCTCTCACGACATGTACATTGATGAATCGGTTGGATAGAATCGTCTAGATAGCTTCTTTTCAACGTTTCTTGCCAGTTGACTGCCGAGTCTGGTAGGCAAGGCTGGGACAAAAACGTCGAAGGTCTTGCAACCGTTGAGATGACAACGAAACGGGCCGTGATTCTCTTGAATACTGCCAGTGATAGCAACGTCTTCTTGCAAAACATCCACTGCTCGAAACGTGGTACGACGAGGTTAGATGCACCGTTTCGTGAGATCAGAGAAGGCAGGATCTCAGTCAAACGGGAGCCGTCACAACCGTCCGGCAGTGAGGGGTCAGGGTGGGAGGTGAAACCCGTGACGTTGGGATCATCCTAGTCTCACAGCAATTGTCTCAACTTATTACAGTTCAGGTGTGGTCTCAATTTGTATTGCCAAAGAGCTTGTCGTACTCGTGAGCTCTTTGACTTTGAGCCACACGCGCAACAGGTTCCAGCGTGGCTCCTCGTCAAAGCTTCTTCTTCGGCAAGCCACAACCTCTCGCGTATGGTCAGGGTTCTTGAATGTTGAGCAGCTGAAAGGGTGCCCCTTGAAAAGCTCATCAGCTACAGCTGCCTGTTATCGACGCTAAGGCTTGTTTAAAGTAAAGGGCTGTGCTGGCGGCCAGCTCTCAGCCTCGTGTCACAACAAACGGCGAGATAGTCGTTTCTTGGGTGGAATGATCTGCGCGTTCAGCTCGAAGCCGAGATCCTGCAGAGTTGATGGCGATATCTGACGATCATTACAAAGCCCTCGGGGGATCTGCTCGAGAGGAACTTGCACCATAGAAGCACTGACTCTACATGGGTTATTCTGTATATTGTATCGAAAGTGTATGCAAGGATTGAGTGGAGTCATGGGTCAAAAGATACCTCAACCGTACTATTTCTGCTCATGCACGATTTCAACAAGAAGATTTTCTCAGCGAGTGCAGGAAACAAGGAAGGACTGCAGCATAGGAGCGCTTGGCACATCAAAGAGGGCTGTTAACCGAATGGATCCGCCGCGGGTGAGCCGCCTGGCGGGAAAACCTACAGTGACGGCAAGTGGTATGAACTTGCAAGCTTTTCCACCATCTCGGGACAAAAGTCTATTGGGGAAAAGGACTCCGAGTACTTACAAAGCAAATGCAATAGAGTGTCCAACAAAGTGGCAGATCTCAAGATCTCGACGCACAGCAGCTCCGATTGAGAACAAATGAAAGCTGAAAATTCCAAGACGCAATCTCCTCCAGGAAAATTGGTGCTGAAGCCTCAAGGCGTCACCGAGTGGCACATGATATTTTGACAGCGGCACACGAGAAGGAATACCAGCAGCTAAGAAGGATGGGCTTGCAAGATATCAAGATATTGAGTTTAAGAATTGTATGCACGTTGAAGGGGGGTCTCGGGTTGTTGCATGATTGCAGCAGTCAACATGTGAGTGTCGAGGTTGAGGTCACAGCCGAACCTTGTTCGGGGACTTGGCGACTGGATTTAGCAACGGCCTCATGCAGTAGCGCTCGTGCTCCCGTTATGCCATCCGCAAGTTTCTTTCAGAGTTTCTTACGGCCGACCGTTGAGTTTCCCAATACTCGCAAAATTCAAAATTCCATCAGAGACATTTTTGCGCTTCCAGAATACTCGCCACACATCTTCGGTGCCAAGTGACAAACAGCGAATGTCTCGCATCTACACGTTCAAATCCGAGGTGATCTGGACACTGAAACATGGTCCCATAGCTGAGATCGAGAAGATTATCAAACAGCCGAGTTCTCGTGTGCTGCTGTTGCTGCTGCAAGGTACTTGTACCTGTTTCTCCGAGTACGTACTATTACGTAGCATCCTGACCGAGGCGTACCTTGCAGCATGACAGAACCTTGCCTAAAAACAACTCCGGACTTCTAAACGAAGGACCATCTTGCATGCGACATGGCTACAATCTTGCGATGATCGCGAAGAATGAAGAATATTATCCGCGGTCAGCGACTCGACGAGACGATGAATGACGATGGTATAGCAATATAGTACAATTCATCGTGACCTTATACATAAGGTATTGCTCACCATTGCCCACTACGGCAACAAATATTGGCGCGCCTGCCCGTTTCGGCCGTGAGGAGTCGAGTTAGTCCTCGCTACGCTCAGACCCAGCCATGCCTTCTCCAGCAAGAGGTCGATCCTTTCGACGCACTGTGTCTCAGTTGCCGTTTCTTGACTCGGCGCCGTTCGATAAGCGCGATGCCAACTCATATCCGGATCCAGCCCAAGTGCCCTTTGACTGGGAGCTAACCGAAGCCACAGCGTCCCCGTTGAGTGCTCGATTCCAGACCCGCATCTCAGATGTGTTTCCCACACGGTCCCACGGCGTGTCCGCCAGCGTGTTCAGTGCTAGAATAGCATTTGGGCCGATTACAGTAGTGCACTACCGTTTCCGTCAGCGTTCAACGTCTTTCAGCTTTATCATGTAGCCAGCCTTGCCGTTCGAGATCTGTTCGTGCCTTTCATATACACCAGCCTTTTCCTCCTAGCTCTTTTCTTCTCTCTTCCTCATTCCTTCATTAATCTATCCACCACTACTCGCTATCTATACCAAGAAAGAGTCACTTGTACCAACAACGATCCCTACCACCCCGGATCTGCATTCTTAGTACATCGTCTGACATTCGTTTCCACCAAGGTCTATCACAGACCATAACCCAACATGGGTCTCAAGAACTACTTCAAGGCTGGCAAGGGCGATGCAGAGAAGAAGTCTCAAGCCCCTGCCAATGAAATGAGCGAGATCTCCGAGAAGCCCCTCGCTCCTCCTACACCAGCATTCGCCAGCACCACACCTTCTGGCCTCTCAACACCTAGAAATGGACTCCTCTCATCTGGTGCATCAATTGCACCCTCATCGAGATCAGGCTTCATGGACGATATCAAGCACGAAGTCATGGTCAACTACCTCTTCCAACAACAGTGTGCCAGACTATGGGTTGGCGATGGTAGCGGCGAAGTTGAGGGTGTTCTCTTGAGAAAATTCAAGGGAAGCTACTTGGCTTGCCCTCCCTCCCTCAGCACATCTACCTTTGCCATGGCCTGTGCAGCACTCAATGTGCCGGTAAGCAACATCGAATCTTCAAAATCTCCCACCTAATCTAATCATTATCCAGNNTGTGCCATGACTGTCAACTCCCGTATCATCAAGACTTTCCTCGCCTGGTCACCAGATGCCGTCGACGTGCCTCTTATGAACGGCCTCAGAGTTCAGATTCTCCCCACCATGGAAGACCTTCCCAGAGCACGCAAGCATCAGTTCGCTGCCTTCATCGCCTCAGAGGCACTTCTCGTCGTCTGGGATGATGATGCCAACAACCTCGTCAACCGTGCCAAGTTGATCGAGGGCGAGCTCATGGAGCTTGTCTGGAAGACTGGTGAACCTGAAGAGATTACCGACGAGCCTGCAGCCAAGAAGGGTCCTGGTGTCGTAGAGGAAGAGATTGATGAAGAGAGTGGTGAAGTCCTTCCCGAGAGCCGCCCGACACATCTCATGAACACCGTCCTCGTCTCGATCACCCTCATTATCATCATCACCCTTCTCGGAGCCGGTTACCGACAATTGGCCATTGAAGTCAAGGTTGATGGCAGCTACACTCGTCTCGCCTTCATCGCCCTCTCTCCTGTCCAAATCTTCTTCACCCTCTTCTTCGCCCAGGTCATCGTTGGTTGTATTGCCCAGATGATTGGTCCTGTTCGCCAAATGACCCTCAACTCTCGCTTCTACTCTGCTCTTCTTCCTCGTCGCATGCAAGGTCGCAACCTTCCTCACGTCACCATCCAGTGCCCCGTTTACAAGGAAGGTCTCGCATCCGTCATTGCTCCTACTGTCAAGTCCATCAAGCAAGCCATCTCCACCTACGAACTCCAGGGTGGTTCTGCCAACATCTTCATCAACGACGACGGTCTTCAGCTCCTCGACGAGGAGGAGCGCGAGGCCAGAATCGAATTCTACGCCGACAACAGCATCGGTTGGACTGCCCGTCCCAAGCACGGTTCCGAGGGTTTCGTTCGTCGCGGAAAGTTCAAGAAGGCTTCCAACATGAACTTTGGTCTCATGGTTTCTTGCAACGTCGAGGAGAAGCTTCTCCAAATCAACCGCGGTACCGAGTGGACTCAGGCCGATGAAGCTCAAGCCTATGAACGCTGCCTCAGTGAAGTCCTCGAGGAGCACGGTCGCGCCTGGGCTGATGGCAACATTCGTGTTGGCGACTACATCCTCCTCATTGACTCCGACACCCGTGTCCCCTCCGACTGTCTTCTCGATGCTGCTTCCGAGATGGAACAGAGTCCCGAAGTTGGTATCATGCAATTCAGCTCCGGTGTCATGCAAGTCGTCCACACCTACTTCGAAAACGGTATCACCTTCTTCACCAACCTCATCTACACTGCCATTCGTTACACCGTCTCCAACGGTGATGTCGCTCCTTTCGTCGGTCACAATGCCATTCTCCGCTGGGCTGCCATTCAACAAGTTTCCTACTTTGATGAAGATGGTTACGAGAAGTTCTGGTCTGAATCTCACGTGTCTGAAGACTTCGACATGTCTCTTCGTCTCCAATGCAACGGCTACATCATTCGTCTAGGTGCCTGGGCTGGTGAAGGCTTCAAGGAAGGTGTGTCGCTTACCGTATACGACGAGCTGGCCCGTTGGGAGAAATATGCCTATGGTTGCAACGAGCTTCTCTTCAACCCTATGCGCATGTGGTTCTACAAGGGTCCCTTCACCCCTCTCTTCCGCGAATTCCTCTTCTCCAACATTCGTATGACCTCCAAGATCACCATTGTCTCATACATTGGTACCTACTACGCCATTGGTGCCGCCTGGATCCTCACCACTGTCAACTACTTCGTCATGGGTTGGTTCAACGGTTACCTCGACAAGTACTACCTCGACTCATGGAAGGTCTGGTTCTCGCTCGTCATCGTCTTCAACGGCCTTGGTAACATCGCGCTCGCCGTCATGCGCTACCGTGTTGGCGACAAGTCCTTGTTCGGTTCTCTCATCGAGAACTTCAAGTGGACTCTCATGCTTGCCATCTTCCTTGGTGGTCTTTCTCTTCACGTCTCCCAGGCTCTTCTTGCTCACATGTTCGAGATTGACATGACCTGGGGTGCCACCGGAAAGGAAGCCGAGTTCTCCAACTTCTTCATTGAGGTGCCCAAGGTTCTCAAGAGCTTCAAGTACTCGCTGTCCTTCTGTGTCGTTGCCATCGTCGGCATGATTATCCTTGCCACCGCCGACTTCATCCCTTACGACTGGATGATTACCGACTTTGTCGCCATCTTGCCCATGGCTACAGTCGTGGCATCGCACTTCCTCTTGCCCATTGCTCTCAACCCCGCTCTCATGACCTTCTCATGGTAAAGCGGTTTCCTTCTTTCTCTATTTCCTTTTCTGTCCATATAACGCTGTCTTTGTGTTTTTTAAGATATCATTGATGTTTTATTGGTGTGGTCCTAAAAGGGTTGACCACTGAGCGGGAGTCCCCTACATGATTCTTTTTTTCTCCTTTTCTTACTATTCCTCTTCATAATCATCCTCACCCAGAACCTTTATAGATTACATTTACTCGATACCACAAATCTTTTATGATTTCGAATCAAATCTTTGACAACTTCAACTTTTTCCTCTCTCCCTCTGTCTATTCTTTCACTGTGCTATCTACTCGTGAGTGTAGACACTCCAATGCAACCTTGCCCTTCGAGCTCCAGAAATACACGAAACCCTCCTTTTGCTATAATTGTTCATTCACCAGTCTCATCCACTTCCTCTAACACTTGACAGATAAGAGTGCTGGAGCACATATTCCAAAAAAGAATTCCAGATTCCAATTCTGGCTACGCTATGCCCATAGATCTTCTGTCCAGAAAAGAAACACAGATCCATCTATCGTTTCACCCTGAAGCAGTTCTCGCATCGCCAAAGATCGTGCATTCATCAGCTAGCTACTATCCACAAACCACTGACTCTGTGTCTCCTACGATAGAAACTGTCACCCACCACAATCCAAATTTGGCCATCTCCTAGGATTCACGTTTTATCAAACTCCACGGACACTGATATGCCACAAAGCGGTGGTCGCATAGGTGATGCATGGTCGTCGAACCACGAGGCCGCACGGACGACAAAAGAGGTCACTGTGGAAATTATCACAGCTGCTCACGGCGACACGACTTTGAACAAAAGAAGAAAAACTCAAATTCCACCTCGAAGCAATTAGCAACACACTAATCATACACTCGCGTACATGAGTAAGTTCTGTAAGTCCATGCAGGGTAGCCGCAGGGGTAAGTATGTGTGGCGCCACTTTCAGCCTTTCAGCGCGTCTGCAATGCACCACCACCTCGTGCTCGCTGCGACGCGTGCGCGAGCGCAACTCGAGTCGATGCTCCACTCAGCTGGGAGAAAAATGAAGCATAGAACCACCCCTTTTACACCTTGTCGTCAACTCCGAGACGTCGTCTTCCCCGAGCACTCAATGACCTGATTCTCGATCGGGAACGAGGCTTGCTCTTGTTGCGCTTGTGATGGTCCTGGCGAGCTGCATGCTGTCGAGGCAAACTTGGATCTTGAATGGCAATGACCCGAGGCACGTCTGCGCTCNNTATAGCTGAAGTGTTAGCGAACTCGTCGAAAAACAAGTACAGGACAATTCTTACGGCCGGCAATTCTTCACTCAACATGGTAAAGCTGTTTTTGGGTAACTTGACATTGTACTCGTCAACTGGATACCACGACTTTTGGAAGCGTCGAATAGCCCATGGAAAGAAGATGGTGAAGAAGAGACTGATGATCAAGAGTGGGATGGAAATGTACAAGCACAGAATTGCTGGTGCCTTCATGGTACTGATACCAAACACGCTCTATACTTTGTCAGACATGTTGCAACACAATTGATAACCTCTCATAAGACTCACAGTCAGGTATGAGATCGGAAGATAGAGCGCCGCAATGATGGACAAGAAGCGTGAGTAGTCGGACTGGTTAGCATTTTCGATGTTAAACTCNCTGCAAGTCATGTAAGTTTTGCTCCTCAGTTGTGCCATGTAGAGAATACTAACGAGTTCAATCAGATTGAGGAAGCGTTCCTTAAGAGTATCCATGTAATAGGAGTATTGGTCCAGGTCTTCGACAGCATCATCCATCTCGTCCCAAACTGGGTCCATGCCATCATCTGGAGACTTGTGCATCGTGTCCTTCAGCTTGAGCAGCTTNTTGAACGATCTCGAATGGAAGCGCATGTATTCGCTAAGTTCGTAGATACGGTCGATGTTTTTGTGCATCTTGCGCGACCTCAATTTCACAGGGTACTTCCTGCCACGGCTGTTGAGTTCNCTTTTCATGCATCATCAGTAAACCAGACTTCATCAGACCATTCGAATACATACGGCCTCTTCCAGCTCTCTTTCAATCTCTCGGATGATGTTCTGCCAGTCGCTCAAAAGCCAATACAGCCTAAGAAAGGTCCAGCAGACAGTCTCTTCGTCCCTACGTGGCATGTCGTATTCCTCATCTTCATAGAAGTATGGAAAGAAGAGGTCGTGCATGACATTCTCGGCAGGAATATTGGATTGAGTAAAGACGAGAGTGACGGGAACTTCTCGATCGAACCGGCAGGCGCGACGTCCGCAGCACCAAGCAGCGACACGGAAGCGATATTCATCGACTNNACTCGGTAAGAGCAAGACTGTGTTAGCTTTCCATTACCAAAGTTGTTCTATGACAGCTCACTAACTCTCGTCAATGCCTTTTGAGTGGCCTGCAGGAGGTTCCTTGCCAAAAGTCCACCAGTATACGTCTGGCACGTTCATTTGATCGACGAGAAAGGACCAAGGTATCTGAGTGGATCTCTTGTTGCTTCGTTCAGGAAACTTGACGGTGTCGTCAAACTGCAGTGCTCTATTGAGATCGGTGAGTTCGTCGTAGCGATCATCGATGCAGGTCTCAATGACTTGTCCGAGCCATGGCTGGAATCCGTTGAACGTNTCTGAAGCACACCAATCAGTTTAAGATCAGTCAACATATGGATTGACTTGCATCAGTAAAGGATCTTGTGGATTCATCCGCAGAGTTTCATGAACAAGCGCGGCAAATCTACTGCCATCTGCGCTGGTGACTTGGATGGAGCTGTGATAGTTTGGCGAGCGTCTGTTGCCAATGTGGACACTTATGGGCGCGCCCTCTTGATACCATGACTTGTGTCTTGGTGACCGGCGTTTACGATGATGACGGTTGGCGCGAGGTGAATCCCCCATACTTGTCCGATAGGATGGTGGAGTGTATTTGGGTTGTTGTGTCAGATTTACATCTGAACGCCTAGGATATGGGTTCATCGTGCCTTCCTTGATTTCGAATTTTTGTTCGATATGAGCGCCTCTCTAACACATTCAAATATAACCATGGCTCCTTCCTTGACTTTGAAGTGCAATGTTCGTCAAAAGGCACATCATCTGAGGATGCCCAGGCTGAACTATGGGTTGCCTGGTCAGATGATGGGTCCATCCACACTCACGTGAACAGCTGCATACGAGGGATGCATGTATCACCAAAATGTCAATCTTCTGTGTACCCGTCATAAACACTTGGTGCTTTCTCAAAATTTTCACAAAAGAGTTTCATACAACATATCCAAAAGGACTACAGCATTGCTACAAAAATGCGCTGAACAAGACAGGAGAAAAAAAGCGTCCATAAAAGCGAAGCCAGAGAAGACGACTGGTAATATGCAAATCAAACAGGTCGTGGGTATAGTGCTGAAGGGTAATAAAGACGTCAAAAGAACAAGAAAAGAAGACATGAATGTGCTCTGGAGGGTATGCTTGTTAGTCGTAATAAACAGGAACGACTTCGTTCTACGGGCTGTTAGGCCGGTCGTCCATTGTGCCCACATCAGTCGAATCACCTTCAATGGTTCGACGCCAGTGTTGTGGTAGGCATACACAAACCAGTGGAAAGGCCTTGACTGGACCGTGTTCCTCAGGACTTGCTTGACCACTGCTCATACCACTATCTCGTTGCAGCTTGCCCTTGCTCTGCCAATCCTCAGCACGCATGCTAACACGCACCCCTGTTGCCCAACCGTCGTCCCATATACCAACAACCTTGACCATGTCACCACGTTCAAGGTCAAACTCATCAGCGGCACGAGGTTGATAGGCCCACAGAGATGACACGAGATCACCTGGATGTATGTCGTCTTGAGAATAATAGTCTTTGAAAAAGCTGAGTTGTTCCGATTCAGATGTGCCTTCTGGCGAGGAAATACCGTCTCGAGCAGGACTGTCATGAGTGCCAAATGCAAGAAGCGAACCGCTGGACAATGAGCCGTTTCGCCTAGGAGGGGGATCAATGCCGCCGGCGTGCGAATGCGGTGTTCTCTGAGCGTCTGGGGTGGAATCGAGGGCGGTCGTAGGCGAGCGCGTATTACGTTCTGAGCCGCTCGAGACGGCTTCCAAGGCAGCCATGCGGGTAACACGGCCACCAGGAAGAGCTTCAATTCTATCGTTTTGGCTCCTGCTAGCGCCATCATGTCTGTATGCCATGGCTGGAGGAGCTCCACCCTGACGCGATCTCACGGGCTGGTTGAAGACGCTTGTTGCCGGACTAGCCTGTTTTCGACGGCGCAAGAAAACGCAGGCCAATATCAAGAGCGCAAGGAGAATGAAGACGCCAAGCAAAGACCCAATCACGATGCCAGCAATTGCACCTCCCGAAAGTCCTTTTCGTTTTTGTGTAGTCGGAGATGATGTTGAAGATGGAGATCTCGTTGCAGTCGAAGATTTAGCCGATGAAGTTGATGTAAAGAGAGGCTGCATGGATGAAGTAGCGACAATAGGCAAGACGACATTTTCGCAGCGCGTCGTGGTATTGGAAAAGACACAGCAAGAATCGGTGGCATTCGGCGAACTCGCAGCACAGTAAGAGCAGAGATTGACCATATTGGACGCGAAACCGCAATTATCAGGTTCATTGGTGACACCTGCAATGCATGAGCCAGACAATGAATTTGCGGGCAGTGCACAATTGGTGAAGTCAGCTCGAATTTGACTGATAGCGTTCGAGCTTGCGTTGCCGCATATATCACTTGCAGCAATGGATTGTTCGCTTTCAGCATATTCGGCCTATATCAAAAGGTCAGCACTCGCAGTCAGACTTGGATATTACCATCATCTTACACAAGTGTTGGCACATAATGGTCGAGTGGCATCTCCTGTCAGGTCACAAGCTGAGATGGAGTTCTGAACAATAGCATTGCAGAGTACGCTGGCAGTGTAGCGAGCATAATAGTCGGATGAATTTGACGAGTCGAAGCTAGAGCAACCGATCAAGTTGGAATATCTTTGTTGGATGAAGCCGTGGGATATGTACTGTTGTAGTTGTGTGTCAAAGGAAGAGGTGTCCGTGACATTGGCAAGGAATGGGAATAGTCCGGTGAGGGTACTATCAGTTGAGATAGAGGCCGTGTTGAAAGCACGGCACTCGGACGAGCCTGTCAGAGGAATGCAATTCTGAGCCAGGGCAGTTGGAAGCGTCGCGACCGTTAGAGCGAGAGCGAAGAGGGCACGGAAACGTCCCGCTACCCTCTTCTCTATGGTCTGGATATATCTTGTCGCTGCCTCTTGTTCCCAGCTCTCTTTGCATCGCACGCGCTCAGTGCTGACATTGCCCCTGGACGTGCGCCGCGTGGGAGCATCGTTGGACATTGTCTAGACGCTCGACTATTGCATAAAGAAGATGTATTCGAAGATGCCGTTGGAGAAATTGGATCGTAATCGAAGCGGATTCGAGTTTGGACCGAGGATAGTATTATCGTTGTAGAGTAATCTAAAAGAGGTCGCGCGGTGATTAAGGTTAGGTCGAAGAAGAAGATCGATCAGGAGGCGGTCAATGAGCGACTGAATGAGAAGAGAAAAGAAACCAGGAAGACGAAATGATTGACCAGAGACAGCGCGGGCGAGGCAAGTGCGCCTCTCTACATCAAAAACAGCAGTCGCACACTCAGCCAGACGCTGACCGAAGGCATCGGGCCCGGCCAAGTCGAAGAAGATGTGCGACGCTGAAGCCCGGCGCGGCATGCCACTTCCCGCCTGCAAACTTGATCTGCCCCATTCCACTTTCGTCCTTGGTCTCTGCCTTTTCTTTGGTCCACCAGGCACTTTACACTTGTGGTGCACACCATGCATGTCAAAATGGTCGTCGTGGTCGCGAGATAAAGCGTAAATTGTTGGTACCTTTTCGGCAGCTAGGCCTTTCAGCCTGTCATCCAGAGAATCCAGTTCCTACATCGTGTATAACATGGTCCCCATATCACTGTATCTTGACTGATATGGCGTACAAGAAGCCTGAGTCCTGATTCAGATTTTCATCTCCTACACCGCCGAACATGACTTACTCTGCCGTTCACATCTTGTATGGCAGACTCATATGAGAAAGCACACTCTTACTCGTTGGCTCTTGAACCCTCGGAGTTCGTGTGCCTTGGCAGGTCAGACCAGCATGAATACGCGCGCTATTGCATCCATCAGGATATGACACGAAAGTGTATGAATCCTTGTAGTACGTCACACAGCGAGAGAGCCACGTTTCGGCCAAGGAGAGAGTACAACATGCGATTCTCATTGACCAACAGGCATACAAATATGGATAACTGACTGCTTCTAAACTAATCCCATGCTTGCTGACAGAGTGTCTTAGGTGCGTGTGTGTATGCAGCATTTCATGTACTGTCTGATCTCTTCGGACTCAAATCTTGGTGGTCGTTTTCAGGGTGTTCATGAGTGTGCAGGCTTAGGAGCGGTAGTGCTGTCGACCTGAACGGCAGCTGGATGCTGCTGGTGAGCACCAGTGGAGGAAGCTTGAGGACCAGCGGCAATTTCGGCAGCGATCTGGTCTTCGGTCTTCTTGTTGCCGTGTGAGATGAGACGATTGAGGAAGGAGCCAGGTCTGCCCTGGGGGTACTTGGAGTCTTCGGCTTCAGCCTCTTCGAGCTGCTTGTGAAGGTGACCAGTAGTCTCCTCGTCGAAGTCCTCATGGTCGTCGAAGTTNGGCTGTCGCAAGTGGGGTTAGCGGGGCCGGAACCAAAGAGGACAGCCGCGAGAATGCAACTCACTCTCCTTGTCGTGCATGCTGAGAGCTCTCTTGATCTTCTGTCTGACGGCCTGCATCTTGATGATTGGTGGAACGGTAGATCTTCTTAAGCTGAGATGAGAGGACAGTTAGTCGCTGGCGCGGACGGAATGGGATGGCGAGACTCATGTACCTGTGGTATAGGTGTTCGTAGTGGATTCTTTCGAATGCGAATGTGATTGAGTGAAGAGTTGTAGGATGGAGGAAAGAAGAAGTTGAGTTGATTGGACGTCGAAAGACAGAACAAAGAGGTAAACCAGGGCAGGCAAGTGCGCTCCTCATCCAATGCCCAGCTGCCCACCATCACCCATCGTCATTACCCCACATCAGAGCCGATGGCGCTGCTGACGGACCGTGATTGTCCAAACTTGGAACCGCTTCCCATGACCGATGGGTCTGGATCCAAGCGCTGTTATGCGCAACTTACGCGTCTCCAGCTCCTCACGAGATGTGTTATTAGCATCGATTGGCCGTGAGCAGTTCACGGTGCCCGTCTGTACTGTCCACCTCTTTGCAAGAGCAAATTCCCCAGATCGCTGTCCAAACCGAGGCTCTTCAATGATCGCGCGGCGCGGCCCGTGCGAGAGATGGGCGCGCGTCGCTCGTTGACGTTCCTTCTAGAAAAAAGTAAATAATATATCCAACTGCATCTTTAGCATCAATTTGGTGATCACCATAATGGTTCAATCCTGGAAACGCTTCTACAGGGTGTCTCTGCATTCATCGGATCATGTTTGCTTATTCGACATTTAAAGACCAACGGGTCGATGCAACCTGCGTATGTGTAGAAGGCTGGGTGTGCGCCATCCGACAGATACATAAACACATTGTAGGGTCGCAGTAAATTTCCAGTCAAGTTCCATCACTCAGCACGGGATCAGGCTACGAAAGTCCAATTTTCCAATGATTTGAGAGCTGCCTCTCCCAGCACATATGTCGTGCTCTGGCCTCGACAGATACCCGTGACAGGATGATCTAGAGCCTTTAGAAGCCTTGGAGGTCTGTCATTGCTGCTGAAGCATCAGTCGCCCTGCACCTAACCTTGATATCTGCTCAGGCCACTTCTTTCAAGAACGTGTTCCGCAGCTCAGATGCAGATGACTGGTCTCTCGATCTTCGATATCTGTTTGCGCACCAAGATATGCCACAACCACGACAGACATAAGCTATACGACCGTCCTGGAATTATGGCACCTCGATCTAGGACTTTGTAAGCAGATCACCGTAGTTATCATTGGCCCACCAAGAAAGAAAAAAACCCACCTCCTCAAGCAACGCGCCATGCATAGAGCAGGTTGACATCGTCTTTGATGGCATGCTCCATGCTGTGTTGCTCACCATCGAAGTCACGGATGTCCCGCTTCTTGCTTTGTTCAAACACCAAGATTTGAGCCCTGTTTTCCTTGCATCAACCGTGTTTGATGGAACTCGCCCTGATCTTAAGGCGACTGTCCAGGCCTCTTCGCCTGACACCAACCGGGAATATGATACCTCCAGCACGACTTCGCTTCTTGACTTGGTGCTACCAAGATCAGATTGAACCGCACTCGCGGCTTCGACTAATCAGTGAGGGCCACGACAATGCCCCGTCTCCAGCGCTGGCGAAGCGTGAGATATCTGGGTGGCGTAGAGTCTCTTCGAAAACTGCTTCATTAACAAGACCAATATCGAGCACACTGCCGGGATGAGGTGGGAATCTACAGCCCCAGGCTTACCTCCTCTCCATGTGCTCAAGACAGTCACATGTTGCAACTAATCCCTTTCGCCATCTCGAGCCATAAGAATTACTATGAGCTATCGAAATGCACAGTCACAACTCGAATATAAGTCTGTCCATTGAGATAGTCTTTACTAATGTTCCCTCTATGGAACCCCTATTCTACATGGAAAGTATTGTGCATTTCTGCAGTCACACTGTGACTGTCTTTAGCACACGGGGAGACTGCATATCCCTAGAGGCCGAGATTAGAGTTCGGCACGAAGCAGTAACACTTGTTGTGCAACGGCTCCGTCAGTGCTCCGAGACGCTCAATTGCTCGAGAAGAGCAGAATCGGACACTTGTGGTTCTTGATGTATGAATATCGAGAATCAGAATTCGGATCGGCATGAAGAGCATTGCGACAAATCTTTCTTGGTGCTTGAAAACCGGGTGCATCAATCAATCGCAGGATGCAAGGCTCATCGATGTCTTATCTTGTTTATGGAAGGATTGAGGGGTACAACTCGAGTGGTCGAGCAGATGCGATTCATGCTCTATCCAAATCTGGCAGAACATACTACTGCTTACATATGAAGGTCAGTACGCTTCCCGTGGTACTCTAACAAACTACGAGACCTTTTTTCGTTATCTGCACTTGCGCATTATCCATTTCCTTGCCCTCGGTGCAATTGATGCCGACCAAGTATAACATTTCCCAGCCGAGATAGGACACGACAAGGTTTGGTTATATTAGCGTTAACGGACATTCGTTAGCGTCTTCCCCAGACAGGTTGCATGGCGGACAACTTGCGAGCCACATATCTATCAGAGTGAGCAGGAGAACTGGTTCGAACAGCGCGCAACAGTTATCGAATAGTTCTGGTTGGTATTCCAGCTGTCGAATGTGGCTCCTCGGCTGCAAAAGCGCCGAGTTGGGTTTCCTACACAAGAAGGTGTACTAGTGGATACATCCCTGTAAGGAGTCCTTCGGCAATTGTTGAATCTGATCTCAAGCACCCACAAAAGTCAAGATCGCGCGGAGGGTAATCTTTCAGATCTGTATCGCCTTGGCCAGTGGCCGGTAAGAACGCCGAAGGATCAGATCCAATCATTTAAAACCAAGCCTCTCTGCCAATGCTTTCACTGTCACTCTCTCCACACTTCCCCAGACTTCCCCAAGATCAGGTCCCCAGATTTGAGAAGATGGCTCTGTCCCAGTCCCCCGCCGAGAAGACGGTCGAGAAGGTTGAGTCTGACCAGATCGAGGATGTCGAATACATCAAGGATAGTCAAGCATTGCATCTGGACGACAGTGCTCAGCGTGCCTTGGCCAAAAAGGTGTTGTGGAAACTTGACACAAGGTACCGAAACTCGTGTGTACGTCCAAGCAGATCAACGACTGACTCAGCGTTACTCCNNAGAATTCTTCCTGTGCTCGCCCTCTTGTTTCTCTGTTCGTTCCTCGATCGTACCAACGTCGGCAACGCCAAGATCCTTGGCCTGCAANAGAGCATCGGCATTGATGATCATCAATACGCTGTCGGATTGGCCATATTCTTCGCTTTCTACATTGTCAGCGAACTGCCTAGCAATTTAGTCCTCAAANAAGTCTCTCCACGAGTATGGTTGCCATGCCTCACCTTCGCATGGGGTGTTGTTGGCATGTGTCTCGGCTTCATTCAGAACTATGCTGGATTTCTTGTCGTACGTGCCATGCTCGGTGTCACTGAAGGCGGTCTGCTTCCGGGCATGGTCTTGTATCTCTCGGGCATGTATACGCGCGGAGAGCTGGCACTGAGAATTGGACTTTTTTATACTACGGCGAGTCTTTCGGGCGCTTTCGGTGGTTTGCTCGCTCGAGGTCTTTCATCTATTGGTTCTACTGGTGGTGTGCACGCAGGCTGGCGATGGATTATGATCGTCGAGGGATTACTGACAGCCGTAGTGGGCGCTGCGGCCTATTTCCTGCTTCCAAACAACATCGCGACAGCCAATTTCCTCACCGAGGAAGAGCGCGAGTTTGCGTTATATCGTCTCAGCAAAGACTATTCGTTTGGTCTCGGTCCAGGCGTGACAGCCGAGCCAGAACGTTTCCGCTGGTCTGAGGTTCGCCGTGGAGTGTTGGACCCATCGCTTTGGTTTTCAGCATCTGCTTACTTCGCAATCCTCTCTGGACTCTATTCGTTTGGTCTATTCCTACCCACCATCATCGCTGGCCTCGGATACACTGCCAATGAAGCGCAGCTGTGGTCTGTCATTCCGTACGCCGTTGCGGCCTGTATCACTGTTGTTGCGGCCGTAGTGTCCGATCGCCTCCGTCTTCGTGGACCAGTAATGCTATGCACACTCCCATTGGCCATCATTGGATATGCTGTCATTGGAAATGTCAAGTCAAACCACGTCAAGTTTGGTATGACCTTTATGATGGCAACAGGACTTTACGCGAGCGTACCTCCTGTCCTGGTTTGGATTTCGAACAACTCTGCTGGCCACTACAAGAGAGCAACGGCGACTGGTCTCCAACTTGCCATTGCCAACTGTGGCGGATTTGTCTCTGGTAAGTAACAAAAGTCCATTTATCTCGAAATCGTATTAACTCACCGTCTTCTAGCCTTTACGTACAGCAAGTCAGAGAAACCACAATACCACAAGTCCCATACCACGGTTCTCGGCCTGCTCGTGTTCGCTTGGTTCATGTAAGTTTCGAAGTCGTGATTGCTGACAGAGGCGTGTCGCTAACGTTCTCAGGNNGTACTCTTCAATGTCTTGTACTGTCACAAGGTCAACAAGGATAAGAAAGCTGGCAAGTACGACCAGTACATTGCATCGGGGGACGATCGTGATCCAAGTTTCAAGCTCATCCTGTAGTTAGCAAGAGGCTACCATCAAATACTTCGTTTTGTAGCTCCGGCTTCCGGAAGTCTCAGTAAACTGGATAAGAACAAGAAAATCATGATCAGAATACTTTATAATGCTGTACAAATTAAGGTTGTTGCGATCGCGCGACGCGGCCCGTGCGAGAGAATGCTTCAATTGCTGCTTTGGGCACGCGTCCTCGGTCGCACTTGACTTTCCAGACCAAAAGTAAACAATATTCAATTGCATCTAATCACCAGCATGCTTGCAACACTGCGTTGGCGACCATCCTGAAATCAGAGCTCATGTGTCGTCTCGAGTTGTTGGGCCTTCTGATTCTCTCGTTTCACGCTCGCAAAGCCAAGTCTAGTCGAAACGATATAGACGACACCCATCTGGCTTCACGAGCTGTTCACCTGCAATGCTCCACGAGGTCCTCCTCGCCCTCAGCGGGCATCCCTCGCCGCTGTTCCCTGGGACTGCCCCGCCCGGTCGGTCGTCCGACGCCTTTGTAGACAAAGACTTTCCGCTGTTGTCATCATCAGAAGCCGCTCTATTGGCGACGGTTGGCAAGCTCGGCAGTTTGCATCGTCAAATTCGAGACCATGCAAATCACATTGTTACGCAACATCCTTCGACTATATGTCGTGCTGTAGCTGCTTCGTTGCTGCAAACCCATCTTGCACGCTTCCGTGAGAAGATTCTTGATGCGGAGAAGCAGATATTGACCAAAGATGCTGCTATAGTGGGTGCATACAACATCGTGCCCCTCTCTGCAGTCGTTGGCGAGTTTGATGGGTGGAGTCGTCGTATGGACTGGTATTGGGATCTTGCATGCTTCATTCAGCCTCCAGACGCGTCCAAGTCTGTGCCAGCAAGTGGAGCTCAAATCATTGACCATTTACGATCAGAGCTACAAACCGGGTTTCCCGACATTGAGACCGCAGCAACAGAGTTGACTTGCGTCGCTGATAAGGCCTGGTTGAAACAAGTGTCCGTATGGCTGCTGTACGGTTTGCTTCCCAGTCATGGAGCTGATGACTTCTTTGTCTCTGTGCAAGAATCTGCCGAGGGACCACCATCATACGCTCTGAGACGCGAATTGCTGCCCAAGTTCGTTTCACAACAGACTGGCAACTCTTTACTATTTATTGGAAAGTCGTTGCATCAAGTCAAACAGCATACAAAGGACTCGTCGGCATCACAGATCCTTCATGGTAACGAAGATGCTGCTCTGTTAAATGCACATCTTCAGTCCCTTTCGTCACTATCATTTCCCCTAGTTCCTGCTGCATTCTCTACCACGATATCCTCGATACGTTCATCGCTATCGCAANAGGTTCTCCAGCGTCTACTTCCGCCAAACGAGATCAAGCTTGTACTGAACACCTTTCGTCAAATTCTTCTTCTGGACAGGGGCGAATTTGCCATCTTCTTAATATCGGAGGCGGCAGAAAGACTAAATGCTAGAAGAGTTGAACATGGCCGATATCTGCAGGAACCCTCTGGAAAGGATCTGCGAGGCGTGATGATGAAGGAGGGTGAAGTCAACGAATCGCTTTCACGTACATGGAAAGCATTAACATCACTACAAACTGAGGATCTCGAAGACGACGTACTAGACTTCGCCCGAGAGAACATGCGCTTAGAGATCGACACACGAAGAGCCACCGGCAGACCGCCAACCTCGGATGGAACAGCCTTGGATGCGGCAGGTCTGTCAAGTACCTCTNTTAACGACCTCCTATTTCCTGTTCCAACCCTACTCACAATGCAAATCCGCTCACCACTCGACCTCTTCGTGTCGCGTGCCGACATGGATCGGTACTCGGCACTAAATGCATATCTGCTGAGTCTACGCCGAGCACATATGCGATTGTCCAATCTTTGGCGAGAATCGGGTTCACGTCGCGCAGCTGCGAATCCCACTCGCCTAAGTGTAGAAGCAAGACAGATCGCTCATACTCGCAGCATTTCACAACGCAAGGTCTGGGCCACATGCAGTGCAGCTGTCTTCCTGCTATCAGAAACCACGGCATACTTTGAAGGCGAGCTGATCACCAGCTCATGGGACACCTTCTACTCTTGGACTACTGCTCAGCACCACGACCCCGAGACATTAGGACGAGCTCATCGTTCATTCCTCGCTGCACTGTCATACACAATCTTACTCACCGATGCGGTCTATACGCGATCTCTCCGTGACTTGCTCACACATATAGACGCTCTGGTCGCCCTTNTTGGCCGCCTGCAACGACTTCAACAAACATCCAGTCTTGGAGTTGGTGCCACAGACTTCCTCGATGAGGAAGAGGCAGAGGTAGCACGTGAACTTGACCGGTCCCGCAAACGTGTCGATACTGCTCTCAAAGACGTGGTCGCTAGATTGCGACAATTGGACCATGAGCGATTGGGTGCAGCAAGGTATCTCCAACTTGACACTCAAGACACTGGCTTTGAGATCTGGCGTGGTGGAGGTGTGGATAGATTGTTGATGAAGCTAGACTTTGGTAGGATGACTGGTGGAGAGGAGTATATCGTCTAGACTGCTGGTGGATGCTTCCTGCAGATTACTATCCTATGATGCATATTTCAGCTTTCGAATGGAAACGATGAAACTGATGAGCATGTCATTGTGTGCAATATTGCATGTAACCATAAATCTCTCTTTCCTCCCGAGCCACTCAATCGTCTACCAAATACCCAACCACTTCTTGATCGGCCTCCTCTTGCCTTCAAAGTCCGTATACGTCTGCTCAGCACCCTCCTTATCAACCGCCGCAGCTTCCAAACCCTCTCCTTCCTTCTGCACCTCCCTACCCACCGGCATCTCATCCCCCAAAGCCCCCAAACCCTCTGCTTCTTCTCCCTTCTTCTCCACACCGCCATCTCTAGCAGTCCAACCTCCAAACACACCCTCCTCCTCATTCAAACCATGCGCTTTTCTAAACTCTGCCCGCTTTCTCACATCATCCACTTTGTTTTTGCGCAATTCGGCGGTTTGGATGGAAATGTATTGGGAATGGAGATTGTAGACTTCAGCGTATCGAGATAGAAAAGCGATGGGATGGGAGAAAAACATGTTGTTGGGAGGTAATTGGTCGAGGTAAGGCGTGTTTGTCAGGAAGTTGTTGAGCCAGGTGAAGAAGGCGAGGGAGATGAGGATGGACNNTGTTTGTTGGGATTGTTGTTAGTCTTGTGTGTTTTGCTGGTGGGTGCAGAGGAAACAACTTACCATGGTGATCCACACGTGAATGGTGCGGTTGGTGAGGAACCAGTGGAAAAAGGTTCCTTCGGGGGGCATCATGTGTGGGTATTGCTTCTTCCTCTGTTGTTCCTTTTCTTTGGCGCTCAAGGGCACTTGGAAGGCGGGTTGTCTGTTGCGGCGGGGTAGGCGAGCGGGATGAGATGGTGGGTTGAAGCGTGTAGGTTTCTCGAGTAGTCGTCCTTTGGGTACTGGTTTGGAGCTGGTGCTGGCGGGGCGTGAAGCCAGGAGCGAGCGGGCGAGGAGAGAGGATTGTGGGTTGCGCATGTTGCGCAGAGTGAGCTGGCGCGATAGCTGGAGTGCTGACATTGTCGACATGGTGTGTTTGAAGACAGGCTTGTCGACGATGGTGGTAGAAAATGATCATGACAGAGGCTCGGCAAAACTGCCCTCCAGCATGCGGCCAAACCATGCCACCTCCGAGTGCGGGCAGCAGCATGCGTGATCGACGACATGTACCTATCGAGACCCTTGAACTTTTATCATACTAACTTGGCACTGCATATTCCTCGTAAAAGGCTTTCGTATCTTTTCTGTATTGTCTTTTTTTGAGCTGTATCGCAGCTTGAACAGCTCTTCTAATTCTGCTTCTTCTCGCTCTTGTCAACCTTGACTACCGAAGGAAGCGAGGTAAAGACGCTCGGCCAAACCAGCTTGTACTCTTCTTGACGACCATTCAAGCAATGACGGAGCCACACTCCCCATACAATGTAGAAGTATGCTCCTGTTCCAGTCATGAGATGCCACCATCCATGTCCCTCGAGGAAGATACCCCAAGGCAGGCCAATCTCGTGGCGCCACTTACGTAGCCGCGAGCAGTACATATTATCCAAATTCCAGATAGCAAATCCACCCAAGAAGACGCTTAATCCGCATGCGATCATGAGCCACATGGTCTTGAGGATCTTGCGATCTCTGTCATCGCGACGTTGTTGCTCCTTGTCACTGACGAGACCCCGGCTGGGTGCGGCTTCTCTTGCCTTCGGCTTTGGGCGGATGTCGCGCTCCATGACATACATGGATCGGAACAAGACGATAGCAGTCAAGAGAGCATACATGTTCTGGTGGAAGACGGGGTCTCCAAGATAGTGGTAGTAGGCCGTGATGAAGATACACAGGGCTACCAANAAGAGGGCAAGGAAGACGCGGAATGTGCGCGTCTGTTTATGCGAAAAGGTAGCGTAGAACATAAGGCAGGTCGTGTAGATCATGGAGAGTTCGTCGACGAGTTGCATGGGGTCTGTTTCATGGACAAGTCAGCAGGCTTCTGAGATTGGCAGTTTTTAGTACCGACATTTCAGAGTCGAGTGGAAGAGGAAGCTGCCAGTTCCAACAACCAGGTAACCGACAAAGGTGACGAGGAAGATGTGGTCATGACCGTTCTGTATACAGTTGTTGATGCCACGGAAGGCCAGCCAGACAAACAAGAGGTTGGTCAAGGTGTTGACAATCTCAGCCGAGTAGACGGTGGCATAGTAGTCCNNTGGTCCTTGTCAGACTCGAGGGTCGAGTTCTCAAGGATGCATGTGACGAACCTCCTCACACCAGTTGAGAGTCGAGGTTACAGGACTCCAGTAGCCATCTCCAGCGGGAGGGTACGGTATTGAAGGTAACAAGGACGCCATCAAGATGGTACGGTCAATGGAAGCTTCGGAAGCTGTTGGAGCGAATGTGGTCAGAGTTGGTCGACTCAGAACTGCCAAAACGACAAAACCCAAAAGAAATGGTCGAAAGGTTTGCAAGAAAAGGAAGGAGAGGAATTGAGCAGGCACAATCAAGGAATACGAGCGACCTTGTTCAAACAAAGTCGTTCATGGACCAAAAGGGTGCCAAGACGCGTGTCATCAGAGCCGTGAGCCGGGCAATCACATGCCGAACTTCTGTCATCCGACTGGAGTGCTCCAGCAAACATTGTCCTAGTCAATACAACATAAAAACACTCGCCCAACATGTCCATGTCTCCGGCTGATATGCAGAAGGTCACTTCGCTTCCCAAAACAGCAGCTTGACATGCGCTCACTCGTTATACAGNNCTCCTGCAAGAAATCGAGCAAAAGGCGCAATTCTGCCAGCAACAGATGGTCATCGTCAAGACCCAGATGAACACAAAGAACCGCGAAAACCGCATGCTCCAGCTGACTGCTGCCGAACTGGACGGTCTGCCATCCGACGCCAACGTCTATGAAGGTGTCGGAAAGATGTGAGCTCGCACAACCCACCAGCCATGAGGCTATCATCTCCTGACACTGCCATCCTAGGNNTTCGTCGCAAGCCCAAAGACCGACGTCAAGGTTCGCTTGACAAAGGACCAAGAGACCATCAAGAAGGACATGGAGGGTCTGGAGAAGAAGATGCACTACCTCGAGACAACATACAACAACAGCAAGACCCACTTGGACGCCATCTTCAAGAACGGCGGCAGATGAAGTCTCTGAACAATTCACTTTGTCGCCAAAGACCCATCAAGAGTCCTGGGCACATTCAGCAGAACCCATTGTGGTCAGCTCCGAGGACAATCATGGTCCTCGTTCTGGGGACACTCTGCTCGATCCTGCCAGGCACCATTTACGAACAGAGATCAGGGCCGAGACACACTCCAGGCGGGTCATTGTCACCGGCGCAACACCTACTGAGACGGCTTCGACGAGCATGCGACCTTTATCCTAAGGCGAGTGTCCATGGACGAGCACGAATGCAGAGTTGCACAACTCTTTTATACAAAGTGCTGCTGCTTTGTACTCAGTGCCAAGCTTAGAAGTTGTGCACTCTTCGGAGAATAACACTACTTGACCTTTCTCCTAAACTGTCTTATCGCATCCTTCAAATCTATATGCAATCTACTGCAGCCCATAGCTGCATCATTCCGCCCCATAATCCTCCAGCTCCAACTCTAAATTGCCATGCTGTTGCGACAAAAGAGTTTCCTTGTAAGAGCCTGCTTGATATCAATATCCTTTGCACGCGAGAACTTCATCTCTCAGCATCTCAGAGCTCGGCTTATTTCCCAGTCAGCAAGCTAAAAGCAGCAACAGCGACGCGCCTGTTTCAAGACAAGTAAACCACGCGCGCGGCTCATGCAGGAGCTCAGATCGCCAATCGCCGTCTGCAGAAGCTGGCAGCTGCAGTAGTCAGCGGGGTGGGCTGAACACCATTCTCCCACTTCTGCCAACAAAATATTTACAACCTGACCGGTTGGTCACAAACGCGACAGGGCAGAAGGCTGCAAGCATGTCTGTCATTCACGTAAGCATTTTGACCAAATTAAGTCGACCAGTGCCCAAGATTTCGGGCTCAAGGAGGCGGTAAGCGTTCCATCTGCGACAAGCCATGATGCCCATAGGCATGCACCAGTCGTGATGGCTATTGGTGAGTCCGTAGTGGAGGCTTCTTGTATACAGCACTATACGCGGGTGGTCACGCGTGATCCTTCGCTTGTAGCCTTTTCGTCCTTTTAGCTTGTCAGCAGCCTTGACTCTTTCATCTTCTTCGCCCGAACATACGGTAGGCTGAGACTCTGTGTCATTGCCCTCGGAGGGTGTCTTGTCTCTCTATCTAGTCGTTTCTGCGGTTTCTTTTCTGCTTTCCTTTTCTTCATTCTTCAGACAGGATTAAACATTCATATCACATTCCTCTTATCTTGTTGAGGGGTAGCTCGCAAACGCATCTTACTTCTCCCTTGCCGTCGGTTCAGGGACTCCACACCAGCACCTCAAGTTGCAAACGATGGATTATTATTCAAACGACCAGTGGTATGATCGCTGGGGTCCTGATCCTCAACCACGAGCGCGCTACTACCAACACTCTCATCGACACAGCGGCCATCTCTCCACACCCGAGCCACAATACTCCAACTTGCACCGCTCGCATTCACAAGGCCACAATGTGCCTCATCCCACAAACATCCACATCCACAACAAGATACCCGTCACCCAAGAGACGACCACTGCCCAGCGAGCAGACTCAAGGCCCCCTCCCCCTATGCCCGCACCCATGCCACCTCCACCACAGTTCCAACAAGTGCCTATGATGGCACCACCACCCATGTTTGTTCACCAGCACGTTCCAATGATGCAGTCTGCTCCTCCCCCCATGATGGATCCCCACGCCCTGCGAGCTCAGCGTCTAGGCGAACAACTACTCGCCGAAGAGTTTGCCGAGATGCGTTTACACCGCCATCGTTCTCACTCTCGCGGCCGCTCACCCGACGACCGTCTGCGTTGGGATCTCGAACAGCAACGCCGCGATGCAGCAGCAGCAGAAGCCTGTCGCCGCCACGAGGAAGATACCGCCGCTCTCAAAGCCCAATTCGAACTCGACCGCCGCAGAGAAGAAGCCAAAGCCGCAGATGCCAAACGCCTGCGCGAAGAAGAAGCCACCGCTTTGAAGCTGAAACTCGAACTCGAAGCCGAGCGCGAAGCCGCAAAGCGCAAGAAACAAGAGGAAGACGCAGCAGCAGAGCGCGCCCGCGTAATCGACGACCACGAACGCAAACTCGCCGCCGACGCAAAAGCAGCCGCCGACGCCGAAGCAGCATTCAGACTAAAGCTGGAGCTTCAAGCCCGTGAAGAGCAAGAGCGCGAACGCAAAGCCTACGACGATTTCCTACGCAAACAACGCGAAAGGAAGAAGCGGACGAAAAGGCCTACCGCGATGCCCTGCGCCGCCAAAAAGAGAAAGAAGAAGCCAAAGAAAGAGAATACCAAGCCTTTTGCGCGAACAAAAGAAAAACAAGAAGCGGAAGAAAAGGCAAAGAAGGAAGAACAAGCACGTATTGACTCTGCCATGCGATACCGCCTAGAAAAACTAGGTTGGTCCCAACACGACATAGCCATCGCTCTCGACCCCGAAAAAGCCGAAAAGGAAAAAAAGAAAAAGAAGAAACATAGGCATTCGGGAGATACAATGTTCATTGATGAGGATATTATCGTGGTGGGTGGTGGTGCGCCTCCCAGTTTGCCTGATGCTCCTCCCCCTGGCTGTGGGCTTTCCTCAACATCATGTTCCTGTGTATCCGCGCATCAATCGCAAATTCTTGGATATAGAGACGTTGGAGCATTATCACGTGCCTTGGGAATGGGATCGTGTAAGTCATACTTTCTATCCTCTTGCTCGAATCATCCTAGACTGCAAGACGCTGACTCGCTCGAAACAGGCAAACTCGGAGTATATCATTCTGCTCCGCGAATTGGACAAGTATGAGACAGATGTGCTGTTTGAACATACGCGTCGACGTCGTAAAGGTTCTCTGACCATTGACAAAGCCAAGGATTCGGGACCAAAGTTCGCTTGGGTCAGACACAAGAGTAAGGAAAGAAGCAAGAGTAGAGGCAGAGATATCAGAGTCACTGAGATTGTGAGACGCTAGACGATTGACGAGAAGAAATTCCGGAAGGAGTAAACAGTTGGCGAGTCGAAGATAGAGACTAAGTACACGAGAAAGAGATCCTGTATCATGTTTCAGGAGGTGTTGAGCTGCCTGCCTGTGAAGCTACATCTCTGCTTTTCATATTGATCTACGAATTCATGTCCTCATCTCCTTCATGTTCTGCAGTCTCTGTGTGCATGAGTACGACCTGGGGAGTACTTCAACCTGGCCTTTATACAGAGCACTCTTTGAGCTACTTGTTTGGCTCATCTTTTGGAGGCTCAATGCTTCAATCCATCCGCGCTCCACTCCGAGGTACCGTCAAGGGTGGCTTTCTGATCCTGTCCATGCCGGTTTCAGCATATGATTGGTATTTGATTGACATTTTGAAACCATGGGAACAAGAGTCGTTCACGTCTCAACCTTGTCTAAGGCCTCGAGAATCTCTTCACCAACACCACCCTTCTCGACGACCATCTTGATCATGCGAGCCACAAGGCTGCGGCTCACACCACCTCTAGGCGGTCTCCAGACTCCACTGTCGGTTTCCCTCACTGCCAGAGCTTCTGCCTTTGTCGGGGCGGCACCTCCAGTGGCGGTGTTGAGAACATCAGGNGTACCTGCACCCGTCAACCTTGATGGCGGATCCACCATTCTGACGGCCATGACGGCGAGTTGTTTCTCTGCTGAAGGAGCAACACTGACGGCAACGACTGAATCTGCAACTGCGAGTTCGTCGCCGCTGGGATCGAAGAGGATGTTTGGGCCTATTGAGGCGAGGAGTAGTGTGACGGGAGGCTTCTGGCCTGAGGGGTAGAGGGGTACGGCAGCATCCCAGTCGTCGTTGAATAAAGGATCTTCGTCTTGTTCTGAAATGAGGGCTGGGAGATTTGTGTGTTGGAGGGCGAGATGTGTCGTTAGCGAGAGCAGAGGCAGGGGGTACGATAGCGGTGCGGAAAGTAGTAGGATCNNTGTATCACAAGTCAGCGATCCTCTTCTGGCAACAAGTAAACCAAGGACTTGTCTCACATCAATGTACAGGCGCCAGTGGAAACGACGGTTGATGTACAGGCGATTCTTCAAGACTTCGGTAGCCAGCAGGCTTTCGCGCAACATGGCGCCCAGGAAGACTGGCAGGGCATCGTCGTCTCTGTATCCAGGCATCTCAATCTGCACCTCGACCCAAGTGTCCCTTCCTTTCTTAGTCTCGTCTCCCTGACCCATACCTCCCATTTCAATCTCAGCACCTCCTGCGGTACCTAGACCATTGTCCTTTTCCGTCTCGCCAGCATAATCACGGCCGTATCCAGCGCTCTTTTCCACTTCGGCCTTGATGCCAACCACTGCTTCTGTACCATCGGCGAAACAAATACGCGCGGAACCGTTCGCTGAGGGCAGGATCTCGGATTCGGCAACGAGAGGTCGGAATTGGGTGGAACTGCGGCCATCGGGACGAATAGGCGGTGTTTGCGACAGAGACTTGTGTAGGTAGCTCAGCTCGGCTGGTGAGAGATTTGCGCTTGTCGGCGCCATTGTGTCGATGTTTGTTTCTAGATTTCTGCTCGAAAGGTTGAGATGTTGCGGACGATTCTTCTTGTATATTTACAAGTGCGATTGATGTTTGTCTTTGGTGATCAACTTAGTTGCGCCAGGCGGGTTATTTTTTCTTTGCGATGGTCTCTACGTAATCGGGAGAAGCTGCGATTCGTGATGGAAGCTTTGGGCGAAGTTCATGGTCAAAAGTCGTGGTTTACAGTCACCGCAATGCAATAATTTACGTTTTCATAGTTCTAAGATTAAAATCCAAGATCTCCACAAGATGAACGATCGATTTGTATATCGAGCTACTTGGAAGCATGTTCATGTTGATTTCATGCTGTAGCAATAGCCTGGGACAGATGTGTTGGCCTCGCTTGAGTGCACCTCTTTCCCCAGATCTCCAGCCAGTCTTCCTGACTTCACGTCCTCTTTCCACTCATGCTTCACCAAGCTGTAAACATATTCTTTGTCTTACTGCATTTGTTTGTCTCCATGTAGATACCTCGGGCTAGCGATTGATTCTGGCATTGTAGCGGTAAGCATATTTTCCTGTTTGCTATATCAAGAAAGAGCATGGGCACATTCCACTTCTACGAGCCAATGAGTTCATCAAGTCTGCATATGAAAGAGAGAAACTTGGACACTGTCAAGCATACGCGGGTTGCAACTTGCTTCTTCTTGTAATGTCTCCTTTCGAAGAACGATGTCGTGGCAACCTATGATTGATGCGAGTCTTGACGATTAAGGATATGACAACACTGCACATTCGGTGGTACACATGGCATGATGTACGCTGTCTCTACATGGTGCAGACATGGCTTTATGAGATGGTTCCTGTGAATGTACACATGTTTAGAGAGGTACCATCTAGACATGGCTATCAAACATGTTACACAAGAGCCTTGTCAGAACGTGGGTGGGTAAGTGTGGACAATGCCTTCCTTTCTTTGAAGTCATCTCAGTGGTGCTCATCTCTAACTACATATGTCGACCTCGCTGTCGCCTCTCCATCGACCGAACGTGTAGCTTGGCCGAGTGGTAGTGCGCAAAGGGAGTGTCTTGGCCGTGCCGGGTCAAGTCCTCCAAGCTGAGTATTACTGCATGGTTGGTGGCCTTAAGGTCGCACGTTCGATTCTCGATAACATCGTCTATTTGGCAGAGTTGGGGTCCTTTCGGCCACATTACAAGTGAGCCCTCTCGCTGAATCAGTTCTGATGTGAATCCTCATGGCCTAGGGGGGAAAGTGAAGGTTGGCTCCGCAACTTTCACTGCAGAGGGGTATGCCTACAGTCACTTGCAACAACGCTTAGCGAGCGAGTGGCCTAGGAACTCGCAATCACCTCGCCCAGCGGAAAAGTTATACGCTGCGGCTGTCTTTCGGGGCGGTTCGTATGTAGTCACTGGAACGTCGCCATTTGTGGAGTCGGGAATCACAAAGTGAAAACCAATTGAGCATCAGTAGCAATACAGAGCGCACGATGATAGAAGCTTTGGTCCGGAATTTTTGATCAAGACACATGCATCCAGGCTTGCATGGCATATTGCCCAATGATATCGAACAACCAATTCACCAACAAACACACGATCAACCTATGTCTTGATTAAGACGATGAGGAAACAGTTCGACAAAAACAAACTTCAACAGCGATTGTCTAAACTCATCTCACACCACCCTTTACTGGCTTGTCTGCCTTTAAAGGCTTATCTGGTCCTTCTGGTCTCTTCCAAAAGCCGCAGACCTCTGCCATACAATCAATGCCCAGTACATCTCCAGCACCATCGAAATGTACTCTGCCACCACCAGAGTTCATGTCCTCTACCATCTCGTTGACTAGCTGGACGAACGTTTGGTTGCCGTTCTCCTTGGACGCAGTCGGTCCACCTCCATGACTATCCCAATAACTAGTCTGCATGTCTTCGCAGAAGTAATAACCACCAGGCTTGACCGTTTTCCACAGATGCTCAAGACTCTTGATTTGCTGGTTCATCGTATGGCCACCATCGTCGATGATGATGTCAAAGTCGCCACCGCTGTCTGTAATAAACTCTTCGAGGAATGCTTCATCCGCTTGGTCTCCTGTGAAGATGGTCGCTCCACTTGTCTTGCGAGCCCATTTCCTTGCGCAGCGTTCGTCGTACTCGATGAAGTATAGATCAACATAGGGGAAGTATTCGAGCCACAAGTTGTAGGACGCTCCGGGACCGTAACCCATGTCACAGCCAAGGCCAATCTCGAGCATCTTGATGCGCTTCATTCGAAATGCAGGCAAGTATTTCTCATACATGTGGTGGTAGCTGTGGGCTGTGACTTTGTCTGTTCCATACTTGGCAGCGACTTCGTAGAAGCTTGGTCGGTTANNACACTCGCATAGTCAGTGAGAGAAAACAGACACTTTCTTATGATCTTATTCATACCGCCAGAGCTTTTTTGCATTTGGAACGCCTCCGCGTTGGTGGAAAGCCGCAATTATGAACAGCAACGATGCGATTACACCAAGAACGATTGGCAGTCGGTGAGAAGTGTGAACAGCCATGATGATGATGCGAAAAGCTGTCGCACTGAGGTAGGTGCAATTGACGTGAGCTAATATTCCACTCAACCTCATGCAGTCGGGACTTAGATTGTGCTGAGTTATGTATTGAACCACAGCCCTGGCGTCGTTTGAACTTCATCCCTTGCATCACGACCATGAGGTCACGAAACTCGTGCCTTTTATCTCTCCTATCAGCATCGAAGCTGCTTCTAGACCTGCGGTCGCACTTCCGCCCGAATTCCTCGATGCCGGCCCGTAGGACAAACACCACGGTCCGCGTCTTGAGAAATGCTGACCGAAAAAGGTCAAAACATTTAGATGCCTGGAACACTGTGTGCAGTGGAAGCGCTACACTTTGACGTGTTTCGACAACCTCATCCTCGCAATGGGTTTTTACGAGACTAATCTGGCAGTATTGGCTGCAGTCAGTACTTACTTGCTCTATCGACAACATCAATCCGAAAAACAGAATTCGGTAACAGAGGCGGAGAATGGCATGAAAAGTGCACTTGGTCAGGATGCAATCAAGAGATTCAGAAGATCGTTCTTCCCAGCATATGCATTGGTCTGCGCAGCCGACTGGCTTCAGGTAGAAACAGGTTTCAATCCAGATCAAAACTTTAGCTGACTTCTGAAAGNNGGGCCTCATATTTACGCTCTCTACAAATACCACAAACACCTACCCGAAACTACTGTTGCTGCTCTCTATGCTAGCGGATTTGTTGCAGGGGCTCTCAGTGCCTCGTTTGTTGGCCAGTTGGCTGATAAGTATGGTCGAAGAAACGCATGTCTATTGTATTGCATTATCTACTCAATCGGATGCTTTACCATGCTCTCTGATGACTTACTCGTCTTGTTTGCTGGTAGAGCATGTGGTGGGATCAGTACGACACTGTTGTACAGTGTCTTCGAGACTTGGATGATTGCTGAATACCATGATCAAGCGTTGGATGCTTACGGGCTAAGCCTGGGAAGCATGTTTGGCAAGATGACCACGCTCAGCGGCGTTGTTGCGATCGTCTCTGGTGTGGTTGGTGACCTTCTGGTCAGATCGCTGGACTCAAAGACGAGTCCTTTCATGGCTAGTGTTGTTTGCCTAGTGCTGGCATTTGTTTTTATATCAAAGCGTTGGGTANAGTTGTTACAGGAAGCAGGTTCGAGACTATGTTGACGGGCTTAGAACGAAAACTATGGAGACAATGCCAGTAGTAAAGACAAAGATGGCGAGTCTGTCGATCTCAGCAGTATCCTCCTTGGTATCGAATCATTCCAAGACCCGCAAACATCCTGGAAGCTGACATGGTACANNGATCCAAAGATCGTTTCAATCGGTCTCGCCTCCTGCTTCTTCGAAGGCAGCATGTACATGTTCGTCTTCTTCTGGTCAGCAGCTCTTTCCACTTTCCATGCTACTGTTGGCTTCGTCAATTCACTTCCCTTCGGTGTAGTCTTCAGCTCCTACATGTGTTCCATGATGGTGGGCTCCATCGTTTTCACCCTCGTTCCGCCATCTCATGACAAAGCACAATACATCCTAAAGATTGTCTTGACCAGCGCAAGCATCTGCTTCCTCTCCAGCATTCTGCTTAAGAGCGAGGCATTGGTCTTCTGGGCCTTCTGTCTATTCGAGGTCTGCGTAGGTGCATACTTCCCGAGCATGGCATCGTTGAAGGGCAAGTTGATCCAGGATGGCAGTCGTGGTCGGGTATACGGTATTCTCAGACTGCCGCTGAATCTTTTCGTCATCACAGCACATAGTCTTGCTGAAGAAGGTTTGAGACGCAAATTTCAAGCTTTATCATCCTGGCTAACATGATACANNGGTGACCGACATCGCAACAATGTGTTCTTGACATGTGGTGGCCTTCTGCTCGTCACCTTCATCGTCATACAACGTTATATCACTTACGAATCCTGATAGACCGAGACTTGGGCGGAGCTCATGGCGATAGGAATGTAATGAAGATGTATGACAAGTATGATTCCCATTGCAAAAGTATCAAGCAGCCTAGAAGTGACAGAAAGGCACGTAAGGCATCAGCTCATTCCTATTGACAATTGCGATGAGAGTAGACTACACAATTTATCCAGCGCAGAGGAAGAATCGTTACTGAATATCACGATCTGCTGCAAGGACACTTCACTTATCAGTTTTGGCACCGAAGCGTTGGTGAAGACAGGGTAAAGGCATAAATTCTGGGAAGGTGCATCTTTGAAGCTTTCAGAGCCGAAACTTACATTCAAAAGGCAGGTGCCAGTCACCTGCTCGGTTTTTCGTTGCATCAGCAACAGCTTCGTCGTCGTTGCCATCGTCCTCACTGCCGAGTGTCATCGATCACTGTCGTCGTCGTCGTCACTCCAGCGATATATAATCTCCTTTCTTTCCACCTCTGCCCTTCTTCTCTTTCTTCCACGCCAACATCAAAGACTTCACGCGAGTTCCATACCCATCAACCATCCACTCTTGCTTTTCACACTCCATCAACCACCGAGACATCACCCCTCCCCAACGCACCTACGCATCATGCCTCAACCTAACCAGAAGGTCGAGATCGAATGTGCAGGCTGTGGTAAAGTCCGTGGCATCTATGAATTTTCGGCCAGCCAGCGCCGCAAGGGTGACAATGCTACCTGCTCGAAGTGCATCCCCGAGATTCAGAACGTCAAGCCCGGCCACCTAAAGCACGCTGTTGACAACAGTGACGCAGAGTACGTCGCTGTATGTACTTTCCCATCATCTCCATAACCAGAAAGTGACTAACAGCATGTCTACAGTNACGCCAGCGAGACCAGCAGCAGCGCTCGTGGCTCTCTCGGTACTGAGACTGGCGGCGTTCGTCTTCCCCGTTCCTTCCTCAAGAACAACGCTGGTGTCACTGTCGCCGGCACCAACACTGGTACTGGTACCCGTACTAGCAGTGCAGTCTCCTCCTCCGCTGCTCCTTCTTCACGCCTCTCTTCTGCCACTAGCGTCAACGAGCGTCCCGCCCACTTCGAGCTCCGTACCACTGGATGGATGCACGTCAGANAAGGTGAGGCAAGTTGATTTCTTTTGCTCCACTGCGTGACTAACAATCATGGTTAGGACTTCCGTGAGGAGAATGTCCCCAAGCTTGCTGACGATGAAGTTGAAACGTTCAAGGATGGCAGTGATGATGAGGATTTTGACATGTAAACATGATCAAAGACTATGATATTCTCCAACGACGAATTTTGGGAAAGGAGATGGCAGTCAATTGAGGACAGCTGATTGAGAGCAATGATTGATGCGACAATCTTCACAAGACATGAATCCAGACATATTCAGTCCATTTCTTTTGTGCCAGAAGTGCTTCATCGTGACTCCAATCCCTTTTGTAACCCGTGTAGATGCTCCACTCTCATAAAGCTTGCCCATTTTCTTGTGCCCTGTTGTGCCTGTTATTCTCTCGCCCTTTGTGGTTATCTACTCGTCTTGACTGCTCACTGAACAAGTTCAATCTACACCCCATCCATCCATACTTCTGTGTTCTAAAACTCAGAGCCACAGGGCTCGAACTACTTTCTTCAGGATTCTTCAATCTCAAGCGAGTGAGCTTTCTATGTTGACCTCAGCGAGATTCCATAAAGGTATCGAAGATACTTCCAAAGAGCTCAGCACTTCTCGCTGTCAAGCGGCTGATAAATTTGAGATGTCGAATGTGCTTAAGTTGATGTTGTTCACAGCGAGAGATTCAGAGCGGACGTTACATGGAATCGGTGGAATTTCGGCTCCATGCCATGCCATGCCACTACTTCTAGCTAATATTCCATTCCATGTCAATTATCTAGTGGAATAATGCCAATTCCAACTCCGTCGTCGTCGTCGCAGTCACCCTGTCCTTCTTCTAGGTCACCCTATCCTTTAACGTCATCCTCTAGCTCTTCTACGTAATCTTCCGGTCCTTCGTTGGTAGTAATTAGTAGGTTAACCTTATTAAAACAAAGGTTCTTCTACTAGCTCTTAAGGCACTTAATATAGCTAAGATTATTAGTAGAGAGGCTTACTCGGTCCTATAATAGTGTCCTTCTATAGCTACTAAACACCCTCTCTAACTTAGTAGACATTAGATTAGTTAAGAGGATATTAATAGCTATCTAAGAGAGGTTTAGATAGTTATGTTACTACGTTAGCTTAAGCTACCACTATATAGCATTATTAACGAGTACTAGAGGACTCTTAGTAAACTAGACAAACTCCTTAGGTATAGTAACTAAGTTTATAAACCGTATAGAAGCCTACTACTTAGCTAGCTAATTCGACTCCTCTTTATTTAATAATAGTACTATTATAATAGGCTTAGTCTTATTCTTATATTTAGTAGTCTATAAAGCGCGTATAGTAGTAATAGCTAGTATTCGCTATAACGGAGGCTAGTGTTATTTAATATAGTTCTCGTAATAAGTTAGATAGAGGAGGAGCGCTACTATATAGGTAGGAGTATAGTTGTTAATAGCTTACTACTTATTAAGTGTAAATTAGCTAGTTCGGATTACGGTAATAAGGGCTTAGTCGGTAGAAGCATCTTATTATATGTACTTTTTATAGTGCTTACGTAAGAAGTCCATTAATATAAGCACTTAATTAAGAGTTACGTTATCGCCTTTACATAGCTTTATTACCTCCTATAATGGTTCTATAAAGTTAATAAGCGCTTTAAGGAACTACTAGTAGCGCCGCTAAAGAGTAGTGTACTCTATATGCTCGTTAGCCGACTAAATAGCACGTATAGTTACTCGAGACTAAATCCCTCGCTTAATTATAGCTAGCTAGCTATTCTACCTTATAGTATTATTAAGCATAGGAGATACACTAGTAGCTACCTTAAACTTACGACGACGGCGAGCTAACCTTATAATCCACTCGAAAAACTAACGGAGGTAGTTAAGAGCTTTATAATTAGTAAGGCTAGTGCCTTAAGCGAGCGTTAAGATAGCTTTTAAGGGATCTTAACTCTAATTAATTATAGCAGCTATAGTGTCTATTAAGCTCGCTAACATAAGTGCTTAACTAGTAAGATTAATCTAGTGTCTAAAGTAGCGAGTTCGATGTTATATAGGGTCCTAATCGATAGATAGACGCTCGCTAAATAGAGTAGTAAGGTGGCTTATTATAGTATCGTTATAAGTGGCATTATTAGAGGTAATATATCCGATCTTCTACTCGATGCTATAGGTAATAATAGTATTAAAGAATAGAGGAGCATATTAAGCACTAGTATAGCTAGCTAATAGCTTATAGAGAGCTAGTAGTGCCTTACTTAACTTACCGTCTAAGTCGACAAATCGAGCTATAATACTAAGTAGCTTATAGCTACTATAATTAGCTATCTAAGCATCGTAGGTAAAGTAGATTAATAATCGAGATGTTATAAGTAGTGCCTTAAGCTACTCTTAATAGAAGTCGTACTCCTTCTTAACGTGTTTAGTAATAGTAGAATAACTCTTAATTAAGAGCTTTAAGGCGCTAGGAAGCACCTTATTAAGTAGCGCATAGAGTAGAGGATTACTAGTAGTACGGAAGGGGATGTTACTTAAGGTAATATAATCGATAAGACGTCGATTTAAGCGAGTTTTATCGATATCGGTAATAGTATATAATGTCTAAGAGGGTATTACTACTACTAGTATCTTTAAAAGTGTACTAGTTACCTATCTCTAGCTATATCTCTTCTTAAGGTATAATCTAATGTTATCGTAGTTAGTAGTATTATAGTTATAAGGACAGTCTCTATTACTATAGAAGTAGTACTAGATCTTCTTCTTACGCTTACACTCGCGCTCTCTAGGACGACGAGCTCTAGTATAAGACTAGAGCTCTTTAGAATCGCTACGGGTAGGAGCTAGTTTTCGAGAGCGCTATATTAACGTACATTTAGAGTTATTAATATAGTTGCTAGCGGTTATTAGCGTTAGTCGTCGTCGCTTTAAAGGAGGAAATAATGGCTAGTCGACATTAGAGGCGCTATCGTTAGTCTTAGAGTTATTACCTTTAATAAAGATACTATCTAATTAACTCTAAAGAGCGAAGAGTCTAGGCCTTAGAGTATTAGAGGCGAATTTAAAGAGGGTACTCTATTTAGAGGCGTATAGCGGCTAGCTCTAAGATAATCGAGAGTTTAGTTAGCTTTATAGCTCTTATAACTTATGCTCTTAATTAGCTAGTAAATACATAATATAAGGATTATAATTAAAGGTAGATTATATGCTTATAAAGATAGAAAGATAATAAAGAGCTAGGCTCTAATATTAAGTAAGAAGGTAGAGAATAGGATAGTTAATAAATTAAGAGGGAGTAGTTAAGACGCGTCGAAAAGGACGCGCGAGGCTTTACGTAAGCTAATAAAGAATTAGCTAGTCGGAGCTCGCGATCTAATCTCCGAGATAAGATCTAGCTAATTAAAGAGCTTAAATAGGTTACTAATCGGAAAAGGCATTATAGCAAGTTTTTAAACGCGACTACTATACCTAAGCGTAGTACACTCTAAGCTAAGGCTTACTATTATTAACTATAGTAACACTAGCTATACTAAGTAGTAGAATAGTAGAATATTCCACTTAAATTAACGATTCTATTCTATACTAACTAGGTGGAATATTCTACCTTAAATTAGTGGAATATTCTAATATTCCACTTATTCTATGCTATTTAACGTCCGTACTAGAGAGATTAGAAGTTAAACTATTAAGAGTATAACCCTACTTAATACATTAACTATAAAGTTAAGAGTCGAAGTATAGTCTATACTAGCATTTATTAATAATATTATAGTAATGATGTTCGAAATATCATTTTCTACTTATAATGATGTATAGATAACATTCTTCTTGGGCGACAAAAGCGAGCAGAATAAGTTAGTAACCTAAATACCGAACCCGTTGCTTTGTGATGGTGTAACATGCTTGACATGCCCAACAAGAAGACGGGCTCTAATATTTTCTCACCATGCATCAATTTGAGTATGTTTCGACATCTAAGCCATAGTTTAATCCTAGTGACTTAGTTTGTGAGAGGTAGGAGTGATTATCCAAATGACAATCTGTTAGAGCATATAAAAGATACGAAACCAATACCACAAAGTAGATAATCAAATTCCACCCTAATAGTGGCACCAGTCCTGGCTACCGAAACACTCTGCCAACGTCTTCTGGTAGGATTTCTGGAAAGGCCACGTTGAGAGATGCAGAAATATGATCAGATGCTGTCGCAGAGCAGCATGATAGGATATCATGATCATCTATCAACATGAAGACCTCAATCATGACATACAATCATGATCGACAACTTCTCGGGCCGTGACTCCGCAGCCGAAGACCCTGACAAATGACTTCATTGCCGATCCGGTCAGCAAGAAATAGATTTTTGTTGGCTCTAGATCATCGATTGCTCCAGAGGCTGAAATCCCGAGTGAGGTCATGAAAGGTATCCTTGAGCAATGTCCTACGCGGGTTTTCTAAACCACTACAGTATGCTAGCTCACGCCAATGGTCTCTCGATCACCCTCTCTCCTACAGCAGATATAGCGATATCTTGATGTAAAAATGCACAGTTGCTTTTGGTTCAGAAGCGTGGCCACAGAGATACCTTCAAACACTGCTCTTTCTGTGGTACTCTCTCTGTTTCGAGAAGTATCATGCATTTCGATAGCCATGTTATAACCATCCTCTGTGCACGGGGATTGATATCCGTTGAGCATACTTGACTCAATCGTACGAAACAAGGGGTACTCGGACAGACAATACGGGAAAGTATCGTGAGATGGAACAAGATGAACAAACATGTACAACAAATTTTGTCTTTCTACAGGCTACTTTAACAAAGATACCTGGAAGTAACATTCATAAACCCATAAGTGATTAGTCGACATCCTGTTTTACGTGGTGATGAGGCGATTAACCTCCATCACGTTCCAATGGGCAGGGTGTGTCTTTCTTCGTAAATCATCATCAAAATGTTGATAGGATGATTTAAAGCTGGTTGGCAGTGTTGAAGTCCTTGAGGGCGACAGCGACACGCTTGGACATGGTCTTCTCGCCTTCGCGAACCCATACGCGGGGGTCGTAGTANCTGAAAATTCGTCAGAATGGGCTCGATAAATGATATGAAAAAGTGTTGAAGCTTACCTTCTTGTTGGGCTTGTCAGCACCGTCGGGGTTGCCGACCTGGCTGCTGAGGTAGTCCTTCTTGCCGACCATGTAGTCACGGATACCCTCAGTGTAGGCGTACTGGAGGTCAGTGTCGAGGTTGACCTTGCAGACACCGTAGGAGATAGCCTCCTGGAACTCCTCGACGGAAGAGCCAGAGCCACCGTGGAAGACGAGGAAGACGGGCTTGTCATCCTTGGAGCCAATCTTCTCCTGGACGTACTTCTGGTGCTTGGAGAGGAGACCGGGCTGGAGCTTGACGTTGCCGGGCTTGTAGACACCGTGGACGTTACCGAAGCCAGCGGCGATGGAGAAGAAGGGCGAGACCTCGGAGAGGGTCTTGTAGATCTCGTAGATGTCCTCGGGCTGGGTGTAGAGGGAGTTGTTGTCAACGTCCTCGTTGTTGACACCATCCTCCTCACCACCGGTGATACCGATCTCCATCTCGAGCCACTGCTTCATGGGGGCAGCACGCTGGAGGTACTTCTTGGTGGTCTGGATGTTGTAGTCAACCTCCTCCTCAGACAGGTCAATCATGTGGGAAGAGAANACTGGAGTTCTGTTAGAATGATAAAGAGTGAGCGGTACATGATTAACTTACAGAGGGGTGCCGTTGGCCTTGAAGAAAGCCTCATCAGCCTCCATCATGCCATCGAGCCATGGAAGGAGCTTCTTGGCGCAGTGGTCGGTGTGAAGAACGACGGGGATACCGTAGGCAGGGGCAACAGCGCGGATGTAGTGAGCGGCAGCAATGGAACCGGCAATGGAAGCCTCCTGGTTCTTGTTGTCGACACCCTTACCAGCGAAGTAGGCAGCACCACCCTGGGAAACCTGTTGACGCTGTGAGTTTGTTGTTTTCACTGTATCAATTACAATGGGTCTTACCTGGAGGATGATGGGAGCCTTGTTGTCGCGGGCAGCCTCGAGCGAGGCAACAACGGTGGAGGAAGAAGTGCAGTTCNNTGAGCGCTGTCAGTAAATGATCAATTCATCTCCAAATTGGTTTCCACATACAATGGCAGGGATGGCGAACTTCTTCTCCTGGGCGTACTTGAAGAGNCTGCAGTCCAAGAGGTTAGCGAAGATTCTTTCGAGCTTGTTATGGCTCGCAAAGCAGCTTACGGTCTTGACGTCCTCGCCGTAGATGACACCGGACTTCTTGAGAACTTCTTGGGCAGACATTTTGGATGGATGTGTATGTAGAGGTATTTCTTGTGGGATTGAAGAAAGATGAAGATGAGGAAGATCGAGCGAGGAGTGTTGAGCTGAAGATTAAGAGGGGACACAATTAGCGGGGCACTGCATCATACTGTCCCGCACGGACCCGAGGGGTATGAATTGGTTGCATCACACGTTTGGCAACAGACGAGTAACACCGAGGTCCGCCGACGGGGAAATCGGAATCGACCTGCCATTGACTGCTTGCGCTGCGCGGATGCTGTTACAAAAAACGCACGAATGAGCATTCACCACTTACCATACGTCCGGAGACGTCAACTTGTAAATCCAAAGGGATCGCACTTCGCTGGAGCTTCCAGAGCTCTTTCCAGCGTCGACAACGCCCAAAAGCGGTCAGCTTCTCTTCCTCAGCAACCAGCCAAAGCTTGGACGTAACAAGCCAGGCTTGAAAACACCGGTCTCCGATCCCAACGATTCCATTGCCATTCAATGTCATGAAACTCACAAGCCCTGTGTGAGTCTCACCGAAGCCGGTCACTCTTCTAATGAACACAACCGTGACAACAGGTGACGGCTGAGCCATGATGGTCATCCCGTGAAAACATCCATCGTTGCTTCAACAAGTAGAAGAACAGCCTTTTGATGGATGAGAATTTCACTGGACCAAGTTCTAGCCAACAAAATGCTAATCTATCGTTGAGTGCTTCTCGACATCAACCAAGTTAGTCCACGGCTGCCAAACTGCACAAAGTTATCTGAGAGTCAAGAGCGTGTCTTTACAATTCCAGCCTCGTACTGTTCTCGCCGTACAGAGCTTACACAAGGACTAGGACGAAACGAAGCCTTCGTTTATGGTCACACTATGATGGCAATGACAAGAACACGTTGGGGTAAATCGTTATCTTGATTTCTGAATGCTAAGATGTTACATATTGTGGCCTCCATTAACCGTCGAGTTCGAAAGTGCGGATGCCAGCGCTGAGGTTTGAGAGGACAGTAATGACTTGAGATCTGGTGCTGGCTTCGATAGTCTTGTCGCCCCATCGAGCCAAAGTTTGCCTGAGGTTCTCCAAAGTTTGCCGAATTTGCATGATTTCAATTCGCTGGAAGAGGTTGTCAGTGCTGCAAAGAAAGATTTCCAGGTCTTCGATTGACGAAGAAGGGGCGCCTTCAGGCGAATGTCGTACAACGAAAGGCGCTCGAGCTGATGGTCGGGACGCCACAATATCAGCAGTTCTAAGCGGTGGTCATCCAAGACACATCTCTCCAAATGAATCTCGCGAATACTGTTGGAAAAGTGTATGGCACAGCCACCTCCGGTCCCGTGAAGCTGAAGTATGAGCCTACGAGTCGGCTTGCTTGGAAGTTGATGAGGATTTCGCCTGACTTGTTCAAATTGCATCCTGCCGGGCTCGACTTGACCTGTAGGCCGCTGAATCGACTGTGGATTGTGCTACCAGGGGCGGCTTGATCATAAAGGAAATAAGCCCAATGAATCTCGCTCGAGGGGAGCGAACGATTCTGTGAAGAGTCCTGTGTATCAGAGACAAGGTTTTCGAGACGCATTTGCGCGCGCACAGCAGCAACCAGCATTTTGTCTTCCAAGAATCTGACCATAGGGCGCGCGGCTTTGAGATCGTCAGGCTCGTTGTTGTGAGAAGTACGCACACGACGAAGTCCCAGAGAAATCGGGTTACCGATGATGGCGAGGTTTTGGAATGCTTGCTCGAGTAGGTTGTGGTATTTTGCCGAAGAGTGCTTGCCGCCATGACCAATGACAACAGTTCTGATGTGAGGTGCAAATATTGGATGCTCCGTGATCTTGACCAGAGCCTTTAGCCCTTTAGCTGACAGTTCATAGGCGCGGTCTTCGAAGAAAGTAGACGCGAAGCGACCAGCAGTGATGGATTGAAAGACTTTGGCTGAGAGTCGGAGGTTTAGAATGTCCTCATCGTTGACGTAGCTGACGATCTCATACAGGATCTCGTTGGGAAGATGAGGGATACGTATGTTGGCCATTGTTGCAATGTCTGATGATGTGTGATGTAGATTGTTTGTCGACACAATGTTCATAGTTGAGTTGGGAAGTGGTGGTGGTGGAGGAAGAAAAGAAGAAGGATGATGATGATGGTAGAGCTTGAAAGGTTGAGAGGATCGATGTCGAGGTAGGAGTGAGCGGAAGAAGAAGACGGACTAGGCGAGGCCCTAGATGTAATAGAGGAAGAACAAGTTGTGTTTGGGAGTGTTTATATAAATAGATAGAATGAGTGAATGATTGAGTGCTATGTGAGACTCAGTACGTGAAGTGATCACAACTTCAAGCACGGAAGTGAAGGAATACGAAAAGAGACGATTAGGTACAGGAAACGCTCAGCAATAGACAAACGTACGTCCTCCCCGTGTCTTAAGATATGTGAGACTCGTAGCTGTAAAAATTCATGATACTAACCGGAAACAGGAAATTGTCTACTGGGAAGTGTGATACTATCGACTCTCTATGGACATGCCTATGTTTCCAAAAAGACTGTGTCTTTTTACGGTGGAAGTTACAGACTTCAGCACATAAGGAGGGTCCTCAGGGTATACTGTGTGACCATGTTCATGACTCACAGACTATGGCGACTATACCACATATACTACCGTAGCTTCAAGGAAGCCGATTCTGATGGTACTCCTTTGGAAAATAGTTTGATTCAGGTCATGGTGGAAGGAGAACGGAGGTGACAATGGTGACGATGGTCGGGGAGCTTGGCAAGCAAACAGGGCAAACTCGAATCGCGTTCGAAGAACGAATGAATGGACCTCAGCCTTGAGAACATCGCAATTGGCATCTCATTTCGCCAAACCAATCAAGAATGTTGTGCGCAAGTGAGTGACGGCTAGAGATATATACGAAGATCTCTACTAACGATTACAACAGTTTCTGGAGAGGCTCCTCAGCAGCCTGTTGCGTCGCGCAAAAGCGGTATAATCTCACCACAAGTTGCGACAAGTTTGCGCCGAGTCTAATATGATGACCAGNGCAACGTTTTCGAGAAGCGACTGATCGAATCATACATTTCCGAGAACGGTACAGATCCGGTTACTGGAGAGGATCTTACTGTCGAGGATCTGGTCGAGCTCAAGCAAGCTCGCGTCGTTCGCCCTAGACCCCCGACCTTGACTTCGATTCCCGCCCTCCTTTCTACTTTCCAGAACGAATGGGACGCCCTCATTCTCGAAACCTATCAGCTCAAGCAGCAGCTGGCCGAGACGCGCCAAGAGCTCAGTACCGCCCTTTACTACAGTGATTCGGCCGAGAAAGTTATCGCACGCCTGCAAAAAGAAAGAGACGAAGCCAGAGATGCCCTCGCTAAGATCTCTGTTTCCTCGACCTCGAACGGCGCAAATGGAGACGCTATGCAGGTGGATGGACAAGGCTTGCCTGATGCCATTGTCGCAAAGATTGAACAGACGCAAACAGAGTACGTTCAAGAAAGATTTGAAGTCGTTGCACTGGCTAACATGCTATAACTAGATNTGTCATCAACACGACGAAAGCGCCCGACGCCCGAAGGCTGGGCAACCNCCGACTCCCTGCAAGCTATGCAATCAACCCAGAACTCAGAACCCTTGTATCCTGGAGGCCGTTCGATCGCCGTTAACGAGACAGGCGACCTAGCACTTGTTGGAGGCAGCGACGGTGTGGTTGGCGTCTACTCGGTATCACAAGGACAGGTCGTCCAGACGTTGAAGTGTGGCGGTGGTTCTGTTACCGACGCTGTCTGGTGCGGCAACAAGGCTGTGGTCGCCCTCTCGACTGGCGCAGTCAAGGTCTTTGAGAACGGTGCTGAGGCTGCCAGCTTCGACCGTCATGCTGGCGCAGCCAGTGCAATCGCATTGCATCCTTGCGGAGACATTCTGGCCTCGGTTGGTGTTGACAAGAGCTACGTCCTCTACGATCTGCAATCGCTTCAGCCCATCACCCAGGTTTCTACTAATTCCGGTATGTCCCATTTACACAACAGCCACAAGAGAAGAAAGCCAGGCACTAATTACTNNTCAGAACTCACAACTGCTGCATTCCACCCAGACGGACACCTCTTCGCAGCCGGCAGCAACAAGGGTACAATCAAGCTTTTCGACGTCAAGACATCCGAGAACGTGGCCAACTTCGACTCGACCTTTGGACAATCACCTCTTCAGACAGTGTCCTTCTCAGAGAACGGCACATGGCTTGCGTCGGCAGTACAAGGACAGACCAGTGTCAGCGTTTGGGATCTGCGCAAGATGGCAGAAATCAAGACGATTGACCTGGGTACCGCCGTTACTGGAGTCAGCTGGGATTACACTGGACAGTACCTCGCAGCATGCGGACAGGGCTTTGTGGCAGTTGAGCACTACTCAAAGAGCTCGAAGAGCTGGTCAGAGCCGTTCAGAAAGGCACTGAACGCAGTCGATGTAAAATGGGGACCCAACGCACAGAGCTTGATTGCATTGGCGACGGATGGTAGCGTCAGCATCTTGTCTTCTTGAAAGAGGAGAGGAGAGGTTTATGTTGATATGGTTTGGAAAAGCAAGTAGGATCCGAATAAGGAAAAAAGCTTCTCATGCTGAAGATTGTCACAATCTTGCAATCGACCCCTTCTCCATGTCGAGTACAGGGGTTATCATACGCTATAGAAATGCACAATTGCAATTCAAATGTGATTCTGACCAGAGAAATAGTCTACAGTGGGGTCATCTCCATGGAGACCACATTTCCTGCGAAACCATTATGCATAGGTCTCTATAGCTACACTGTGGCAGTCTTTGGTTCATGGGGAGGGTATGTCAGAAAGGTCGTCGCTAAGTACCTTGACATCCAAACTCTTCCGTCACGCAGGGAATGGGGAGCTCTCAGGAGTTCTTCGTAGCTACCTGGCTATCCACGAGCATGCATGTGTATGAGCACGGACGTGTCTGGGTGACTTCACGTGCTGGTTATTGAGTGATGGATGTGTTGTCAAGGGTGGCATGCAAGTGCTCCTGGAAGGCGGCAAAATGGCCAAACAAAGGGTATAACCTTCGTCACTTCCCCACAGCTGGCCATCAACGTCAATGCTGCACGGCATTTCTTTCACTCAGCTTTCTTGGTCCGCCGACTACGCCCACTGACCACCGAACATCCAGAAGTTTGGTGGTGCCCGAAACTTCTACAGCCGTCTTTGTCTCCTCAGCTGCTAACCGCGCAGTATGGACGGCGGCCGAAGAAGACCCCGTACGACTTCTCATTCGATCGCTCAGATAGCAACAAGGTGGGCTGCTCTTGTCTTTTATATTGCCAGCATGAGGACTGACTGTGTACCAGCGCTCCTACTCTCGTACCCAAATGGACTCTCACACCCGCTCATCGCCCTCGCCGCTCTTTGTTCGCCAGAGCCATTCTCCTCAGCGCCGTGCCACTCCGCCCAATCCACGCCTCACTCTACCTCTACCCGTACCTCTACCCTCGCTGCCACGTCACTTCCCTCGAGATGGCTACGACTATCGCCGTCCGGCATCATCTGCTCGTTCAAACACCCCGGCCAACAACGTTATCGACCTGACGTCCGACGATGATTCTACTGCTCCAGGAAATGCTCCCACACCGCAACCTCAGCCCACTGCTGCACCCGTGCCCTTGCCTCGCTTTGGAAGAGAGATCATAGACTTGTCTGCAGACACCAGCCCCCTACAAACCACGCATCCCCGTCATGTGAGGACATCATCGAGCCCCGAGGTGCAATTCGTTTCCAGCAGACCTCGATCACGCAACGACCAGCGTCCTGCTCAACTTCCCCCTTTCTTGGATCCAAATCCCGAGTGGCGTCGTGCTGCCCATGAGTTGGTTCTGGACGATCCAGAAGACGATGTCATTATCGCAGGTGAACGTACTGGTGTTAACCTACTGGCCCCGTTGGGTGCACATGGGAGGAACCAAGGCTTTGTCCAAAGAATATTCGAGGGCGGAGCTCGTCTTCAAGGTCCCGTCCGAGCCGCAGTCACCAATATCATGCGTGGGNGTATGATGCCACACTTGTTTGGGGCTATGAATGACAATGGCGACATGACCCGTCCTGGCTTACCAGGATTCATGAACTTTGAGACTGTTGGCTTCAATTATCTGGGGAATGACAACGATCCTGTCCAACTACCCGTACCAAAGTTTGATCCACCACCACCTGCGCCTGAAGGATTTACCAGAGATCCAACCGAGGAAGACACGGTAGTTTGTCCGAACTGCGAAGATGAGTTGGCTGTTGGTGAGAGCGAAGAAAAGCGTCAAGTCTGGGTTGTCAAAGCATGCGGTCACGTAAGCAATTTACAGTGGAACACCAAGAGGATATAGAGGAGTCACTAACACAAAAATCTAGNNGTGTATTGCGGCTCATGCATGAACAATCGCAAAAGAANNAAGACCAACAAAGGGACCAAAGGAAAAGGACGGGCAGACGAGCCAGTGCTACCGCCACCGTTCTCGACGTGCCGTGCGGATGATTGCGGTCTTCGCGTTTCTCATAAGAACGATGTGATGCAGATCTTCCTCTGAGCGAGGAGAGTTCCTACTTCTGGCCTCTCGGTTTCTTTATTGTTCATAAGTGGTCCTTCGATGCACGGAGCATTGCGAGGGTTATGGGAATGGGGCTTGTATTTTTCGGGTGTAAACCATGGGAGCAAAACTATGTATTCTTCAGGCAGGAGGACACATGAATGTCTCCAAGCATGCATAGCGACGGCGTTGTCTTTACAATGGGAGGAAAGGTCTCCTCGGCGTTTCTAACTGGCTTTCGGCACTCACTTCATTAGAGAAGATACTCGAGAAACAAAGCCTTCGTTCAAGACATCTATATGAGATCCGTGAATGCTTCCTCCCCATGTACTAAAGTATGTAACGCGTATACCTGTAGAAATGCAGAATAGTAAGGGAAAACAAGATAGTATCCACTAAGAGACAACAAGTTGTCACTCTCTGCGGACACGCTCTGCTTCTGATAACAATTGTGCCTTTTTATAGTCCAGATTTTGCTCTGAACCATAGTCGGAGTACGGTGAAGTTACAGACTTAGTATATGGGGAGGTTCGAAAAGAGAAACAATGAAGGCATGGTTATGGCGGAGCATTCCGCAGTCAACAAAGATCGGCGCGACTTCCGAGCTCCTGCCTCGTCAGGGTCCAATCTACAATTATCCAACTCTGGCCATTTCAATCCCTCAATTGTCGTTTCCTAAATCTCATCTCGACAACTAAAATGGCCGACCGACCCCAAGAACCCGTGCGCCCAGCTCGCGAACGTAAATCCTCGCCTGTCAAGACTGGTTACCTTGTCCTCTACAATGCCGTTTCGACCATCCTCTGGGCCACTATTCTAGGACGCGTCTTGCTGGTTTCGTCTGTGCATGGCACCAAATATGTCTTCCCTGCTGTCGGAGAGTTTGCAAAGTGGACCCAGACTCTGGCTTTGCTGGAGGTTGTGCATGCTGCTGTTGGTGAGTTTGGTGTTCCTTGAAGGTGTGGTTTGGGAAGAGGTGGAATTGAATGTGCAGGGTGCATGAAAAGGAGATGATGACTGGTAGAATTGAAGAGAGGGATGTAGAATACGGAGCACTGCAGAAGAGCAAGGAAGAACGAGACGCGCAAACCACATAAGACCCAGCAACAAGAGACATGGCTAACCCTCCTCTCTACCTAGGCATCGTCCGCGCACCCCTCTTTACAACCCTTATGCAAGTCGCCAGCCGCATCCTCCTGATCTGGGGCATTGTCTACCCCTTCCCCAACACCGTCGCCTTTTCTCCCATCTACAGTTCCATGCTCATTGCCTGGTCTGTCACCGAAGTAATCCGTTACTCCTACTTTGCCATCAATCTCTCTACTGGCAGCGTTCCTGCCATCTGGATGTGGCTGCGTTACAACACCTTCTTCGTTTTGTATCCTTTGGGTATCAGTAGCGAGTGCTGGTTGGTCTGGTTGGCTGCCACCGGACCTGCAAAGCAATATACTGGCGTTAGGGAGGCTTTGTTTGCTATCCTCTTGATTTATATTCCTGGTAAGTGTCCTGCGAATCTTGAAAGATTGCAAGAGGAGAGCGGCTAACTTGAGATCTCAATCTTAGGCTCGTATATTCTGTTCACACACATGATGGCCCAGCGCCGCAAGATCATGCGTGGAAGCCATGCAAAGACAAACTAAGAAGATCATGCTTCAAACGAAGATACTTTTCGTCAATCCAGACCAGAATTTTGCTGGTCCGATGCTCTGCATAAGAAAGCTCAGATGCATGCAGAGACATGTCACGTCAATGCTGGAAGCCAGAGCTCCTTCTTCCCTAGAAAGCTAGGATGGCTCTTCCGCTGTTCCCGAGAAAGACCATGGCTTTGGTCTAGAGCTGCGACCCACAACTTTGATGCTAAACATAGAGTGCCATGAGTGCAAAGAAGCACGATCGAAAGAAGAGGAACCATATCAATAATGTAATTACAAATAAGAAAAAAATCGTTATGGACATTACTCAGAGAAAGCCTGCTATGCTACTCTGCGTTACAGAATCAACACATTATCTCCATGGGAAGCCTGCGGATGCGTTGATCTCACCAGGACTTGTTAAGTGACAGATTCTACCACGTTTTTAGACAGCTACAAGGCCGGTTGTCGGTAAGTCAGGTTCATGTAGTTTAGACCATGCTCTTAGCATCAGAGTGTTTCTTCTCGTCATCAGCAATAGAAACGAAGTCTTCGTTCTCGTCTTCTTCAGCAGCGGCGGCTCCGATAGTACCATCATCATCATGAACAGCGAAGTTTACAGCGCCAATTCCACGAGCAGCCAACGCCTCTTCAATAGCAGAGATACGCGTCAAAAGCCTATCATCCACAACCGCTGGCGTAACCAGGGTCTCAGGCTCGAACTCGGTTTCCGTAACCTCAATCACAGGCGCAAAGTACGATTGCCTGAGTTGAGACCTGCGCTTGGATTGACGCTTTGATTCGACGTTAGGAGTGGCTGTTGGCTTTTCGTCGGCTGTGGTGTGTTCTTCTTCTGGTTCTTCGAGGACGGTCGTGACACCTTCTGTTGTTCCCCCCTGTNNAGCCAGGGGTACCTCATCTATGACAGTAGCAGAGGTGACACTGACACGACGACCACCAACCGTAATTGAAGGCCTACGAGCTGTCAAAGGAGTGAGTGCATCCCCGGATTTGATGATGCTGATCGAAGCCTTGCGCTCAGGCTTCTCGATGAGCTCTTCAGTTTCTTCTTCATCTTCTTCTGTGATGTCAGGATTGCTGAAGCGTTGACCCATGGCAGTGATGGTCATTCTACGGCCTCCGACTACACTTCCAGGGATTTCGACCTGCGAGCCCACAGCTGTAACACTCATGCGGCGACCACCAACGGGTAACACTGGATCGTTATCGACATCTTCTTCCTCGAGCTGCAACACAACATTCACAGCTTTGTCGTCTTCGATGATCTTGGCGTGCCGTGTGGCGAAGTAGGTGGCGTACTTGTAAATGGCGTAGTAGCAACTCGCAACGTTGACAAATGTCAAGACGAGCTTGTAGGGCATGTAATAGAGCCAGACACACTTCTGAGGTACCTTCTCGTTCTTGCGTCGAAGGTGAAGCTCATTGAAGATGACAGCGTTGGCCATATAAAGAACGAAGGTAAGGGCCAGAAGTTCGAAGAAGAATTGAGGACGTACGGCAAGGGAGACCGGGACGACGATGGGTGTAGCCAGATACAGAAGCGTTTCGTAAATCTCCTGGAAGACGAACAACTTGGCGCCAATCTCCCACCATCCTAATTTCCACGAGAAGAGGATGTAATGCAGGTTGTAGTACATTCCGTTAACGAAGAAGAAGTTCCAGCGGTAGAATCGTTGTTTAAAGACAGTCATCTCACCGAATCCACCTCTTTCACCACCAGAGCTAAAGAAGACGGCATCAGGAGTTTCCGTCTCGATAAAGACAGATGTTGCCATCTGTGTACGACATCCCAGCTGACGAGCAACATGTCCAAAGAACCAGTCTTCAGACACACTGAACCCAGGATGCTTGCTAAAAGTCTTGATAAGGAAGTCTCTATCCCAGAGCGAGATGGCGCCATGCGGAAAGGTCGCGCTACCAATNCTGCCAGCAAGTGCACGTTGAATACCAGAGATCTTATACTCTAGATCTTGTGCTTGTTGGCAGAGCGTTCCTTTGGATGATTTGGGACCAACGGACTTGATGGTGTAGCCCATGCACATGACATTGCCCTTGAGTCGATCAGAGACGATAGGGAAGTTGGGTGGTAGAGCGCAGTCGTCATCGATAAGCAACACGTTCTTGAAGTCCTTTGCAGCATAGCAGCCGACGAACTGTGCAACAATCTTCGAACCGACAGGACTCCAGATGTGATTGACGCCAAATGGTCTGCAGATCTCTTCAGTGTTATCTAGAGGAGTGGGACTGTTGCCTACGATATCGTTAGAGCGATGAGCATTTACTGGGTTCAATAACATACCATTAGCAACAACAAAGACATGCGATGGTGGGAATATTTTCAAGGCGGCTTCCAAAGTCGGACCAATTAGGGTGGCGGCCTTGTAGCAGGGAATCATCAGGGCAGTGTCGGCGACATTAGGAGTCTTGGTAGCGTCGATGGGTTCGTCAGGCATCGGTGGGTCTGGTTCGAACAGAACAAGGAGCGGAGAGTATGCATAGCTTAGAGAGAAAAGTCAGCTTCTATGCGGAAAGTGCTAGGGAGGAAGATAAGAGTGGCAGAATCCAACTCTAGTAACGTGGAAGATAAGAGTGGCAGAATCCAACTCTAGTAACGTGGAAGGAGCGAGGGACAACTTACGCAACCGAAACCGCGATGACGATNNAGACCAAGTACCAGTAGCATTGAGCTTATATTTGAACGCCAAATAAAGTTCCCAATACGTCCCCTTCCAAAGCGGCAGACCTATGATTAGAAAGTAGAAAAGGACCAGAAGCATGGCATAAAATGAATACTCAAAGACAATCTGCACCCAGCGCTTTCTTCGGATTTCCAGTTGTCTTTTCTTAGCGTTTTCGTAGACGTCCCACATGCTACTACGGCGGACCTTCTTGCGGACATTTAGGAGAGTGTCTTGAAAGACGGAGTTTGCTCGTTGGAAGACGCTCCCTCTTCTTTCTCCATTGAACGGGGTTGGCACGTCTGCTGTTGCGGTTCGCCTCCACATACTAGGTCTTCGAGGTGCTGCATTGGAATGGTTGGTATTGTTAGTTGCCACTAGACCTAGAGCTGCTCCTGCAGCCGCCATTGGATCTGCAGGATCTATAGCAGCACCGGGAGAGATACCTCCGTCACGGTATGCTAAATTAAATTGTCCCCATGGAGTCAATCCTTCGGGCGGCTCGTCTGGAGTCAATGGCATCTCAATCTCATCGTTCCTCTGTTCAGCTTCGGATACAGCAGCAAGAGACTTTCCCCTAGATTTCCTGGTACCAGCCTGGCGTTCTCTTGTTGTGGCGAAAGGGTCTGCTTGAGCCAACGCTTCCATAGAAGCACTTATGTGACCGGGAGCTTGCGGGGTCATTTTGATAATATTCTTGACCTCTTCCTGCTGTTGTTGTGCCATGGATTGGATGTTGAACGATTGGCGGGTGTCCTCACGTTGATATGTTGACTTGCGTCTACCAACAACTTTGTCTTCGCTCCAGTTTGTCTCAATATGGGTCATCAGATGAGCAGGAATGACGACGTTAGTCACAGAGATAGAAGAGCGACGAGGTCCAGCTAGAGAGGGACGTCTGTTGTCTATAGCTGAAGGTGGACCTGTCATCGACGTACGTCTGCTGGCTCCTATCGTCGAGGGTTGACGGCTGGAAAGTGGTGTTGGATTGCCGAATGTGACCAAGTCAGGTTGAATCTCTTTTTCGGAGAGAGGTGTCAGGCCAGTGAATGCCACAGAACTAGGACGAGACTTCTTTTGATCGTGAACAGAAGCGAACGAAGTTCTTGTGGGCGTTTGCATAGGCGTATCCGCTACCACGGCGCTAGGCAGAGTTGCTGTAGGTCCACTGACCGAAGCTCCGTTCTCGGGCACGGTGATATTGGGTAGTTTCTTTGAAAAGTTTCTTGATGATCGATTCTTGTAGCTCGTGCTTGCGGTCCTTGCTGAAACCTGTTCTGCACGAGATGTTGCTTCAATGTTATCGGACTTGTTTGCAAAAGGGTTTGTGGACGTAAAGAAGGGGTTCGTGATGTCGATTGCGCCGCCAGCAGCGTAATCGTTCGTTATTGGTTGATGATCTTCGTCATTTGTTATGGGCATCACTGCACCAGGGCTGATACTAGATGAGTCCCAATCACCAGGACCTAATGACCTCCGGAAAAGAGTAGTTCGGTTCGGTGTGGACTCGCTAAGTCTGGTGTTGGCAGGATCTTTCCCACCAGATACTTTTCTGGCTGGGAAGACATGTTGGGTTGCTGTATCCTCATCAGGTGCAAGATTTCTAGATCTTCTGTTTAAGCTAAAGGAGTTGTAGGACAGCCTTGAGAACGGCGAAGGATTCGTTCCAAAGTCATACGGTCCGATGTTTGTTGATATTCTTTTGTTAGACTTGGACGACTGTACGATGGGATAAGAAAGGGCGAAGATGGAGGTGAGTCTTGTAAGCTAGCGTTCGTAGACTTCCTATCGGCTGGCGTGTATGCTTGATATGCTGGACTAGGCTTGACAATCTCGTTCGTAGAAGAGGCGGCCTCTTCTGATCCAGAGTGAGTTGACTGGTCTTCTGTCGTCCGTGATAGGTTTCCGATGTGCTGTGAGGTTGGCAAACTGATGTTGTTGGCCAGAGCATGGTTGGCATTTGAAGGAATGACATCTCCGGGTCCAATGTCATCAGACGCTTTGCGCTCACTATTCAAAGACGATGCATAAGGATTGGAAGCAAGAGGACTTGACATGGCGTGGTGTCCTGCTAGCACTGAACAACAAAGCAACGAGCAAAGCTAGATAGGGCATGGGATATGGGGCACGGAAGAGAGAAATACTTGCCCTACTGCCACCAACGTCGACAGGCCGGCTGTTGGTAGCGTACATGTGGTTCATTGAATTCATTAGGACCATGAAGAGCTAGATGAAACAGATTGTTCCGTCGAGGCGCTTCATTCAGAAGCGGAGACCGTTGTGATCTCTAGGATGCTCTCCCGCATCAAGCCACTTCGTCGAATTATTGTATACAACGGCTGCGAAAGCAGAAGCCGGACTAGCCAGACACATAAGACATAGAAAATGGGAGTCTCCTCAAGCTAGATGGTGAGAGGTAGAGTGAGGATGGTTGATAGCAGCCCAAATTTGCACCAGGTGGCCTCTCGAAGGCACTAAAGCAGAGCATCTTAGTGGTAAGAAAGGCAGTTGGATGTTGTACTAAGGCAGCTGAGCTTGTGACGTCGACGAACACTCATTTTTGCTTCTCGGTTGGAGCGTTATGGAAGCTGGCTGGAAGAATCTGGCCCCTTTCACAAAAAAGACTAGAAGAGTGCTGTGTTTGATCAAGGCCCGTTGAAGATAGTTTGGGTATTGATATGAAGCGAAAACGTTCGGTACTTTTCATGGTGTAGTGGTAGAAGCATGCCGCCCGTACACTTTCATGTCCGAGGGCCTGCCACAGCTAGGTATACCTTCTGAAGAGCCGTCTGAAACGCGCATAGTCCTTACTGAGTCCAATATAGTCTCAAGTGCCCAGTATAAGAGTCGGAGTGGGTGGTATAAAGTTAGGTCGAGGAAGCGAGACAATAATTCGCGCGTTGAAAGCTTAACCTTGCCCTCACCGCATGGCAGCGCACGGATGTTCAGACTGCCGATCTCCGGCCAGCAGTCCGTACCTCCCCATGTGCTCAAGATAGTCACAGTGTAGCTGCCGAAATACATAATAGTTTCGCGAAAACTATGGGCTCCATCGAGAGATGCCAATAAAAGCTATCTCAATGGCCAGACTTGTAATCGAGTCAAAATTGTGCATTTTGATAGCTTATAACAATCGTTGTAGCTCGGCATGAAGAAGAGGTCAGTTGTAAATTCACGGGGAGGTAGGGCTCTTCGAAGTTCGAACAGCAATAATGACCACTCGCACAAAACAAAGTCTTCGTTCTCGATGCCTTCCTCGCGGATGTAGCCACAATCAGTCCACCCGTCTCCATCCACACGGCGAGCTTGTCTATGTTTACCTCGATTCCTAACCTAAGAATTTCCCCTTTTCCTCGCCTTTCGAAGCACTTTTCTAACACTTGTCTTCTACTTACCCTTTAAGACAATGCTAAACCTGCCAATGGAGATTTTGAGAAATATCGGAGACTCTCTAGACCGATCCAGTCTACTTAGCTTTTCAAGCGTGAATCGACAATGTCGACTGGCATTATCTGCGCTCTTATTTCGGGATATATCTGTCAGATTCTCTTCGCCGGAAACCCTAGCCTGTAACATTCAGGGCTGTCAAGAAGTTCTGACATCTGCTAGAAGCTTTCAACACGTTCATCATCTTCGTGTCGTAGCCGCAGAGTTGTATCCCCTCTGTTACTCAATTGACGACTGTGGAGACCGACCGCTCTATACCTGGAAAAATTGCGGCATAGATGGCCGCAAAACGAGACAGGTGACTGAGGATCATGAGTGGCAAATTCTGAGTCTTTTGATGAAGAACCTTCCTGCTCTACAAAAACTTACCTGGGGCTGTCTTGAGCGGGTTCCTTCTTGCATCTTGAAGATCATCGAGAGTAAAGTGCCTAGATGCTGGCTTGATCTAGAGAACTTTTATCTCCGCAGTCTTATTCAGCCGTCGAGTAACGCATTTACCATCGATAGCGGCGACCTCGAAATCGCAACCACCCGATGTCTCCGGAGTCTCGTCATGCGATGCGACCCCTTAGAGTCATTTGAGTACACCGACTATAACCCACAAGCTATCATGGAGATGATATCTGGAGCAGCACCGAATTTGCGAACAGTTCGTCTGCTCTGGCCCCCAGGTGCCAGCACATCGGTCTCTCATGGATCTATAATATTGCCAGCAAGAGACCAAATTCCGGGCGTCTCATCTCGAGAACATCGAACAATGGGCCATTTGGAGCATTTGGAGATAGTCCAGAGTGGGTCGGGACGTGCGCTCATGTCTTGGAACACCAAGACCAATTTCAAACTGCTACGAACCCTAAAAGTACACTACCCTCTTGTGACATCGGACTTTAGGTGGCTCAGAGACTGTTGTCAATTCCAATCTCTGCATACGCTGGCTATTAATCTTGGCATCGAAGAGGGAGAAAATGATCCCGAGTGCGATCTAGCAGACGCTGTGGACGATTTTCTTTTGTCCATCCCTCCGCTTCGAAGCGTGAAGTTGACTGGTGATTACAGCCAACGTATTGTACAGTCCGTACTAGACCGCTGCAATCTTTCTATACGGCATCTTCTTCTGGGACCACTTCATGGTCTTAGCACAGGTGTCCTTGCGACTATTTCCTTTCTTCATAGCCTGCAGCATAAATGTCCGAACCTAGAGGAACTTGCAATCCCTCTAATGCGGTGTCAAGGAGACGCAAGTGAAGTGGCAGTGTATCGAAGTTTAGCACGACTTCCTGCCATTCGCAAGTTGCACCTCTCCATCTATTCCAAGGAGCCTTTCCTTTGGGATCAGCATCGGCGAAGCCGACTGACTCTCGACTCTCGGATACACGACGGTGAGCAGGGCCTAGAAGATCAGTTCCGCCGTGCTGTGGTCGACTTAGCAGTCGATCAAGCGCTTGCGGCAAACATCTTCCAGATCATTGCGACTGCGAAGTCCCAAAGATCAACAGCGCTAGAAAGTCTAGAGATACGTATGGAAGCACTCAGTGTCCTCGGAGGGTTTAGCTCGACATCTAAACTGACGCAGTGGTTACAATACATTAGTCGTTCCTGGACTTGCACCGCGAAGATTCGAGACGATATGCATGGTCAATACCACATTGCTGAATATGATGATGAGGAAAGGCTTGATAGGCAGGATATAGACGAGCTTGGGGAGGTAGATGAGGAGATCAGGACTCGTTCTGGTGGTCTGCTCTCCAAGGTCTGGCCAGGGGTTGACAGTGAGAATTGGAGGACGCAATGGCATAGCTTTCCGCTGAGTATCTGATCAGCTCAGCGAATAAATCTCTCACTTGACTTATAGACTAGCTGGCCATTGAATGATCTTTGCAAGCTATTCACGGCTCTATCGTCTGTATGGGCTGTCCTGGACAATGTCCCCTACTATCCGACAGAGCACAGTCATGGAGCCGCAATACTTGCCGCATCGTGTAGTCAATGATTCAGTACCGTGCGTTTGCTTGAGTGACGTTCGCAGTATCAAGTTTCCCACTGTAACCTCTGATTCACTAAAGTTCCTGACGTCGCGGGAGAGTTTATAGGGCGACATATCCCCAACAAGGTCAATGCGTATACTCAGAATCAAGTCTCTCGTGAAGCTTGTATCGCTAAAGCCACTGTGTGAATTCAGCTACTGCGAGTCAAGGAGCGCGAACTCTACTGCAACTGACCATATTCTGTCATGTAAAGCAATACGTTTGATAACAAATTTTTCGACCAGAGGATGCCCTTCGAGTGGCAATAGAAGCATGGAAGACAACTGCCCTAGCGGCAATGGAGATCGAGACAAACACGCTGCCAATCGACCTCTACCTTAAGCAGGGGTGTGACAGTTGATTGTTGGGCCCTATTAGGGCAATATCTTATGTTGGCGCTATTAGACACGGTTTAACCCTAAACCCTAAAACCCACTCGCACAAGACAAAGTCTTCGTTCTCGATGCCTTCCTCTATACTTCACAGCTCATCCTTGATCTTGCGCAAGAAGCCTCTGATACCGTGACCGTGCTTCTTAGCACCCCCTTCATCTCTATGATGCTCATTGCCGACAAAAGCAGCCATAGATGTTGTCAAAGGACCTACACCACCTCCCATCCAAGGGCCTTCGGGTGTGAAGACAACTCGTTGCATTCTGGCCTTTCTGTTGTTCCAACCATCATCAGGACGATCAGTAGCATGGTANGCTACAAGACAGGTATTAGTTGCTTGTGTGTATCACTTTTGTTGTGTGAGTACTTACATTCCGACAATGTCGTCGCCAATGTGCATGAAGGAACCATGACCAGGTCCCCAAGGCCCATGACCGTGAGGACCGTTCTGAATCAATGGCCTCATGCTCTTCTGCCAGGAGTCTGGTCTGAGAGGGTCTCCGCCGGTCCAGCGGAGGCAGTTCATCTTGTACTCGTTGGTCCAGCTGCCTGAGCAACTATAGACAAGACCAACCCATGAGCCATCCTGGGAGGCAAGGTATTGTGGTCCTTCATTGATGCCATGATCTCCCACACGTTCAAAGGGTTCGTCAGGTTTACAAATCTCAACAGGATCTGATGCCGCGGTGACTGGGTCAGACAGCCTGAGGATGAAGAGATGCTGCTGAAGATCTGATTCGTTGGGGTTGTCGAAGGGCCAGCCAGAGTAGACAAAGTACAGTTGTCCGTGCAGTTCGATGACAGTGCCATCGATAGCCCATTGGTGCTGTGCCATGCCTCTGATTGGACCTACAAACTCCCATGATCCAGTAGCGGGATCTTGGTCTGCGGGTGGTCCAGCTAACACGAACATCCTGTGCGATTTGTTTCCGTGTTTAGGGTGGCAGGCAGCGTAGTATACATACCACCTGCCTCTGAGGCAATGAAGTTCAGGTGCCCATAGATCGTTGGAGTGCTCGGTGTCTGGTGGAGGTCTCCAAATGACGTGCTTATCTGGATGATCGTGGAAATTCGGCAAGCTGTTTGCTCTCCAGATCTCTACTCGGTCGCCTGCAGTGAATGTCNNTGATGTTATTAGAGCCATGGAACGAAGGCTTTGTGTCTTATCTTGTGCTTCACTTACGAGATAGAATTGACGAGTTGCCGGCGAGTAGGTGACATAAGGGTCTGGTGTGGTCACGCTGGTCAGCGATAGAACGGCGTTATTGTATTGAGCCATAGTTGTGTGTATAGGATCCAACTTCTCAAGATGAAGATGAGAAAGCAATGTTGATGTCGAAAATGGTAGTCGCAACTGCTTGACTTTGTACAAACGATGACTTCCAGTTTCGGACTTGCAAAGATCAACACGCAAGCTTATGAAGTCATTGTTCATGAACCTTGTCCCACCCCCTCCCTTAACCTGGCCTTGTTTTGATACAGGGTTCTCACGGCGGTGGATGGTAATATTCCTGGCTATAGAAATACACAATACTTTGTAGAAACGGATGCTGTCCATAGAGAGGCCGTGTCCTTGATACGTCTCTGTGGCCATACTTTGAGCTTGAAAATCATTGTGCATTACTATAGCTACACCACGAACCCTTAAGCATGTGGAGATGCTATACAAAGTTGGAATCGAACCTTTCATACCTCTCCATGTAATAGAGCCTGCCGTGGTGTGGCTATAGAAATGCACAAACGCAGTTTCCACAGAGAGGCCCAACTGAAGACTATCTCTCTGGCCAAACCCATGATGAAAAAACAATTGTGCATTTTGATAGCTTGTATTCCTCTTGCGCTTCGAGGATGGAGAAGAGGCTCCCCTAATAGTGGCTACAAGCAGTCGTACTGTTGTCATGTCCGTTCGTTTCGTTGGTTCAATAGGAGCAGGAGACTAGAGTACATACTTACCCTAAAGGAAAGTGCAAAAGTGAACGAGAAAAGGATAAAGAACACAGCCCATCGCGCAGCATTACCATTTCATGCAATTCGATACCTCCCAAAAATCGGTTACCTTCGCCTATGAACGCCGTTTGTCTTCCTATGCCGAGCTTTTGGTGTGGTGCATCCTGTAGAAAGAAAGCGCCTTTTCTCGTCTTATCCGGAGAGGAGGCATCGAATTGCGAGGGGTTCCACACTCAGAGTGCTTCTGTCCTGTTTCTGGTGCCTTACCGGGCGCTTGACTAGGGCGTGAGACATGGTTGCTTACCGACGTCGTGCGCATACGGTGATGGGCTTACCGTCGATGTCCTTGAGCATCTGAGAACGAAGTCTCTCAGTGCGAGCGTGTAGAGAATGTTCAACAAACCCGAAAGGCGCTCAGTACCTTCTTTGCTTGCGCGATTCGTCGTAGCCACCATTTCCATCGTAGGGACGCTTGCGGTCGTTGTCGCGCTCCCGATCGCGATCGCGGTAGCCACCACCACGGTCTCCACTTCCGATCGGCTCACGGTTGCCACCGCTGCCACCGTAGCTGTCGCGCGGCGGTCTGTCGCCATATCTTGAGCCTCCACCGGAGTAGCTGTCGCGACCACCATCGCGGCCTCCTGAGTAGCCGTCACGACCTCCTCTGGGACCACGAGGACCGGATGGGGCACCTTCTGGGAATCCGTTGCCGTAGCCGACTCCAGACCTGCCACCCCATACCCACCTCTGTCACCTCCACCGAAGCCGCCTCTGAAATTGCCGCCGCCGCCGCCGCCGCCTCCTCCTCCTCTTCCGCCACGGAAACCTCCTCTGAAGCCCCCACCGAACCCGCCGCGANCCGCCGCCGCCGAAGCCTCCGGGACCAGAAGGAGCACCATAACCAGAAGGGNNACGAGGAGGAGCAGCCTTTGTGTAGTGACGGCCACCGAGACCGCCTCCGTATCTACGAGGACGCCATTCCTTGACTGTGCGACCGCGCTCGACATCGACCAGGATGCGTCTGTCTTTGATACGAATACCGTCGGCATCTTTGTAGGCAGCTAGTTTGGGGTTAGAGTGTGGTATGTCAAATGGTCAAGAATACGAATTACCCTTCATGTCCGAGTCTCTTTCGAAAACGATGAAAGCATAGCCTCTGTGCTTCTTTTTAGGAGTGGGAGTGGTTGTGTCTTCGACCAGGCGGATNCTGAAAGAGTCAGTGTTTGTTCGAGTAGAAGGAAGAAGGTGGTAGCGCACGCGCTCGATGGGACCATAGCGACCAAATTCGCGCTCGAGGTCTTTAACTTCGGTGTTGTAGCTAAGGCGAGAAACGAAGAGGGTCTTCAATGGGTCACCAACGACGTTTGGGTCTTCGTGAGGTTTGACTAGTAGCAAGCATCAGTAACGTGACAGCTACTGGACAATGGGTGAAGTGAGCGCACATTCGTTCTTGTAGCCCTCTGTGATGCGGTATTGAGCAGCGTCGTCTCTTTCCATCTTTTGGCGATCCTTCTTCTGCAGCCAACTCTCGGTAGGGACGTAGCCGTCATGGTATTCCTTTGCGGCCTGGACGTATTGGGCGACGCCAGAGATGGCAGGAGTGCGACGTTCCTCGGGAGCGTGGTCGCATGGCGGCAGGTATCGCAGAGCAGGTCTGGGAGCGAACAGCTGTAGCAGCTGTGGGGGTAGTTTGTCCGTCATCGGTATGCGATGATGTGGTGATGAATGTGCAGTGGACAGGGAGGGAGCTGCGTGTCGGCGCTGGACTGCAGCTGAGAGACGGAGAGTCGAGACACGACGACGGCCCGCGGCTTCTTCCACCAGCGCGCCAAGACGACCATCCAGACATTCTCGAAGAAGACGATAATGGTCAATTAATTCACGTCTTATCGGGTTCCTGCTGTCAACATGCCCCTACAGGCTCTACGCACTGTTTCCAAGGCCCAGGCAAGTCGCTGTCATTTCTGTGGCTCAAATACGACCCTCTGACTGACTTGTGACTCCNAGAATGGCGTCGGCGCCTTCATCCTGCAATGCAAACGCCTCGACTTTCACTATTGCGACTGGGCTGGTAGTTCCAAGGGCATGAAGTACGCTCAATCAATATCTTCTCATCTACTCGGACTCTAACAACATGCGCCANGCGCTTTCCTTAAGCACGATCTTCCAGCCTTTGCTCGTGCCAACCCTCAAGTCGAAATCACTGTCTCGCCTCGCCCTCGCAAACACCCTGTCATCAAGGGCACATACATCAACGGCCGCGAAAAGGCCATTTGCGTACGCAGCCTGGAGAAGGAGCAGATCATGAAGAAGGCCGAGCTCTTGCGCGATGCCAGCGGCGACAAGCTGAGAAAGGTCACCAAGCCCGTTAAGAGTATGAACGAGAGTGTCAGAGGTATCTGGGATCCTTTCCACGGCTCAAAGTGGTCGGTCTGATCTCATGATACCTCCTACTTTTCCATGACTATACTGTACAGCATTTCAAGGGCGTTTTGGGGGATACCAAGGGTTAAAAATGGCCTCTTCAATTGTATACTATACTTTTTCTCCAGCATCATATCCATGTCCTTTCCAGGGGCTTCAACACTGCGTTCCCATGCGCTTATAATAACTCTTGAAACGAAGCGTCTCTTATTAAAAGACATCATCTCAAGGTATTTCTATGGCCACCCTGCTTGTATTGACCTTGAATACAATGCATTTGGTGCATCACACTACAACATATACGATACTCGGAGCATAATTCATTGGAAAATATTCTTCTGAACAATTCTCAGTAGTCTTTTTACTTTAGACTGGGATCGTTCACTTCGTAGTTTGTAATAGCACTGTGTCATTATTGTTTGAGGCCGCTGGCTCTAGGATCTTGGATATTCCACTAGTCACGTCCTTCCCGTGTACTAAAGTATGTAAGCATATAGCTATGGAAATGCACAATAGCGATAGAAATCATCCACTGAGAGGCAACAAGTTGTCGACTCTCTGTGGACACGCTCTGTTTCTAACAACAATTGTGCCTTTTTATAGTCTACATTTTGCTCTGAGCTATAATCGGAGTATGGTCGAAGTTACAGACTCTACTCGAGTACTACACAAGGAGGGTATGGAATGTTGCGAATAACATGGTGGTTCGTCAAATGTTTTATTTAACAATCATCTCTCATGGGTAGTCATGCGTTTACCGCAAGACACCCTACCAGTCCCTTCTATATACAAGACTTTTACGAGGACTGGGCGTTGATAATGTCAACAAAGGCGGGCTTCAAACTGGCACCGCCAACAAGGAAACCGTCAATGTCCTTCTCCTTGGCGAGCTCGTTGCAGTTCTTCTCGCTGACACTGCCACCGTAGATGATTCTGGTGTTGTCAGAGGCAGTCTGGCTGACCTCCTTGGCGAGGTACTCGCGGATGGCGGCGTGCACCTCCTGAGCCTGCTCGGTGGTGGCGACCTTGCCAGTGCCGATGGCCCAGACAGGCTCGTAGGCAATGACGACCTTGCTCCAGTCCTGGACCTGCTTGGCGACAGCGCGGAGCTGGTTGGTGACGACCTCGATGGTCTGGTTGGCCTCTCTCTGCTCAAGGGTCTCGCCGATGCAGAGAATGACACCGAGGCCGTTGTCAAGGGCGGCCTTGGTCTTGGAAGCGATGAAGTCGTCGGACTCCTTGAGGATGACACGGCGCTCAGAGTGACCAGTCAAAGTCCAGGTGATGTTGGACTCCTTGAGCTGAGTGGCAGAGATCTCACCAGTGAAGGCACCGTTGGGCTTGTCGAAGACGTTCTGGGCAGCGACCTCGAGACCGGGGCGGAGGTGCTCACGGGCGAGGAGCAGGTAGAGAGCAGGAGGGGCAATGACGACCTCTATGAGCTGTTAGCATCGAGTGCTTGTTGTAGACTGTGAATGCAGTGTTCACTGACCGACGTTGGAGTCGACCTTGGCCTGGTTCAGGTTGTTCACGATGCTCTTGATCGTGTCAACGGAACCGTTCATCTTGAAGTTGCCTCCGACGAAGAATTGACGACCCATGTTTGCGGTTGTGTGTGGTTGAGTGGTGTTTGAAAGGGATTGGATGGTTTGCAGTGGTTGTTGCAGGAAAAGTGTCAAAGCAAAGGCTGATGTTGAGGGGGAGAGGACGAGTTTATTTTGTTGGCAACTCCGCCGATGGAGGGGCAGCATCATAGCTTGACGTAGCTGCCAGACCGCCGGACAAAATCGGCGCTCGGGAACACCGCGGGGCCTTGGTCGGATGCTTTCGAAACATCAAAACGACGAGAAGGCCCGCGTCCTGAATCATGCTGGATAGACCTCAGTTCATTCTAAACGGACAGCAGCTATTGAGAAGAGCATCTTGATGACCTGACATCAGGCACCCTCGGAATCCTTGCATGCGATACAAATGCACAATGCCTTCTAGAAGAGAACATGCAACAGAGAACGATATATGAGGAGGTATTTCCGTGATCATAATGCTTCTTTGAAAGCAGTTTTGTTTTCATAGCTTGTAATATCACCACGTGCTCTCACGAGGACGAGGCTGTCTATACCCACGGAGTAGAGGTACGAATTGTCGCACCCGAAGGAATTATGACTCCACAGCCTCTCTTTGGAACTAACCATGGTCTCGAGACAACTGTGCATAAGCAACCGTATTGTTCTGTATCACCGTGAGAAAAGGTCGATGGTGGTGGATCCCAGCACTCAGGGCGTACACATGTGCTACTCTCGGTGGTATATCAAGGCCGGAGAACGATATGGTGATCCATCACGCTCTCTCCAGCTTGCCTGCACGATCAGCAGCGATCTCGCACATGGCCNNTGCATCCCCGTCAGCATACGCTCACCACATAATGTGCCCATGTACTCATGCCTTGATTGCGGCTGCTCGCTCCGCCACGATATCTCCAGCAGCGATTCTGCGCTTCATGTCCTCCATGATGACTGGCCTGCTGCGACCGTTGACAAAGACAACATATCTCAGTCCAGGATATGTCTTTTCATATTCTTCGTTCAGTTCGCGTAGCTTCTGAGCTTCTTCTTCACCGCCGGTGTTGAGTTGTGCTTGCTCGGCCTGACTCTGTGCGCTCTCGACTTTCTTTGCACCGAGTCTAGGATGTGATCCCAAGATACTCTCCAGCCACTTGGTATCACTGGCGGAAGATGACTCAGATAATTCCGTCAGCTGTACACCAACAGCTGCAATGAGATCGTTGTACGATGCGAATGTCTGGTTACGCAACAGCTCTACGGACAGTGTGTGCAGAGGAACGCTGGGCTCGAAGAGCAGGTCAAGGACACTTGCTCTCTTCTCAGCGGATAGCGATGGTAAGGAGGAAACGGAAGGAAGATTGGACATAATGAAGTTTGGTATGAACAAGAATGCATTCACAAGTGCGTTGTGTCAACAGTATTGAGGATGTAGGAGAGACCCACACTTACCCCAGTAATTGCACCACCGGTTCTTCCACCCAAATTGCGAATTAGGTTGGCTATATAAAATGCACCATGACTCCAATACAAACAGTCTCCGCTTCAATGTCGCGATCCAACGGCTTCTCGTGGCAAACCTGGCACAGGCAAGCACTTCGTGCATTTTCATAGCTCAAAGCTCTTTGGTGCCGTTGAGTGGTCGGAGAGACTTTTTCTTGTTCAACAACCTCGGCGGGTGCTGGAGTCTGTAACCCCACCATACTCCAACTATAGCTAATAGCAAGAAACAGACTATAAAAAGGCACAATTGTATCCGGGAGTTTAGGCGTGTCCACAGAGAGTTGACAAACTCTTGCTTCTTAGTGGCCATTGTCTCATCTCCTGTCACTATTGTGCATTTCTATAGCCATATACATTACATATTCAGCATACGAGGAGGAAGTAATTTGTGCCTTCTGCTTCCTTCTACAGAAGACAGGCCTTCAAATGACTCTAGGATGGATAGAATTTCCCAAGATTGGGGCCTGGCTAAAGAACCCGACGAGAGTCAGAATGCGCATTTCTACACAGGCCCTTGAGCCAGTATTTGGATTCTGGAAACCCACTTGGCTTCCTCATCAGCTAGAGCTCGGACGCTTCATTCCAAAGCCACGCGCGATGCATGCTCCAAAGAAAGGTAGAAGAAACTCAGATCTCGGTTTCTGCGACAAGTTCACGAGCAAGCGGCTCGGGAGAATTTACAAGAACGTGATAAGATGTCCGGTTGGCGGCAGACCGAAGAGTTAGATATCCAGAGGGCTTGAAGCGATACCCACTTGGACAGGGTGGGGATACGGAAACGGCAACCGTTCTGCTGATCAAAGCTCCCTCGGAGACTTTTTTAACGTAGAATTTCGAAGTGTACCAGCGATACAACTCAAGCTGTACAGCATGCTGCATGCATACAGTAACGAACACCATGGAGTAGGTTTGTTCCTGAGAACTTTCCGTGGTTCAGCTGCAATGGTGCATGTGCGGTGATTGTCTGTGAGAGGCAAGATTGGCCTGGGCGCTGCCACACAAAGTCAGGGTCAGCCAATCAATGGTGCAATCTACCGAGAGGCTACGGAAATGGCTAGATGGGAGCATACGACGATCAGTCCGATTCGTGCTGATGGCAAAGTTTGGTTGAGGCGAAATGGGGGAGGTTGGATGTATGTATAATAAAGCAGTCCTGTGTTTCGAGTTTGCGAGTGACGAACAGCGCCAGAGCACAATAATGCTGGTCACCAGAAAGGGGCTCACTCAACTCGAAATTTGCGCGAGACACGGTCAGACGCGCTCCTGATATTAACCCCCTGAATCCTCCCTGCAGCAGGGGTTCAAGGTCCCGTAAAACCAGAAGACGGTCCTGCGACTACTGGCAACACCATGTCTTTAAACGGACTGGATGTGCCAGAAGTGCAGCAGGCCTACCAGGCCACCTTGAGTGAGGCTGGTGGGTGGATTCTGGTCAAATACATCTCTCGCGACGAGGTCGCTCTGCTTGGTTCTGGAAAGGCAGGCCTGAGCGAAGCAAGAAACGCCATTCTGCAGTATGAAGAATTGTCGCCTCTGTATGGGCTGATAGTCTACCGGCGCCGAAAAGTGCTCGTCAAATATGTGCCCGAGGGAACATCGCGGTTATTGCAAGGTACGAATTGTCCATGAAAGACGGCGCAGATCAAACACTGACCGGGAGCGATGCAGNCGCGGACAGCAGTACACCTCCGGGAGGTCGAGGACCGATGGGCGCCGTACGAGACGATGCTCGAGATTGAGACGGCTGATGAGCTGAACGACACGGCTCTGGCAGCGGCCTTTCCTCTACACACCGCCTCGCCCGCACTGTCCAACAATCAATTCTCTCTGAATGAGATCACTGAAGACAACGAGGATGTCGACGGCACTCCCAAGCCGCTGACCCACACTCCGTCCATATCGTCGGTGTCGAGCCGGAAGCCGACGCTTGAAAAGCGACCCCCGTCCCAGCGTTCCTACCGCGCCCCTTCCTTCACGAGTGCCCAATCCGCCGGCGACCTTTCGCCTGTCGTGAAGCACAAGTCATCGCTGTCACAGTTTCTGGTCCGGGAAGAGCTAGGCCACAAGTTAGTTACACAACTGGATGGACATTCGGGGACCGAAGATAGCGTCTCGATCAAAGACGACGCAGCCTCGATACGCAGCAGCCGTACCGAGTCGGCCGTCCCATTGACTTCTCCCACGCGGACACATGCCAATGAGTCGGCTGATTACGATTTGGAAAGATATCTTGATTCGTTCTTCAAGCCAAAGATCAAGCTTGGTCCGCGTCCGGTCAACGTCGTCGAGAAAGGCAAGCACACGCCGGCGTCTGCTCCCGTGTCGAGCCTTCCTGCTGGAATCCAGTTTAGAGCAAAACAGCCTCTGTCGCACCCACAGCCGCAATATCCCGCCAACCGTAATCGTCTTTCTGAGAACGCCCCTACGGGCATTTCAGCGCCGCCGAGGCTGCCCTCCCTTCACTTCTCTCCTCAGATTCCTGATATTCCCGAGTTTCTGCCACCACGGCCCAATTCAAGAGGCAGCTCTCGCTCTTTGCCAGCTCCGCGTGCATCCAAGGCATATTTGACCCCTGAGAAGCAGCGCCTCATGAAAGCACTCGAGATGAGAAAGAAGCAGATGAGGAACACTCCATCTGTAGAATCAATGCCGCGTTTGTCCGCTGCCCAGATCGTCAGTCCAACGACTGTCGACTCGAGCCAAACTGAGGCACGAGAGCTGCACCGTGAGGCGGGATCCAACAAAGCTGACTCTGGTATTGACATCGCGCACACGCCTATTACCAAGGAGTTCGCACCTTCAATTTTGCAAGAGGACTTACATCCGGTAGCTGAGGCACCTACGGGACAATCTGATGACCTTCCAAACGCAGAAGAACACCAGGAAAATACTTCCCCATCAGCCCTTACTGAACTATCCGCCATGCACGGAACATTGGACAGCACGACCTCGGACAAGACAGCGTTGACGCCAAAATCTTTTGAGCCAGAACATCCATCAAAGGCCGGCGAAACTGAACTTCCTATTCACAACCAGGAACATATTGCTGCGCACGGACCAGCCACAAAGGCAGAAGAACCTACAGACTCACTTGTTGATGGCGCTGTCACTGAAGCTCCAAATCATACTTCGTCCGACAACTTGGTAGCAGTACAAGAGCCTGAGGAGTTGCTTGTTCCAACGATCTCTGATTACCAAACCCAGCCAGAGGCACAGGAACCAGCTTCTAATTTTGCGCCCGAGGACCCTGAGGAGCGTGACAGATTTGAGCCAGAAATCGAGACCAGCTCTGAAGATCCGCAGAAGAAGCGCCGCAGAGGTTTGCTGGAGCCCCTACAAGTTCAAGTACGCCTCGAACGCCACACCTCTGAGCACAAATTCCTTGCAGACGACGACTTCATGGACGAACTACAGACTGCTACTTTCGAACAGGCCACCCCTGTCGCCATGTCAAAGTCTCCTGCGAGTCCTTTCTTCCCTCCAAGGCGCCCAAGCTCACGATCGGCTAAATCATCCAACTCGGTTACTACAGCAGTTTCTACAGAATCTGTACCCCTCGTACCTTCTGTCAGTGACACTTTGGAAAAGCGTCAATTCGCCCCTGAATTGCTGGTACCTTCATCTGAGCCGCAGTCTGGTCTTCCAACTAGAACTCCATCGATTTCCTCGGTGAAAACGACAGATTCTGGTTCCCTTATGCGTAAATCGAATGTGTCTTCTGGTATTTCTGCAAGAATTGCCGCCCTCGCCGAAAAGTCGACTCGTGATGGAAGTCCTCCAGTGGTCCCCGAATCCCGCAAGTTGTCTGCTAGTTCGACTATCGCACAACGCAAGAGCTCGTACATCGAACAATCAGTTGAGGGCCAAGCTATTGGTGGTGCTGAGAGACGACACGTGGGTAAATTGTCCGTTTGGCCCGCTGCTACACCATCCAACCCGTCGAGCTCAAAGACCAGAAATGCACAGTCGAATAATCGTGATTCTATCTCAGTCACTGCACGCATCGTCCGTGTCCCACGGGCAGGAGAGCCGGCCAACGCATCCGAACTCCAGGCTTCACCTCTTCTGTTCAACCACGAGCGTTCTGCACAGGCTAACAACCACAACCCTCTCATTTCCACCAAAACCTCCTCTAAACCTGCTCAGGGAGAGAATGACAGTGTTATGTCCCCACACAGCAGAGATGGTATAGCATCGCGCGGCTCAGTCGAAATCAGCGCCACAGGCAGGCGCAAATCATTCGATCGCAAGTCCTTCAAGAGTCTGAATGCACCGACGAGCCCGAAGAAAAACACTTTAAAGCAAGTCACGACGATGCCACCGCTCGACACTAATCTCGATAAAACTAGTCGCACTAGTCGATTCTTCAAGCGTATCTCTCATCTTGGTAAGGACAAGAAGAAGAGCGCTCCTCAAGTGCCCACAATTACGACTACTCCTTCTGAGCCCATGTCCCCCACGTCTGCCACCCGATCAGGCCCAACCAGCCCCGCCGCTGTCGCTTCGGTCCCAGAACCAGTCCAGCAGTCGAAGAACGACCTTGCACCCCCGCCTGTCGCTCGCAACCCAGCAGTCGCTGCTGTTTCGGCTCCCAAGCCACGCCCAGACTCCATTGCTGATGTTCCCCCTCCTGTCTCGATCGGAGACTTCAACGTGCAGTTCCCAGATGCAATGCTCTGGAAGCGTCGCTGGATCCAAATTGACAGTACTGGTCATCTTATTTTCACCGCGGCTGCTCGCCACAGCAGTATTTCAAAATCGTTCAACTCAAAGTTTCATCTCAAGGAACTCGGGCCTCCCTTCATCCCTGATTTGGATAGACAAGAGATGCCACACAGTGTGATCTGTGATCTTGTACAGGGCGAGGGCTCTATACAGTGTGCCAGTGAGGATGCCATGTCGCAACGCCAACTTTTGTCTNTGTAGGTTACAGCCACCACTTTCAAACCTTTCGTTGCTAACACCTTCATAGTGCTTACTACTTACCACCAAGCTTGGCAAGCTGCTTAACTTTCATCCTTGGAGATCAGGAATCAGACATACCCATCAAAAGCCTATGGCAACACAGGATAATGTTGCCTCCTACCTTCACCTCTACGCCCCAGCAGTTTTCATCGGTCAAAACGCACACAGTCGCTCCTTCAGAACTTTGCTTGTCTTTAGATACCCCTTCCCATTTCTTCTTCCTTCTAATCCGCACGTTGCGATCTTCTATGTACGATAATTCAAACCTCGAGGCTTGCCTCATATTTTTCTTTGTTGTTTTACTTCTTGCAACGCAGAACTGTGCATGTGGTGTTCTTCTTGTAGTATCATATCGCCTTTATGCACCTTGTAGAATCGTGTGATATTGCTCTCCAACGTAGAGCCACATGCAGGCTCGCGAGACGCAAATAGGGAGTTTGTTCAGCCAGATACGACCTCCCCGTGTGCCAAAGGATATAACTCCCATTGTTTACCGACTACAGCTGAGAGCTAAAAGGTAGACTATCCAAAGGCACAATTGTTTCCGTGGTGGAGGCGTATCCACAAAGAGTCGACAAATTGTTGCTTCTCAGTGGGACTGTCTTGTTTCCTGTTGCTATCGTGCATTTCTATAGCTACACGCGTTACATAGCTCTGCGCATGGGAAGGGAGTTGAGTGAGACTTCCTTTGAGCATATGTTCTAATGTAAGGGTTGCTGGATTGTGCATTTTCATAAACTGTCGGCAAAACACCACCATTGTCGCCGAGCGCTGTAGTTTCTTCCCCGGTCAGACCATCTCTCTACCGAGCACCTTCCTCACCGAACGAGATGGCAATCATGACAACCATAGCTCCATCTTACAGAAGACGAGTGTTCATCAAGATAAGTCAAAATTGTTATCCACCTTGTGTATGGATAGATAGCAGCACGCCGAAGACGGCACTGCCGAGCCGGACGTCCCCTCGGCGAAGAAGTGCGAAGTCGCTGATCTTGGTGAAAATCGTTCTCCTCGATTGTTCGGCATCTCAATCGTTTTGCCGCAGACGACTCTGGCAGTTCGTCCTGTCCTGACGTAGATATTAATGCCTCTGACTCTTGAGTGTCTATCTCTCTGTATCTTTTAATTTACGTCCCCCTTCTTCTTACCGCACAACTTGTTGAAGTTTTTCCTTTGACCACATCTATGAGAGCGAGGTTTCGATCAAATATCTCAACAAATTGAGGCATCATGGGATCTTCAACTGCAGCACCGCCAATAGCCAAGGAGACGTTCAAGAGAGGCATGGACCTGCCAACCTGGCACAAATGTGTTATCCTCTTCACTGTCAGTTTTATGTGCCTAGCGACCACATTCTCGAGCACATGTCTATACCCAGCAACGCCGGAGATCGCGGACGAATTCGGCACTACCTCTGAACAAATCAATGTTACCAATGCTGGAGTATTGTTGGCTATGGGATCGTCCAGTCTGATCTGGGCACCTATTGCTAGAACATTAGGGAGGCGAACAGCATACAATGGTGCTATTGCCATCTTGTTCTTGTGCTCGATCGGCACGGCGTTATCGATCAATATGGCTATGTTCACGGCTATGAGAGTCCTTGCGGGTTTCGAAGGCACTTTCAACATGGTCGCAGGTTAGTGAACGCCATACATCCATACTCTCCCTCCGTGTGCCAGAAACTTTCGCGACGTAACTATAGAATTGCACAGTTGTGTTCCGAAGCTGACTCTGACCATGGAGATAACCTTTAATGGGGTGCTCTCTGCGGAAACCACATTCTTTGCAAAAGTATTGTGCATTTCCATAGCTGCATCTTGACAGCTCTGGCACATGGAGAGGCTTGATCTAATCTCAACACAACTAACTCATCTATAGGGCAAACTATAATAGCCGATATTTTTGACCAACGGAGAAGAGGCACTGCTGTGGGCTTCTTCATGGTTGGCTCTGTCCTAGGACCTGCGGTTGGTCCTCTGGTTGGCGGCATTATCGTCACCTTTGCCAGCTGGAGAATTATCTTCTGGGTGCAGACTGGCATGGTAGGACTGGGCTTGATGTTATCCTTCCTCTTTGTTCCCTCCATCGCTCAACCACACCAAACTACCGATAAACCTAGCTTTAAACTCTGGGGCAAGTCGCAAGTTGAGATGCTTAAAGTGTTTACGTTTCTCATATACCCTAATGTCTTCTTCGCGGTATGTCTTTCATTGGTGATCACTAGATGCTCACGACTAACAAGTGGTTCAGGATCTTGCCTGCGGTTTACTCGCTTGGAACCAATACTCTTTACTGGCAGCACCGCGCCATCTAATCAACCCTCGTTTCCATCTTACATCGCCCCTCGTCTCTGGCCTCTTCTACATCTCGCCCGGAGCAGGTTTCTTGTTAGGTGCCATTGCAGGAGGCCGGTTCTCCGACATGACAATGGCCAAAAAAATTCTCGAGCGTGGTGGAAAACGAGTACCGCAAGACAGACTCAACAGCGGTCTCTTTGCCTTCTTCCTCATTATACCTGCTTCACAGTTGATCTATGGATGGTGCTTGCAGTACGATGTCGGTGGCTTGGCTCTTGCCATCGTAGCTGCCTTCTTTACTGGATTCGGTCTTATGGCTGCGTTTAGTTCTCTTAACACTTATTGCGCTGGTAAGTCTAGCATCTCTCCTAGACTGTTCATATTGCGTATTGGACTTGCCAGCTAACAGATTTTGTAGAAGCGATACCCGAACAGCGTACTGCAGTCATTGCATCCAAGTACTTCATCCAGTACATATTCGGCGCGTCAGGTAACGCTGCCATTGTACCCCTAATTGATTCCATTGGTATCGGGCTTGCTGCCACGATAGGCGTTATCTTGTGCATTTGTGGTGGCGTTTTGGTCTGGATGCTTGCTAAGCATGGAGGTGCGATGCAGGCGTTTATTGATGCAAAGTTGGGTCATGTAGATACGGATGATGAAAATAGAGAAAACATATGCTCTCGAGGTACAAAGAAGTATCCCCGCGGGCGAAAGGGATTCTTGTATGTACCAATTGAATTCCACAATACTTTCAACCATCGTGGTAGTTTACACTGAGAGACGCCACCTGGTCTGCTCCCCTTGGTTGCTTCCCTAGACTCTAAGCTACTGCGTATCGAGATGGCCATACATAGGACAGATCTCTTCGTGCGAGGATACAGCATCATGCATTTTGTATCTCCCCTATCTGCTAAGTTCTTTCCATGTTTCTCGCCAGTCACAAGAGCGGTCTGAGAAGTGATTGTGCAACTTGATAACTTAATGTCGTTCAACGCCGCCGCAAGGGAGAAACGTGTGTGACGCAGAAAGGCAGTCCTTGCATCTGAACAGACGTGTCTAACGTAGGAACCATTGCCTTATGTCAACACGTGTTCACAAGATGGTCTGAGGGATGATCAAGGTTGGAATGAAAGAGTAGTTCGTAACAAGTATCTATGTGACAACCAGTCTATGAGTAACACCAAACGCTTAAAAGCAACCGTTGACAACAGGCTAAAATATGAAAGATATGTCGTGGTTTGTATGGCCAAGTAGAAGATAAACAATGATACGCAAAAGATTTTAAAATGGTATGAAAGAAAGTGTGCGCGAAGAGGGTATATACCAGTCGGATCTCGACAGGATGAAAGAAGACATCAAACAGAATAAGAAAAAAAGGAAAAACATGAAAGATCGTTTTCTAAGCCTCAGCCACCATGGTGACCGGGCCGTTGCGGAGAGGGGCACGATGGCCCTCGAAGCCCTCTGCGGGCCATCCTTGGTAGGTGACACCGTCGTCGACGACATCACCAGCCATGACGAGGGTGTGTTCGAGAAGCATAGTGTCTTCACCCATGTTTGCACCAGACAACAATCTCGAACCGCTTCGGAGCACACTGCGGTCACCGACAACTAAGGGGTTGAGGTTGAAGACACCACGAGAGTTAATGTGGGAAACCAGAGATGCATCGTCGACGGCAACGCGGTCACCAAGAGTGAGGAGGTCGGGCTCGGTGAACATCAGCGAAGGCAGACCGCCTGAGAAGAGAGAGCAGTCCTTGCCGATGGTGGCACCAAGAGCACGGAAGTACATGACAGCGAAGTGAGTACCGGTGAGGAGACCGACGACACCAGCGCCACCATAGCACTGACGACGCAGCTTCTCGACGGTGAGGAACAATTGCCAGCGTTGGCAGTAGCTGCTCTTGTCCCAGTCGTAGTTGCCGACTTGGCGTCTACCAAGAAGAATCCACTTGGCAGCAACAACGATGGCAAGAGCGAGAATTACCTGGACAGTGTGGAGAACAGCGATGAAGGCGGCGAAGAGGGCGAAGATGAGAACTGGACGGTAGGGAGTGTCAGGGTTGTGGACGGGGTCGGATGTCTTGATGAGCTTGGCGACAAGTTGCAGGGCACCAATGGACGAGATGTTCCAGTAGAAGGAGACAAAAATGGTTGTGAAGGTTGAGTAGAGGAAGATGGTCCAAGGGCCGAAAACGTGGTAGGGGGCTTTGCCTTCGTAGAAGGCGCGACCAAAAGGCGAAGAGGTTGCGGCTGCCTGCTCTTTCTCGACCACGGTCATAGATGAGCTGCTGCTCAACACACCCTCTTGGATTGCTTTCTCGTTGTCGGCCTTTTCTTTNTCGCTCAACGTCACGCTGCTAGAATTGGTAGTGCTGTTCAAGCTGGGCATGCCGTGTTGGGTGTTGGTAGCATCCGAGGTGGCAGAACGCTTGTTGCCACTGAGACACACAGCTTCGCCAGCCTTGCTTCCAACCCATACTGTCTCCTGCTCATAGTACTTGTTTCTACGAGTCAATGCACCACTGCCAAGGACACTCTTCTTGCCAACGGTGACGCCAGGCAGAAGCACCACACGATCAGAAATCATGGCGCCATCCTGGACACGAACGTAGTCACTGCCAGTACCGTCAGATGTTACCAGATGAGAGCGAGAGCCAAAGACAATGTCACTGCCGATATCGAGGAGGTCAAAGTCCTGGAACGAGGGACCGGTTCCAGGCCAGTAAACACGCTGTCCGACCTTAGCACCCATGGCACGGTAAAAGACTGACGTTGCCTCGTAGTGACCACCGAAAAGCTCAGTAACCTTGTGGAATGCAGCAGGAGGTGCAACAGCCTTGAGCACAGCCATACGGAAGCGTTGGGCCTGCGATCTGGACTGGGCCGGTCCGGGAGTAAGTTTACCGATGGTCAAATCCAATACCTTCTTGAGAACCCAAACAGCAAAGAACCACGCGAGTGGACCTGCACCGGCACCGAAGATCTTTGCAGCGAAATGCCAACCAATACGATGGGGTACGGCAAACCACAAAATAATCGACTGAACCTTGTCTGAAGTAGGCTTGGGCTGCGTCAGGACAAGACCAACAAGACCACCAATCCAGGGACCGTTCTTGCAAAGAGTGACAAGCAAAGAGATAGGAGTGATCAACAGGAAAGAAAGAATAGGGTGAGCTCCAGGAATCTTGCTGGCAGACAAATCGCGGAACTCCTCGCTGGCATCATCAGCTTCCCAGCTTGACGAGTTGGGACCGATGCATGCATTGTCAGGCACTGAGGTTCCAGGAGCGACAATAGACGCGAGACCGACACTTGCTGCCTTGCCAACGCGAACATGACCAAGGTACATGCTGGTGTTCTGTTCAGCACCAAAACCTCTGCAGATGCATTGGTCCAAGTTTGCTCCGTCCTCGAGCGTGACCAGATCGAACTCGCGAATGACAGCACGCTTAGCGATCTTGACGCCTTTGCCAATCTTTGCTCCCATCAAACGATAGTACAGAGTGGTACCAAACTCAGACGAACCGAAGAAACCCTTTCCAAGAACAGTGATGATCTTGTCGGTGACCCACCAACGGGTGTGGTAAGGGCCCCACATAGGATACATACCCTCCTTGTATGTACCGATGATAATCCATTTGAGGAAGATGGCAAGAATTGGGCAGACGATGAAGGTGACGGCCTTAGCAACACCAAGAGCGAGCATCAAGTTGAAGAGACGTCCGATGAGCCTAGTCGCAGTGATCCAGTCGCGTGTGGCACTGAGCATGTACATGAAACATGTCCAGGTCAAAGCACGCTTCATGGGGTAGAGCAAACCGATGGGGAAAAGCTGGATCAAGAGGACAAGGGGGTTGGTGGAGCTGTATGTCTTCTCGCAACCGTAGTTGGCAGGAGCCTGCTCAGCTTCAGCAGTGGCATGCTTCTCATCAGTAGGACCACGCATGTCGTCAATGTTCATGGCCAATGCGCTGATTTTGCTGTGCACGAAAAGCAGGTCAATAGGCAGGCGAACCTTGAACTCTTTGCGAAGCTCAGACAACAAACGACCAGCACGAAGACTGTCACCTCCCAAAGCGAAGAAGTCTGATTCGGGAGTAAGCTCGGAAGCAGCACATGAGAGAATGCGGACGAAGACTTCAGCAATCTTGGCCTCGGTTGAAGTCATATCTCCACCAATCTCATCAGGACCGGTTTCGATTAGGGTCTCCAGCTGGGCGTTGTCAAGAGAGCCCTCCCTATCTCTGGGCAAGGGAACATCGAGGCAGTGCACTTTGCTTGGGATGAGGTAACCATCAAGTTCAGCGCGTAGAAGCGAGTCGAAGCTAGGGTAGCTTGACATAACTGGAGTGATAGTAGAGTTCTTGCGAGGAGCGAGGAAAGCTTCTGGGTATCCATCATGAGACGCCTTTCTGACAGCAATGTCGATATCCGTGCCGAAGACAGTCGAGAGCTTGCGTGACAGGAATGCTGCATCGAAGGAACAGATTGAACCACCAATGCGGGTGCTGAGAGGAGTGTTTGGTGGAGGGCAAGCTGCTTCAAAATGGCGATCCGCCAAAGGCGTCTCGTCAGTGATCTCACTTAGACCAAGACGCTCTGCAAGCTTGATACGCAGCACCTTGTTGTTGTTCTTGGGAAGATCATCCATGTACACAACGTAGGCGGGCCACTTGACTTGACTCAAGGAGTCTTTCAAGGCCTCTTGGACGGTCTTGATGTCGGCACGACGGGCACCAAGAGGAGTAACCAAGACCACACCAGGAACCTCCTGCAACACATCGTGAGGCATTGAGAATGCCAGAGCAGCAGAGACGCGACCGAAGAGAGGGTTACCTTCACGCTTGGCAGCAGTGACAACAGCTTCCTCAATCTCGAAGGGAGAGATGAGCTCACCACCTCTGTTGATGACCTCCTTACTTCTGCCAGTAACGTAAAGGTACCCATCTGCATCCAGATAGCCCATGTCACCAGTGTCGAACCAACCATCGGCAGTGAAGCAAGAAGTATCCAACACATCGTTTTCTTTCAGGTATCCACCAAACACAGGTGCACCTCTGACAGCAATGCGGCCGACTGTGTGGATAGGCAGTCTGCTGTCGTTTCCATCGAGAATAGCCATATCTGGACCAACGCTGACACCAGATGTGCCAGATCGGTCGAGTTGATAGTTAAGAGGTGGACTCGAGATAGGCATACACTCAGTCATACCGTAACTTGGAAGAACAATACACTTGAATGTGTCACGTAGTGTGCATGCAAGCGAAGGCAGAAGACCACCAGCTGCGTTGCAAATCAACCTCATCTTGCTGTTCTCCAGTGCTGATGGGCGGTTGCGACCCTCTTCAAGAATGACAGAGTGCATTGAAGGAGAGGCATAGTACCAGGTCGGTTTCAAATCCTCAACGACATCCCAGAACAAGTTGGCGTCAAAGGCTGGGCAGCAGATTGTGGAGCCACCAGCCATGATGGGAGCGAACAGATTTCTGACGATACCACCAACGTGGAAGAGCGGCATCATGTTGATGCAAATGTCATTCTTGGTCAGGCCCCAGGATTCAATGACAAATCCTACACCGGAGATAATGGTGTGGACGGTGTAAGGTACGACCTTCTTCTTACCAGAAGTGCCTGATGTGAACAGTACGAGAGCGATATCGTCAGATCCGTTGGGCTTAGATTTCGAGCTGACGACCACGGGAGATCCGTTGCTATAAGTCATGTCGAAAGTTGCGTCGTCCTTGGATTCGACTATGATTACTTCAATACCAGCATCGCGGACCCAAGAGCCATCCAGTCCTAGTCTTTGAACATCTGGTCGTGTTACAAGAACGATGCTAGCTCCTGCTTGCATGACATCGCTTTGGAACTGTTCTGGTCCTGACGCTACTGTCACAGGAGCTGCTGTATAGTAAGTTGCAGTAGCCAAAAGAGCCAATCCTAGCGTGGGACCATTTGGTAGAGCTAGAGCAACGACGGTCCTAGCTCCAGTAGTCTGCTTGGTAGGCAAACTGAAATCCCTTACAAACTGATGTAGCCTTCTGTGGCTGGTGGGGTTTGAAGATGAGGCGCCATAAATTGCGGGGGTATCTGACTCGGGGAGTAGCGAGCAGACATCTGAATAAGTGTTCTTCATCTGTTGTGATAGGGTGTCCAGAAGGGCGTTATGTTCCGTGTTTCTGCCAGCTTTCACATCTTCGGGAAGAAGGTTCCACAACCTCGAGAAACAACATGATAGGTCAAATGTCGGCCAGGATCCTGGTAATGTGTTGAGCAAGGATGTGAGTAGCCGCAAAGAAGCGAGAGCAGTGTCGTTAGACAGTGGTAACGATGCTAGAAGGTTTGTCTTGTTGATGAAGGGGTTGTTTATGGCAGCGTCCAAACAATTTGAAAGAGCCTCATGGTGGCTTGTGGCTAGTTGTTCGTTTTGAAAGACATAGTTGGCAATAGTAGTCCTGTCCATGGTTGATGATAATATGTGTGGACAATAGGGACTATGAGCAAACAGTCATGTATATCGAGAAAGTAAGAGGAGGAAGGGATACAGTTGCTAGCCTCGAGAGGCGTACGATGACCCTATATGTATAAAGGGATGAATAGAACAATCCCCCGATGATACCACCAGACCCGTTGGCTCGGTACACCACCCATTTCAACGGTGCCTTGTCAGTGAACCCAAACCTTACGCCCGTGACTCGCTTGACATTATCAGAGGCTGCAGCTGAGGTCGCAGAGACGCTTGAGACACGGCTATCTTTAGTGGAGAACATGTGGAAAACAAGCATAAAGGAGAACGATGTGCTAGAACGCGTAAAGAGCGTGGGTCCTGGTTCCAGACAGACAAAACAGCTGCGCAGATCCGAATGGTCAATGTGGGATCGGAAAGGGCAATTGATCAGACAACTGGGCATCAACCAAATCATTCAGCCTTTAGTGCGTGCTGCAGAGTCTGCACTCTGCAGCTAGGTTGAGTACTCGGATTGCAGACATACGGACACCTACCAAGCTTGGATAGTAGATGGCCTCGGCGAAGCCGTTTTCAGCACCTGGAGTGCACGTCCGTGCCTCAATGAGGTGAGCTAACCTTATTGACACCCCCGTGGCTTTACACGTGAGGCTAGCAGAGCTGATATCAATGGCTTGGAGTCAATAACACAGCATGCTTTAGGGTTACACGACGAGGTTTCAAATTGAGCTGGAGCAAGCAGACTGAGCCAAGTCCAGCGTGATGGTGACTATCACAACATCTCTATCCCTGCAGAATCCCGATGGCAGAGTAAAGAGAGCCGAAAAACCTGTTCAACCAGACATGGAAGCGCCGGTTTATTGACGTCCAACGCCAATTTAGCGACCGTAGTCGAAGATCTTTTTTGGTTCAAGCTCAGCGGCTAGCCGTAGTCCGTGCGGCCTGGCCCGCGAGCTAGTCTGCAAGGTACGATGCATCGCTCCCCGACGAGGAAGCAGCTGAGAGAGGGCTTGTGGCGGCCAGATGGCGAAGGGGAAACTAACTTTGCCAAAATTGGCACGAGACATGGAGAACGGCAAATTGTAATGACCCCTCAGCTTTGTTGCTGTATGGGCTGAGCTGAGGGAGCTGGAGAGCAGGTGCATCGGCAATCTTGGAGTGAGAACGATGCGAGGTCAGGTCGAGTCCAGTCGGGTCCAATCGATTTCGAGCCGGTAGACAAGAATCGCGTGGGTTGACCCGGAACGGCCGTAGAATTTTCGCGAGATTCTTGTGCTTGCCGAAGGTTTGCGCACTAGCGAATACAAGTAGCACCTGCATCTTGCTGCTGCGCGCCTTGCAGCGGAGGCTGAGAAACATAAAGGAGTCTAATTCAACATTCGATGATAGCCAGCCTAGCAAAAGTAGCTTAGGCCGACTACCACCGCCGTGGTACATATGACATGTCGCGCCTATTTCGATGTCGACCATGCGATTGATTAAAGATTTGTGATTGGCATCGATGGACGTGTGTCTCAAAGGCACAGACGCAGCGCTGTAACGTCATGGTCGGAAGGGCCGTTATGTGAGTTCTTTGTCTCAGCCTGCAGCGCCGCCGGTAGTTGTAGACTCCCCGTGTGATGAACAGTCACAGTGTGGCTGCAGGAATGCACAATACATCTATCAAGAACATGATCTTCACAGAGAGAACCCCATTTGGGTTATCTCAATGGCCAGATTCGTATTCGAGTCGCGACTGTGCATTTCGATAGGTAGCTTATGATAATCCTCATACTTCGGGATGGAGAAGGAGCCAGTTGCAAAATCGTAACTGTCTTTTGGGTGGCTGTGTGGTTTGCAGATAACTCTGATTTTCGCGCATAGAGTCCGAGGTCTCAAAGTCTCTTTCGGAGCGTTCCTCGCGACTTGGTTACAATGCTGTCATAGCACATACACAGACATCGGGGAAAAGGGGTTGTTGGCTAATGGCGTGAAGTCGATGCTCTTACCATCGGTCAACCAAACAGAAAAAACGAAGATCCGTAGTTTGGTACGTGCGAGAGCAAAAGGTCGTCCTTGATATCCTGCGATCGTCGCCTGCATAATCAACGCGCATTGCCAAGCCAAGGCCGTCAGTATGCGAACCCGCGAGACGAAAGTTTAGATACACTTCATGCAGGAAAACAATAGGGCAGCATACAGATACGATTTTATCGAATCCCAAAGGGCTATTTACCCCCATTCCTCGCAGGATGCTATTGTCTTGGAAGGGACTGTGCTGGATCTCGCAGTTCATGGCCTTCCAAGAGATCTTTGTCTTGGTTACGGTCGACCAAGCTGGGGTGACGTGTGGGTCTACACAAAACGATATGGAGAAGTTGGACGAGAGACAACAAGGATGGGAGACACCCGCTGTCCGAAATGAAAACGGACGTCAAGAGTGGAGCAGCACAAAGCAACTGACAACCACACGGCTTGTGTGTTAACCAGGGTATGAGACTGGCATGGTTCATGACTCCACCAACATTTCAGCAGTCAGAACATTCAATCACACACGTAACTACGTGTACGTACATCAAGCAGCTACCACATGTCTGTCCGTTGAAATGCAATGTGCGCAAGGTAACATTGCACAGTACCTCTCGAAATCAACCCGGGACCCACCGAGAGTCATGATTTCCCCGGTTCTTGGTCGACTCGTCTTCAATATACAAATGCATGTGCATTCGATAGCTTGGCCGTCGTTCTGCGCCGTTGTGAGAGAGTAGGACCTTGACAGTCAGCGTTGTGAGCGTGAGTGGATACACCTTGCACAGACCACGAGCCTGATCATCTATGTAGATCTTGGGAAGATCCTAGATAACTGTAAATGGTTGAGGTGACCGTTGATAAGACGAAACATCGGTCAATCGCATCGAGGCGTAGAGATTTCTACACCTCCATGCGTGCAGACACCACTCGATTCCGAAGTCTACCATACACCCACTGCACACAAGCACCGGAGGGATCGTCCGAGAGCCACCAACGACCTTAACGTCTTGGCATATAACCGCTTGTTTCAAGCGTGATAGATTCGAACGATCTGCGGTTCGCATGGTATGGATGTTTCTATACGCAGAGATTACCATGGGGCTGGGCTTTTCCTACCGCACAGCACTGGTATATCACCATCAAAACGATATCGTCGTTCTGGTATTAGAAATAATGCGTTCGAGTCCTGGCTAATCAAGCTATCTCTGGACGAGTCACCCATTCCCAAAAGCACTGTACGCTGTAATGCCATGCTCCACGAAGGGCCCGAGACCGGTGCTTGTGGGGTCCCCTCTACCACTACGCTTGGTTTAGTCTGCCAACTGCGGACCGGACCTGATCAACAGACAGTGCTGTGAGTTGATCACCATCCCGATGGTAATTTGACGTAGCTAGGTAGCGCTGAGGACTCCTTGGGTACGAATCGAAGCATACATCGCAAGTCTGCAAGTCTATGCTCCATGCAGACCGACAGAGATCATCCAGAGGGTCCACTAACGTGCTCAGTCAAGAAACGGGCACAATGCGACGTCGTGACGAGAACAAGACAAAGCATGGCCTGAGGTAGGTGACACGCAATGAGGAGTGCTCATCAGCAACGTGTATCCAGTATTTGAGACGATGGAAAAGTAGCGACAATACCCTATTGGACCTTAGCAATTAGCCACCAGTGGTGATCATACAAACGGGATTCTTGGCGTGTGGATTATCACAAAGAATTTACTCTACCGACAACATCGTCACATCTTTTCTTGCCCAGACATATACGCGTACTCTCGTGGGGTAGGATATGACTAGCTTCCATGCATGAGACTCGGACGCACATCCTGGATCATGATGTGACCATGGAAGAAGGATATACTTTCCCAACCGACGAGATGCATACAGGCTGCTGATCCAGTGGGAAAGACTGACAATCACCAGGGTGCGAAGCTCAACGCGACAGACGGTCTCGAGAGCTAGAGTAAGGGTGAGTGTGTTCAACAACCCGTACGGCCGACAGATAGCAAGCAAGCAGAACTCCAGGGTGGGTTAACACAGACGAGCGTGGTTTGTGAGGCAGTGCATGACGAATGCAGCAAGGTCGGGAGGACTGGAGTTGGGCAGAATACAGACAAAGTCACTGACCTATCCTTTGCGTCTGCTCCAGTGCTCATGTCACCTCACGACTTACCTCGCTACTCTCCAAAAGCTCCTCGCCTCGTCTCAACCATGCAGATACATAGTATATCTTTTTTGGTTCGTAGGAGGTCTCTCGCCACGGGTTCCCTAGCAAGCAACCACATCATACATGCCTCGTCTTCTCGTTTACTTAATGGCGATGACAGGTTATGGACAGGCACAATCGCTTCCAGACCCAAGAGAGCCAATACAGTGTCTCGTCTTGGTGAATTCTGTCGTATGCCTCGTAATCGTTCATACTCCGAGTAGCCACGCGCAGTCAACACTTCAGCACGTATGGGAGGTAGGACTGCTGCAGAGACGATGCGCAGTTTCACCGCTCGGTTCCAAAAGCGCTGAAAGTCAAGAAGTTCTCGTATAAGAGTAGGCAGGCAATGAGGAAAGAGCGGTCAGAGCCAAGGGCTTGGCCAGCTCTCTTAAGGGCGTAATTCCCACCATCTAGGACGTGAGGACTTCAAGTCGGGTTCGTTTGGTACTTCAAGATGTCGTCAAGACATACGAGTGTCTTTCAAATGGAGACACCCTGACATGAAGAGGGGTCGTCTTTGTAGACGTCCGCCGTGCGAGAGGCCATTTGAAGACGACCACAGCCAGTAAGAAGCTTGGCCCTTGACTTCCGGTCGAGGGACGGGACGTGGTAACACGTGTGTATCGGACAAAACAGTAGTTTATGGCAGATGAATTGATTCCAAGCATGGGTTAGCAAGGGACGGCAGAGAGCGCCATGTAGGATTCAGCAGTGGTTCGGCGAGGGACTTGATAGGAAGTTGGATGGTGGAGGTGGTGCAAGGCGGTTGCTGGGCAACGCAGCTGCGGCGTACCAAACAACAAAGACGAAGTGTGGTTGTTAAGTATAGTGGACGGGCAGGTGGTTTGGCGCCGGCGACTGTTGCATCTCTCGTTTTGTCTTGTTGTCTAGATTGACGTCTTGTATAGCTGAAGAGTGGCAGAGAACAGGAAGTACTTAGTCGCATTCCTCGTTGCAGTTGCAGAAGAATTCACGTTGCATCTCTCGGCACGCTACTCCAGACTGCCGACACTGGCGTGAACGAGGCGCGCAGCACTAGAGTCGTTCGTCGAGCAGCCTGACATTCTACAAGCAGACGCTGCTGTCCTGGTACATGGTCTCAAACACCGACATCTGACGCTCTGGTCATCCGCTCTTTCCTCGACAGGCTGCCGGCAGCCTACACCTGTGCCGACAACATGGACACTGGGCATCTGTCGCACCAAGTCACAACCATCATTGACCAGCTGCATGGCTTCTTTGACGAAATCGGCCTTCCCACACATGAACGAAACGAGAGAGAGTCAGAGCTGTTTGCTGCTCTGTCCGAAACACTAAACAACCAGCTCAACCTGGTCGCGAAGTGAGCTGCCTCATCGACCATGCGCATTCATAAACCCACCCAGTGCTGACGTGCGCTGCCAGAGNAAAAGCACGACCTTACAGACGAGGCCCGCCGCTTGATCAAGTCGATTCGCCAGATCGAGGCCGCCTTGGTCGACGACAAGCCCCACCGTGAGAGCGACCATCAGGACGACCACCTGAACATCACCCTCCCACTGCGCGACTGCATCACATCTCTCAAGGAGAAGCACAAGACTGTCTCGAGCATCCACCGTGAACGCTATGAACAGATCAAAAGTTGGTCCCACCACCTTCGCTGCCACTCTTCTGTTACTGACCTGCCCTGTAGAANNCTGGCCGAAGCCCTCGAATCCTATGCCTCTCACCTCGAACCTTCGTTTGTCACCATCAAACTCCCTCCTACCTCGCCCAACTCCAAGACCCCTGCATCCTTCGATGTCTCGCCCTCCTACGTCACCTCTCTGGACGATGCTTTCACCCGCGTCTACGAAGAATACAACAAGCGTCTAGTCACAGTACAAGCTCTGGCAGAAGAAATCATCATGCTCTGGGGTGAACTCGGCACTCCTCAAGCCCAGATCGACAGTGTTATCGTCAAGCACGCTCGCAATGCTCCTGAACAACTGGGCCTACACCTTGAGGATCTCAACCGCCTGAGGAGCAAGAAGGAAAAGCTGCTGGCCGAGAAGCGCAATCGCGAGATCAGAGTGGAAGAGCTCAAAGAGGCCATTGAGGCATTGTGGGACAAACTGGGAGTCGAAGAGAGCGAGCGCAAACCTTTCTTGGCCAGTAATAGAGGTTGTGGTCTGCGCGCCATTAACGAGTTCGAGGATGAGCTGGCTCGTCTGAACGAGCTGAAACGCCAAAACCTGCACCTGTTCGTCGAAGATGCGAGGTTCAAGTTACAGGAGCTTTGGGATGGTCTCTATTTCTCCGAGGAAGAGATGCTCGAATTTACGCCAGCCTTTTCAGGTGAGTTGAGCAGCAGCTCGATATGCTCAAGCAACTAATCACCAANNGCAGATGTCTACTCGGATGCCCTGCTCGAGGCTCACGAGGCCGAAATTGCCCGACTCGAAGCGCTTAGAGAGCAACGTGCGCCAACTCTCGCCATGATCGACAAGTACCGCTCGCTTGTTAAGGATCGCGATGATCTGGCTGCTTCTTCGCAGGACGCCTCTCGTCTCATGCTTCGTGGTCAAAAAGGCGAAAAGCGTGACCCAACTCGTCTCTTGCGAGAAGAAAAGATGCGCAAGCGCATTGCCAAAGACTTGCCCAAGGTTGAAAGTGATCTACGCCAGATTCTCGAAGAATGGGAAGAAGAGTATGGCCGTCCCTTCCTTGTCCATGGCGAACGCTACCTAGACGAGCTGGAGGCCACTTCGCAAAGGCCGGCCACTCAAGGTTCGGTTCGATCCAAGACTCCATCGATTCCTCCTCGATCAAAGACGCCGTCGTCGGTTCCACCTTCTACTGTCCGTCCCAAGTCTGCAGCTGCTGCCGCTCCGACTACCGCCATCAAGAATCAGACATTGCGTGGTCCTCCTCGATCCAAGACTCCCACCGCGTCACGCAATCCTTTGGCCTCGTCTGTCATGGGTCCTTCCTTGTCACATTCATCGTCTAACTCCTCGTTTGCAGCTTCGGTCGGTCCGGGTAGTCTCCGCAGTCCCTCCAAGATCCCTAGCCGTCAGCCCCTGAGCAACATGCTTCAAGCTGGCACTTCAACCGCACGTCGCCCTCNNCCCCCTGGTCCTCTGGGTCATTTTAGAACAGAGTCGGACAGTAGCACTCTTCGCAGCCGTATGGCCCCGCCACCGCGACCTATGCCCTTGTCACGCGACTTCTTCTCACCACCCGAGACCCCATGTCCAATCAACAACGCCGACATGTCGTTCGAACGTAGCGGCAGCATCATACGTCACATGAGCCCCGAAGATCCTTACAGTGACCGCAGCTCATTGCGATCCGTTCGCACCTTCCAGTCTACGGCTTCCTCACGCCCAGCATCGCAAGCCACGCACCATTACGTGGCAGCGGCACCACGACCCTCGCCACGCTTCGAGTACCCCGCTGCACCGCCAGCACCGGCCATGACAAGACAAACGTCGAACGCCTCGTCAGTTGAGACTAGCAGTTCGGCTGTCTCTGGTTCTGAGAATTGGGAGACATATACGGATGCTTCTGACGATGAGGAGCCCGATGCTCGAATGGCATATTATGCCAAAGTACGCACGACCAGGCGTGAATCGCCTGAGGACAGCTACGAAAGTACCGGTAAGGGCTTTGGCGCCAAAGTGCGAGCAATAGGTGCTTCAGACGACGGCACCGAGGCCGCATGGTCCGACGTGGGCGAGACGTTTTGATGAATCTTTTCCTTTACTTCTTCTTACGACCACTTTTTTCTTCTTCAGATTAGCGATGTCTGGATCGATTGGTTCGATTAGACCGCATCTGGACACATGATGTTCTTGTTGTCTGTTTCTTGTTCTTGTTCTTTTGGAAGGCAGCGCTGCTTCTTTTGATACTGCTCTTTTCTCTTGTCGTGAGCATTCTTCGCTTCTATGCTCTTTTTAGCCTTAGATGCTTTCTCCGTTGTCTTTGTAGTACTGAACGCTTTTTCTTTGCATCATTGTCACGATAATGACGATCGCAAAATACGAAATCTTATTCGATCACTCTCTCCAATTTTCAGATGTGTTCAAGAGATACAGAGCATTCTCGGGATTTACAGCAAGATACACTAGGAGTATCGTCTCTGTGGCCCTCTCTGAGGGTCATGCATGATTTGAGAACGATTGTGTACGTTGATAGCGCCGGGTCACATCATATAGATCAAGATCGTGCCGCATGCAAAGGATGATGTGTTGGTGCTCATTGTGACAATATCAATCTTGATAAACATGTTTGTTCTTCATTGAGCAAAGCTGAGGGGAGATGCTACATAGTGAGCTACACAGCTATACTGCAAGACGGATAATCGCTTGAGGTGCAACAATAGCAATGCGACCCGCTCGCATCGAACAGCCATATGCTAATGAACAGACGAATACGAAGCCTTCGCTGAGTGATCAATAATGGCTGACAGGATTGCGTAGTTGTCGTGAATTACAAAGCATCATCGAAGATCATCGAAGTTGTGATCGACGAGCAGCATCAGCTTCGGCCACTGACTCTTTTCCAACCCTTTGATGCGTTCCGTAGTGGCGGCATCTCTCTTAGTTTTCTCCTCGAAAGATACGTTCTGGTTCGTAGTAGGGAAGGGCACTTGTCTCGAAGGTGTGGAGGAATTGCTGACAGTAGAAGTTGCAGACAAAGCTCCACGTAGCTGAGATGGATGTACGGACGGCTTCAAGCCAAGGTGCAGCAGCGCCCGAGCAAAGCGTCGTTGATGGTCTTCAGTCAGGCTCATGGAGTTGCGATCGACCAATATGGAGCTTGCTGAACTTCCAAAGACACTGTCAGTACTACTACACATCGGATCGAGCTGTACCTCCCATTGTGCAGCTTGAGTCGGAAGAACGAGGTAGCATATGGTTGCTTTCTCGGGATCGGACGCTGCGATTTTGTAGCGCTTATCGGTTCTGTTCAGGTATTCAGTGGTCGACATGTCCAGTATATCATGCATGATAAAGACGTCCAGGCCGAAATATGCGCGCAAAATNCTGGAATATGGGTCAGATTTCGCCTTAGCCCGTGTCAATCATGTACCCACCTCGGTGTTTCCCTTGGAACTCATGTGCTCACGAACTTTAGAAGGCCAGATCATGTTGTTTTCGTCGCGAAGGTCCCAAATAACCTCGTTTTGGTGCTCTCGAACGACGGCCATCTCTTCATCGACGAGTTCTTGAACATCTACAGGTAGGTTGGAGTATCCGTTGGTAAGCAACTCTTCCAAAGGCCATTCCGGGTGCGCATCAGAGAGCCTAGTCAGAGCATCTTCGACTGCGACTTCGGATCCAGAAGGAAAGCCCACCTCGCCCATATGATCACTTGCACGACACGATCCCTCAAAGCAACAATACTTTCTGGCCCATCTTTGACCAAAGCATTTTTCTTGTTGACGGTACAGAGCAAGAAGCTCTTTCTCGATAAATTCGATGAGCTCTTTGGGAAGTCGGGTGATGAAAGCGTTCGGGCCTTTGCCAAACTGATTACAGAGACGCATGGCGCGAATGACTGGAACGGCCTTGCGGAACGCGTCGAGGTTGCAAAGAAGGTTCACTATCTTGACTGGGATGCCCCTGTGGCGGATATCAGCATAGCACTGGATCGAGACGTGGTAGAGTAAAGAGTACCAGACTATGGCAGCGGTGGTATCCCCTATAGTGGAAAGCATGAGGACGGGATCTGGCGTATTGTCTTCAGTGAAGGGTTGGCGATGCGCGAACTGCGAAGAGCAGGATGTATGTTTTGGTGAGAGATGTGATAGAAGTTGATGGAAGTGAAGGTGCGAGGATGAAAGCGCTTCGTTTGTTGTGATTGAGAGAAGAGGTAGGAAGCAGTGAGGAAGCTGCGAGCAAATACAGACGAGCGCGGCTGCCTTGGATTCACTTTGTCTGAATTCAGCAAAACGAAGTCTTCGTTTCTTCTGTAAACTCATGTGAGAGCAATTGAGACCTGCATTGTCTTGCTCCGTCTCTATGAAATCGCCAATCTGCTTTGAATTGTTTCAAAGAGACACACAACACCTTCAAGAAGAGATAGTATCCATTCTGAACTCTTAGCACTCTCCATGGATATGTCTCTCAAGTGGACACGATTGTGCATTTTGACAGCTTACAGTAGGGTGCTATGCTGTCGTGGGAGGCGCGATCAGATACAAATAATGTATGCCTGGCACAACATGACATACCCAGTTGCAGCTCTCTTTGGACAAGACTCTAATTGGGAAAGTCATGTGCATTGTGATGGACAACCTGGAGCACTCTACGTTAAAGGAAGTTGAGTCCCTCACGCAGGTGCGTTGCCTGCCTGGGCGAAGTGCTCTGCATCTACCTCTATCTTGATCTGTCCTCTGTATTCTTTGCTGGTTCCCCAGCTTCCTGCTCCACTAGACGTCCAGCCATGTGCTCCTACAGATATGCACGAAACACCTCCGGTGCCAGAGCTGTGCGTTCCCATGGGGTCAGATCGGCATGATTCTGAGTTTCGCAATTTGCGAAACCTCTGTTCGAGAACGTTGTGTTAAGGGTAGAATTTTCTGTGGTTCGAAACTTGGGTGGGAAAAGAGATGGTCAAATTGTTTTCTCCAACGTCTGGGTGTGCCGTCGGTATGATTGCGGCGGGTGCCTGCATGGTTTGTTGACACTTTGGCGGATGCCGTGAAACGTAGGCTAGGCTCGTACAAATATGAAGCGCATGTCAACCAGATTGTTGCTGGGACCGCTCAGACTTTGTGTTCTGGCGTTTCGTTTGCGACCATCACGAAGGACTGTTTAGTATCTATGCGGAGGATAGGTTCACAGTATCACATGTCAAACTTGACGAGAGAGCCGGAGGATAATAGTCGAACTCGTGAGGCAAATGAAAGCGATCGGAGCGAGAGGCGCTAGGATCGGCGCAAAAGCGTCCCGGATGCCGGATGGTTGACATGTTGACCCCTGAGGGTTTTGTTTCCCATAATCAAAGAGCTGTTGGTTGCTAACGCCCTGACCATCGCTTTGGCGAGCAGTATTTATCATTGATACTCGGCGCACCTCGCAATCTTGAACTTTTGGCCTCCTCTGACATCCGTCGATACATCCATTTCCTACGACACGTCACGACAACTCGATCGCCAGGCACAGCACGCGCAAGAGGCGTCAGATTGGCTTTGTGACAAACAACGTCTGCGATAGGTTTCGACTGTTGGTCGGACGAATATCGTGGCTTTGACCGGAACAGGTACGTCAGTGTTTGCGATAGGCAGAGTTCCTGTTCGATTCTGCATGACCGCTGCATTTCGGCAACGAGGCAGACAAGCACATTGGGCACGGCAGAGCGATCCTAAGGCACATCACGATTTGGTGGTCGGCTGGCAGCAAAACAAATTGCAAAAAGGCTTCACGATGGCTTCTCCGCCGCCTTCCGACTGCCCTGCCTTGGCGCGCAATGAGGTCGTTCCGTCATGGCCGTTCCCCTTTAATCAGCCATGACAAGCCCCCGATTTATCGTCTGCCCAACCTTCGAATTGTCGCTTCTGCTTGTCGTTTTGTCGTGCCTCGCTCGCCCTGCTTGCTCGCACCTCTGCCTGTTTCTACCGCTCATAATTCTAATCCCTAATTGTGCAGAAGCACGCTTCCTCGAGCCATGCCGATACGCACCATTAATCCCTTTGTCGCGAACTCCTNNCCTCCCCCCTCGGTCGATGTCTTGAACGAAAAGGCCTCTCTCCAATCCTACAAGTCGCCTGCCACCACAAAGTCCAACAACCGCATCGCCAACTTCTTCTCGTCGCCCAAGTCCTCCTCTCTGCACCCGAATCCTCAGCAGGCCACTCGCCGCCCTCCTTCACCTCAAGTCAACCGTGCCACTTTGTCGCTGCCCACAATCAACCTCACAACCGCTACTGGCGAGAAGAGCAAGATCGAGGAGAGGCCAATGACCCTTTTCCAGCNNCCCCCTTCACCTGAAGAGGCTCGCCGCATTGCAAAGGCACACGCCGCTTTTGGCCCAATTGGCTCCCAAGAGCACCGTTACTCGAGTCGTCACGATGGACAAGCCTTCCCCGAGCCCATTGAGGATACTCCTCCCTACTACTTCCTCCTGACCACCTACATCAGTTACCTCGTTCTTATCATTTTCGGCCACGTGCGCGATTTCTTCGGCAAGCGCTTCAAGCAGGAGCAGTACAAGCACCTGTCGGCACGAGACGGATATGCACCGCTCAATAGCGATTTCGATAACTTCTACATCCGCAGACTGCAGCTGCGCATCAACGACTGCTTCAGACGCCCCATTACTGGAGTGCCCGGTAGATTCATCACTCTGCTCGACCGCAAGTCTGATGACTTCAACCTGAGTTTCAAGATGACGGGCACTACCACCGAAACCCTCAACATGAGTTCCTACAACTACCTCGGTTTCGCCCAGTCTGAGGGCGAGTGCGCAGACGCTGTAGAAGTTGCTACCAAGAAGTACGGTGTCAGCTTTGCCAGTCCCAGAGGCGATGCTGGCACTTCTGAGCTCCATGTCGAAGTCGAGAACCTGGTCGCCAAGTTTGTCGGAAAGGAATCAGCAATGATCTTCTCCATGGGTTTCGGTACCAACGCTACTACTTTCCCTGCTCTCGTCGGAAAGGGTTGTCTTATCATCTCCGACGAGCTCAATCACTCCTCTATCCGCTTCGGTGCTAGACTCTCAGGCGCTGTCATCGAAATGTTCAAGCACAACAACATCAACGACTTGGAGCGTGTTCTCCGCGAGAGAATTTCTCAAGGTCAGCCTCGCACTCATCGTCCCTGGAAGAAGATCCTCGTCGCTGTTGAGGGTCTCTACTCTATGGAAGGTACCATGTGCAACCTCCCTGAAATCATCGCTCTCAAGAGAAAGTACAAGTTCAACTTGTTTGTTGATGAGGCTCACTCCATTGGTGCTCTCGGTGCGCAAGGTAGAGGTATTTGTGACTACTTTGGTGTTGATCCTGCTGAAGTCGACATCCTCATGGGTACTTTCACAAAGTCGTTTGGCGCAAACGGTGGCTACGTTGCTGGTGACAAGGCTCTTATTGACAAGCTGCGTGTGACCAACGCCGGAACTCTCTTCGGTGAAGCTCCCTCTCCTCCGGTTCTGGTTCAAATCTCCTCAGCTCTTCGTTTGATCATTGGTGAGATTGCTCCTGGACAAGGTTTAGAGCGTCTCGAGAGATTGGCTTTCAACTCAAGATATCTCCGCCTCGGACTCAAGCGTCTCGGTTTCATCATCTACGGCCACGACGATTCCCCTATCATTCCTCTGCTCCTGTACAACCCCGCCAAGATTCCCGCCTTCTCGCACGAAATGCTCAAGCGCAAGATCGCTGTCGTCGTCGTTGGATACCCTGCTACACCACTCATCTCTTCCCGCGCCAGATTCTGTGTTTCTGCTGCTCACACCAAGGATGATCTGGATCGTCTGCTCGCAGCTTGCGACCAGGCTGGTGACATCCTGCAACTCAAGTTCAGCAGCGGTATCGCTGGCGGCAGAGAACCAATTCCAGATGGCTTGATGAACGTGGAGGAGATGGAGCACCGTGAAGACCTCGCAAAGGGCAAGACCCCCACATACCAACCACCTCGCTGGAAGCTTGAGGACATCATTAAGCGTGGTGTTCAGGACGTCAAAGCTCCTCTGTTCTAAGCGTTGTACGACTTCTCACGGGTCTCTATTTCGGCTCTTCTCTTTATCTTTCGGGGTTTTATCTGGAATCTCTATTCCTTCTGGCGTAACAAGGTGTTTGCGGAACAGCCATGACCGACGATCTGGGACTTGGGGGAATTTTTTGTCTTGGGTTTCGCTTTTCCGATTCTTCCTCTTAGCAGCGCTTACATATTGCATCAGCGCATTGCTTCTTCTTTTTGATTCTTCACAAGGCATTGCCTAAGCCTCTTTCAAGATTTTATAATCCCTAGAACTTTTTTTTGTAGTATACCACTGGCGATGTGCCAGCAACGACCGAGGCTATTAGGCCTGTGTCTACCGCAGCTAATTGCTGTCAATTCAAAAATCCTCAAACATCTCTTTGTTCATCTTCTCTCCTTGCTCTTGCTGTGTCGTGTGATAGCATTTGACTCTAGAGAACAGTCGACGCAATGTAAGGTCCCTCCTTCCTATGTACTGAAAGCTGCATCTTCCACTGTACTCCGAATATAGCTTTAGGCAACATGTAGACTGTAAAAAAGCATAGTCGTTTAGGAAGTAGAGGCGTGTCCACAGAGAGTCGACAACTTGTTGCTTCTCAGTGTATACTCTCTTGTTTCCTATTACTATTGTGCATTTCTATAGCTATACACGTTACATACTTTAGTACATGGGGAGGCTTGAAAGGCATAGAAGACGTCGCTTGGGTCCGTCACGCACATCTACCAGTCTGCCGGCTCTCCAACCTCGGGTCTCCCAAATGTTCAGCCATCACGATACACAGTGTTCTTGATACGAGGGTGCTGTCCATTGGAGCTTGTAGTCAAGCGTGTGCCTCGGTCTAAGACCCATCCTTACTCTTCTCGCACATTAGCATAAAGCATGTACACTGTTGAAAGACACGATTCTGTTCGGAAGCAGATAAACATAGCCAGAGAGAAGCCTCGGCCCGAGATCCGAATCTCAGACTTTACGCTCCTTCCATGTATCATGACTAGTCTATACATAACCAAATCACATTTTGACAGCCACTATCTGCCTGTCAACTCAGTATTCGGCTTGATTCTCCTGCGCTTCTTTCGCATAATCCACCTGTCAATTTGATCAGGCTTGCAGACGGCTTCTCCAATCACTGTCAACAAACCTAAACACATGGCACAACAACATGTCTGGAAAGTGGTCGGGCTCTGGAAACCGACTGTGTCCTCTTGCCCTACANTCTCACGGGCTTTTTCCTCATCTCATCCGGTCAACAGCCGAACCATCGACCCGGTAAAAGAAAGAATCAGAATCGAAAAGTACAATGAATACTGCAAAGAAAAACGCCGCACCGATCCAGAGTGGCTGCTCAGAAGGCAAGAAATCCAGAAGAGATTCGACCTAAAGTACCTGGCAAGCTTGACTCCCGAACAATGGGAGGCACGGTTCCAACGCGGCCGCGAGCTTAGACNNAAAAAAAAGAATGCCGAGGATCCTAGAAATCGACTCGTGGAGTGGGTCAAGACCGTTGTAAGGAGATATGGATGGGTGCGTGACCATCTACCCTGGAAAACTCACACGCCCATCTTTTATGAAGAACAGGTTCGGCATACTTGCAGTAGCTGCCTGGTTCCAAAGTATGGAGGTGCTTACAAGTTGTGGTGGGCTAGCCACGATGGCGAGCATTATTTGTGCTCCTCGTGCTATTTCAAAGGAACGGACATCATGCCCAAGGGCTATGAAGATGTTTCAACCATCAGAGAATTGAGGAAGCGTATGAAAGAGTTGGGTCATTGATCGAGGTCAATACTAAAGGTCGTAGAGCAGAGATTCAACTGCCTGCCAATGATATCCACTTGCATGGAGTTTCGTGGATGCCAATCATGAACTTTGAAGCAGAGCGTCTGAAAACACACCTATCGACTGCACTACCGACTTTGCTTGTTCAAGCCATAAGGTATCGGGTAAGGGAGAGAAGGATTCGAAGAGAACAACGATTTGGCGATTGGTTAGACGATCATATCGTCTCTATCTGGATGCAATATGAGGACATTGAGTTTCAGCAATCTGGAATGGCTGGTGCCTCCAACGTACCACCATACACAGCAACACACTTTGTTAGATGAATTGTCGCAACCCATGGTTATCTTCTAGGCAACTCCATCGAGAGTTGTAATGCTGGCTTTCAGTGAATCCGCCTCGTTTCGGAAAAGCACTCTGCATCTTGATAGGCGAACGCGGTCCAGAAAGGTAGTACGAGAGCGGTCCTGCCTTCATAGTTGAATGAGCCTTGACTTGATACTGGCCTGATCTGACCTGCCTCCTACAAAGATCTATAGCTGAGTCTAAGCTATCAAAATGCACAATAACCTCAAAACCGAATGCAAGTCCACAAAGAGCTGTCAAGACCGTGTCACTTGATGAACACAGTCTTGCTCTTCAAGACTTCTGTGCCTCTGCAGTTGTGTACTATGATAGGCTCATGCCAGGAAAGCAAAAGTTGATACTCGTAACGCTCTTCAAACCACTATTGTGTTAGACAAAAACAAAAAGTGGAGTAGCTGGGAATCGAACCCAGAACCTTCTCCAACTCAGTAATGCTCGAAGAGCAATGCTAAGAAGATGTCATACCACTAGACCACAACCCCATTTGTTGAAGCATTTTTGCGCAGCAAAATACATATCACTACAATTATCACAGGAGTGCTTGCAAGCAATGTACCACGACTTGTTCTCGAGATCTGCGAGCATCGAGCAGCCACAAACTTCCAAACACACAACCATGCCACGAGGGTCCGAATACAGCGACGAAAAGCGCGCCGCCGCGCTAATCATGTACCTCATCCACAAAGCCTCCCACAGCGACGTGGAAGCAAAAACCGGCGTCTCCAAAAGCGCAATACGCCAACTCTCATCACGCGCCCACAAAGCCGGTGTGGACAGGACGAGCATAGAAGAATTGATTGTCTTTGCACGCACGAAACCTAGGAAGGGAAGGCCAAGGAGAGATGCTACGAAAACAGACAAGGCGGCAGAGTCAGAGACGCGGCAGGAAGGAGGAATGACGAAGGTGCTTGAATGCGATACAGCAGCGGCCAACGCGGAACCGCGAGACTCAGCGATACGTGCGACTGCTGCGCCGGATCCGAAGATGGCTGGTGGCGAGGACTTGCTGGAGATGATCAAGAGTTGGGAACAACGCAAGGCACAGGCCTTCGATGCGGCTCATACGGCAACTGCTAAAGAGCAAGCGTGACAGAGAGAGTGGAAGTATGAGCCTCGTTTTCATTCCTGACACTCTATGCTACTTGGGTAGAATGTCTATGGAGCACCAAAAGCTTCACAAGTCCCAGCAGCTCTGTGTTGGGGGCAGGGTGACGCCGACAACAGTTGCTGTCAAGGTCGTCGACGATATCACGACATCACGAAGTATGATTTAACTACAAATGTATACCTATCAGATGTGTTAGATATTGCACCATCTGGTACTAGGCTCTTGTATCGATCATTGGTCTAGACGTCAATGTATCTCTCATATATACTTTTGAGTATGCATCACATGAAACTCCATCAACCAACGCACTATAACGAGTGTCTTTAGTGCTGGTGACATTAACATCAGACAGTGACGAGTCTATGTCTGTTTTCATTCTATGTGCCCTCGCCACACAAAGATCATCACATAATCCCAGTTTTTAATCGAAAACAGTCCTGTTGGAATTCTACGAAGTAAAGAAACTAAGTTTTTAGATTTAGACAGGGTGACCGACTTTGTTTGGTCACTCTCCAATGATAATCAGACCGTGTACCCAGACAACAAGTTTGGACAAAGTGACAGTTAATCTTTCGAAGTATTGGATTTGAAATTGCCATTACATGTCATTAACAGGAGATCTATATTCGAAGCGAAATGCAGATTTTATATCCTCTCACCCCTCAAGGATGGGTCTAGCCTCCTCGCTCTTCCACCAACTGACGCCCTCCTTGCCAGGGTACTCGAACTGATCCATACTCTCAGGCTTCATCTCCACACTGTATCCGGCCTCGGTAGGAGTAGTGTAGTAGCCATCCTTGATTACACTAGGGTGGAAGAAGTGCTCGTGCAAGTGGTCAACGTACTCGAGCACACTGAGNCTACCACTAACAACAACATAATCGATGGTGCTCAAGTGCTGAGTGTACTCGGGAAGACCAACACCACCAGAGTGAGGGACAATCGGCACGCCGAACTTCTTTGCGATGAGGAGGACAGCAAGAACCTCGTTCACACCTCCCATACGGCAAGCATCGATCTGGCAGACATCGATGGCACCTTGTTGTAGAAGCTGCTTGAAGATGACACGGTTCTGGCACATCTCACCAGTAGCGACACCAATGTTGTAGGGCTTGAGGGCTTCGCGAATGGCCTTGTGGCCAAAGACATCGTCAGGGCTGGTGGGCTCCTCGATGAACCAGGGCTTGAACTCGGCGAGTTGCTTCATGTACTCGATGGCCTCTGGGACTGACCAGACCTGGTTAGCATCGACCATGAGGAAGTTGCCTCTGTCGTAACCAATGACCTCTCTGGCGATGCTCAATCTCTCCTTGTCTTCGGCGACGCTGGTGCCGACCTTGAGCTTGAAGTGCTTGTACCCAGCGTTGAGGGTCTCCTGCAGCAGACCCTTCATCTTGTCCNNCTTGCCGTAACCCAACCAACCAGCACTGGTAGTGTAGGCAGGCACCGCTCTGTTGGCCTCAGCATGCTTGATACGCTCAGCCTTGCCAGGCTCCTCCTTCTTCAGCATCTCGATAGCCTCCTCTTTGGTGATGGCATCAGTGATGTATCTGAAGTCAATACACGAGACGAATTCTTCGGGAGACATCTCAGCAACAATTCTCCAGACAGGCTTGTTCAGTGTTTTTGCCCACAAGTCCCAGATGGCGTTGACGACGGCACCAAGAGCAAGGTGGATGACACCCTTCTCAGGACCAATCCATCTCAGCTGACTGTCTGAGACGAGATATCTCCAGGTCTGGCCCCAGTTGGAGACGAGGTCCTCGAGCTTCTTTCCCTCAACACGGGCGGAGAGAAGAGAGATAGCCTGGCAAACGATCTCGTTGCCACGGCCAATTGTGAAAGTCNNTGGCAAAGGTCAGGATCCATGTGTGGGGAGGGCAACGTGGGGAGGTGCGGTATCACTTACCATGCCGTGGCCAGAGAATTCAGAGTCGGTGTGTAGGATGCAGTATGCAGCCGAATAGTCACCAGCAGCATTCATAGCATCGGAGCCAGTCTTGTCGAGAGACGTCTACCGTGACCGGGTCAATTGCTGCCGAGTGGAGAGAGTACAAACAAGTTTACTCACAGGGAACCTGACATCCCTCGTCGTAGCCTTGGTGATGGTAACCATGATGTATGTTTTGGAGAATACAGAAAGATGGTAGCAAAATAGGAAGAAGAGTCAAAGGAGAGCACACGATGCCCCAACAGTGGGAAATGGGACAGGTTATGTCTGACGAGCAACCTCTCAAGGAGCGTCAGAGCGCCCCCACTAGNNTGGGGTACGGTCCGGGGCTCCAACGAGCGGGTTTGTATGANNACCTTGCCGCTATTGGTGCATAATTTAGGCTGGAGTTCTTCCGAGAGCTTTCAGTCGCCGAGAAGACACGCGTGCCCCAAAGATTCTCCCGAAACAGAATCAGACCTTGAAGAAAGCATTGCGACCAAGAGACATGGTTCGTAATTGCTATTACCCGAGTGCATTATTGTGGTGAAGTCAATCTGCTTCGCACCGGCTTCTGGANATGAGGCTGGCAAACTTTACAAGAACAAAATGGCCATCACCACCAACTGCCAAGGTCAAAAGATAGGCGGAAGGNGACGAATGCAGCGATGACCGCGAAGAAGGTTCATCTGAAAGGGGCTGTTCCGATGGCAGTCGAAGCAATCTCACAAGTCTTGTCGATTCCGTGAAGCGCGTCTCTGCCAGTGCATTGGCTCTGCTATAGCGTTCTTACCTCCTCGTGTGCAAAGTATGTAACGTGCGTCGCTATAAAAATGCACAGTCCTGTTCAGAAACGAAGATTGGCCAAAGAGAGCTGCTGAGAGATCACTTCTCAGCAGGCACTATCCTCTTCCTTATAGTGTTGTGCATTTTTATAAATACGCGCGTTACATCCTTTACACACGGAGAGGTAGCAAAGGACAATCGTAAAAATCTCCGGGTATGTAACTGAGGTGTGAAAGCACCGGTCGGCTTCTGTGATGTTTCGCAGAGGGCGTGTTTCAGAAATTGGCAAGAGCGTCAGAGCTGAAATTGTGGGGAAGGGACTTGATCTTGTTCGCGTGGCTTCAAGGAGAAGCAGCAGCAGCAGAGCAGCAGCCAACGACTCGAGCGGCCTCGAGGATCTCAAGTCGACTCTACTTCATGGCCAACATGACAGGGCGCATCTCATTGCTGGTACAGCTGTGTTTCGTCTTCTTCACTGCGTTGGCGAGAGCAGCAACGCAGGAGCCCCTCGTCGATGAGAAGCCCATCTATCGCGCAGGGGATGCCATCCCCGTGACGTGTCGTACGTCTGTTGATTAATTGCAATATGTTTTCTTACTAACGTTTCCCAAGNTCAACAGGACGTCCGATACTGGTGAACATGTAAGCAATACAGCATGGTGACAATGATACTCCCTACTGACATAGCGTGACAGGNTCACAGATGCCTCAGGGCAGCTTCAATATGTGCCCTTCCCAGTGTGCAACGAGACTGGACGCCCGCTAGAGATCTACTTTGGTGTCGAGAAGGACATCAATTGCACCATCGACTTCATCTCGGACCCCATGTTCCACCTCCTCGAATTCTACGTCCATAACGATGCTCCCATGACCTGTCGCATTCCAACTCGTCCCTTCTCTGCATCTTACAAGGCTCCGAAAGAAGACCCCTCGATCGAGGGCCAAGGCAGTCTCGACGATGAATACATCCCCCTGATCATTGCCTTGACAGGCACACTTCAGCTCTCGCATCTACACGTCTCGTCTCACCTCAACATGTTGCTACATGCTGCTCCCAAATCCGTGTCGCCTGGTGTCATTGACGCCGCTACCGCATACTCTATATCCACTCGGCCGCCGACTCGCATCGTCATCGGTGACGCTCTGCCCTTCACCTTCTCCATTCGCTGGTACTCTGGCCAGCAATTACCTTCTGGCTGGTCTGGTGTCGGCGGCCACATCTACGCCAGTACTCTGATATACTGTATCTTGAGCGCCGGCGCCGCAGCTGCCATCTGCATCGTCTACTTCNCGAGAAGACTTAGGAACCACGGANAAGATAGGATGACTGGTGGCATGGAAGGCGGTAGACTGGGTGGATACGGATATGCCGTAGGCACTAGCAGCTATGCGTTGGGTTCTGCTGGAGGCAAGAGGGACTAAAAGTCTACAAATATTTTGAACATCTGTTCTACGATTGTATACAAAGTTCACAGGGTACAAACATGACACCGACCCAAACACACCTACACCAACCTGATCGCTTTGGCATCGAGTCTGTTCTCTCCATTAGGAGAGAGAAACTCGTGAAAAGGCACCCTGTGCCAAAAATATCACTTCCCCCCTCACAACGACAGGGTTGTCGTAGAACTATCAAAAGGGACAGTTAATTTCATACCGGAGCTGTGTCCAGTGAGAGTCGACAAGACCTTAGCTCTGGCGGATGCAGCTGTGTTCAAGGAAGTTCTTGTGTGTTTACATCTGGTGTTTCGCAAATCGCAGCACATGGCGAAAGGCGATCGCGACCAGACGAACAAGAATGTTGAAAGCATCAAAATTTTTTGATCATTGAGAGCATGTAATGCAAAAAGTCGACCTTGTAATCTAAAAGCCATCCTTGTACGAAGAGAAGAAGAGTAATCTCGTCATGTCCCATCCCTTGTTTACCTTCCCGACCACCCTGTATCCCAACCCACCCCCCAATCATAAAAGTCTTCCCCAAACAAGAATTGAAAGTGTCTGTTATGTTTTCTTCTCTTTCGTGCTTTTTCATTTTCTGAGAGTCGTTTGTGGTGGTAAATCCTGTCCCAGCAGAATTGTTTGTTTTCTATTTTCTCGTATTTGTGAATGTGAAGTGTTGTGTTTTTCTCGTAGTTCGAACATCAGGAGGTAGAGGGACCCTTGTTGATGCCCTCGCCGCAGAGTTCGACGTGAGCGTTGAAGTTGCTCCAGCTCTGTATGGATGAATCGTCAGTAAAAGCGTTGAAAGGACATAGGCAGATCACTTACGCAGGAAGCTGTAATGGGCATGCTACCCCGTGAGTACTGAACAACCTTGTTGTTTCTGTTGATGCTGACCTCGGGAGTAGTCCCACTGCTACCCAGGTCCTCAGGGAAAGGCACCATAGAAAGAGCAGGACCAGAAGAGTCGGCCTCAAACTCCCAGTACTGGTTAGCACCCACACTGATAGAAACAGTGGCCTTGCTCTTGACCAGAGCCCATGCAAACACTGCATCAATAGGATAGTTCTGGTTCTTGATCTTGCTGTTGGAACCACCGAGACATGCAGCGGCCTTGGGGTGCACACGGTACCAGTAGACGACTTGATCCATGGTGATGGTAGGGGCCACGCCGTTCTTCCACCAGTTGAGGTAGTACTTGGCCATAACACGCCAAGGAGCGTGATTCATACCCTCGACATAGTTCTCCATGCCATTGCTGTAAGTGACATAGTCGGTGGCGCTCTGATTGGTAATGCTGGGAAGATCGCGCAGGTAGTGAGATTCACAAAAGTCGTTCCAGGTAAGCACTTCGATGATGTCGGGAGAGAACTCGTTGTTGGCGATGGTGTGCAGACGCTGGGCGAAGAGGGTGTCCGAGTAGGCAACCCAAGAGTCTGAAGCGATACCGTTGTTGAGATCCTTATATTGCCAGGGAGAGACAGCCATGATGTAAGGTCCAGTCTTTCCATTCTTGGTAAGCGCAGCCTTGAATGCTTCGTCGGCGGTGCAAGTCATGTTGGCATCCATGAGAGGCCATGCTTGCCCNTTGATAGTTGTTAGTCAAAGTTGACAGACAGACATGTGGAAGTACTCACAGTTGAAGTACCCATCGATAGAAGGGTAGTCGCTGACCATCTTGGCGGCAGACTTCTCAGCATTGGTCTGAGCAGCTTGTGCGTACGAGACAAGAGCAGGAGCCAGGGTGATAGGGTTACCTGCGCCCTTGCAAGAGTTCTTGAGATCCTGGAAGAATTGGTTTCCATACGCGTCGTTGTTGTCGCCAGCATAGGTCGAGACAAGAATGTTGGTGTTCCAGCGCATTGTGGCAGAGCTACCAGCATGCTTGGTGATCATGTCAGTCATGAAGGTCGTGTTCCAGAAAGTGTTGCAGGTGGTGTAGCTCATGTCGAAGGAGAACATGAGCTTGAAGCCGGTGTTCTCAGCAGCTTCAAAGGCATCATCGATGCGACTGATCTGCCACTTGCGGCTGGGCGAGCTGCAGTCAGGAGGGATCCAGTTGAGAGAGAAACCGTCGATGCCGGCCTGCTGAGCAGCCTTCATGTCAGCCGTCCACTGTCCCACAGTGTAGGCATAAGAATTGTCGAGCATGAAATGCGCAACAACAGACTTTGCGGTGACAAGGTGAAGGTTGATGGCAGCAAGTGCCAAAGCGGTCCAGAACATGGAAAACATCTCGAATGGTTGAGCGCTGGAATGCGATAAAAGAAAAGTGTTTGTTTTGAATGGCGCAAGCGCTCGAATAGTCGAATTGTGAAGAGAGTGAAGCAAAGGAGTGGCACACTACTATCAAAGCAGTGCAAGGATATGTCAAAGGAGCGACTGAATGAACGGAAAGGCGAGAACGCCAAAAGAAAAGCGGTATAACACAAGACTGACCAAGAGAACAGAGATGCAAGAGCGAGGGCAGGGATGCACACCTACAAGGTCTATATACCAAGTCTACGAATGATTCAAGGAGGCGGCCACACTTCGTCTGCACACGTGAAAATGCCATGCTCCCAAGTTTGATTGCGCTGCCGTTGCTTGCAAACTGGTTGGTCCGGAAGGGAGAGAGGGATGGATACTCCAGAACTGGTGCAGCAGACAGTGATCGGGAGGGCCCGCAACTGTTGTATCAGATATAGAAGGCTGCATGAGATGCAGAAGCGTTTCAGGAGCCGCGAAGCTGTTTGCCATTGCCGTGCTTCCAGAACACATCGAATTACAGCTATACCGGCTCGTGGACGTCAAGATGGCCTCATATGTCATAGAACGAAGATTTCGTTTGATGAATCAGGTCAAGGGCAGATGAGGCTTGCCTCAGAGAAGTACATTCAAGCCATGATCGTTGGCTCTCTCTGGACATGTCTCTGGCCGAAAGATAATCGTGCATTTTCATAGGCACATTCTGACACACATCTGCATGTGGAGAAGAAGCACCCAGCGCTTAGGCACACCTGCCCGCCTGATGCCCATCCTACTAGGGCAGCGCCCTTCGGACACCGGACATCCGTCTATAAGGAAATTAACCTGAAGACCCACAGAAGTGTTTTGTATGGCGTTGGTGATAAGAGTGTGCGACATTTGGTGCATGCCGTGCCGAGAGCGCATACAGCCTACAAAATCTCCGAGTCTATGGTCATAGCACACGTCGCTCGTTGGCGCTGCGAAAGGGGTCTCGTGAAGCATACTCGACTTACGAGTAGCACGTCAAGGTTTTGCAAGACTGCTGTCAATCGCCAAGCTCTGAGCGCAAACAACCATCACCCGCACCTCCCGCAGAGTGCATCACATCTGCTACCAAACGTACGTCAACACAGTTGTTGTTTCCAAATGCACCTCATTTTCGACATTCCGTTCTAAGTCCAGCCCTAGAAACACTTCGACTCCTGACCATGCGGGTTCATGACCTAGGAGCTGACTCGATTCTCAAGACGATCATCAACAAGTCATCTTGGGTGACTTAGATGCAATCAGCAACGGCAAACACATGTGCTGCCCAGTAGTACAACCTGTGCTACATACAGCTTATGCCCTAAAGACAGGGATGTCGACTCCCTGCTTATCGAGAGAATAGATCAAGGAGAACCCGGTAGCCATAATCAATTTGGCTTTGAATGGTATGCTCTACGATTGCGCAACCTTCTTCAGCCTACCAGCTTTCCCCCTTGGTTGCAAGACGAACTCAGAGAGGCCTGACCGGGGCGGTTGAAGAGAAAGAAATTAGCCCGACTCCTGCATGGAGATCCACCGAGTCTAGCGGGACGTCGTTCTCAGAAGCTCTGCTCTGTCGCCAGTTGTTTATCAAGTTGTGCTGCTTGTGTATGAAGGGGACAAGTTATGTTATGCAAGTCTTATGCTGTCTGCCGAAAGCAGGAACGGGTCGCGGATCGGAAGGAGAAAACGAGATAAAGACTGACGACGATCGGCACTAAGGCCTGTGCGGATGCGGGGAATTCGATTGGTCAGTGGCGATAAGTGCCCTTGATGATGATGATTGCTTCTCCTTGTTCCCTGCCCCTCACCGTCCTTCATCCACCTCACCTTCGCTCACTGTCTGTTTCGAGTTCTTCTAGATCATCGGCGCACTTTCATCATGGCCATCTCGCACGATCCCATCACAGCAGCACCTACCGGCATCGACGTCGAGGCATGGACGGTCGAACAGGCAGCCGAGGCGCTACAGGCAACGACCATTTCGACGCCGACCCCTCCTAGACCCCGCGCCAACGTCACCATCGAGATTCCGCTGGACGAAGATGCTCTGGCCGCCGCGAATGCTATGGCTACCGCTAAGCCACCATCAAAGCAAGAAGTTCACACCGTCTACAAGAGGCGAGAGCCCGTCCGCCGCGATAGTCTAAAGCGTCGCGAAGCCTTGCTCAAGGGCAAAGAGGGAAGCCGTCGCAGACAGAGATGGGAGAACGACCGCTTGCTCAACAACCCCTACGCTCAACCTCCTCTTCCTAGCGATTGGGAGGTCCATCCTACGTACCCCATTCACAGCGTCCCATACTTCCTGGCACCGCTTTGGGATGCCGAGTACAAGGCCAAGGCACAGGCTAAGGTGAATACTCGTCGTGCAAACAATGTTGGCGACACTCGCGCACACGGATCCAAGGNNGAAGAGCAGGCTGCGGCTCGAGTCCCGCGTGAACTCCGCGAGAAGCTCAAGAAGAGCCGCGGCGCGAAGAACATGCTCCAAGATCTTGAAGACGAGGTCAGAAGCTTCGTACAACAATGGTCTGCCAATGAGCGCCAGTTGGCCGAGGACGGCCTGGTCGATGGTGATAGTGAGGACGAGGAAATCGTTTTCGTTGGCCGTAATGGTGCAATGAGCGATGACCGTAAGCGCTCAAAGAGCGTTGTCAGCGACGACAGCAGTACGAGCATCAGCAGTGATGATCTAGCAAAGGAGCGTATGATCCTTGAGAGTCTCGTTGATGATCGTAGTGCTGCATTCGGGTATGTATATGCTTTGGCTCTCAGTAGCAGTAGCCGTTTGCTGACATTTGTTAGACGCTGGCTTGTACATTCTATCGCGACATATTATGGTCTAGAGACGTGGTCAGTTACCAAGGGCAGCCCGGCTCGACGCGAGGCCTACATAGGTCTTAAGCACAAGGCTGCCCCAGCGTTCACTGAACTACCACGACCTCTTTATGTTCTCGTCTAGACTTTTGATAGACTTCGTTTTCTGTTCGCTGTTCATATATCGACTACACCGGAATAGACATCCGTTTGCGATTACTCGCCGCTACAAATAAGTGCTTGTTGAGAGCTTGCTTCGGTTTCTATTATCCGCTTTCACTCGATTATTCGATGTTCGTCGTGGTTCTAATGTTTCTCCTGCACCTGAACGATATTCCAGCAGAACCAAGACCCATCCTGAGGCGGCATGAAGTAAGCAGCCGGGCCTACCGACTTCTGAAACGACCAACTTTCTGCAGACTCCGAGTAGATATAAGACAGAACATCACAACATAAGAAATACCGAAATTGACAACAGCACCACACTCAACGAAGTCCAGCCCATGCGCTTCTCTCGGACTGCAGCACTTGTCAAGTTGCTCTGATCTGCTTCTATCAGTCATTGTTACGCCGAGCATGGAGGGAATCAGCTCACCTGTCGAGTTTTCACTGTTGCTTGTGGAGTTACCACTCTTGCTCGTAGAGACATTTGCAACTTCCTGGCAGTACCCAGTAAAGTCGCTAGAGAGAAACTGGTGGATGCACTGATTGAAGTCATCGGTTTCGAGATTCGAGCTGCAGTAACGAGTGCAGTCATCCTGAACGTGGATGCTTTCAGTGGCGTTCCCAGAACAGCAGGCACTCAAGGCAGTAGTGTAATTCGCAATTCCGATATTGACTTGACAGACGTGTGGTCCGCTTAGCCCAGTTATGTTCCGCAGGTCTGGCACGAATCGTCCATCGCAGACCTGAGGGACTTCTGGGCAAGCGGTCGACGGACCTACACAACTCGAGGCTGTCGATGTCATTACAGCTAAGTGGGAATGATGGATCTAGGGAAAGCGAAGGGAGAGGAAAGTGACGACACCCGGAACATGAAGAAGGGGAAGCAAAGACAGGTGAGCTTTATCCTTTATCATCACGAAATATCTCCCAATTCTGTATGCAGGACTCCCAAAGCATGAGCGACATTTTGGGCATACGTCACGCTCAAAATAGTCCCCGACTCATTGTTATACAGAATGACGATGAAGCTGCCCGCCTCGACAAGCTTATACGAGAATAATCCAAGATCGTCACTTGCCAAGTTCCTTGGCCAGAATCTATATAGCTCCGCGGCATCAACGTCAACGTCCTATATGATCCGATGGGATCGAATCGATGATACAAACATGTCAGTAGTTTCTCACTAACATGCATTGCATCTCCAACTCTAGTACCTGCCACTCAATATCTTCAGATCTGAGAAAGGTATCGGCAAAATGCGGTTTCTGTTATTTCTGGACCTGGGGAACTGGTTTTCAGAGAGACAAACACTCTTGGATCGAATATCTCCTGGACTAAACACCGTCAACACTGATCTGGTTCTATCGGTTTGCCAAGCAGTCGTGAAAAGTTAAGTCGAATCCTTCGACGCAGATAATATAGGTAGTACAACTCTAAGTCGGCACTATTTAGTCGGCACTGTTCAGTCGACCACTAGCTTCAACCTCAAATCAATACTGTCTATTGGAGTGGCCAATCAATGTTCGCTACGCGTTGTCCTGGCAGAGCCAAGTATATCACATCGATGATGAAGGAACCTTTAAGTACCGATGAGAATGGAGTTGGATCAGTCTTCTTCGACTTCTCGAGCCAGACAATGACTGCCGCTACATTGTCTTGAGTCCTGCATCGCGTGATGTGACCAGATGTGGTACGCCAGTTCCCTCTGTCAGTGGTGCAGCATGCCAGCGTGTTGCACTCCAGTCGACCTTTATGCTGCAGTTCTGTTGTGGCACAGGAGACTGCACTGCTGCAGCTACTAAACATAGCCGAAACATTCCTGGTGACATCTTCGCCCGCGGTGCATCAGTCGGCGCCATGGGTATTATGAACGTGATTTCGGGTGTTCCAGTTGAGCCTGTTGATGCTGGACCAGTCAGAGTCACCACTCGTACTCTTGCAAAGCGCGCCTATGGAGATTTTGTTGTTACTGAAGGCCCATATTCTAGCATTGGCGCGCCAGTGCGTGTCTCGGATGATGTCCAGTGCCCTGCCATAGGGTCGTGTTCGGCACAACTGACCAAAGAAGCAAGCCAAAGCCGAACCCTCAGCGTTTCGGTCTCCGTCAGTAAGTTGTCGCGACCGAGGTTGTACTTGACAGTCAAAGAACGAAAGCTTACCAGGTGCAGGTGATCCCTTCGGCATAATCTCAGCTTCAGTTGGCGTTGACTTCACAAAGGAGCGCAGTCGATCTTTCACCAGCAATTTCCCTCTTCAAGAAGGCAGCAGCGGATATGTCGTTTACACTCCATACACTCAATGTATCAAGGGCCACTTCTCTGGTGGCTGCTCCGACGATGGAGTCGAGACCGAGGCTTGCTACCCAGAAGCCATGAATGATGGCAGCCTTTTAGGTCAACTCAGTGGCGTGATTGAGCATACTTAGGAGAAGATGGAAGAAAGGATGTCGTTTTTCATGAGTGGACGCTTCGCGGGGATTTTGGGAGGACCCTCCACTCAATTAAAAAGATATCCTCCGTAGCAGAGCCAGTGGGGGAAGGACGGAAGTCCTCAGGCTCGATGGTCTTGATGTAGTTGATGGAGCAGCCTGCTGCGATTCTATTCTTCACACCTGCCTCAGATCTCGAGGCCCGTGCACGATTCAAAGTTCCTACGATATTACATGCAATCAAATGCTACGAATTTGAATCTTGATAATCCAGATAACGCTAAGCATCAAAATGTTGTAGTGTTCAAATGGCAGTAGAAGGTACCAATTTTGTCAGTAAGATTAAGCAGAACAGCGGCGAGTCAAAAAGGGTCTCGTCTTGGCCTTCCAGTTTCGCTGATTGGCTAGACTGAATCGAGCTTGGAAAGAAGACGTCGAGCGGACGCGGCCCAGAGGGGCCATCTGCGTGCGTTACACTTAATCTTACCCGCCGCAGAAACTTTGGCTCAACCCTTGAACACTCGCACGCTATCGTTACTCTAGTTGATCACTGAAACTGACCAAAAACCACTCGAGGTTTCGTGTCATGATTCAGACATCTCACACACGATTCATGCTGTCCCTCGCCGGTGTGATTAGCGTCTTTGAGATCCCTCGCACCGGACGCGGTCGTGATATTTCCCCACAAGCTAAGTACTCTACCATACTGCCATATCCGAATGATCTACCTTGGGAAGTGAGATAGATGAATTCATAGATTCATGATACGATAAGGTTATTACGCACCTAGATGTACTGTACTACATGACTACTGTTATGGTCCTGGACATGGGTCTAAGGTACGGGAAAAAGAAAATCTTGGAGCATTTGTCATCTACTGCGCTTGGGCACATCACTGCTACTCGGAGTACCGTTCCGCCATCCTCACGAGTCTCTGCTTCGGCAGTCAATAATTTCGACGGCTTTTCGTCCACCTTCAAGCCTTCAACACGGTTGAAAGTGATCCAAGCGTCAACGGCACGACTCGACCACTGCCCATAGACACACTATAGAAACGATCAGCAAATCATGCTGCTCCTTTTACATCTACGGAAACGATGGTCCCACGCTGGAGTCGATCGATTGCCTAGCTTCCCACTTATACTCGTCGGATCAAACAGTGTTTGAAGCCTTATAGACCCAAAGGTAAATATTCTCTTCAATCCACCTACCCTTTCTTACTCTTCTCCTTACACGTACTGGCACCATGGCTTCCTCGATGGATATGAGTGCCTTTCCAAATGTGATGAATCTGCGGAGCAGGTCGTCACAAATGGTGGGCGTCTCAATCGCTTTCCTCATACCCGTATGGGTGTCCATATTTCTTCGTATCTATGTCAGAGTCTTTATGGCGAAAGCTTTCGGCTGGGACGATGGAATAATGATATTCGCTGCAGTAAGTCCCCTGCCAATGCCATATCGACTCTGTAGACTTGACACTGATTTCTTTGCAGATGTCTTTCACCTCTTTCGCCGCATTGTTAATCGTCATTGCCGAGTATAGTTACAATCAGACGGTCGTTGAAGCATATACGACATTAGACTTCATCGGCATTTGGAATGCTCTCACGACGGCACTTGAGGTATCTTGACCCTTCACTCCTTCTTTCCTTCCTTTACATACCCATTGCAATTTCCATTTTGCTTCTATGCAACACGTACGAAACATGTGACATAGGGTAGAAGTTGTCAAAATGTGGCTTCTTCTCCGACTCGAGCAAATGTCATTGATGCGAGCATCTTGAATCTGCTGATGATACTCGAAAACAATCAAGCAGACGTCACACTCTTGCAAGCAAACATTCTCGTTGTTGTTTCTATGCTGACTGGTCACAAGTNACACCTTGATTTTCAATTCTCTCTATGTCCTTACCACAATCTTGTTCAAGATATCCATTGCCATCTTCTTCCTACGCATCGTTGTCGCGAAGTGGCAGCGCAGACTTATTGTAATTCCAACAGCAATCTTCACGGCATACAGCATTGCCTACATATTTATCACCACTTTCCGGTGTGGCCAACCCAAAGACATACTTCTCAACACTGCAAGAGGAAAATGCCTTCCGATCAGTATAGTTTCGCCGCTGCTATATGTCTCGGGTATCTCCAACGCTTTGATGGATGTGATGTTCGCATGTCTGCCTACAACTATCCTCTGGCATAGTCAGATGCCGAAAAAGACCAAGATCTCTTGCTGCATACTGTTGAGTATGGGAGGCTTAAGCTGCGTTGCCTCTATTATTCGGGTTGGACTTTTGAGTGGCGTGTCCGATCAAGCTCATTACTTCAGTAACGCTATCAACACGGCTCTAGTATCCATTGTTGAATCTGGATTGGCCATCACGGCGGCTTCTCTCGGAACGCTGAGACCCTTGTTCCAGGCCGTGGCAGAGAAAACATCACTCCCCAGCTGGCAAAGCTCCAACAGCAAGTATTCTGCCAAGTCCGCACAACCAAAAGAACCCAATACATCATCGGGAGGACTTTCGCGGATTACTATCGGCTCGAGAACTCTGCAGAAGGACAGCGACAGTATGACTGAATTGGACACGATCGAGCATGATCAGGTCGTGACGGGCAGACCAGAGAGTCAAAGGTCTCAGCGTTCACTTTTGGATCATGAAGATCAGGACGCATGGACGACGTATGATGGAAAAGGTGTCATGATGACTCGACAGATCCGCGTATCAGGGAGATAAAAGGTTACAGATCAGGAAGATAAATGGTTACAGTACAATCTTCTTATGGCGTTTGGAATTTAGACTTTACTTCTGCATGAAAATTATATCGCACTTTACTACACGGACACACCTTTATAGACCATCTTGCTGCTTTTTTCATGCCTTGCTATCCATTTAATTCCTTGGAATGCACTTGTAATGAAAGGATAACTTGGAGTGGTACATATCCACACTGCATTCAGGCTGGCTTAGGCATTTTACCATCTTCAGTCTTTCACCCAAATTCAAATCAGTACTTTGTTTTCTGTTCTTGTTGCAAAACAATTCCAGATTAAGTACATACGGCCACAGTCAGCTGAAAACTGGGCATCCCGTCCGCTCTGCCATACATAAGCAGTTGAACGGCAGATTAGTACTACGGTGGGTGACCACGTGGGAATCCCTGCTGCTGTATGTTTTACATCTTCTTTTGCTGCCAACAGCTAAAGCGATAAATCAAAAATTCGTCTCGGTGACAGCTGATTGGTCGCATATGAATTCTTCAAGTACTGTTTTTGCTTGTCTTGCAAGCATGTTCTGATCTCGAACGCTATCGAAAAAAGCTAGACATTTGTTGATGTCCTCACGATAAGAAGTGGCCGAATCACCTGTTGCATGTCGTAATTCTGTTGCAAGCGTGATTGCGGCCGAAAATAAACATGATGTGGTTGCCNNCTGCAAATCATCGGGTTAACTGGCCAATATCGAGACCGAGACTTGCATTGCTTACCAGCACTGACGCATTACGATCGAAGCACTGTCTCTGTCGACTAGTGTTATCAACGCCTTAGCCGAACTCAGACAGACTGCGCCCGCTCGACTCATTGACATCTCGCAATCTAGCCATTGGTGCTGGAGGACGCGGTTGACGGCCAGACGATAGGATAGAAGCGCTAATATAAAGGTTCCTCTTTGCCAGGGCACCCAAGGTAAGTGTCGCTCGGGGTCTTGGCTATCGGTATGTCCGAGCATCGTAAGGTGGGGCGGAAGCTCGTCGATGATTTTAGCAAGAGACTCGTCTGACTGAAGAATGAAATCTTCTAAAGCTGATGCATTGTCGATCACGTCTGGCAGTCGAGACGCAAAGCGATGATATTCATATGCTAGCCGGATCATCGCATTATGGTATTGAATTGGATGAGGACCTGCGTCGTTGGGACTGGGTGAGATCTGCAAATTGAAGTCATCGTCGTCTGTGAGTGTCGGAAAATTGACTTGAAAATCGGTCTCTCGGATACATGTTGGTCGTGCTGGTCGCTGGAGCCATTCGCAGATGACCAATGTCCACCAGACTCTACGACTCAATTCTTGCCGAATGGGATCCTCTGAGACGGCAGGAGGCTCCTTGTCCATACCAAGACGTTGTGCCATGCGAATCCCTAAAGAGAGAAATGATATCTCAAGATCGAAATCTCCCATCCGCTTGACTAGGGCCAACAAGATGGCGATTGCTTGAAGTGATTGCATGTCGTGTCTTCGAACGAAGTCTGCTCTGTTAAGAAAGAAAATTGAGGCATCATACCAACTTCTGACCAGGTGGAATGAATTATCTNNGGCGAGTATAAGCCAAACTTTACAGATAAAAGCGAAGTGTCCCATACCTGGTTCCAGCCCAGCTGCAATTATCTCATCGTTGTCCATATACATCAGACTTACCTATGATACATGCTGGTCAGTTGTGATACGTGAGTCTCAGAAGCCGCCTCAACCTACTGCTGCGAAGGCAAAGTATATTGCCAACCACGAAGGATCCTCAGTAAGCAGATTACCGCCATTCATTCGTTCACTAAATTTTGAGTGCTCTTCGAGAAAGGTAGGTAGATGAACTGCGCAATGGATCCAAGCGGTCCATACCGCGCCGTACCTTACGATCGCATGACTGGTGGCATTCGAAGGTAGCATAATATCAGAATCCGACTGAACAGTTGAAAATCTGTGCGTATGGTACGACAAGTGGATCCTCCTTTCGAGCATGTCTTCTAATGTGAAAGGAAGCCCAGCAACATAGTTTTTCGATACAGAGGCATGAGATGGAGCCCGCGGTTGGGTTGAAGATGAAAGCTCGGCCTTCAACCTGTCGACCTCAGCGACGAGCTCTTCATATGTGGGCTTCGCGTTCCGCAATCTTGAGCTGTTGAAGTAGAAACAAGTCTGTCAGTATAAATTACAGGTCATCATGCTTGGATTGTCGGTACTACACGTACACGGCTGTGATACGTTTGACTTCGACTATTTCTCTTGCACACGAACCCTCCAAACCTCGAATGATGCAAGCTCTGCATGGTATTTGCTTGTCGCATCTGATGCGTTTCTTCGAGCAGCGAGAACACGCCTTAGGCGCTCGCTGAGTTGAACGTATCGGTATCGACATTACGTAGCATGATTCGCACAAAGCTAGAAGATAGGTAGGATGATAAACCATATGGGTAGACAACATGCTTAGTCATCAGGATCGCTGGCTTGGCAACTGCCCAACGACAAGGACGAACTTGCATCGACGAACTTGCATCAAGCTCGATAACACATCCTTACAGACAAATGATACGCTAGATGTTCATTATGTTCTGGGCGTATCCTTGCCCATTGCTCAGCTTGACGATCTGGGAACGATAATGATACTGAAAGTCGCAGCTTCCAATTCTGAATACTACATCGCCGTGACAACCTCGAAAAACTACATTTCCGCTCGATTTGGTTCGTCGAGCCAGCTTGATGATAAGGACAATTTCTTTCCACTCGGCTTTTGCGCGATCAATAAGGCATCTTGCCCGCCAATTTCTGGACAAGGTCCGTCTCCTCGGGATGCTCAAANGGCTCATCCCTCTCTGCAAGATCGGGCTTTCCCAAACGTAGCTTCTTCTCGTTGGTAGGGAATATGTTGTCGTGTGGCCAGTGTGTCNNTGATCATCCCGTCAGTGAGTGTTCATCGAGACATCATAATTGACTTCAACTCACCGTTCCAATTCGCTGATCAAACAGTTGCGCCTTTCTATGCAGATCTTCTGGTTTTGCCAATGAAGCTGGAGTGTAGCATGCATCTGGGCTCTGTCAGTCAAACGATTTTAGCTCATGGTTTGCCGCTTACAGNATCAAGGCTCTCATATTCTGCGATCTGGGTACCTCGTTGTAGTGTATACATCTTGAGTCCCACACGATAAGATCACCAGGTCCAGCGCAGACCTTCACGATCGAGCAGCCACGCTCTTTGAACCAGTCCAACTCTTCTTGTTCGAATGAGAACCAATCAGAGGCGCCCCATGTGGGACGATCGAGAACGCTGGGATGAGCTGCGAAGAACTCCTCCATCAGGCGAGTTGAACCTTTCATGACCAGCAGACCTCCATCGTCAGGACCATTGGGAGCGAAATTGACTATACCCTGAACACATTGCATACCGGTTCTGCTCGGCGATTGGTCAACGTGAGGCCAAGGCGTTGTAGGCGGCAGAGGAGAACCAGTGGGAAGAGTAAAGTTTATCCCATCGAAGGAAGCAAGGAGCTCGCTCGTGCCCCAGATCTTTGAAAAGGCATCTAGAACGCCAGCCTCNTCTGACCTTTGTCAGCGATGTCATATGCTTTGGTCTATTGCGACTTACTGTCTGGCTTCCCATACGAACTTCTCGTGCTGAACTCTGTACCCGTGGTACATTCCTCCCTTCATGTGGGTTGGCAGATTCTTCTCGATCCAGGTGGATTGATCATTCCTGTCAAAGCCGAAAGGAAACTTCTCGAGCCAATCGAACATTTGTTCAACGTAATACTGACATCGGTCCCTTGGCACAGCATCTTTGACAATCGCGAAACCATCACGAAGGAGGTCTTCGTGCCACTGAATTGTCGTCTCCTGATACTCGGCGTGAGGCATGTTGAGATGTGTCTTGAATTGATAAGGGGCGGCTGCAAGAAAGTAACAGCAAAGGCTCAATCGAATCTTCGAGTCGACTTATATGCCACATGCCGAGAAATCTCGCACGACAGGTCGAACGGCGACTACCGAATGCTGTGGTCTAGAAACCGTACATGAGGATGTCAGCTTGATTAGCAAAGACTTGTTCCAACCAATGACTTTGCTTCAGATTGCAGGAGATGTTTCAACAAAGCCAATCGCAAGCATTACCTTTGATGATGTTCCATTCTCTAAGCTCTCGCGCGAGATCTCGGGCAGGATTTTGAGTTGGGATCAGGGCCGGGATTCGTGCGAGATCTCGGGCGAGATCAAGCCTCCAGCGACATTAACGGCCACGCTTCCTGGTCTCGACAGCAGTATCTGGAGTGATATAACAACATCATCTGCGCATCACGAGATGGACGTTGATCACGATATACTGTTGTCTACTCTTCCGGGATCCCACTGTACGATTTTATCATTACAATACTTCTGCTACTATGCCTCAGTCAAATAACGGCCGATTTGACAACTGGTGGAAGGATGTCGGCCTGCTGAAATTGATTTTCTGGCAAGCATGTATCCTAGCATGCCAGATGGTCACAGGATACGACGAGGTTGTTGTTGGTAGCTTCCAATCAATGCAGCCGTGGAAAGAGGGTCAGTGTCCATCCAGTCCGCGGTGTTCATCTACTGACACATGAATAGCCATGAACCATCCGAGCTCATCTCGTCTTGGCCTCATCACCACCGTCGTCTTTATTGGAGGATTTGTTGGATCTTTCATCGCCCCGCCAACCTCTGACTTCTGTGGTAGAAGGATCAGCATGGCTGTTGGCTCAGCCATCACTCTTTGTGGAACCATACTGCAGACTGCGGCCCAAAACTCCAATATGTTCATGGGTGGAAGATTCCTCGTCGGTTTGGGTATCAGCTTTACTTGTGTGGCTGGTCCTTCGTTGCTCTTTGAGCTGGCGCGTCCCTCCATGCGAGCAACAATGGCTTCAACGGTAAGCAGGCATACAGACACAAGTTGGCAAAGTATGCACAGTATCTGACACATGGTAGNNTTCAATGTCCTGTGGTACCTAGGCTCGATCATCGCAGCTTGGGTAGGCTTCGGCACAGGCCACCTGTCTGACAACTGGTCGTGGCGCATACCATCCCTTATCCAAGGAATAATTCCTGTTTTCATCATATTAGCAGTTCTCTGCGGCCTGCCCGAGTCTCCAAGATGGCTTTATGCTCGTGGAAGAGCAGAAGAAGCCCGTGCTATTCTTGCCCAATACCATGCACACAACGACCTCGATGCAGAGATCGTTGAACAGCAGTTGAAGGACATTCAAGCCACGCTTGAACTTGAAAATTTTGCTAAATCTGCTGGTTTTAGTACCCTCTTGACCAAGAAAGCAAATCGCAAGCGTATGACGGTTGTCATTGCGATGGCACTGATTTCACTCTGGAATGGACAAGGAGTCATTTCCTATTACTTCTCACCCATCCTGGACAGTGTTGGTATCAAGGACACTACCTCTCAGACAGGTATCAACGGTGGCTTACAGATCTGGAACTTACTCTGCTCCATTATAGGTGTGATTCTCGCAAGCAAGATTGGTCGCCGACCGCTATGGTTCATCTCATATATCGGAATGATCCTTGCCAACGTGCCGATAACCGTGGCAAGTGCCATGTATGCAAAGCACGACTCCAAGCCGGCGGCTTACGTGGTTGTCGTGTTCCTCTTTCTCTACGACGCCGCTTTCAATCTGGCCAACAACCCTCTTCTGTATAGCTACCCAACAGAGATCTTACCCTTTGCGATCAGATCACGTGGTCTTGGAGTCATGGTGGCAGTCTCTCAGGCCGCGTTGACGGTCAACCAATACGTCAATCCTATTGCCCTCGAGCACATCGGCTTCTACTACTATATCTTCTATCTCGGCATGCTCATTCTCGCCGTAAGTAACAAAAAGCTAAACTCGAGGTACATGCTCAACCCAACTAACAACGACAGATTANTAACCATCTATCTTATATTTCCTGAGACAAAGAACCTTTCAGAAGAAGAACTTGTCCTGCTGTTTGAAGACAAAGACGATATGGTGGTGCAGGGGCTCGAGGCAGGAGAGAGTGAGACTAAGAATGCTCTGGACGTCGCGGACAAGAAGCCTGAGTTCTCAGTAGAAATCGTCAAGCCGGGACTGCAGAGCTCGTGATCGTCGCGCAGCAATCTCGACATGATCGATATGCTCCTAGGGTCAAGTCAGACCTCATCAATTAGATTATTGATGCTGTTCACCAGTTTTAGTGGAGCTCGGGCGTCAAGTCTATTATCTGTTATGCTTGGCTTCGTCTTGCAGGACAAAGTTTAGTGGCAAAGAAAATTCTAATCACGGAAGGAGCGGGGTGTCGACTACTGCCACATCCAAAGTTATGTCTCCCTTTCTTCCGCAGCAGCATTAGTGAGCGACAAGGAGCCATGTCGGCTCCTAGAACCATAGAAGCGTCTACTTAAAGGTAACGTCTTGTTCGCTCTCTCTGGTTGTGCCTTTGCTTTGGAACGATCGTTGCAGTCAATGCGGGTTTACAAGTCGACCAGAATGAAGCATTAAGGTCAGCACATGCATAATCTTATGATCTATTGAGCAGTTGTGAATATCTCTGAATTTTGACGTGAGCCATCAAGCCAAGTACGACTACTTTGTCTAGTTCCCATCAGTCGATGGATCAAGAGCGCCTAGAGAAGACTAGAGGGCATCCATCCNNTGTGTGAAAGTTAGCCAGAGCTGACACACAAGTTGACGAGATCAGACTTACCATGGGGAACAGAGTTGCAAATACCTTGATCTCCTCGGACAATTCGGTCTCATAGTGCTTCCAGTCGAGCTCCATAGCAGCCTTGCCAATCATGCCGGCCATAGATAGTGGCACGTATCTTCTCGCAAGGCAATCATGTGGACCTGCTCCAAAGACAAGCCAATTTTTGGTCTTGGACTCGGCGTCACCAGTAATCCATCTTTCGGGATCGAAGACGTCTGGTTCGGGATACACCTGCGGATCGTGCAAGGCAGGATAGCAGGACGGGATGATCATGGAGCCTTTTGGGACAGTATAATTCGGCGTAACCGGGAAATCCTTGGTCGCAAGGTAAGGGACGAAGATGACAGGCGGCCTGTGGCGAAGGAGTTCCTTGACGACAGCGTTGGTGTAGGTCAGCGACTCCAGCATAGGCTGATCGAACGGCTTGTCCTTGTCTCCGCCACGAGCATCGAGATTTTCCTGTCTGAGGCGGTCGAGTACGTCGGGGCGCTGTGCAAGAATTTGGAACAGCCAGGTCGTGGCACTGCTGGATGCGTCCTGCGAAGCAAAGAGGAAGGTGAAAAGCGTCTCACCGATCTCCTCGTTGGTAAACTCGCGGATCAGATTAGTTGGCTTCTCAACGTCTGTCTCTCCTGCTGCAATCCTCTCGCGGTAACGGTTGGACTGCATCATGTGGAGCACCCAATGATCAACAGTGCATGTCGGAGCAGCTCCACTCGCCATGTTTGCTTTACATGCGGCTGCACACTTGGCAAATTCGACATGAACGGCATCAGCAACACGCTTGCCTCGCCACACCTTGGTTCCAGGGATGTACATCGAGAAGGGTACGTTGACTAGCTCGAGAGCAGCGGTGGCAAGGTAGTAGTCGTCGGCGATCCTCTTGACGGCGTCCTGAGAGATGTAGTCGCCGAAGAAGGTGCGACATGAGAGAGCACAGTTAATCTCGCGGAACATGGTCATAAAAGGCATGGGCTTGCTCTGGTTTGCCTCGCTGGCGGTCACGAATTTGTCAAAGTAGTCGGCCAGCACCTTTTCTTGGACAGGGAGATATGTGGCCATAGCCTTATTTGTAAACAAGGGGGTCAAGCCGCGCCGATACTCTGCGTGGTCTCTGCCCTGGAGGAAGACCCAAGCTTTATGTCCGATGATGTCCTTTGCAACCGGGACTATGCATGGTTCTGCGTATGCGGGTGACTTGAAGACTTTGTGCGCCAGATCACGGTCCGAAGCGAGAACGACGAATNNCTGTGGAGGAGTTTGTCAGTCAAGAAGGCAGACATGTGGTTAGAATGGGAGAGGCACATACTTGTGAAAGACCGACACACAGCTCAAAGGACCACTTGCCCACTGTGCAAGATACGAGTCGAACTTTGGGTCAAGAGCCTGGAGGAATGGGCCCATGAGAGGAATCTTGAAGGCCGGTCCAGGGATGCATCCTTTGCGCTTGATGTACATGACNTGCGAACCACGTATCAGCTATGTTGATCTCTCAAGGACAGATAAGCAATGCTGCTTACCTTGATCGTAGACTATGACTCCGAGGAGGAAAGTCAGAATGTACTGCCACATGGACCATCCAGCGAGGACAGCAGGCAAGAGGCTCTGTGACAGAGCAGGCTGGAAGTCCGAGCCATTGACAATTCCAGTATGCCAATTGGACACGAGTTCAGAACTGTTGTCAATCGACGCGGCCATGTTGGAAGATGGAGCTGAGATGAAGGTGTTTGTTTTGGCGGACGTGTAAAGACAAGAGCAGAAAGCAGGTCTGGCGCATGTCCCTCATATGAAGAAATTCGAGAGTCAAGACTACTCCCCTAGGGGAGGTACGCGTGGACGCATCGCACTTTCCCATCACGACCAGTTTCACCCTGGCCAAGCCAACGGCTCAATCATCCCGTAACAGAGATGATAGGGGCTCACTCTGGCCAAAAATAATATGAGCTCATTATTCTGGTCTCTACAAAATGCATCAATCCTCCAGCATGATGTCGCGAAGTTCCTCATCGGGACTAGACTCCGAATCGGAGTCTAGTCCCCTTGGTATAGTGCCAAGGGTCTTGTCCTTACCAGCCTGTCGCAGTGTCGCTGCCCTATCTCCACTTCATTCGCTTGCACCATGCCCTCGGGACGCTCGTGTGTACTTCCTCTTCTTCGGTCGCTTTGGAAGTGCCGACTTGCACTTGCCTGTTACACCATGGAGATGAGTCGCTACACCTGACGCGTTCTAAACCACCCGACGTTGAACCAAAACACGAGACTTGTGCAAGCCATATACCACTTGTAATATACATTGCACATAATGCGAAGGACGCTCCGTCGCTCTTGTGCAGCCTGTGCCAGATCCAAGTACAGCTGCGATCTCCGTACGCCAATTTGCTCACGCTGCATCAAACGTCGCGTACAATGTGAATACGCAAATGAGCCTTTAACCGCTCCACCAACGACCCTGAGACCAGACGCTGCGCCATCGTCAATTGTGCTTCTTCCTCTAGATACAAGCAGATTCAGCTCACTGGACCCTTTTGACTCGTATCCTCAGACAAGACTCGGTCGCCAACATGTTCAACGCCTCATCCACAGCNTGTATGTCTATTGTTCTCTGATCCACAATGTCAATGGAGCTCGACTGACCGATCCAGTCCTTACCAAGATCGCCTTCCAATACTATCCTCTGGACCTGAAAGAGTGCTCTAATCCGTTTATCGTATCATGGTGGCCGTTGGCTTTAGGGGACCCAGCACTTTTCCATGTCTCACTTCAAACAGCATGCCTTGATGAAGAACTCTTAGCACAGAGAGGCTTCCAAACATCGGAGCTTCTCATGGCTGATTCGGTAGCTTTACTGAGGCGCAAGGTTCAAGATCAAGGCCTGGCTGTTCAGGACAGCACTATAAATTCTGTCATTACCCTGGCAGCCATCGAAGTACGTATCAGAACTGAGCCCAGCAGTGCTTGGGTCTAATTTGTCCGACTGCTAATTCAATATCATTAGTTCGGTAAAGGAAATATTGAATTTAGTCAGATGCATATACAAGGAGTTAGAAGAATGGTACACACGAGGGGTGGCATCAAAGAAGTAAGACGGACTAGTCCCCTCACTGCACGCATGGTTAGCTGGTAAGTCAACAGCTTTTTCTTGCCGGTATGCTACTAACGGACCATATAGGNNGTTTCGATGATTCTCACAGGCTACCCTCAATTCGAGACCCAAGATGATCTTGGTGTTGGAGACGGCATATCATCTATCCCTGAGTGGCACCTAATCCAACCTCTTTCCGAGCCTGATGACCTCGGAGATCTTATTCTGGATGAACCGGTTGCAAATATCTTTCACCATCTTCGCAGTCTGTCGCATGCAGCACAACAGCTGCCTCTCTCAACCACAAAACTTCATGATCTCACATGTTTTGTGGTGCACCGGCTACTGCCAACGAATCCGGATCTGTCGTGCTCCACGTCATCGTCGACAACAGTACTGATGCGCTATGCTCTTATACTTTACATGCTCATCATCCACGGAACGACGTACTACCCGCATACTTTCGTACTCAACCAAGCCCTTGCACGGTTTGTAGAATATTACGAACAAAGCGAGCTAGTATCTCACACCCAGTGTCCATTGCGAGTATGGGTTCTCACGATTGGTATGGTGGCCTCGGTTGGCACGAGTCATTATCCTAGGCTTGCAGGAAAAGCAAGAACCATCGCTGCTTCAACACACATGCGTACATGGGACGAAGTCTTTAGACAAGTCAAAAGTATTCTATGGTTTGATACGGCACCTGGCGAATCGGGTTTCCGACCACACTGGGACGCTATATTCAATATCTCAAATTCATCAGCGTCACCTGGATATCCAGCCAACCATTTGCTGAACAGCACATCCATGAAACAATGACCGTTCACGAGCATATCTATCTGTCTAGCCTGAGGCAAGAGGAACCCGGCATGTGCTGGGCGACATCTGCAGTTTCCATCTCCTAGCCCATTTCTCCCTTACGCTGACGTGTACCTGGATGTCCGTCTTTGGGTTAAGGACCGTGACTGGATCTTCGAAATCGAGAGCTGGGCTCTTCTCCCAGGTACCTCTGAAAGGCCGAAGATCCACCCGCATCACCAGGAGCGCAACTAAGATCATGATCTCGGTGGCTGCAAATTGTCGTGCTGGACACAGGTGCGGTGGGGCACCCCATGCAAGGAAGTCCCGACCTCTTTGCTTTGGCCCGCTGGCGTGCGCACCCTGGTTGATAAATCTGTAGGGGTCAAACTCCTTTGCCGAAGGACCCCATAACTCGGTATTCGAATGGATCGAAGCTCCAGGCATCTGAAGATAGTTCCCTTCCTTGAGTAGGTACTTGCCATCCAGCAATGTGTCGCTCATGACTTTGCGGATAGCAGCATGGATGTGCCGGGTCCTTTGAGTTTCTTGAAACACGGAAAGCAGAAGCGAACACTCTGTCTTCAAAGCAGCAGTGTTGAGCGCGAGGCCGTCTTCTTGCTCGATGATCGCATGAGTCTCTAACTCTTCTCGGACCTCAGCCAGAAGACTGTCTCTAGAGTACAGTTCCCATATGGTCCAATAGAAAGTTGGAACCGTGTTGCTCAGCATCCCTATCGGCAGTGTTGCTTGCTGCTTGATGCAGTCCGACTCGGATATGCCGGCTTCCAATAAGACGCGCCAGCGTTCTGTGAAGAGTAGAGATGCGTCCGAACGGATGTCACCGCAGTATCTGGCATGTGCATCAAAGACTTTTTGTCTTGCTGTGTAGCCCTTCCCGAAGATATCGAAATTCAAGCCTGAGATATGTGCAGAAAGATGACTATGCCAAGTNCCTGTGTATATAGCGTCAGTTGGTGTTACTCGATGGAAGAGAGAAGGCTAAGATGGATACCAAAATGCTTGCTCGACTTCTGGATCTAGGAATGGATGCTCGGTGCCATACACACCACAGCTCGAAGCTTGAGTGACAACATGGCGGGCCCAGCCCAACAGCAAGATTTTGCTTCCATCTGTCTTGCTGTCTGATGAGCTGATCAAAGCATCAATATCAGAGAGGGCTCTTTCGGCCATCCTCTTATTTTGTTCATCAAGGTGTGGTCCTGGAGCAAGACTCATCCTCATGGCATGGCTGAAATCTTCTACTAAGTGTCCCCCGAAGGCCTCGTTGGTCTCGTCACTCGCATCGCCCCAACGACGTGCGACGTGCTGGATCATGGGCCGAAAAGATAGGGTCTTGGACTGTCTCTGTATGGCGGGCAAGAGTCTGGTCGAAACGCTCGTGTAGAGCTTGAAATTGAGAATACCCAAAGTGAATATCTCCGAGTTGGCGGCAACCCTANNTATCGACTATAAGCGACTACTACGAACACCACGACTCATGAATCCGCACTTGTCGTACCTCAATTGACTATGATATGATGGTCCATTTCGGATTATACCCAGGATATGACCAATAAGTGGTATGTTGGATCTCAATCGAGGCGGTTCTTGTGCATCCTGCGTGGCCTTCTTCAAACACGTATGCAATCCTTCGAGAGCAATATAAGGAATCCTTCGTGGCCCCAGGCTTATCATTTAATCAGGCTCTCGTCTCTCCATAACTTTGCATCTTAGTGGAGACGTTCCTTCGCGCCTCAACGACTGATCGCCTGAATCTATTCACGACATGAGCAGAGCAGGCTGGACCAACTCTGTTTAGACAAAAACAGAGCAAAGCCAATAATGGCTGAGAGCAACAACTTTCACTGGTACAAGTGGATTCGCATGGTCCCTCGCCGTGAACGTGAACGCTCGTACTTTCAACCTTTTCCGCATCAAGACAAGGCTGTCAAGGCATGCATTGAATTGTGTATGGTTTGGAGAGTGCTTATACAGATCCGGCAACCACTCCGATTGACGCTCTGGATATAAAGACTTATGGATTTGCGCACCATTTAATGGGGTTTGATGACAGCCTTATCAAGGCATGCTGACTGGGACGAACCTCATGTGACAGCCGGTCATGTTGGCTTCTACAAGAAAATGGTTGCTCACACAGGCCGCGCGCCACCGAGATATGAAAAGAACGCGACAAGTACTACATTCACACCCCCAACTCCTCGAACATCCCCTACGTCCCCGAAGCTTGACGGGGGAGCTCCGCCTCATGCTTTCGAAGGCCAATCTGCTACACAAATCAACTGCAGTAGCGAAGCGAGATCTGGTTGGCTACGAGATACAGTAAGAGACCGAGAACCTTTTAGTGTCTAGACGAGCACTTTAATCCAAATTTCGATCGTATTGATAACGACCCTGGTAGGTGCATTAGTCGACACGAGGCAGACATCGGATCAGGAAACAAGGAAACAGATTCGAGAAACATCTGGCATCACCAGTCTATGCCGTGTGATAGACTGTGATATATACAGAATGCACAATGCTTCTCAGAAGAAAGTGGTATCCAAGGAGAAAACATCATCTCAGAGATCTCTATGGTCACTATTTTGGTTGTCACTCTTGTAGCTGACACCGGGGCTACAGTCCGTTATGGGAGAGGGCTTGTCATGCTATCGTGAAGGTCTTTGGCACGCGGTAAGAATTGACACCATTGTCTCCATCTAGTGGGTGCAGCATAAGCCCACAACTATGACCCACCTGGAGGATTTGATAGCCAAGAGCTTGGTTGGCTCCATGCATGCTCGCTACTCCTGCGCAGTGCCTGGTCTATCACTATCTCAGGTAGCTGAGGCTTGACGACTTTGGCTTCATGTGATAACATTTGCCGGCTCTCTTCATGCCCGTTTGGTGGTGGTGTGTTGTCCGTTGGTACAATCTTCACGTGTCAACAAGATACTAACGTATAAAACGAGCAACCAGACCTCAAGAGCTCTTTCGAAAAAACCAACTTGCATCACTTGATCCCATTTCTTGTTCAATCATGGAAGCCTCAACCTTGAATGCGACAGAAGCCCTCGAGGGCTTCACTGCGTCTCACCTTCCTGCCCCTTCTACATCCTTCTCATACCTTTTTCTCTACTCATCTACCTCTGCTCTCACTGTTTTTGCTGGTGCCATTGCCCTATACTGGTATCTGGTAATTCTCGGCAGAAAGAGTCGACCTTACATCTACGGCAACTACGAGTTCGACGCACCTACCATTGGTTCTACTAACACGATACTGGGAAGATGGCAGTTCTTCCGAAACGGTCCGGCACTTATCCGTGAGGGATACCAGAAGTACAAAGACAACTTCTTCAAAGTCTCGGGCAATGATCTCCTCATCGTCCCCAACAAATACTTGGCTGAGCTTGCAAGCATGCCTCCCGAGAAACTCAGTCTCAACACTGCGATCGTTGATGCTTTCCAGCGTCTTCACTCAATCACTGCTGTTATCACTGATCACAGTCTGCAAACACGCATGATCGTGTCACGTCTTACACCAAAACTCGGAACGCATGTCCCCTTGGTACAAGACCAATTCCGCAAATATCTACCAATTGAGCTACCAGCAACAGAGGCCGGATGGACAAGCATAAATGCGTTAAGCCTCGCCCGTCGTATGGTTCACAGAGGCGTGGCTACTCAGTTTGTTACCGACCTGGCAGAAGACGAGGCCTATTTGAAGACCGCCATTGATTACTCGGAAAATGGCTTTATGCACAACTTCATGTTGCGTGTCTTCCCTGATCTTGCCAAACCATTCGTTGCCTGGTTCCTCCCTACAAGCTGGGGCGTGGACAGAGCACTCAAAAGAGCAAGACGTATGATCATCCCAATCATCGCTGAGCGCAGAAGACGTGAGCAAGACGACCCAAAATACGAGAAGCCTGAAGATTTCTTGCAGAATCTGATGGATGGCGGTGTGGAGCTCAGTGATAGTCCTGAGACCACAGTCCAGCGTTTGATGGTCACATACCTTGGCTCGGGCCCTTCAACTGTGATCGCTGTGGCTCAAGTCTTATTCGACCTTTGTGCTCGTCCGGAATATGTTGAGCCATTGAGACAAGAAGCTCTGAGTGTCCTTCGTGAGAAGGGCTATACCAAGCAAGCTCTGGCCGATATGAAACAGATGGACAGCTTCATGCGTGAGTCTCAGAGACTTAGCCCACCTACTCTACGTAAGTACTACTATCTTCTTTCCTCACGATTCATGTTCGATGACACTGATCAACTTGTCANNGTGGGATTCAACGCCATTGTGCGTCAACCCCTTACACTCCACGACGGCACTGTTCTGCCCGATGGCGCTCACATCCAGATGGCAACATATGCCATTGGCACAGATCCTGAGCGAGTTGAGGATCCTGAAAAGTTTGACGGACTGCGACAGTACAACAACAGAAAGCGTCCGGGCGAAAGTAATTGGCATCGTATGACACTATCAACCTGTCTGATAATCCCTTGACACTTGCTAACACGGAGGAACANNGAATTCACCACCACGAGCGAGAACAACCTCCACTTTGGCCACGGCAAGATTGTCTGCCCTGGAAGATTCTTCGCCGACCACTCCATGAAGATGATTGTCAGCAACATCATCCTCAAGTATCACCTTCGCTTCCCAGGCGGATCGACACAAAGGCCATCCAACACGAGCATGTACGATGTTCTGATTCCGGATTTGAGCACTTGCGTCGAATTCAAGCTGAGAGAGGATGCTGCCGAATGCAACTTCTAAGCTGAGATGTGGCTTCTGCGTATAGAGAAGCAGAGATGGACTGCGTAGCTTTAGTCAGCATGCTTGGTCTGAGCTTAAGTAGACTTGGGACATTACCCTCGAGAGAACGATCTCATATAATGACTTCAAGGATTCGCATCAGTATTCTTAAGAGAGCCGCTCAGATGTCGGTTCCACATGAACGTCGATAACAAGATCAATGGAGGATAGAGAATTGACGACACTCTGAACAAGATCCGTCTCTTCCGCGGTAATTCCTGTAGCTTTCTCCCGTAGCATGATTGTAGCATCTGTGAGAGCCTGCAACTCTGGCGATGATGGCTCATCCTTCTTGATCTGGAGAGTTTCCTCTTTCCACACCCTCTTGTGCAAGTCTTCAATCATGTACCTATCTTTTACCTTCAAGTCAATCTCTCTCCTGATCCAGTGTCTTTCCAGAAACTGCAANAGATTTCTGACGAGTCTGGCCAACTTGACGAATCGATCCCACTGGATCATGTATCCTCTGAGTACCCTCTCGGCAGTATCTTTNTCCGTATCTTGGGTCTGATTCGTGAAGATTTCATGTCGGATGTCCGAGCAATATGTTCGTATTTCTCGCTCTAAGCTGTAATAGAGGTCTTCTCCATTCAAGTCACCTTTGTGGGGTTTGGCCTTTGTGACAGTGCAGTAGTTGACAACCGCACCATAGATTGCTGCGTAAGCGCCCGCAGGTATGGTAACAGATTGTTTGTCTGGCTCGAGATGTTTTGTGGCAGAGTATATCTTATTTATGCGAGTTTGTATCCATGCTAAGGTGGAAGCTGGGTCCGCTTGTGTCTGTTGTGTCGATGGCACATCTGTGGTTTCCAACTCGAGGTGGCTGCCGGCTGCTGCTTTTTGTTCGAGGTCGTGGCTCATTGTATGAGTTTTGTGGTGTCTATTATCGATGTCGAAGCTCAATTTTCAATTTGGCCAGCGATGTTACGAGTATCTGTAATGTTCGATACACCAGGCAGCAACCCAGGAGGAGTCATATGTGATGTCATATTGGAAAGTTTCATAGCCGAATACCCGTTCGTTGTCAGGATTGTCGATATACGTCCCGAGAGCTGCGACTAGGCGGAGGGGATACTTCTATGTCCTGAGTCATAAGAGGGGTTGCTTGAGTCGGATCCCGGGACGTTGCGCACTGTACGCTCGGATCAGGACCAGAGTTAGCCATTAGATAGATGCTCATATACGCTAATTGCAGAGTGGTACTCCTGCATGTAGAAGCATCGCTTAGACTACCAGATAAGCTATGCAGATGGCGATAGCCATGATGTGGCACCTAGAGTATATAAGATCTCTGAGAAGCATAAAAGTCACATACGGCCACAGTCAGCTGAAAACTGGGCATCCCGTCCGCTCTGCCATACATAAGCAGTTGAACGGCAGATTAGTACTACGGTGGGTGACCACGTGGGAATCCCTGCTGCTGTATGTTATTGCAATCTCTTTGCTTCTATCTACCTCATAAGAAAGTCACATCTGTGTTCTGTTTCAAAATGAGCGAAAATGTCTTTTCTTTGGAAGAAAAGACGATGAGAGCGACGACACGTCACAAGCAAACAGGATACCATCAACACAAACGCCGGGCAACCACCAGGCACTGCTGAAAGCTTGCACGATTTGCTGCATTGATATTTACTTGTCGCAAAAATTGATTGTTTCTCGACTCTTTTTGAGAGATAACGAAGCCCTCGTTCCATCCACTCCTAGCTTCTTGATTATTTGGCCATCTCAGGATCGAAGCTCTCGACTTGCTCAGGCTGTATGCGGCGAGGACGCTTTGCCTTCTTTGGTTCCTGCGATTCTTGATTGTCGCGCTTTGCAGGTGTGACGTTGAGAGATCTGCCGTTGACGTTGATGTTGAAGTCTCGGTACAGTTCTTGTAACTCCTCGATCGTTGCCTCTTCGACAACCCTCATCGTACTTCTGTACCTGTCATAGATCTTTGCCTTCTCTTCAGCAGCCATCTTTTGTTGGTATGCCTCTTCCTCCAGGATGTCCACAACCCAAACCTCTTCACCTTGGATTCTGTGGCGGTATGGGTACCCGGATGGGTAGTAATTGACGCCAGAGTATGATTCGACTCTCGGAATTCGTTCTTCGATTTCCTCGAAAGACATTGCCTCGCCACCCAAGACGATGGCATATGATGCAGATGTGTCGCTGTCATCCTCAATCTCGATGTAGTCTTCATCGTCGTTTAGCTTGTCGTCAGGGGTCTCGTAGTCGTCTCGAGCATTGGTTGCCTGAAAATATGTTAGCGCTGATGAGGGGAAACATCCCAGGACAATACAGACGTAGCGGTATACGATGGCATCCACCTTGCGCTCGTAGTGTTCAACTATCTTGGCGTGATGTTCGGAGTTCTTGACAGCCTCGATGATTTGGTCACCTGTAAGCGGCTTGCCTTGCTTGGGAATCACTGTCACTGCACCCGTTATAGGGTCCCAGAGTTCCTCATGGTTGTCGTCCGTCAAAGGCATAAGCTCCTCCTCGAGGTATTCATCCTCTTCACTCTCTTCGTCATTTTCGTCGTCTTCTTCGTCTTCCTCAGAGAGTTCGAGGGCCTCGAATTCGTCATCCTCGACCGGTCCTGAAGTATCATCCTTCCAATGTGTCAGCATATGATAACGTTAGAGCAGAAGACGATACGCACTAGACCATAACCTGCGAGCACTGTGTGGCGATCCATAGCGGAGAGGTCGTTGAGCATGAAATCATCGATATCAAGATCCATAACGAAGACTTCGTTTGATCGCGATGTTGGCGTAGGCTGAGTGTGCGAAAGAGTTGAGATTATGGGCGAAGGACTTAGAAGTGGACTGCGTCAGACAGACAAAGAGTATGGAGAGACCTAAGTAAACAAAGTGATGGATGAGGCTCGTCGCTCTGTTGGTCTGCAAAGGAAAGGAGGTGGACTGCTTCAGATGGACAATGCGCATGCAAAGGCCCAGGTGGAGTGAGTTTCGTGGCCAGGTTGGTGTGCAAAAGAAAAGAAGATGGACTGCGTAAGACGGAAAATGCTCTTTCGAATAGATTCCAGTGAAGAGCTCGAGTGACTGCGATCAGGAGTTGAAATTTCTGGTGCTTCGCTTTCACGCGCCTTCCTATAGTTGCTGTAGGACAATGTTTCTTCCATTTGCTTTCACTTCAGCTTTGCAATTAGACACAGACAACAAGAATCACGACCTCTATTGTCCACCTTGGTCGTGTTCATCTTGACATCAAGCGGGTCCTGAAGACCTCCCAGAATCTCAAGCAGGAACGGTGCATGTTCGTGCCTTCCACCCAGAACTCGCCAAAGCTATCTTCCACCGCCACATCTACTTTTGTCACTCGCTCTTCCCGCTTCAGTCCACACAGCGCACAAGCTTGCGTGCTTGTGATAGCACCTTCCGAGCCTTTGGCAACGCGCACAGGAAGCGCATCTCCCAACTCTGGCACAGTAAGCTTGCTCCCATGCACCGAGGCACCCGTGACAGCAGTCTTGAGTCTGCCTGCTTGTTCACTCCATACAGACAGCACGACTTGAACTTCAGTATCCTCGCGCCCAGCTTCAGATTTATCGAGGCCAGTGAGCTTCATACCACCACTGCGACCTGACATGGCTGGTCCGATACGCATGCTTTGAGCCAGANNGTGTTTGTCACGCTTCCAGCGTGATTTTCGGCCAGCAATCACATGGCCGAGGACGTGAATGAGAGTCACATAGGAAGCGAGGAAGGTTTTTGTATCCGTCGTCGAGAGGAAGTGTGATTTTTGAGATGAAGGCAGGGCGCTTAGTGGTTGTAGGAATTGGTGTGCTAGAGAGGTCAGAACAGGTGGGAAGATTGTTAGAAGAACCGAGGGCGGTGGAATATTGGACGGAGCGACGCCTGTCGTTGTAGGAAGAGCTGTGAGGTCGCCTAGAACTTCCTTCGGTAATCGGATTTGGGCAATTGGTTCAGGTGTATTCGCCTGAGGTGATGACTGGGAAGGCTGCGAGGTTTCAAAGTCATCCCAAGCATCATCATTCGATAGCGCGGATTCTTGTCGAGGTATCGTAGCGGGACGAGTAATCGGAGCTTTGCGAGTCGACATTGTCGTCTTTGACGTCCTCGCTGCTCCTGGCGGAGGTTGAGTTGGCTTACTCGGTAACTCAACCGGATCATCCAGACCTAAAAGATCCACAGCATTTGATGGTGGTGGCCTGGCCGTCCTCGATTGGTTCGTTGGTATTGACGTTTTCGCTACATTGCGATTCACAGCTGGCGTCTCGCTTGTTTCGAAATCTCCAAAATCATCATCGTCGTCGTCACCTCCCCACGAGCCTACAACGTCGGCGTCTTCAACCTCGTCGTACTCATCTGCATCAAATAGGATATCTGCGAATCCTGCTAGAGGGTGATTGCTTGATAGCTGACTAGCTTTGGTAGCTTTCTTCAAGATGACCGGTGGACCGGAAGTTCTCTTCGGTGGTTGCGGGGCAGGTTTCGCGGCAGGCTTCGGTTCAGGCTTAGGATCAGATTTGATTCCCTTCACGGGTGGTGTAGGAGCCTTTTTCGTAGATGTCTGAATGCTCTCCTGTGGTCCTGGTTCCGGCTCCTCAAAATCGCCAAAGTCGTCATCATCATCGTCCCAGAGATTTTCGTCCTGATTCGATACTTGCAAATTTGACGTTTGTGGTTGAACAGTATTCGAGTTATATATTGGCTGCGACAAGGAAGGTTGCGTTTGAGTCGAGGTGGAGTTTTGACCAGTATTATCTTTGAGGGTGAAATCTCCGAATTCGGCCAGGAGATCTTGAGACATGACGAGAAATTTTTGCTACAGCCCTGTTTAACAAGATCATTTGCCAGCTTTCCCTTGCCGACGACTAATTCCAGAAAATGGTGTTTTTGATGTTATACGGAAGTTTCGGGAGTGATCTCGTGGTTGCGTGGTGTTGTGTCTATCTCGAAAATGTTTGCCTTGTTTGCTTTGTGACGTCGGCCGACCTCCAACGGTCATGCCTCGTTTGGTGATTGTATCTGTAAACAACAATACCAAGGTCATTGATATCGTCGTTCTTGGACTATGCGGTCACTAGCTGAAGCAAGAGAGTCATGGCAAAGTCTGCGAAAACACGAAACAGTAGTCGACCTCAAGGAAGCTATTCGCAGCGAGAATGAGCCCGACTCACTGACCAAGTCCAGATCGCTATTGTGGAAGGTCAGAACTACCAAGTGCTCTGAGAGGACTTCAAGCTGATAATCAGAGCAGATCTTTCTCTTGTTCGAGGGATTCGATCATTCAGAATGGCTCCAGCGATCAGCAGATTCTCGGTCGGCATATGCTTCTGTGCGCTCTCATCTATTGCGAGGACTTGAACACCCAGAAGAAGTCTTGGGTTCGAATCTAGATCCACTGAGTGAAGATTCCGAGGTATACTATCTCACAGCCATACATGGTGAATATTTCCTTCTCACTGATAGCTAAGTCTTGAAAGNNTCTCCTTGGGCCGTCTTACGCAAAGATGAAGCTTTGCGCGCAGAGATCATGCAGGATGTCGACCGATGCATGCCCGACAACATATACTTCCGACAACCGCAAACCCAGACCATGTTATTGGACGTCTTGTTTGTGTTTTGCAAGTTGAATCCAGATGTTGGATACAGACAAGGCATGCACGAACTGCTAGCTCCTATTCTCTGGGTCGTCGAAAAGGACGCAGTGTCAAGCAAAGCTACAGATGATTCTAGCGCAGAGGACAAGATGTTGTGTCATGTCTTTGATTCTGACTTTGTCGAGCATGATACCTTTACTCTGTTTGGTATCGTCATGCAAGGAGCAAAGTCTTTTTATGAGCAAGCTGCACATGCTGCGCCCTCGAAGCTANCCGCCTCACCAGCAAAGCCTGCAGCAACACTAGAGAACCCAATTCTTACACGTATACACAGGATCTTTGACGAGTTTCTGCCTCATGTCGACCCAACACTTGCACAACACCTGCAAGAGATTGATCTAATACCTCAGGTCTTTCTTATGTGAGTCACAAAGAAGTAGCCACATCGAATTGTTGGCTAATACAGAACAGGCNGCTGGATTCGACTGTTATTCGGTCGAGAGTTCGGATTTGATGATGTCTTGAGCATGTGGGATGCCATCTTTGCTGACGACCCTAGCCTTGAGATTGTAGATCTTGTTTGCTTGAACATGCTTCTGAGATTACACTGGGAACGTAAGCAGATATCCCATACTAACCCTGATCTCAAGGCGCAAGGAGACTAATTTGGTAACANNGTAATGGATGCCGATTACAACACGGCACTCACACTCTTACTGAGATATCCCGCTCTCGAAAACGGAAAATCTCCACAAGAATTCGTGACAAACGCTGTGTACCTCAGAAACAACTTCAACCACGCAGGCGCAAGCACGCTAGTCGAGAAATACTCAGGAAAACCTCTACCCGAACCTACAGAAACCTCCACAAATATGCTACAACCCTCAATGCCAGGANAGATCCGAACGCAGATGCCCGCACGAGCATCAAGCAATTTCGAAGACATGCTGCAGGGAGCAGCTAAAGGCGTACTGCAGAGAAGCGAGAAGTGGGGCATTAACAAGGCCTTCCGCGATGCAATGGACGAAGTACGCAAAGGTGTGAGAGAGATTCAGGCAGCGCAGACGCCGCAAGCACCTTCAAGACACACACGCGGATTGTCAAGACAGAGTGGGACATCGGATAGATCGACCGATCCAAGTCTGCGACTCACTGTGCTGGAACAGCGGAATACGGCACTATCACAGATGCTCAAGAAAGCCATTGACGATCTTTGGACATATCATGAGACTGCTGTAGGAGGCAAAGCTTCAGAAGAAGACTCGTTAAAGAGCTTGAGTATGGCGATTGCAAAAGTGCAGTTCATACAAGTCTATCTCGAGGATGCTTCTGTGCCACTAACTGTAGAAGAAGATGCTACCGAGACAAGCAAAGAAGAAGCTATCGAGGTGACAGAAGTTCCACCACAGGTCAAAGAACCTGCAAGTGCTCAAATTGACAGCAAACCTGCCGCTCAAGACACGCAAGAGTCAACAGACACAAAAGCAGTCGAAGAAGCTCCTACAGAATCTGCCGATGCCCCAAAGCAAGAAACCGAAAATCCAGCTCCAGCAAAGATTACAAAAACATCCGACATTCCACTCGACTTCCACACACCAAGGCCCACACTAGCACAGTCGTCGTTTTCATGGATGCTAGGACAATCTCCAGAGACAAACGCCAGCAGCTTTGCTCAAGCAAAAGGACTTGCACCTTCAGATATACGACGCCGAAGCAAGGGTTTCTTGTTTGGAGATGACGATGACGCTAGAGCTGGGAGTCCTGAGAAANAGAAAGACAGCAAGAGAGGCAAAGATAGGAAGAAGCAGGTGAAGAAGGAGGTGCTCTTTGAGCAGGAGCCGGTCGAGGAAGAGTTCGATCTTGGTGCTTTGGAAGAGGAGAAGAAGGCAGGAAAGGAGAGAGAAAAAACAGAAGCCAATAATATCAAGAGCAAGTAACTACGGAGACCCTCTTAGAGGCTACCTCCATGGTCAGGCTCGTGTTCAAGTTGCAACTGTACATTTCGATGGCTTGTAGAGAACCATATACCTCGGGATGGGGAAGGGATCATTGCAAGATTGTGACGGTCTTTGGCACACGGCGAGCAAGGAACAAGCCGATGATATTAGAATCAAATCATGTCTTCTCATTATGCTTCAACTCGTAAGGTGTTATATAGGTAGGGACGCTTCGAAACCATGTTCAGTAGATTTCTTCGGCCCGGTCCCTTGTTAGTGCGTAGCAACGCACCGTTCAGCTAGTGTGCAGACGCATAAGGATTTCTAGTTCTTCTTGGGTGCCTTCTTCTGTGCGTTCATGTAATCGTTCCAGCCAGGACCAATGAGCTTAGGCAGGAACTTGCCAACTCTCTGCTGGTAGATCTTGTACTCTGGGTATTTCTCGGCACTCAACTTCTCAGTAAGCCAGGTGCTAGATTGGAAGAGAATCAGGTATGACATGGCGCCAATACCAGTCCAGTTGTACAAAGACGAGGTCTCGACACAGGACCATTGGTACAAGGTGACCCAGACGAGTTGCTCGCCGAGGAAGTTAGGGTGTCTAGAGTAGCGGAAGAGACCGGTAGTATTGAAGCCTGGCTCGAGGTCCTCGCGAGTCCAACCGGCGGGAACCTTGGCCGTCTTCTGGTAAGCGTGCTTGGCCTTGTGGAAATTCCATTGCGAACCGTCGGCGAAGAACTCAAAGACGACGAGGCCTAGGAGAACGCGGGCGAAGACGACGTCGGTGGTGTTCATGTTCTGACCAGAAAGGCGCGAGGCGAGCATGAGGATATATGTGGGAGTGGTGATCATCCAAAGAAGAACACTCTGAGCGATACAGATGAACAGGATATTGAAAACGAANAAGAGTGGGCGATTGACCCAGCTGCGCACTGTTTCCCACCGGTAATCCTCAGAGCCAATGCTGTAGCCACCGCGACGCCAGTAGTTGAAGGTCAAACGAATGGACCAGCAGATGCTGAAGGCCATGACATTGTCGAGTCTTTGGGTAGGCAGACCATTCAGGCGAGCCCAGACATCGTAATGAATATTGTAGACGGTGGGCAACAAGCTCCAGCAGCGGTCGACCTGCGAGTAGTTCTTGTTGATCTCGGATACGACGAGGAAGATGGGCGTGATCGCCAGAGCGAAGGCGAGGCCGGATATCAGAGGGTTGGTCGACAAGTACAGATGCTTGAGAGCCTGCGTGTCGGTGCCTGCTTGTAGAATCTGCTGAGGCAGAGCATAGAGCTGGTCGACGAAGGGAAGGACCGTCTTGCTGAAGTCTACGGTATCGGCGAGCGTCTTGACGAGAGGCAGCGCCGTGCCGACTGGTGGAGGAAGCAGCATCTTGATGTTCGTATAACGAGGTCAATCGGGTATGATTGAAAGGTGTAAACGTGGACTGGACACGCGATGGAAGCTCAAAGCAACAGGTCAAGAAAGCGCGATCGACGACAACATCAAGTCGTCATCGCCAAGCATCACAAAAGGGTCTCTCGAGCGCTCGGACCGGTCCGTCTCGTCATCTTGTCCCCATCAGGCAGCGGCGCGTCTTCCGCCTTCTCCACGCGTTGTGACTTTTTGCTGCAACTCGACAACTCGAACGTTCGCAACACCATGGTCTAAATAGGTCAACAGTGCCCACAGAGATGGTGACCAAAGTTCTCTGTGTGGCAGAAAAGCCCTCAATCGCCAAAGCCGTCGCTGGCCATCTATCTGGCGGTTCACAACGAGTTGTAAGCTTCACATCCATCTGATCCGCCACTCTATTCATCCCTTCTTTTATCATTCCGTCTTGTGGATCTATACTAACTAAAGCTACAGNNTCTAATTCACGTACGCCATGGCTCAAAAACTACAACTTCTCGTACAACTTCCCAAACTGGGGTCCCTGCGAGGTGACCATGACTAGTGTAGCTGGCCATCTGCAAAGCACCGATTTCGTGTCTGACTTCAGGGGTTGGAGATCCTGTGATCCAGAGCGTCTCTTCGATGCTCCCTTAGTGACCTATGTGGAAGACGACAAGAAAGGTATTGCTGCCAACATTGAGACCCAGGCTCGCAACGTACAATATCTCTTCATCTGGACCGATTGCGACAGAGAAGGTGAACATATCGGCAGTGAGATCAGAGATGTTGCGCTGAGCAGTAACCCTCGGCTGAGGCAGCCTGGAAAAGTTGTGCGAGCCAGATTCTCCAACATCGAAAGAGCACATATCATTCAGGCTGCTCGCAACCCCATCCCTCTTGACGAAAACTCGGTCAATGCTGTTGCTGCAAGAATCGAGCTGGATCTCCGTATTGGCGCCAGTTTCACTCGATGGCAAACGTTGCAGATCGCTGATTATCTCAAAAATTGCGGCGTTTACTCTCCTGACGAGAAGAAAGTTCTCAGCTACGGCGGCTGTCAGTTTCCCACGCTTGGCTTCGTTGTCGACAGATACTTCATGGTCAAGAATTTCGTTCCCGAACCTTATTGGGCTATAAAAGTTACACATATCAAAGACGACATCACTGTCAACTTCCGTTGGGCCCGCATCAATCTCTTCGACCGAATGGCGGTAATCATACTGTTCGAGAGATGTCTGACTGCCAAGTATGCAAAAGTCATCAAAGTACAGACCAAGCCAGCCAGCAAGTGGAAACCCTTGCCACTGACAACGGTTGAATTGCAGAAGATGGGCAGCAGGTTTTTGCGTATGGACAGTCAAAGAGTCATGAAAATCGCCGAAGAACTGTACAACAGAGGTTTTATCAGTTATCCAAGAACTGAGACAGATCAATTCGACAGAGGAATGGACCTGAGAGCCTTGGTCCAGAAGCAAACTCAATCACAAACCTGGGGAGCGTTCGCTCATAAGTATGACAAGCCATAGCCCCTCCAACACGATCATGTACTGACAGATTGTAGCCTTATGAATGGAGGCTTTAACCAGCCAAGACAAGGTCGCAACAACGATAAGGCTCACCCGCCAATTCATCCGGTTAACTTCGTCACACCAAACGCATTAAACAACCAAGACGAGCGCAAAGTATACGAATTTGTAGTGCGAAGGTTCCTTGCCTGCTGTAGTGAAGATGCCAAAGGCTCTCGCGATGAGGTCGGAATCTTGTATGGATCCGAAATTTTCAATGCCTCTGGATTGTCAGTACTTGAAAGAAACTACCTAGACGTCTATCCCTATGACAAGTGGACTAGCACGCAACAACTTCCACAGTTCCAGGTCGGCGAGATATTTGAGCCGACTGAGGCTAGGATGACTGAGGGCAAGACAAGCCCACCTGGATATTTAACAGAGCCAGATCTCATTGCGCTCATGGACGCGAATGGCATTGGTACTGATGCTACAATGGCCGAGCACATTGCCAAAGTCAAAGAACGTGAGTACGTCATGACACNNGACCTCGAGCTCGAAGAGCGCCTACAGAAGGTGAAGAGGAACGAGAAGAAGGCGAAGCACCGCCCGTCCAAGAAGACGACAATGACGACGGCGGAGGCCGAGGTGGAGGTAGAGGACGTGGTCGAGGAAGAGGAAGAGGTGGTCGAGGGGGGTGGAGCAGGCGGACGTGGTGGAGGAGCTCAGCAAGGCGGCGTACAAGAATTCATTCCAACGACCCTGGGCGTGGCCCTGGTCAAAGGCTACGAGGATATGGGATTTGAGATGAATTTGAGCAAGCCCTTTCTCAGAAAAGAGGTAAGTTTGCAGAGATCAGCTGATGAGTATCATGGCTGACGACCGGACCAGATGGAGAACAAGATGAGAGCAATCTGTGCAGGCACTACAACGAGAGGTGATGTGGTGCATGAAAGCTTGGACATGTACAGAGATGTCTATATCAGAACGAGGCGGGGTGTCAACATCTTGAAAGCGGTAAGCAGTATCACGAGAAAAAAAAGCATCAATGGACAACTGCTAACGAGCGACGGAACAGNNTCGGTTGACAGATATGTGCCGGGCGCAAGAGGTTAAGGTGAGGAGGGTGTTCCGAAGGCGTCGAAGGAACAAGCAAATGCACTTGCAGGCAATGACACAAAGACGAAGTTTGCTTTTGCAAGGTTACATAGTAGAGATAATGGATATTGATAAGTGTTTGTCTTTGTGATCAGCTTCTTACGACATAAGATGGCATCAACATGGTACTTCAAGTCTTCGTCTCCATATGCTCAGGATGGACAATTTGTCAGTGTGAGCGAAGTATTCTGCTGGGGCTCTTTCACGACCTCGGACCGCGTGCTAAGTCCGGGTCGCGGAAAGGTAGAGTAAACGGTCAAGTACGGAGGTATAAACCCATGACAAAGACGACGAGACGAGCAGTCGGTTAGAGGAGGAGGATGCAAGACATACTCGCTACGGCAACAATGGATCAAGGCCAAAGCCAAGGCCAAGGCAGATAGAGTGTGTGGACGTGAGACAGATGGCGCGTGGTGATCGCCGGGTGTTTTGAGTCTTGAGACGGTTTCGCACCGGGACGTTTTGATCTGGGCGCTTTTTGAAAGAGATTCCCCCACATGAAAGGGGGAAAGAAGGGTCAGTTGTGTTAATGCAGAAAGACGTCGACGACAGGCTGCAGTAATCTCGCATACCTTTCCCCTCATTGTTTCTTTGACAGGCCGAGCTGAGCAGAGCACGCATCATCGTTATTGGATTTGGGCGTCTCAGATCAGGCGGGAGCTGGCACTGATTGATTGATTCATCCGAGATTTCGACTCTGGACCGCAGCCACGGCCGCCCACTCTTTGAGCACGAGCCCGAGCCCGCAGGTCACACTCTCTGTTGTCGACCCGCTGCTGCTGCTGCTTCGTCGACGCGCGCACAATCTGACCGGCTGTCTTGTACGAGTGTTCCTCTACTCCTGACAGTGTCGTCGACTTTCCGCCGGTGTCCAGGTCGAGTTGTTGGGGTGGCGGCTCGAGCATGAGTTCGCCAGTATGCAACAACCATGGCAAGTCTTCTGCTTGAAAACTCTCAGACACGCCATCTGACCACCAACAAGGCTTCCAACCATCGCCCAAACAACATGACGAAGAGCTTCGCATCTTGTCGCGCATCCAGAGCACAGGTAGTCTCTTGTCTCTGCCTCCTCGCGGCTCCATATCCGCCGAAGCCCAGCGCCCGAGAATGTCTTTTGACCAAGCAGCCCTCGAGGCCGCTGACCTGCGCAGCATGACCAGGTCAGACTTCGCATACGCACATGGCAGCCATGCACCTGCTGATAAANTTCCAAGCTCTCCCACTCTGCCTGAACGTGAAAGCGGTCTGCGCCGCATCAGACAATCCCACAATCGTCAACCTACCTCTCCTCAATTGCTCCAGACCTCGCGCTCTCCCTCGCTCAACATCAACATACCCTCACAGCCGCTGCCCGCTTCCCTGCCTTCGGGCCCTTCGTCGCCCGTATTACCCTTTGGCGAGGATCTCAGCCGCTTTCCTTCCGAGTCTCTGCATTCTTTCTCCTTCGCACATCAATCCGAGACGTCGATACACAATCGCCAAATGATTCTCAAGAGGTCGGTCGATTTTATGAAGGACAGGCCAGGGTGGGGTTCTTCAAATCCCGCCATCCTGAACGCTCAAGCAAAAATCACTGGAGATCAGGAAGCACAGAGCATGGTGGAACTATTACAACGCGCCAACTTGCTAGGTCCCGATGGCAATTCGTTGCAAGCCCCGGGTTTGGGCATCATGGGTGCTCCACTCAGTGGCCCAGCCGATCCCTCGGCAGACAACATTNTTGAGAAGAACTTTGCGCCTCTCAGCGAGAGCCCTAAGGACTTCGACGACGACTTGGTCATGTCGTCCACCTCTCCCAAGTCCATCAAGTCATCCGAAGAGAAGGATACCTTGCAACCCGAACCCAAGCGCATCTCGCTCAAGCGCACCTACACTGACACAAGCGGCCTAAGCTTGCAGCACCGTCTTGCTGATGCTCTGGCCACACCTTACCACGCCGCTGATGTGCCCCGCCGTGCAGAGCCTCTTACTCCCAGCCACGTCCCTTCAGGATTGCACACGTCCAAGTCGACCACCTCGCTGACTGGCTCCACCTCTCACGGCCACGGCCATGGCCATGGCAGGCAATCTGCTGCAGCTCAGGCTATTTTCACTACCGATGCGCGCGCTCCTTGGACCATAACTGCTGCCAACGATCTGGCATGTCTCGTATTTGGCGTCACCCGTGCCGAAGTGCGCAAAATGGGTATTATGGAAGTCATCCGTCCTGAGCGACGCAAATGGCTCGAGAACAAATTGAGACATCCCGATTCGGATCTGTACACCCAACAAAACAAGTCTCCTAACCATAGCCCGTCATCTTCAGCTCTGGCAAAGGGTAGTGGTGTAACAGCCAAGCTCCTGAGCAAGCCCCCTGCACGCCAAACGTACCAGAGCAGACGCTCGAAAACCGTCAACGGTATAGAGTCAGCTTCGACAACACGCCGTGCCGCTCCCAATTCTTCGCAAAAATCACGTGGTGTGCTACTATGTGGTGATGTTGTTCCTATCCAGAAGCGCAATGGAGACATCGGATCAGCCAGTTTGTGGGTCAAGGAAAAGCAGGGCGGCTTGATTTGGGTGCTTGAAGAGATTGCCGAGGACGTTGCTTACATCACAGTTGACGAAATTGGCTGCGTCGAANAAGGTGTCGGTGCCTTGGAGTCCATCTGGGGAATCGAGAGAGTGCGTAGGGGCACAGATATTAGGAAATTGGTTCCCGAACTACCAAAACTGGCCGGCACAAATACTGGCATGCTGGACTTCGATCAGATTGCTTCGCTACGTCGCTACACCGCTCGCACAGCAAACAGCATCAGCGTCCCCGTCACAATCGATCAACTTTCTGGTCAACCGACATTGCGCATTTCCAGCTTCCCTCATATTGCTGGCATCCTTGTTCTGAACCCCGACACACTCGAGATTGTCAGCTCAAACAACGTCTTTTCTGCTTCTCTGTTCGGCCACGATGCTCCTGACGGCCTTCCGATTACCGACTTGATACCTTATTTCGACAATATACTGCACTTGTTGACCGACGAAGACAAGATCCGCCTGGTTGACGGTCTTGTCATTCCAGAACACAGTTTCAGAAAAGCTCGTGCGCTTCTTGCCCTTCGTGAAGGTCGCGCAGATGCCGCCTCCATCTTCCTCAAGCCCAGCGGCCTGCCTGCGAAACATCGAGACGGCTCGGATATCATGATTGATGTTCAGATGCGCGTCGTCAAGAGCGATCGCCATAGCTTCGACAGCATTCCGGAACATAACCGTATAGATCCAGACTCATTGCCTGCATCAGAGGTTGTTTACGCCTTGTGGATCACATACTCGAGACAACTTCATGCTGTAAACCACGGTATTGGTCCTGTAATTCCGACAGTGTCCAGGCCTGTCACTCCTCCACAGCAACCAGTACCTGCACCATCGAACTCGAGTGGAGATCAGGACAGCGAAGATTCCAGCAGTGACAAAGGCAGTGAGACCAAGACGAAGGTCGATACTCCTTCTCTCATAGCTCAACAATTACAACATTCACCAACCCAATCACATTCATCAGGAACGCCATTGCTTACGAGCGAACCCTTCGAACATCCGTCCCCTGCTGCTATTGAAGCTGGTGCAACCACTATTAAAAAGAAGGTCATTGCTGATTTCCTCATTCTGGAAGAAATGGGCCAAGGAGCGTATGGTCAGGTCAAGCTTGCACGATACAAGAAAGCCAATGCACAGAAGATGTGTATCAAATATGTTACGAAACGCCGCATTCTGGTCGATACGTGGACTAGAGATCGACGACTCGGCACAGTGCCCTTGGAGATTCACGTTCTGGATTATCTACGACGGGATGGCCTGCAGCACCCAAATATTGTCGAGATGGCCGACTTCTTCGAAGACGACATCAACTATTACATCGAAATGATTCCGCATGGTCTGCCTGGTATGGACTTGTTCGACTACATCGAACTCCGTGTTAACATGGAGGAGAAGGAGTGTCGAAAGATCTTCGTGCAGGTCGCCAATGCTTTGCACCACTTGCATATTAAGGCCAAGGTCGTGCATCGAGACATCAAGGACGAAAACGTCATTCTTGACGGAGACGGTGCTGTTAAACTTGTTGATTTTGGCAGCGCAGCATACATCAAGTCAGGTCCCTTCGACGTTTTCGTTGGCACCATCGATTATGCGGCCCCTGAGGTCCTACGCGGCAGTCCCTACCGAGGCAAAGAACAAGACGTGTGGGCGCTCGGTATCCTTTTATACACGATTGTGTACAAAGAGAACCCCTTCTACAGCATCGACGAGATTATGGACCATGATCTAAGAGTGCCGTATATCATGAGCGAAGACTGCATTGACCTCATCCGCAAGATGCTGGACCGTGATGTTGAGAGACGCATCGGCATTCAAGCTGTTCTCGATCATCCATGGTGCACATACGTCGACCCTGAGGATGATTAAACGACAGGCGACATCCGTGTTGCTCCAATTTTTCCTTTACTCTCTACTTTCACTTTGTTGTTTTATTGATATTCACCATGATTCCCTTATTGTTTTTTTTTTATTCCTTAGGCTTGGAAGCATTGTCTGTTTTTTCTTCCAAACTGTCGCTTGCAAATACGAAAAACCTCGAATACCACAATGAACGACGGACAGAATGACGAAAGCACACATGGCGGGCGGAGGAGAACAGATGAGGACATGATGGAAGGAATGTGATACAGTGGAGGAAAGCACACAAGAAAGACATCTAAACTGCCGGACACACAAAGCAATACATAGGAGGCAAGGATGGATTTGTCCTCTGTTCTTTATTTTTGGTATCTCTTCTGATAGACTATCGTTTTATCAATCGTCTAACCTCCTTGAGTCAAGAAGAGTGTTTGATGTGCATGTGACTTGTAGGCGGTTTCGCTTCCCCCCTCGATTGGTACTCTAATCGCCTGTCGTCTTCAATCCCTGATTTGCTCCTTCCTTTTGATGCATGGTCGGATGTGCTCTGTTGACGCTCATGTTGGTCTTGCTGGGATCATCTTGTTGGCGACAACTTCAGTTGGTCTTTGCCATTTCGACCAAGACCGCTGCCACGTGTGCCTTGTGAAGCTCGTTGAGGGCCTTGTCCTCCTTCTGGACAGCCTTGTCTTCCTCGTCGGTAGTCTTGTCCTCCATCTTTGCGACCTTCCACTGGCCGACCTCGGCGATCTTCTCGGGAACGATACGCTTGATGGGTTTCTTGTTGACGTGCTCGACCTCCATCTTGTCTTGAGTGACTTTGTGATCGATTGAGTTGTTTTCTGTTTTTGTTGATGATTTGTCAGTGATGCTTGTGAAAGTGGATCGTGGAGGAGGTGTGGTGGCTGGTCTACGTACCGTGGTTGTTGGTCGATGAAATTTCCATGGTGTTGGAAGACATTGTTGTGATGATGCGGTATGTGAAGTTTTGATCTGAGAGGCGAGGGTGAGGAAAAAAATGGGGGATGAGGCGGTTAATGAGTTATGTGATTTGATGTGAGAAGTGAGAAAGTGATGGTGTTGAACACAGATGACCATGGATGCGTTTGGTGATTGTTTGTTGTTGGTGCTGTGTACAAGGGATTGCGAGTGAAGTTTGATGTGTTGATACATAGGCTCACTTCTCTCTCCCTATAGCCTCAAAGAGAGCCCTGAGTTGATGTGCCTCTATCATTTTGTGTCTCTGTGTTAAAGTATACAACACATGTGACTGAAGAAAGACAGAGTGGATCCGAATGAAATAGTAGTATCTACTGGGAGATGACACCCTTATTACATTTCTCTGACCACGCCATGCTTTTGAAAATGTTCATGTCTTTCCATGTTGTGTACATCAGCTTCTGTAGAAGGGAAGTTTAGAGATACTCTGCTCATTGTTGCTCATAATCTTCAAAGCTGACCCAGCTTTTCTTGTCTGTTTCTGACCTCAAGCAGTGACTTGTCAAGCCTTTCGTAGATCCTTTTTGTGCAGCACTTTCTGCTTTGCATGTTCCTTCGGTTTGGGAAGATTACGACCGCCCTATGTTGAAGTTGACTTCTGATCCGCCTGATCTTTCTTGCCATCCTGTTGCTTCCCTTGGCTTGTTGGCTTTCTTTGGCTTGGTCCAAGAGTCTGGAACTTCCTTCAAGACAGTACCATTCTCCACCAGAACTCCTTGTCCTCCAGTGCGATCTTCGACTTTGCTGAAGAATTGCAGACCGATCACACCGTTTTCATCCCCTTCACTTAGAATGACTCCGTTCTCCGACTTCCAAAATTTGACTCCGGCTTCCAGGGCTTTNTTGATGTCGATGTAGACCAAGACTGATGATGAGTTTCGCATGCCAGAGATGACGGGTGCGGCGTTGGCATCCTTTTCCTCAGACTTGAAGCCTGCAGGTAGACCAGAAGCAAAGTGCACATGAGTACGCGTCATCCTCTTGAGACCAACAGTAGCTACAATCAAAGGCCATGCAGAGTGAGTTGTTCCGTGCACCACTGTCGAAGGGATATTTTCCTCAGTAATCGGTGTCAAGAGATTCTCAGATGCGATTTCCAAAGAATGTCCTTGGTTTGCACGGATCAGGTAATCGGCAGGATCTTCTGATTCTGGGAGTTGACTGGGGATGTCGGAAGTTGTGGATGTTGCTGCATCGTCGGCTGGGACACTTGCTGCTGATGCCGCGGCTGATTTGTGGATTAGAGAAAAACGTTGCTTGTCGTTCTCGGCCACGATTTGCTTGACTTCAGCAAGTGTGGCTTTAAGACCGCGGATTCTTTGGTTGTTTAACTATCGAGCATCAAAGTCAGAATACAGGAAGTGATGCATATGATGGAGGAATGAAAATAGTGGCATGCTTGGTTGAACGAGCGAACATGCAGGAGCTTTTATGATAGAACAGGAGATAGCTCGGATCAGACCTACCACATCCTTGAGGTTGACATAACCTGCAGCGTCTAATTTGAGACCTTCTTTCTCAGCGCTGTGACGGAGCAATTTGCTTAGTGCTTTTGAGACTTGGACTTCTCGTGGCATAGGGCCTCCGCGACCGCGTCCAGGCATTTTGATTATCTTGTGGAGAACGTTGTGTTAGAATGAATGAGCTCGAAAAGCACTGATCTGGAGATGAAGCTTGTGTGTTGGTTCAAAATGGAACTGATCAAAGTCCAAGGTTGATGTTGGTCGAAAATTGACAACCTTCTAGAAGTTCACTGCAATGATTGAGAACGGCTTCGATAGCAACGCATCTAGAACGTGTTGAGAAGTGGCTATCTGAACTAGGTGCACGTCTCACTCGTTTGAGTGTAGAATTTCTGATATGTATCTGATAGCTATGCATCTGTCTCAATTCACGAATTGAGAAAACACTCTTCAACACTGGTTCGAGGTTCTGGTGAGCATATCATGGTTTGAGTCTGATTGACAAGACGTGTTCATCTGTTCGGAACCGACGACACGGAAGCCGGAGACGTTTTGCTCCGGACATGCGGGCAGGGCAGCGCCTATTGAGTTCCAGCCCTGGATTTGAAGATTCACGAAGCTCGGATGAATCAACAGTCGAGTATCTGATTCGAGAGGAACAGACGGGCATGGGAGAAGGCTCGTAAGGAGGAACGTCTCACGTGTATTGGCTCAGCAAAGCAAAGTCGGAGGATCGGAGTCTTTGCAGGATAGTTAGATAGCTCGTGTTGAGTCGTATATGTGGAATTAGGCGCTTCCAAAGTCCGATGGCCGCTGTCAATGACCTAGGCAGGCAGTCAAGTCAGCAAAAAGTAAACGGGCGCAGCATCAGTCTTCCAGAGGCCCGTCGTCGGTCGAGTCTGTCAAACATCGAATGCGCATATTCCATCAACCGCGCGCTATTTCTCCGTGCTATTGCAGCTTCCGGCGCTCAAAGGTGCGCCATATCGCACCCGTCTCGAATGCGCCATGAATCCTCATAATCCCCACCAACCGCAATACCCATCGCTACCGTATGGCACCACTCCGCCGGGTGCCCCGGCCCATAACCCGTCATTGCGTGCATTCAACAACCCTTACTCGACTTCGAATTCGCCTTCCAATGCAACCTTCCAGCAAGCCGCTGCCTATCTAGAGGGCAACTATGATGACGACGGAGACGATCGCGCAAATGACCACGACCACGATCATGACCACGACCAGGGCCAGGGCGATCCCAAGCGCCGCCGCATAGCACGCGCCTGTGATATGTGTCGAAAGAAGAAGATCAAATGCGACGGCAAGATGCCCAAATGTTCACACTGTCAGAACTACAAGACCGAGTGTATCTTCACTCAGGTAGAGAAGAAGCGCCAGCCACCAAAGGGCGCAAAGTACATTGAGGGCTTGGAGAACAGACTTGCGCGTATGGAAGGTCTGCTGAAGATGTCAGGTCTGCTGGGTGAAGACGATGGTGGTAAGACTGATCTCGGCACACTCGAGAAGCGGTTGGCGGACAGACAAGCTGCCGGCTCTTCGTTCGCATCACCAATCTCGCCTCACGTCGCCGGTGATGGCTCGACCTCTGCCCATCCGACTCCGCCTACTGGTGTTACAAGTCCTCAGTCCGGTGCGCCGCTTCAGAACGGCCAGGCCCCGTCACAAGACAAGGCTGCCGAGGGACTTGCAGATCAGATGTGCTCGCTGGTCACAAACAATGCTGGAGAAACACGATACATTGGCTCCTCATCTGGCTTTTCTATCTTCTCGCCGAAGGGCATCCAGTGGGTAAACGAAAAGACTGGAGACTTCTCTTTCCGCGACATGATAACCCAAGCAGCTACTGACGACAGAGCCTGGGCTACCTGGAAACCCGAAATCTTTGACGACATCTTCTCGCGCAAAATCTACAAGCCTTTACCTCCTAAACCTGAAGCTCTCGCCCTGCTAAAGGACTTCTTCGATAACTTCAACTGCGTTTTTCCGTTGTTTCATGAGCCGACTTTTATGCATCTCGTCGACAAACACTACTCACTTGATCCATACGAAGGTTCTGGTTGGTGGGCCAGCTTGAACGTTGCGCTTGCCATCTCCCATAGGCTTCGGATTATAGGTGAAGAAGATGCCCGACTTGAAGATGCAAAAGCTTGGGGATATTTGAAAAACGCCTTGGCGGTCCTCTCCGAGTTGACGATGCGAAACAACGATCTATTAAGCGTTCAGGCTCTGCTGGGAATGGCCCTCTTCATGCAAGGTACACCAAACCCGCAACCAGGCTTCTTCCTCGTCGCCGCAGCACTGCGGTTAGCACACAGCATCGGTCTACACAAACGTGGATCTGACTTCAATCTCAACGAGGTTGAATCAGAACAGAGAAAACGTGTATTCTGGATTGGTTATCTCATGGACAAAGACATCTGTCTTCGTTCTGGCAGACCTCCTATCCAAGACGACGACGACATGAACGTTGAGCTTCCTAGTGAAAACCCACCTGACAACATTGGTGTTGTGTCATTAGGGGATGGCAAGAGCAAGGTCAATCTTTTCCGGATACAATGTACCTTTGCCTTGATTCAGTCGAAGGTCTACAAATTGCTTTACTCGGTTAAGGCTGCTCGTCAAACAGATGGCGAACTGTTGAACACGATTGGTGATCTCGACCAGGAGCTAGAAGAGTGGAAAGATTCTATCCCCCTCGAGTTCCGCCCTGAGCATGAGATCAAGATGCCCAGTGAATCACCAATCATGCTGCATGTTGTTGTCATGCACTTTGCATACTACAACTGTCTCACGACCATCCACCGGATGTCTGTCCATCACGGGTACTGGACATCACGTCTCTCGAATTATGCCATTGCTGGTCTGAATGCGCGCCCGCTTAATCCTCGTGTGTTCATGTCGGCGGCCTTGTGTGTGAACGCCGCACGAACATCCATCTCGCTCGTCAAGTTTATTCCTAGTCGGGATCATGCTTGTGTTTGGTAAGTCCAAAACCCACATGAATATCTCTGAGATGTCATACTGACATGGTCAACAGGCNTTCTGGTGTACTATCCTGTATCTGCGCTTGTCACATTGTTCGCCAATATTCTGCAAAATCCACAAGATGCCAGAGCACGCTCCGACCTCAAGCTTATGAACTCAATGACGGAGTTTCTGCAAATGCTGTGCAATGAAGATGGCAATGTTCATTGCCGAAGAATGGCCTCTATCTGCAAAGAATTCGAACGTATCGCTAGGGTAGTCCTTGATAAGGCTGAGCGGGATATGAAAGGCAGGGGCAAGAGAAAGAATCGAGAAAGCGATACAGCCGCGCCACCCACCCAAACCACGCAGTCAGAGCGTCGCTCAACATCTCAGCCAACGCAAGCGCAAAGAACACCAAACATGTCTGCCTCAATGCTTCCTAATGGACGAACAACGACGGCGTCTCCATCTGTTGGGCAAATGCAACATCAACCTTTACACCCCTCGCCTATGGGATCGATGCCTTTCACAGCGCCATCAAACGCGCCCCCTTACCAACCCACTACCAGTATGGCACCAGAGCCCTGGATGCAGAGTGTTCCACCTGCACCAGAGAACATGTTCGCCCAGGCCGATGGACGGTTTCCACAAGCACTCCCGCAAGACAACAACTTTGACATGCAAGGGTATGGTCTGGGACCTATGGCCGGAGATTTGGGTGGCAGCTTCCAACAACCATTTGTACCACAAGATCTGTGGCAGATGCCTATGACATTAGAATGGGATTGGGCTGATTTCTTTGGTACGGGGCCTGGCTTTGATCTCAACGACCCTAATGGAGGTGGGCCTCGTTGATGCATCATGGGAGGAGAATCTTTATGGGGAGTCGTGTATGATTATTCTATTCGTGTTCGGCTGGCATGTCGAAGAGTTTCGTTCGAGTGTTACGGAGTTTCACAATATTTCAACCCTTTCATCACTTCACATCCATGGATGTCTGACATCTGAATGCTATACACTCAAGATCTTACTTCTGAATATGGCCATTGAAGAATGCTGTGCAGCGCACGCGACAAGCCGTCAGCCGTAGGGTTCTACACACCCAGGGACAATCGAATCTCAATTTCCACATAATAATACAGGTTCTATTTAAAAGCTCAATTCTAGCATGTCGATGCACATACTATCTTCTAAAGAAACGACTATGTCTTTGCCGTTCTCTCATCGACATGCAGAACCGATGACGAGCCGAAAGCACGAGACTGTGTCGTTCCCAGTTTCTGACCCGCCTCCTCCAGGCGTTGTCTTGTGTCCAAGTTGTAGTCAAAGCATATTCCATATTGAGACAAATATCGCGATATCAACAGAAACAGTGAGATTTGACTCGCCGATATTTGACGATAATGACCATATTCGAGCGGTAGGTTCTTGCCTGCATCTCGGGTTTGCATGTGACAGAGAGTGGGGAAGCTTTCTTGGATGGAGAAAGCAATGTAGTGACGCGCTTTCCTTTGCATCTGCTCAAATACTGGTCTTCAGCTCTCCTGTGTTTCTTTACTCAATTGACAAACACACAACAGAAGCAACACATTTCAAGATGAATTCGATCCCTATCTCGGCCACCAGGCCTACAACTGGCATCCGCATTGCTCAGGTCGTCGGCCTCACTACTTCCGCATACCTTGCTGGTAAGTACCTAGTGATTTCAGGGCCTAACAGATTGTTGACCATCACTCAGNGTGCCATCGGAAGCATCAGCTGGCAGAGTGTGCCCGCCCTGTTGGATGCACCAGCTCCTCTGCTCGCCAAACAGTGGAAGAAGATCTTTGACCAGGGCAAGGTCGCAGCTCCACCAATGGCTGTGCTGTCCTCTGCCATCTTTGGCTATCTTGCCTACAGAGGTCTGTCTACTCGCATTGCCAAACTCAATCGATATACTGACTTTCACTAGNAACCCACTGCATCTTCAAACTTCACCCTCTACACAGTTGCAGCCGTCCTCATTCCCAGCATCGTGCCTTACACCGTCTTCGTCATGTCAGGTGTCAACAGCAAGCTTCAGGAGAAGGCCTCATCGCTGGCCAACGCCTCTCTTACTGACACCGCTGTCGAGTCGGGCGTAGCCGAGGGCGAAACTGCTCACCAACTCCTCGACAAATGGGCCACACTCAACTTTGGTCGCTCGCTACTCCNNCCTCTTTTCGGAACTCTGGCAGCTGGATGGGCAATTGTCGACAAGTTCGAAGTCCTCGGTCTCGGTGCAGTCCTCAAGACTGGTGCCGACCGCATGGGATAAGGAGGAATAGCCGAAGACAGTTCACACGAGCGCATGACCTACGAAACAGAAGACCGAGAGCATGTGAGATGCTTGAAACGCAGATATCATTCACGACGGAGATGACATGGAATCAAGATAGGCATATCAGTAGCCAACGAACAAGCCAGGACGACTTTTGCTTTGTTCTCTGTGTGCCATGAGTAACAGTCGCGTGCCATGTTGAGATTGAAGCCTCGGCGTATATCACATCGGATTGGTCTGTTGACCAGCTGGCAGCGATAGGTGTTGCAGGTTGGAACGACACTGGTCTTGAGGCGACAAGTGGAGTTTGAAGGAAGGCGTTGAAACCCACTCCGCTCCACCACAAGTCAGGACGGCGATTTTGGCGAGGTCTTGGTGCAGGTTGAGGCTTTCAGCCGGTGTGGGGGCCACTACAGATCGGGCCGGCAGTGGACACGTCCGCGGCTGACGAGTCTTTAAGCTTCTTCTTGCAAAGATATCCTTGCTGCACTCTGCTTTAGACCGTCTTTCGAGCTGGAGCCGGATCATGTCCTAGTTGTTCACTCGAAGGATGCTTGAATACGATGTTCAGCATAATCAGGCTGGGCGAGGGCGTCCTATCACGCAACGGACAGACATGAGGCGCTCAACGCAGACCTAAACACAGCCCCGCCGAGACCTGTCCCCCGCTTCCAGATTGGGGCGATAAGAGGGTTCAGCCTTGGCCAAAAATCGCTCGGACAAGAGCTCGACTCGACCACGGACGGACAAATCGATACGTACCCTTGACCTTTTGGTTCTTCTGACCTTTTGGCCTCTTGACCTTTGTGCTCCATGTCTTTTGTTGTCATCTGCATGTCTTCGTCCACTCGTTGACCCATCGCTATCCGCCTGTCCAGTCGCGTGCACATCCCCCGCCTTTGATCTCGGTCAACTACTCCGCCTTTTGCAGCTCGCAGATAACGGCCCTTATCCCCATTCAACTTTTTTCCAGGTCAACAACCTCTCTGGAAGAGTGTTGATTCTCGGCCTCGATAGTTGATCGATCACATTACTGTATAGACAAAATGGCTCAAGCATCCGTCGAATCTGTGGTCCTGGAGACCACAGCTGGAGCACCAGCCTCCGTTGCTCCGGCTGTTCCAATCCAGATACAGAAAGTCAAGGGCAAGAAGAGATTCATACAGACTCTACAGCGCATGTCATCGTCTCCATCTCTGGCCAAGCTTGGTAGAACGCCGTCTTCGAGCTATAGAACAGGAGGAAGGGCCTCGGCTTCCTGCATATCGCTCTCCGGCTCCGCTTCTTATGGCTCGTATGGGAACTCGCTGGCCTCGGAGTTCTCTGTCGGATACTCGACCGCTCCAGCCTCAGCTGCCACCACCCCAGGAGTACCCTTTCCTTCCTTTGATGAGAAGATAGCTCGTTCTCGATACCTTGGTTCTGTACCTGTTCCCGACTTCAGAACCACCACGAGAATCGCTGAAGAGGAGGATTATTTCTCCATACCCGTACAAAAGCCTGCAGAGAAGCCCAAGTCTTCTTTCAACTTCTGGAAGGGCTTGCCGTCCGAGCTGGCTATGCAAATCTTCTCCTACTTGGAGCCTCGAGAGGTCGTCAGATGTTCAGCTGTTTCCAAGCAGTGGCACAGCAGATGTTTCGATGGTCAGCTGTGGTCTATTCTAGACACCTCTGACTTCTATCGTGACATACCTGCCGATGCTCTGATCAACATCGTCACTTCTGCTGGTCCCTTCGTTCGCGACCTCAATCTCAGAGGCTGTGTTCAGCTCAGGGAACAATGGCATGCGAAAGGTCTATCCGGAGCTTGCAGTAATCTCGAAAACTTCTCTCTGGAAGGTTGCCGCATCGAGAAGACTGCCATTCATTGCTTCCTGTTGCAAAATCCAAGACTCGTGTACATCAACCTTTCAGGCCTCGCTGGTGCAACAAATTCGGCTATGAAGGTCATTGCAGAAAACTGTCCTAAGCTTGAGCATCTCAACGTCTCTTGGTGCAATAATGTTGACACCAGAGGGTTGAAGAAAGTAATAGAGGCCTGTCCCGAACTTCGCGACCTTCGTGCTGGTGAAGTGCACGGCTGGGACGATATTGAACTCATGCAACTTCTCTTTGAACGGAATTCGCTTGAACGTCTCATTTTGATGAATTGCGATTCGTTGAATGACGAGTCGTTGTCAGTCTTGATGGAAGGACAAGACAGCGAGATGGACTATCTGACTGGCAGACGCATCGCTCCACCCCGTAAGCTGAAACACCTCGATCTTACTAGATGTCGTGGAATTAGCCACAGGGGCCTTGAGAAGTGTGTCGACAGACTTCCTGAGATGGAAGGCTTGCAATTGAACAAGTGCCATAGCATTACTGATGGTGTTCTCACATCTATGCTGAATGGCATGCCCAAACTGACACATCTTGATCTGGAGGAGCTCACCGAATTGTCCAATGCAGTACTGCAGACACTTGCCATGGCTCCTTGTGCAAAGATTCTGCGACACATCTCTATCTCATACTGTGAGGAGTTGGGCGATGTCGGTATGCTGCCCATACTCAAGAACTGCACCAATCTAGAGAGTCTGGATATGGACAACACCCGCGTATCCGACTTGTCTCTTGCTGAAGCAGCAGCCATGGTGCGTGCTCGTGCAACGCGCACCACTCAACCCAAGCAACAGCCTGCCGTTGGTCTACGCCTCGCTGCATACGACTGTCAAAACGTAACTTGGACTGGTATCCGTGAGGTCCTGTCACGCAATGCAGAAGTAATCCGCAAGACCGTAAAGCCAGCACCAGCATCAGACTCAGGCGATGTCGACGGTTCATCTGCACCGCCACAGCCGCAAACCGTTCGCACCTACCCTACACAAATCATCCAACTCAAGTGCTTCTACAACTACCAACCCACCGTCGAAGAACACACCAAGCGCGTCCTACGCGGCGACTTCTCGGCTGCTACACGTCTGGAGCGCAAATGGGCCGAATTCATGATCGCTCAAGAAGAAGCCGGTGCCAGTGGAGCCGGAGCCCGCAGACGCCGTCGTCGCGCCCGTGAAGCACAAATGATGCATGCAGATGAAGAAGACGGCGGTGCAAACGGTGGAGGTGCTGGTGTTGGCGGAGGTCGCAGACGCAGAGCTAGAAGCGGTGGGTGTGTTGTCATGTAAAGCAAAGATGTGCTTTGATAACTGTTTTTTTTTTTTTTTTCTCACTCGTTCAAGCGTTTTTGTTTTGGGATACGGCAGGCAACAGGACCAGAAATTTGGAATTTGGATTGGGGCGTTTCAGCGTTTGAGGGCATATATTTTTGCATTCTTTTTCGAAGACATTGTTTAGATCATATTCACATTCATCGTAAGAAGTTTGGTCTCATCACATCGCGTCTTCAACGTGTTCCACCATGATAACTACCTTCAATTCTTGTTCCAACCAGCCCTTCTGGTGGCAGCGGTCCCTTCCTTGAACCGGTCGGAAGTCACTCAGCTGTAAGTTAGAAGTTCTGTTATCTCATATAATGGCAGGTCCATCTTCGTATGCACAATATGCACAAAATATATAACTCAGGCATAACTATAGCGATAGGTATGACCCTGGCATAATGGATAAAGGGACCTCTTCTTTATAAGTGTCTTAGGTACTTCGAAACCCCTTTCGTGGACTCCGTCATGCCTTCTTCCTGGCTTCTGTTTCTTCTACCGCTGTTCCTGCTCCATGTTCCAATCACAGGATAACCCAAAAGAAACGAGATACACTGCAACCAGCCCCGGTGACTACCGAAAGCAGTTCAACCAAGACGGATTCTATCTGCTTTTCCGGTAATGCGGGTCAACCTAATTGAGGGTTTGTTCCATCACTCAATCCCGATATACGAATAGGCCGACCTGGAATTTCGTCCCACCACTCATCCTCAAGGAGCCTCTGAAGCTCTGCGAGTGCCTCTCGTTGCATGGTCAGGGACATATCGTGGCTACCAGCCATGATACTCGAACGAATGTCAAAGACCAACACCATTTGCTTGGCCACTATCGCCTTACCAAGAGACAGTTTTGCTCTCGTACCACTTAATCGGACCTGCAATGCAGAAACAGTAGCCCAGAGCTCTTGGGTCGTTTGATCTTGCGATCTGATGACGTCGAGTTGAGTTTGAGTCTGGACGAGCAGATCTTCGAGTGTTGATACTTTGGAGCGCTGTTGGGTTATCTCTTGGTTTGTGGTGTGGATTTTATGGTGGTGCTCGTTGATCTCTGCGGAGGATTGGCTGATGATGAGGTGAGTCAGTTGTGTTTAGGCTATTAAGGCAATATTGAACAGGAGAGGAACTGGATGCTCCACTGCAACAGGATACTCACATGGCAAGAGGGATAAGGGGCGGTATGAGAGCCGAGAGCTGCAAATCGGCACAGTCAGCCATCTAACACCGAGCCCTGTAGCTTCCGTCTCGGTATCGGGCTATGCTTACCACGGAGAACACAATGGTCTTGGTTCTTGCATCCTCGGCCTGTCGTTCGAGTACTCCACGACGAGTTTCCAGATCCACCACCCGCTGCTCCAAACTTCTTATGCTATTCTCATGCTCGAGGATTGTTATTTTGGTACGCTCGACAGCTTCGGAAAGGCTTTGTTCGAGCTCTCGGATCTTCTTTCTGCTTGGCTCGAGGGTTATGTTCTGGAATTCTACCAGTTGTTGACTTGCTGTTCCCACCGATCTGAGGAGATTTTCTTGGCTCGAGACAATTGTCTCGTAGGCAGCCTCAAGCCGAATGAACGTGTTGTGCTGGGATTCCGTTGGTCCAACACCATCCGAGTGGGCTTTGTGTATGGCTGATAAGAGATTATGAGCGGTAGTAATTTGGTCACGCACATCGGTGACTCCCGGTTCAAGAGTGCTGAGGATGATCTCGTATAGTGCAGCATATTGAGTGGAACATGCTGAGGTCAGCTCAATGGCCAAGGCTTGTGCTTCTTCCCAGGAAAGACAGGCCGTGGAGTCTGTGGTCGTGTCCGGTAATGCGTGTAGAGCTGTGATGAATCAATATCTGAAGGTTGCAGCAGTAGAAGCTGCGTTTGTCACCCGACAGTCTGACGTACTTAGAATACCATCGTTGTTGCTGACGATTGTGTCCAAATACTCTAGAGCCCAAGGCATGAGCGAGTTCCCCTCGTCCGTCCAAGATGGCTGCTTGGAATTCTGCTTCAACACTAGCTGATGGATGTCGAGGGCGGATCGCTGCCAGCTGCCATCGCCTTTCTGACAGGTTGCATGGAGGAGAAACGCATCGTCGAGGTGTATATCGCGTGAAGTTTTGCTGAAAGACATGGCAAATCAGTCACCTCAAGGAAGCTTGATGACAAAACACTCTGATCTACTTCTCGTCAAGTCGGCAGTTTGGGGACGTGATGGCAGGTCTTCGGAGATCTCATAACCTGTGAGCTTTTCAAGCAGTTTGATTTAGTGCCCCGATGCCCGGTGTTCCATTGGCGGCTGGTGCTGAACATACACGAGCGGCCAGCCTATACATATTACTCCCCGCGGAGAGCCTCTTTACTCGTGAGACCCACTGCCGACGGAGGTATCCACCAACACTCCTTCACATGCCTCAGCCGTCCTGATTCAGCATTTGCAAGCTGAGCTCTGAGGCCCAGTCCAAGCCTGTAGCTGGGCTCGGTCTGCCAGATGTACGTGTATGTGCAAGTCGATGCAGGTCCGGACGCCCCACATGTACTGGTTGTTCGAAAAAGCTTTTGTGTCATCTGGCGCATCGCTGTTCGTGTCAAACTCACACCGCAAGAAGCGTGGGGCATTTTCTCTGCACTGGATCCAGGCTTGAGCACATGCAGCGCCTCGTACACTGCATGTCCGTCGACAGCCCGGTGCTGGACTCATCCTTCTCGGTGTATCCGACGATATCAGCTTCGACCGTTGACGAAGCTCGTACCCCGCCATTCGAACGCATCCGAGCGCTAGCGCACCGTTTCACGTTGTGGACGCGATACTTGGTGGACAAAAGTCTTGGTTCGATGGACGATAGTGGTATGCTCTGCCCTCGCCAACCACTTTGCCATCATTCGTGCCTCGATAAGGAACATTACGCGACCAGAAAAGTTCGGTCGACACGGGATGTTTAGCCTCGTGGAAACTTACTTCGAGAGTCGGCTAACTAGCGCTTGCCTGCTAGCCATGGCCTCTGACTAGATCTCATACTTCGACACTCGCAGAGCTAGCGAGTGGGTCAAGGGCCACGGACCGCAGGCAACCAGGACCGGAAGTCGACATCGCAGCTGCTCTTTCCTTGAACACAACATCGTGCTGAACGGAACTCAGAAAAGCCACTGGTTGCCATTGTGGAGCCGATCTGGATCCATTGCGTGTCAAGCTGAGGAAGGTCTCGTCCTAGATGACATCCTTATGTGTGATAGAGTCATGGCTTGTATAAGGGTTGACACAACCTCAAATTCAACATTCTTTGAATCGCAGCACTTACAAGATAAACTGGCACAATGGATGGGCAAATCACTGGTGGTCGATCATCCAATGAGATGATCAAGGCTTACTCCAAGGAGTTGCAAGATCAAATCTTCATTGCTCAAGATTGGGGTACTCTGCTGACCGCTGCACCGCTTGCGTTGAGGTTCGTTGGACAGTGCATGAACGTTTCTGCTGCACCTGAAGCACAAGGTATCACGTTGCGGCGACCTCAGAATGGTTTCCGATATCTGCAGTATGTGAATATTTCCCTTCAATCGTGAGCGCTCTACTGACTGGCAGCGACGAAGATATGATTCGCTGCACGGAAATTTACAACTCCTGACAGACGAAGGTCGCCTGGCTTTTCTTGAAGCCCACAAGAATATGGGTGACCTGCACGCGATTTCTTCGCGAGTCTGTTCGACGAACGGACAGGTACGTTGAAGTCTCCATACCGCACCATTTAACTAAGAATGATACGCATAGGTCACTAGAGTAATCCAAGCATTGCAAAACCGTCAAAGCACCCGAGAAATGTTGCCTGAGACTATGAAGCAACTCAAAGACGACGTTGACGAATGCAAAGAGCTGGCGACCGCAACAAAGGCCAAGTTTGATCTCTGGCTCAACATTGCGTCAGAACTCAGCCAAGTAGCCGCACAATCTCAGGGTACACTAGATACTTCAACTATATGAACAGGTGAGGCGAAGCTGATCTGAACAGGTGATACTCACAACACACTGTATGATACTCGAATCGAGCTCGAAACCACAAAGATCGTCGAGGAATCTGCCCTAGAGGCGAAGACTAGACAAGAGGCTGCTGTGAAAGAGGCCCAAAGACAGATGGAGCATGCAGAAAAGCAGTTGGAGTCCGCGACCCAAAAACTTCCGTCAGGTATGCAGACACACGACCCAATCTAACGTAATCTGATGGATCTTGCAGGCTGGAACATGATCGGGATGTCCTTCGTCGAGGGTCTGGCACGGAGCTTTGTTTCTCTCGCAGACATCGCCACAACCAGTTACGGAGCTAAGCATGGAGTGGACACATCAAACCGTGGTCTCGAAAGAAAAGGCACGAATGTGGGGGTCGACAAAACCATCGTGATGCAGCTAGCAAGTCTTGAGGTGTGCCTCAAATTCTTAGCCGGCATGGTCGGAGGACCGACACAGACGCCTGATTGGGATCAGATCTTGGGAGGACCCCGTGAAGGGCCTGGGCAAGTATCATATCTCGAAGGGCAACTCAGAACCATACTGAGCGAAATTGGTGATGGTTCGGACTGCCATGTCGGTGCCAAAGCGATCAACACAGCCGCCAACCAAACTCTAAAGGTACGTTCGTTTAATACTGTAGCTGACTTCATACTAAGCTCTGACTAGATACTCAATGAATTGAAAGAAGCCGCCAGGAAGCAAAAGAGCTGGGAAGCACATCAGCTGATGCTCGTAGCTCGAATTGGGCAGATAGGGTTGCTGAGGTCCAACGTAACGTTACCCAGCTGAAGACGCGCATCGATACTGCCGCAGGGATTACCACCAACTCCGTAAGATAGCCAAAATTCGGGAATGACTCATGGCCGAGCAACAGCTAATTTTGTTATCAGGATTTGAATGTGCCTGGTGGATCGTCGTCAGCAAGTGGTGCAGGATCTATAGGTGCGTGGTACTTGGTGTTGCCGAGGAGCTAACAACATT